TTGTTTTTTACAAAAATGTACTGTTAATTTTTTCTTTTTAAGATATTTGTTCAGTGATTTAGATGACAGTATAGTATAGTGTTAAATCGACTTTTCAAATATTCAAAAAACGATTACAAGTATAGCTAAAAAAAATACATAGAGCGATAGAAAAGAGGCTAAAATTAGTGTCGGATATTTAGATAATTGTGTTGAGATTATGGTAGCAAAAGTCCGAAATTATTACGCCTTAGCACTATAAGTGATATAATATTATTATCACACGCCCCATGTGCACTTGTCAAAACCACGTTTATAAAAACTTAACATACACAAATAGCACCAAAATGTATTATTAGCTTGAAGCCTAAGTATTTTTATTGTTATAATTATTTCCTGTATCATTTTTAACGGTATTACACGTTTTATGTTAGTAAGAATTTACAAATTAAAAAGCGTGTAAGAATATAAAAATTATTATAAATATATTGGACAAATATTCCAAATAATTCGAGGGAACTTAAATCCCTGTAATATAAAACTAATAAATATTATGTATACACAATTTTCACTTGCTAAGGTCTTGATTTTAAGGGGCCAAAACCCTCGATATTCTCATCACTTTAATGAGTATGCAAAACTTATAGTCAATTTACGTTTAATACCAAGAACAAACAAAATTTTCAATAACATGAACCTATTTCATTTATTATGAATATTATTAATGCTGTCATTTCGACCATGATGTCCGTGTGAAATCCTCAGAAATAGGAATGCAAAACACTGGTTTGGTTAGATAAATTCTGGAATTAACTCATGCAGTAGGTACCTAAAAAATCGGATTTATCAACTGATTGTATACTTTGAAAACGTACAGAAATTTCCAGTAATTCTCTCCATTATTGTTTTTTGATTTTTAAGTTAACTCGATAGCCAAGGAGAAAAACACGACTAATGCTATTTTACTCACAATTGTTTTTCGTTGCAAACAATTTTTGTCAAATTTTGTATAAACTAAATTACTTTGAATATACCACCATTCCAAGAATCAAATTACAACAGTGATGGTCTTCCGGTCAGCAGTATAAACTTTTTTTAAATTATAATTAAAATCAATTTTTTCTGCGTAACAAAGGAAAGCAAAACCATCGAAAAAAATAAAATAATTTAATGTACAAAATTCGAAAAGTGTGAGCTACCTTTTGGATCATTTTCACGCCGAAATTTCGGTTGAAAAATATAAATCATGCGACATTAAACTCCATAGAAATTGCTTCGCGTTTTTTATAAATAATAATATAAAAGATAAATAATATCGTCCGCTTTCGCCGTGGAATGGCATTCCTATAGGGCGAGCAGAACGTAAAAGATATTATTATTATTATTACTATTTTTTTTTTTTTTTTTTAAGCCATTAAATCACCCTAATCCTGTTTTGGAACGTAAACACTCATGCCGAGACAATACGCTTTGCATATTTAACGCAAGTACGATTATAGAGTAGTAGTATTACAAATTCGACACTTATTTATTATATCGTCGTGTTCGATGAATGTCGGACCACGCTAAATCTCACTTTTAAATTAAAAACTTATCGATGTGTTAATACCACTGGTGTACATAATACTGCACTCTGCAGCTGTTTTCGGTATTATTTAGCGAATTAATTGATTTAATTTATAATTGTTTTTAGATTTTGAGTGAATCGAGAAATGTATTGGGTATAGTAAATATGCTGTGTTTTTTATTCTTTTATGCCTTTAACAATTTTTCTTCCAGAAATATTTATGCGATATAATACTATATAGAAACAATCAAACTGGTGCATTTTTTTATCTTGTTGATGCATTAATGAAAAGTTCATTTTTTGATTTCCGTTCCATTTTTCTTAATAATTTGAATAAAATGTCAATTTTTTTTATAGCTCTTGTTGATTTTTAGGTTATCTTGGAAACAAAAGAAAAAACCACTATTAATTATAATAAAAATGTGCTCAGAATTGTTTTTCTTTAGCGTTACGTTCTGATATAAATTAAAATACTATATATATATATATATATGTTACAGTTAAAACCCGAAATCTGCCGAAACTATTTTCCACAAATCCCTTTAATCAATTCTAGTTTTGACTAGTTGAAACTAGAATTAACTAAGACCTTCAATGATAAAACTAGGTTTAACTTATTTTTGTTTAGTTAGAACTAATTATGTTTGAAATATATTGCTGAAAACTAGAACTATTTAGTGAAAATCCGTAATTCTGCACTGATGTGAGGAATTTATTGGTTTTACAATGATGTTTATTTTATCTGTAAACAACTTTTATACCAGAAATCTTGCTTTGATTATGAAGTTCGTAGTATCTTTTCTGAAAGAAATTTTTATCTAAATGGTATTTTAAGCGAGTCATTTTTCGATTTTCTAAGCAGTTTTCAAAATAATTGGAAAAACCGGAAAAACACTAAGAAAAACGGGAAGATTTCCAAAATTTATTATTTTCAAAAATCAAGTTACTCAAAAGTTTTCTGAGTATTTTCCGTAAGTATTGTAAATTTTTTATTTTCAATATTTGAATTTTTTTTTCACAAGATATCGAACAATAACTTATAGTGAAATTGCTGTATTTTTAAGTTATAACGATACGTTTAATGTATACAATTCGGCCTCCGTTGATTTTTTTAACTATTTGTATACTTTTTAATCACTGTAGTATATTACTGTGGTATATGTGCATAATTGTATTTTCTTAGACATCTAGCAGTTTGAATTTTGAGATTTCCCATTGGGAAATTGGAACCTTGCCTATTTCCAATGCAGTGACATGCTCAGGAATTTTCAATTGAAGTGGTCATAGAAAACATTAATCATAAATACATTTTAGGGGCTTCTTTTTTACCCAAACACACAGCGAAAATTTCAAAGCTAGATGCAAAATATCAATTTTTATTTAATCTGTCGAGCTTTTCCTCGTAACTTAGCTGAAATGTATGCATTTTAGGATTGCACTACTAAACAAAAACTCATAGTTGTTGTATTAAAAATCTAATTAGAAGGGGTATGGCCTCTAACTTCTCTCTCTATCCACTGCCTATACCAAACACGTTCACGAAATTAAGATTTATACTAGTGCCAGACCAACAAACTATGTTATACTATAAACTAAAATAGCAACCATTGCAACTGTATATTACGAATTAAAACCGAAGTGGCATTTCTCCAGCACAAACTGCAGTATTTATACTGTCTATATTATATATTATTATACTCGTTTATCTTTATTATGTTGAGTTGAAAACGTATATAATGTGTATACCTTGTATTTATTTGCATCTTACGTATTGTAATAATATATACTTTCTAAAATCCATTATACTCGTCCGTCATCATTGACTATACGTTTCATTGACTACATTATATCCTAAAAGCACTCTCATATTCTATACATGGAAACTCTTTTTTGAGCGATCTTTTCTTAAATATGATTACTCCCGTATTGGGTTATTCTTATAAAAAGTCACCGGGTAGTAACTTATGCCGAGTACCCATAACAATAATAATAATAACAATAATGTATCCCAAAAATCATAAAAATAATTCATTCAAACTCGAGTTCAAAAACCACAGTGGGTCTGTCACTCATCAGTTAGCTATTTGAACAGCATTCGACTTTTGCGAACGATTTTATTCTACAACAAAAGTATTGTAATACCAATGATTTTTTTTTAGATTTCCAATAAGATTTTTTTTTGTTTTAATATTCTAAGCAGAGAAAAAAATGTATTGCGTATTTTGACCCGAAAACTTCATCAACTCGTACAAGTTACTTAAACTATTCTGTGCACTGAGAAATAATTTTGTTTTTCTTTTTAATTTTCCTTATAACTGAAGAAGTAACGTCGGTAAATTGAGACAGCCGGTTTTTATCAACCATTGTTTTTTTATTATTTTATTTTGTTTTTCGTGAGAAATAATCTTATAAAATATTGTAGAGAGACCTGGAATTTTCTTCGAAAACTTATTTTAGAATTATCCATGTTTAGCGATTTTCCTCGGCCGAATATTTCGATAGTGACCTTTTTTATGAACCCGGTATATAAATTGACACGTGCCCGTAATGTTTTTTTTTTTTTTATTTATCAATTTTGACGATATTTGTCAGACAAAATGACTAAATAAACAGGTTAAACACTAATGTGCGTATTAATATTGTGATATCTAATGGTTCAAGTCGTCAAAGTTGTCATTTTGACGTTTACTGTCAGCCTAAACGCGTTACGTGTTTTTACACAATCTTGTAAAAGTCTTTTCGATGTTTGCATTTTCTTGAACAGTATACTTCGTCCGTTTTCCGAGTGTGTTTCAATTTTAATTTTAGGGTGTAAAAGCAATCGTGTCTGTTGTTTGTTTTGTTTTTTTTTTTTTTTTTTTTTCATCAAATTCAGTCTGTTTGCATCAGTAAATAGCTATAACGGCTTTAACAATAGTGTAAATACATTATGTAACGTAAAGAATTATGTACGCACAGCGTTATCATCTGAAAGACGAAAATCAATCAGGAAAAATTCCCCTTTTCGAAAGATATTTCCGCAAACATTTCTCACGGACATCAGCAATGTTTGCACAGCAAAGTAGACGTAGTAGGTATATAATATTGTTGTGTTGGGTTTGGGACGGTCCGGGCGGAGAAAAATACAGATAATTAATATGCATATGAACTCGGTTATTCATAATCCCGATTAATATCGGATGTTCGTAATATATCTGAATCATCAGCATAATCGGATAGGGTACCGATGATTCTTTATTAATAGGGTAAACAAAAAGTAAACAACTATATTATTTTGATTTTTATTATTGTTTGTTATTTGTTATTACATCATAATATTTATCTGAAAAAACGGAAAATCAGGATATTACAAATGTCTACCGACTATTCGAATGCAAAACTCGAATTTCGTTTTTTTTTTTTTTTTTTATCCGGATTCCGTGTACCGAAAATCCGGATTTTAAATTTATTAAAAATGTATTTGGATTTTCGAACCCAACACTCTAGATTGTTGTGTTGTTCCAGCGCGGACGGTAACTACGAGGTGACCCTTATGACAAAGGCGACTGTTTTCTTTACGGGGCTTGTATTATGGCAGCCGCCGGCCGTCTACAAGTCCTCGTGCTCCATCGACGTCGAGTTCTTCCCCTATGATGTCCAAACTTGCGTACTGAAACTAGGAAGTTGGACATATGACGGGTTCAAGGTGACTGCCACTGTGCGGGACAAACAACGCATACCTACCTACCGCTTGTTCGACCGCACAATAAAATAACGATAAAACGATATTGTATTAATATATACCTATATAGTAATATAATATGTTTTAGTTTATTATAATATATCGTATACGTGTGGATGTGACTAATTCCAGACATTAAAAAAAAAAAATAACACTACTTAGGAATTTACTACTGAAATTAACTCAGAGTGTCTTTAAACTCCCCTATATTTGTGCTAATGCGTACATGTCACGGATAAATACGTCTACATTTTTAATAAAACGAGGTTAAACGTTTCGAGTGATCCGAAATTTGCCGATTGACGTTATATTTCAAACACTTTTTACTGTTCAAGTTGTTAATATTGTAATATTTTTGTCATAATTGTTGACTGAAAATTTTTAAATGATTCCAAAATATATAATAATATTGTAACCTTTAAATGCACAAATTTGTATTTAATGCGGACAATAATATTTTGAACATGAAATTTCCCTGAAAATAACGGTCGAAATAATAAAAACAATCGCAGCCAAATTCTTTGGACTTTATACGAGCTTTAATCTTAATTTAAACAAAATCCTAACTAAACACGATCAAAATGTTTCGTTACAACTTAATATTGAACAAAAATGAGTGGTCATACTAGGTTTACGACTCGTGCTTAATGAATAGGTGACGTTGAAAGTAACCAAATGTATATCATTGCCCCGTCGCCTTGTGTATCGGAAGTTCAGACTTTAGAACGAAAAAACAAAAATAAAAATCTATCAGCTGATTTAGTATCATTTGTATATTGTTCTATGGTTATACCGAACACTGCGTATATTGTATTTAATTTACAAAATATTATCAGATCTGAAACGAAAAATATACGCACGACTCTTGTACGAGTTATGTGACATTTCTGTTTTTTTTTTTTTTTTTTTTTTTAGTGAGAAAAGTAACGTTAATCGGTCAACAAAAATAAAATAATCAACAATGATTGTTTTTTTACAAACTGTTTTTCCGGCAAATAAAATCCACGTTAAAATTCGATTTATGACGTATTTTACCGTATGTGCATACATAATATATATATATACATATTTATTTATTATTTGTCTGGTTCATTAACGATGTTATTTCGGTGTAATGCCTTTGTATTTTTAAAATAATGTATTGGCCGTTTTACGTAAGGTCGCGAAAAATTGTCCACGCGTCTCCAAAACGTACGGTGAAATCTCTTCAATTATCCCGTGAAACACCGCAGGGGTACCGCGAGATTCTGCAAAATAAAATAAATAATATACGAGTTGGTACGCCCTAAAAAACATGTTATCAACTTGAAATCAAATAAACACCTGCAAGCATCATTGTATTAACAACATTGTTGTACGTATAGCTACTCATAATATTGTTTATATGTTTATCCTTATTGATATCTGTATCCCGCAGAAATTACGTTATTCACGTTTTTTTGCTAATAGACCCAGGCAAATATTATTATCGTTTTTCTATTCAATCGTACTCATGTTTTACAGATACCGATCAAATACAATTTTCAAATAGGATATTTTTTCTAAATCAAAAAAGAATAGTAATTTTTGAAATACCTAATGATTTACAACGACAGTAGTTACTACGTCCGCCATCGGATGGTACTCCGATTATGGTCCAACAGAGTTGGTTTCACTGTACGTGATGGATGTTTTTTTTTTTTTTATGAGCGTGTGCATGTTCACAATACACTAAAGCATAAGTTACGCAACTACCTATACGTCGCATCCATATTTTCACGAATAATGATCGTCCGATTCCATTCCGAATCGTTCCTTAGGTGTATGTGATTTTAAAAGTATGTAATTTTAACCAGAAACCAATACTTAGAAATTGAAAAACTACGCAAATGCAGTCTGTTTGATAATTTTACCTCGGTAAAAGATTTATTGTGGTCTTAGAATATAATATTCGATGACCATATTATAAACTATTATAATCCTTATCAGTTATTTGCTTGCCGGGACAGTATGTGTTTTTACTCTCGATCTCTGGTGGTAATAATAACAAAATGATAAATTATTATTAGAATATTACGTATCGTAATTAGGTGTATGCAATATTCATATTGTTAAAAATAATATACAAACACGCTAGATAATATGTAATAGTTGCATGACCTCAAATAAGTATACCATACAACGATTAGTGTGTACGTTTTTAAACGAAACCTGCATCAATATGAATAGACGACGTTTAATAGGTGGGCGAGTGACAGTAATCATCTAAAATTATAGCACTTTCTGTTGATGATTTTTGAAATTACCTACGCGTGTAAACATTGTTAAAATGTTTATAACGTTTACAATTAATGAACGATCGACTAGAAATTATTACATAAAACGAGGGAAAGCCGTTATCAAGTATGAATCGCGCAGAAATTCCTTCTGGTTTACTTTTTATCACTTCTTAATCGATTTCTCGTTGTTTTCTTATCGTGTGTAATCTCTATGTTTCACTGCTGTTGTAGTAGGTAGATACTTATACGCCTACTTGTTTCCTACCAATTATTATTACTGTTACTCGTATTTCGTCATCAATAATGATTATTATGTTAATAACCGGGGTCTTTAGGTAGTATTATGTAGGCTCCTGCAATATTAGTTAGTAAGTTTATATTATATATTACTGCGGGCATTTTATATGACAGCGTGTATTTTGGAAATATTATGATAGTACGTGCGAGAAATAAATCAACGTTAAAATACGCTCGTGGTTCCTGTGGCTGGATTTTAACAAAAGATAGGTAGTAATATGGCTGAGGTGACAAAAGTTATCAAATTCGGTGTACGTGTAGGACGTTTTAAAATTAACAACATTTACAAAACTACCGTGCAATAAGTTGGAATGTTTATATTTTCGTTTTTTCCCCGGCTATAAAAATATACCGTATCTGCCCGGTTGATGTTTTAATAACTTTTTGTGCACACGGAGTTGATAAAGAATCCACCGCATGTCTTGTATATAATAATTACAGAAGAAATTAGTGTACAGCCATACACGTAAATTGAAAAAATAATTTCTGGGGCTTCGAATTTGTTGACTATTAATTTGATAAACTCCCCTCTCCCTTAATGAAATATGCGGTTACGATATTGATCCGGGAAATTAACGAGAAATTCTGTAGGAGACACACTATGACGAAGTATACTCCTGTTGACGGAGATCGGGAGAGACTTAAGTGAGCTTCGCTCCCTTTAAAAATATTTTTAGAATGGCAAGCTGTACAACATGAAATATACAATTTTCTCAAAAAAATCTCACGAATTCATCTTATATTCTTCTTTGGAATAAAATATAAAAATACAATATTCACTTTTTCTCCCTCGTTTCTTCTTTAACCTTTTTGGGATCGGTCATCTCGGTCCTTACCTTTCATTTTAAACTGACTCCTATATCGTGTTTATACATCCCAGTAGTCATTATATCACTCCCAATTTATTTTTGGCTTTCCTACTCCATTCGTTTCACATTCACATTTCGTTGATAAAACTACTCCTACAGCATTATCTACCGAATATTCCGTTCTTACAATATATCCGAACCACGACATTCGTTACCCTATTTTTAATCCATAGCTTATTCATCCTCTCAAGTTATTTATTTAAGCCCTCTAATCTATACTATACTCAAATTGTATTCCGTTTTTCTTGTCTATTGCCAAATATTGTTCACCGCATACCATCGCCGATTTCACCAATTTTTGGTAACATTTAATTTTCAGCCGTTGGCTTTTTGTGCTGTTTCGTGTTGAATCATACCTTATTCATTCTATTATGTACCGAATTATTATAGTTTCAAGGTTTCGCCTTATCCCGAACGAGTTAATTGAACAAATTTTAGTCAATGACATTTAACAACGATGTATAGGTACAATATGAAATATGGAGATTACGCGATTCTTGGCGAAATTAACAAAATAACGATATTTCGTAAAATGGTTGCGACGTATAGGTATTGCAGGTGTGGGCGACCGGTTTAACGATTTACATATCATTTTTATTTAAACCCCTCGTACATCAGTTAATATCAAACGGACGATAAACATAATATTTTCCTCACATTTGTATATACATGTATATATATTATTATTTACGTATAAATTATCGACCGCGTGGTTTGATCGGTAGAATTTTCGCTTGCCGCGCATAATAATATACCGTATAACGATGTCAACGATATAATAATAACACTGATGTTATAGTGTTATAATATTGTTCTTCGGCCAGCTTTTGTAGCGCATAATAATATTATAACGAACATAGGTAGTGGTGTGTGTGTATGTGTGTGCTGCACGTGTAGTGCGTTGTTTTTTTTTTTTTTTTTAGACATATTGTAATATAATATACTTAGATGAGAATTAACGACAAGACGTATTACATCCGATTAAAAGTCGGCTAAACCACGCGCTTTACGTTATAATATTTCTCTATCTGGTTCGGGGAATGATATAATTTTCATTTTTTTTGTTGATTGATATTGTATATTGATTTGGTGAACGCGCGATACCGTTGAAAGTCAAATAAGACGACTTTACCGGCAAAAAATAAAACAAGCTACCTCTTCCCCCCATACTCCCCGTTTTATTGGGTTCGAGTTCCCTTTTCGAATTTTTTTTTTTTTTCTGTCCCCCAGTGCATTGGTCCGAAAGTGTAAATTTCCCTACGATTTGTTTTGTAAATTCATAATCAGGACGGTTATAGATTAAGATGCCTTCTAACTATACTTAGGTTACGTGTTTTAACAATAAGGTCTAGTTGACGTATTTTTAAAAGCCAAAACAAACAGTGTAAACATGGAATTGGCAATTTATTCATTTGTCAACAATCATGTATAGTTCGTAAATGTGTGGAAAAAAGAAAAAGCAAAGAAGAAAAATCGGTCATCGTGCTGTAAGACCCACAAATCTAATAAAAATAAAATAAGTTCTATTTTTGCTACCATGCGATTTCCGTTTCCGAAATTTCCTTTCCACAGCAGTAATGGTCTCGAAATTATACGATATTGTATTATTGCCGGACTTGAGTTATTCAATAACCATTATATTATATAAATATTATTTTTGGCTTGTACAAATAATATTTCGAATCGTACTTACATAAAAAATTCCCGAGAAATCCGGGAAAATGTTTCTATTAATATATTCGTGCGTATATACGCCGGGTGATTCCTTTTCCCATAATTTATCCCCTCGTGGATTTATTTAGAATTTATACTTATTTATTCGTCTACCACGACGACGACGACGACGACGACGTAAACAGTGAACCCTACGCTCTACACTCGACTTTTGCGAGGACGTCACTATTAATATTGATTTTGCGCAAGTTTACGTGCGCTACATACTGTATATTTATGTAATAATAAACATTCTCCGAAATTTACTGAACATTTGTCATTTAATGCTATTTCAAAACTTGCCAGCAATGTGTACATTTTGGAACGGACAAAGTCGAAATAGGACCGACCCAGTTGTGACTAACATCACTTGGGCACAACCCGAGCGTCTATCAATTCGAATATTTCACAGTAAAATGTTAAAGACGATTCATATGTATATATATATATAGGCTACGATAAACACTATTTTACAAGTATAATTTATTCTGATTAAGTTAGATATGTATAAATAGATAGTTAAGTTTAAAAATTACAAAAAAAAAAAAAAAATCATTTATTTTATACGGATAATTAACGTATTTGTTTAGGTATACCAAATCAATTCGTTGATTTGTTATTATATGTATCAGAACCGTTGCATTCCGAACTACGAACAATATTTTGTTGTTAAATTTGAATCTCCTCGTACGCGTTTGAATTTTACTGAACGAAAAACGAGTCCTTGTCCGGGTTAAGAGATTTTAAATACTTACCGTCAGTAATTCGGCAAACATTTTGACATTATCAATGTTGGCCGTTCTTGCTATACACTATATTAAGTCATACTACATTTTTAGTTGAATACTTTTTAATTTAATTTTGTGGTACCCACGACCTTTTCTCTTCTCGCGATTACCGCGGAACGTCATTTTTAGAGGGAAAGAAAACTGTTACGCTCCCGTAATCTTCAACATTATAATAGGTACGCAGTATAATTGAAACATAATACTGAATTCTCGTGAATTAATCGTAAAATAAAGCTGACCGTATTAGAGTATAAATTACCGCGCACTAAACAAAAATATTGCACGCGCCCGGTAAATCACGAACCCGAGATATATTATAAAATTATGTTACTACGTGAAACTAAAGCTGGGCGAGTTCCCCATTTATTTTAAACTAGGTTAAATTAAGTTATCGTACGAAAATAATTATAAAGTAAAAGTAATTTTTAAAATGTAAATTAATTTAAATATGTAACTAAGATTAGTCGAAAAAAAAACTATAGTTACCGTGATAGGTTATGAACGAAATAATTTTATTTTTATTTCATTTTCCGTTATTAATTATTATTATTTATTTTAAAACGTGTCCGTATAAAACACTGTCCGGCTTTGACGGTATGCTCGTTTGGCCCTCAGGACCCAACGAGCCGCATCATTGACCATAATAATTATTATCCAATTCGTTTTGTACCGCGGATGAGGATTATTTGTCGTTCGACATTATCGCCCCGCGTATTTACTTCTTGACGTGACCCGAAACTGCGGCCGTCACGCTCATTTTCCAAAGAATTTCTCCCTCTCTCTATATACACACATATATATATATAATAGTATTATACGTATACTCTCGGTTTCTAAACTGTCCGTTAATCGCGGTCGGAACTGTGACGAGGAATTAATATTACCGAGATTATCGTGTTTCGGAAAACGCTTATACGGTGCCATCGGCGACACTCTGAGTCGTATATAAGCGGCCACGCGTAAACCACGTGGCACAAAGTACGCATTTCGTTACCTAATACTTTAATAACGACGACGACTTAATGGAGATCGTTACGGAAAATTGAACGTGTAATATTCATTGGGACGCGAAAAAAAAAAAAAAAAGATTAACCGTCTAAATCGTTTGGGCGAAAAATTAACTCTGATTGTCCGGACGAATAATGTGCAGTGCATGCGCGTCGCGTAGGCTGCGAGCCTTGATCGCGTCATAAAATCAAAAAAAAAAAAAAAAATATATACATAATGAAAATAAATCGTGATAACATTACATTTTCGTTTGTCGGCATTCGATTTTGGGACACGTTTATAAGAAAAATTTAAAATTAAAACTAAAAATATAATAACATTAATGTTAACCTAGACGGCGCTTGTGAATTCGCCCAAACGGTTTAAATAATTTTATGATATTCGTTTCAACGAAAACCTCCCGGAAAAATTAAATATTGTGAATGCGGTCGGTGAAATTAATGCGGACATAACGCGAACGGGTACACGTATGTAAAATAGCTTTTTTTTCGACACGATTTAACACATTTGTCGGAGTATCAAAGGAGCAGTAGAATATACAACAACAATAAAAAAAAAAAAATAAATAAATAAATAAATAATGAAACCCTTATACTGCAGTATAGGTAGTATACACGATTCTAAAGAATTAAGTATTCTGCGATGTTGTCGTTGACGATTTTCTTATCAATTACCTATATTTCGTCAGAAAATATTATTATTGTCCATCATTATTGTCCGAACAAATAATTACTATAAACTGCTGTTAAAGCGGCTCTAAGTAGTTTATTTCCACACATTTAATCATGAATGAAGTGGAGTAAAATAAATACGTTTCTAGCAAACCAATTTCTGTTTTCAAAAACTATTTGACTTTTTTCATTGTTTTCTGTTTTGTAGAAACGATATTTTCATTTTCGTTGTAATAGCATTATGCACGAGTTTATTTTAAGAATAGAAATAGACTCATCATATATTTTAACTTAAGTGACTAAATAAAAAAACGAATAAACGTTTTCTATTAAACAGACAACAAATCAAAAAATTCAAATATGTTTTCAAAATTTAAACAGTGTAAGCGATAGTGGGTGAATTTTATTTGTCTACATTTTCAACGCTTTAAACTTAAAAACGTAATATTTGTTTAAAAAAAAAAAAACGATCGCACCATTTCCTATTAAATTAATATCGGTCAATAAATTTTTGGACTAAAAATAGCAAAATGTATACTTAAAATATTATTCTCTTAAAATGTGCGAAATTATTTTAGGTATGTATAGATAGAAATTCAAAGTCATCAAACGCATTTTAGTCCAACAAACATGTAAAAGCGTATAGAAATAAAATGTATTAAGTATAATAAATATTATATATTATACGCGTTAATTTTGGACACTTATAGCGGCTCTCTATAGACCGAATAATTTTTTTAAAAAAAAAGAAGAGAAATCGGATTTGTTTTACAGACAGATTAAAATGATGCAATTTTGAATTTCGTAATAAAATTTACCATATTATTGTTGCGTCAGCAAATCGTTTTTTAGATTTGTACATTCATGCAGACCACCCAAATGAAATTGAAGAATTAAGGAATTAAGTTTATACATGCACTGTGTAAGTATCAAGGATGTATATTTGGGGATTTCAACTTTCAACCTTCTCCTCGAAAATTTATAATCTCAAATTTTTTATATTTTCATAAGAAAAACAGTGTTTTAATTACCAAATCATACAAATAAAATATAATAAATCTCTAGCAACCATAAATATTTTAGATCACTTATGAAACAGAATTTGAAATATTTTAACGGCAATTAGTCGGATGGAAGATTTTTCGATTCTAGTAACGTGCTCGGGTGTTTTTTTCTTTTAAGATAATTTATTATGTTCATAGAGTTAACCGTGTGTATTGTATATATTGTATAATTATTAAACTATTATTAAGCTTCTTATTTTGTTTTTTTGAGTGTGTAACATGGTTTGTTCGTCTATTACGTACGTAGCTGTTGTGTTTAGTAAATATTTTATTTTTAGCAGTAATTTAGTCTAATAAATTATATATTTTACAAGTAGTACTGCATGCAATAATAAAACGCTTTTTTTGTAGTTATTATTTTAGTGTACCTAAATATTTTTTGGACTGTAATTTTTTTTTTTTTTTTTTGTTGTTGTTTTGTGTACCCGGTACTTAGGTACTTCACTATATCACCTATACATATTTTAATCGTTAAAATATAGATAGAGCTATGGACAGGACGTGTCTCATCGGAACTATAATATTTTGTTTTTCTGAAAAAGAAAAATGTATATCCGATTGTTATTGTTTTTTTTCTTTTTCTCGCTTCAATTATCTACATATTGTTAACAGCCCAAAAACGAATAAAATACTTAGGTACTTGAAAATATCAAAACAAATAATAATATTTGTATCCTCTAGGTACTACGCGTAGTATAAGTAATAATGATAATAATAATAATAAAATACGGCAAAACGTTATTCGGGTTCTAAAGGAAAAGGACAAAACAAATTCGAGTTTTCCAATAGGTTTACATACGTATATATAGGTAGGTAGGTACTTCCTGCTGTTAAATGGCGCGTATGTATTATGGCTTCCCGCGAAGATGTCTCATCGTGATTTATGGAACCGCGTAACGGCATAAATTTCGTTTCTACGTTTCCGATTGTCCGAGAGAACGGTGAGCGATATTGACGGAGGCACGAGCATCAGTCGTATTGTACTTCGCTATTGCTTTCGCGGTAAGTATAGGTACGTATCTATACCGTCGATACATTACTTTTCCCCCTCCCCCCCCCCGTCATCGAATGCATATAACGTCCGTATACATCTTTATCCCCAGATGACGTGCTTGCAGCGGCACACAAATGAAGGTTTATCGTGGTAGATATACAGGGATACGCCACAGTCAAAACCGATCATAATAATAATAATAATATATTAATGTCACGTCTTCCGGGCAGTGGAATTGCTTTTTTCGCCACCGGTCAAACGACGGGTGACATGTTCAAAAGATCGTTTACCGAGCGCGCAAATACGCGTCTGTATACAGGGTGGTTATTTTATCGTGAACCAGGAATTATTTATAATGCCACGCGTACATACGTGGAGGTGTGTTCAAAATGTTCCCAGACTGTTTGAAATGCGCGCCAACGGAGCTTTGCGAAACAGTAGGACCGGTATCACTTGTGTGACCCATGAACACAATATTCGTTTTTGTAGACTTTCTATAACCCTCGTAGTTTTGATTTAACGGGTGTTTTTGAGAAACATGGTTTTGTCTATGACGATTTTGTAATTAACCCAAAATAAGAGCAACCAAACGAGCTATTTAGGGTTTAGCGAAGATTTTTCTTTAATTTTGATAATCGCGTAATGATACAGGCAATGTCTATTATCATGATGATAATTTCAAAAGTGTGTATTATCATTTATCAAGGTCAAAAAAGTTCTTGAAAAACCTGTACTTGGATTGGTTTATGATCCTTGATGGACTTTGCTGTTATTCGGCACATCTACAGTGTTTCCATTAAATTTTTTTAACATGAGCCATGTAAAGTTTTCCATTTTTCTACTTAATAAAGATTTTGTCATCAGAATAAAAAATAATTTCCAGCCTATCAAATAGCTCTTATTTTAGATTCACTTCAAAGTTTCTAACACACGATAAAGATATTTTACTGAAATTCCGGTTACGTAAAAACGAAAATTATAGAGAATAAACAGTTATATATACATAAAGAGTTATACTCAAGAAAAGCCAATGATATTAATCCCATTCGTCAACTGAACATCAGTTGGCGTGCGAATAAAAAAATTCGGGAAATTTTTGAATACAACTCGTACGTTGGACTTAAATTGGTCAAAAATTAGAAGAGCAACGCAAAAATGTTAAAATAAAAATGTACTTCCCTTGGGATTTAAGTTTCTGAATTCCATTATTATATAATATGTCCATAGTCACCATTCAGGATAAGGAATAGGGGTGGGGGTGTCAAACTTGAAATTCTAGACCACACTGAATCGGAAATTTGACGATAATTTAATTTGAATTAGGCGAAACTAATAATTTCTATTTATTTTTTTTTTTTCTATTAATTATTATTACCTTTTTTTTATTTTCAAATGTATTTTTTATGTAACAAAAGAGTAAAAATATTTTTTTTAAAGTCAGTCATTTTGGCAATATTGGAATCAACAAATTTTTAATCATATTCTTTCATCGATTTTTGTTAACGCAAAGTCAGTTCCATATCGGTATGATAAATTATAACGCTATTTATTCGAAAAAAAGGAACGTATGTCCCTTCGCCTATCTGCAATTCAAGGACTGCATAAACGATTTCGTTTAAATTTAATCTCGGCTTTTTGTAATAATTTATAAAATTGTCTTCATGATCTCTTACAATATTTTTAAAATCATCGCCTTTTTTTCTGTTTAAGACGAGCATATCGATTATGTATCGATTTTCAAATAACAACTCGCATTTGTAACAGAATCCTCACGAGCCTAAATGTTAAGTATAATGCAACTTTTAACCTTTTAATTTTCACTAAATAAACTTAATAACTAATGGGTTTATTTTAAATTATATCACATTAAGTTAATTTCAATATCGTTTAATTTTAACACATTATTTAGTATTTTCGATCAATAACATGTGCAGAATTACGAGTTTGAAATAAGTGTGATTTAATATTCCCAAAACAAACCTACAGCTGTGTTTGATGTTAATCGTGAATGTTTTCAAACAATAACAAAATGTATGCATTAAACGTTTTAACTGTGGGTCATGACAATTTTACAAAAACAAAAATCTATAATTACTTAGACTAATAAGTTAATTAAATTTTCAAATTAACTTTATTAATACAAATATGATATTTTAATGTCTTGACTCTTTAGCTCTTTTTTTTTTTTTTTAATTAACCTAATCAAGTTTATATTATTTATTAATTCGCCTGGGTTCTGTTTTTAAATTCTTGCAGTTTCCAAAAAAGAATTTTCGTATAAATTCGTGATTACACAATCACCCTGTATGAATATTATTAGACACAGTACTTAGACACATGCACAAACGTGAATATATTTCCTATGTTATAATCGTAAAGTGCAAAACAGCATATAGGTAATACAATATTAAACGCGTAGGTAATGTCCCGCAGGTTGGTATGAAAACACTTTGGACCATTAAAAAGCAATTCAATTATTTAACTTACAACGCGATATCAAACGGTCTTGGTGTAGTTGTTTTTTTTATAGTTTTTTTTTTTCCTATCAACTCTATTCGCGTTTTTGAAACAAACAGTCCACTTCAAGTGTACACTACAACTGCATCGTAACGGGGGCAAGACACTCGGAAAATCGTTAATCGTTTTCCGTACAGAAATGTTATTGCGGTATAACATACTAGTAGGATACTGCATATTATATACGAGTACTTGTTTCATTTTAATTTTTTTCCAATGGGATTTAGTTCATAAAAACAACCCACTACAATCATTATTAAAATTAAATGTTTAATATATGCCTACCGATGTTATTATGCGCAATAAATCGAATTCAAACGAAATATTCCCTCGATCGCCCTTTAAAATACGTCCGGCAAAACCTATGCATTTACATATAATAAATTATTACCCTTTGACAAAAACAATACCTACCTACTCTAGATTTTGCGCAATATCCAATGTACACAACACTGACGGATACATTTTTACGGCGCCCTCTATGGTGGGCAAAATCACTTATTTAGATGTGCACCTATATGAACAAATTTAATACAAATTATTATTATTAGGGAGCTTTTAGTAAATAATATAAAATTTTTGAATGGCCCCGTAACCGCATTCTCATAAATTCGCCCTGCATCCCCCCTCCTCCTAACATATATTTAAGTCGTATTTTATGGTTATCATATTATTATTGTTTAACAACACGTCAGTACGCAATAGCACAAAAACCGCTTTTACAAGACAATACGATATTTTGTTTTACATTGAAAACCATTTAACATTTTCACACAAAACACATTTCTTTTTTTATTTTAATGACCTATATTTTATTGTCTTTTCAGTTCATAATATTATTTGTCCCCGATGTAGCACGTCCGTAGCTCTTCTTTATTCCATTTTCTATTTTTTTTTTCTGATTTATTTATTTTTTTTTCACTGAACCAATGAAAAATTCATAAGATTCGTTTTGCAGGTAGACCTGAGGCACATGGATGAGATACCCGGTTCGAATGTGGTCGAAGTCGGAGTGGATCTCTCAGAATTTTACATGTCGGTCGAATGGGACATACTGGAAGTACCGGCGGTCAGGTAACAACTATACTACTATGCGCTATGTTAAAAATAATAATTGAAAAAGTGTAAACAAATTGTAAAAAAATAAAAATTAAAAATAAAATATAAACCTCATCTTTCGCGAACGCGTCGCCGTGGCTCGGTTTCTCTGAAAGGACTCTCATAAATTATTCAACGTTATGATCCGTTGTGTGTGTGTAGGAGAGGGACTGCTGCCACTTTCGTATAGGTCAAAAACTCTACAGTGTATACTGTATAATATATAGTTATATATGTTTAACGATCAAACGATAAAGAAGAGTTTCTCGTTAAAAAGCGAATGAATTTTTTTTTTTATGTATTACTTTTCTATATAAGGCCGGTTTATATAAATCCACTACTACGGTATTGTTCTAAAACCCTGCGTGAATAGATTTTGTTAAACATAAATTAATACTAAAGTGCACGCGTATGTATAATATAAGGAGAACATGAAAAAAAAAAAAACCAAAAATGTTAAAAACAGGATTTTTCAGTTTTTTTTACATACTTCAAAAATAAAAAAATAAGAAAAAAATAAAGATAGAGAATAATTCATTTTAAAGAGGGTATGCGGTTATTACTATTATTATTATTTTTATATATACATACACAGGTGTATTATAATCTATATGACATGGGTACTTAAAACTTTTTCAAGGATCGCGGCTAACTTAGATTTTGCCTCTCGAATATATAATATTATTATTTTTTAATTTGAATAAAAACATTATTTGTAATAATATACGTGTAATAGATAGGTAGATTAAAATGAACATCACATTAAAAAGAAAAAAAAATATACTCTATTTTATACTCTGTGTATTTGGAGGGCCTGAAAAATAAGAAACAAAATAAATTTACAAACGAAAATCTTCCAGAATTAGTATTTTTATTCTGAACATTCGGAGTTTAGCAAGAAATGTAATGCTTTTATTAAGATGGATGCGATTTTTTTTTTGTGGCCGGCTGATTTTCTATCTGAAATCTTTTTTTAATCAAAACATAACAATGAAGCTTTTAGTAGAACTTAAAATCTAAATAGCACACTGTAGAGATGATTTCCTGATTTTTCGTGTCATTTTTATTATGGTTTTGAAAATCCGGGAAAAATTAATATAGGAAAAAATGTACAGAAATAAAAGTTTCATTATTCCGATTTTACATTAGTACTGAAAATCTGACTTCGAATTTTAACACTTTCATTGGTAAGTACCAAAATCACAAAAACTTGTCCTGTGCCGAAGATTTTCGAAATAATTAAAACATTTAAAGTGATTTAAAATATAACACATAGAGAAATATATAATTTATAATATCTTTTTTAATATGTGTGACATCACAATTCTGAAAATACCGTTGAATTCAGGAGGACGTGTAGATCATATCACAGCCGATAACAAATCTCCCGCTTTATTTTGTACAAGTTAAATTTGATTGCCCGCATATATGCATGCATAACACATACGGAACGTTTTTGTTGCCCGCAAACATATAGTTAATTTAGTACACATAGATGGCCATTTTTAATTTTCTTAATAATTGGGAAATAATAGAGAACACTGGAAAGTTTACGGAAATAGCGGCTTTAGAATTTTCGATTTTGTTTTTTCTATTGTAATTCGGTTAGAAATAATCGAAGGCACCTGTTAATATACCACATATTAATATTAGTTTCTTCTTGATGTGGTAAAATGTTCAAAAAATCCTGTCAAATGTTGAGGTATTTACAAATATTTATCATTTGTCAGTTATTTTAAAATAATTATTTGGTTTTATGTGGATAAAACAGCTTTGGCGAAGTACCGGTAATTTTGCACATGGTTCGTAATAAGTTTAACAAGTGGAAAACAAAAAAATTGATCATATTGTAGTAGTTTTTTTTTTTTTTTAAGAGTTTTATGATTTCAAAACATATTCAACCGAAATTCGTCCGGAGTCTTCTTTTGTTTGCAAAGATCTATTCGCACAACAACGGCCTATAAATTAAATAACTTTATGTATTCTATCTTTCAAATTTTTCACCTACAGCAATACCACACCCGTCAGCAGTGTTAGATATTTTTTTGTATATTTATACAGGTTGATTCACTAAGCGTGCTCAACTCATTTTTGTGGTTAAATTTTGCATGGAGTTGAAATAGGGGAATAGTAATAGAGCATTAATATAGTGCCGCGTACCGTGCCGCTACACAAATGATACTCCGCTACTCTCTCCCTAACAAAAGTTAAAAGTGAAGTATCTCGTTAACGGGTCGACGGATACCATAAATTCTAACACCAAAAGTTATTTAAAATTTAACGTCATCTATTTATGGAATTTTAAATATAGGTTCTCGTTTGAAAAACCAAAGTTGGCATCGCCACAGGATACTCTTCAAATGTAATGGAAAATCTATGTATTCAAAAATATCGGCTTTATTACACTTGGAAATTCCAAAAATTTAGAATTTGGCATTTGGCTGTACGCAACTTTTTACCAAAAAAAAAAAAAAATGGGGTGAGCATGCTTAGTGAATCACATACATTATACATGTATTTATTTCAGATTATGAACTACTAACACCCTCGTTGCATTAAATTTGCGTATAGAATATTGATAACTTTCAGGTTATTTGCAGGTAGGTATTTAACAGAAATTTTACTATAGACAAGTTAATTTTTGAATTTAGAACTCTATTATATATATAAAATAAATTGTACCATCGATTATATTCTACATAATAATAGCCGCGTATTGTATGCATTCGCGCATTCCCATCACACGAGATAAGAAAATGAATAATATGAAACTCACGATGCCGTATTTTCTCTCCGCTGTCTTTTACACAATACCTAAATAATATAACTTCATTCCGGTCCGTTGAATTTCGTATCTCGTGAAAACTTGAAAAAACAAAATAATATATCTTTGGTATCAAGGATGAAGGCCTTAAGTCAATTGTCGGCATTTGTTTTATTTTATATAATTTAGTCTTTTGTTAATTGTTTCCCTTTATATTTTGGTTAAAATGGTCTAAATATATATTCTAACCAATATTTTACTGAAATTGAATAGTCCTTAATCATTATGATGAATTTTTTCGTTTGGCGAAAAAGACTTAAGTAATATAATGACTTGAATTTTACGAATTAAGCCCTTTAGAATAATCATTTAAGTTAGGCCATTTGGCGGTTTAGAAGTTAAACAATTGACATAATACAATTTTAAAAGGGAAGAAAGAAAAAAAAACATCTTAGTAAAATCAATAGCTCCTTCAATACGCTCGGAATCTAAAATTGAATTTGGTTGTATTGGAAATTATACAATATTGACTTGATTTCCTTTTTTCCAGGTCCAAAAATGTATTATGATAATATTGAATTAGCAAAAACGATAATTATTACTGGATATATATATATTAAAATACTGAGTGCATTATTATGGCTGGCGACTGAATGTCGACGAAAATAAAATCGGTAAAAAAAGTGCCTACCTACATAAATTATATCTACTATGCTACTTGCTATACCTACCAAAAAAAAAAAAAAAAGATCATTATTTCTCCCTAGTATACTTGCTTTTTATTAGATGGTATTCATTTTCGAGTGTTTGTCAAGAAATCAATTAATGCAACTCTTTAAAGCGCTAACACGCGATTTGCATATTAGTATGAAATATTATTGATATCTGATCTGACAAACGTGCATAGTGATTATTTTATAACGAACCAGCGATTTGATGTATGGCAATTTTCGAGTAGGTAAATTTGATTTTGTTTTTTTTAGTCATTATATTATGGATATCGTTACAGATATATTAAGCAACTAAATGAACTAGAGTTAAATCCGTTGTTTGACAGTCAAAAAGTCAAATTTTATTGATCAACCCATGAAATATCGATTGTTGTTTACATGATTGTATTAATATCAATACACGTATTTAAAACAAAATTCCTGTATTGGTATGTTTCTTTAAAAATACTTTATCGGTGAGTAAAAATGCTCCGAATTAATCGCACTGTATCATGAAAATTCCGCTTTGCGGTTCTTAATTAGAAACAGGTTTTATCAGAAATAAAAAATAAAAAAACCAATAGTTATCGTTACGTTTATTTTTGTTGATTTCTGGGTTACGTTGACAGGGCGCCCCGAGTCAAAAACCTTTCGAAAGCATTGATTTATTCCAAATCATATACATAACTGGTTCAACCCTTTTTTCTCATATTAGACACTTTCCCCGAAAATATCGGGTCAAATATCGGTTTTTGACAAAAACCTCGATATCAAATGGCTCTTCCAATATTCTCAATACCAGGTGGTATACGCGATACCGGCTATTGTCGGTACTCACCGGCAGTTTGTATGTAATCGGTCATTACTAATAACTAACGAGAGTACAATTTTGAAAATAATATATGGGTACACTATATATGTGTTCACCTATACATCAAACGACTGAATAAACACAGATCAAATCTGCTCGAAATAATCGTAAGTTAATCGTTACGGTATACCTGTATTGTGTATTCACGATTAACGATCGCCCCGTACTCTACTTTAATATTACCGGGTACGGATATTTTCGAATCGATGTGATAAACCGACGATAATATTTTCTACGTACACTGTATAATAGGTACCTACGGTTGTAATTCACACACGCGCCTTTCGGAATTTACTATAACGTATAATATAGGCTATTGTGCGCGCGAAAACCCTCCGGTGCATATAAATCGTGACGATATAATATATATATGTATACATATACACGTATTTTTTTTATTATTTTTTTTTTTCCAGTAACCCACCGCCTGCACCATGTGTGTTGTAATCGGTGGCGATAAATAATACCGCGCGATAATATTATATTTCGGGTGGAAACGGGGGAAAAAAAAAAAAATACGGCCCAAGTCGACCGAGAACAGTTTCACGCGCACGCGCGTCCGTTTTTTGAAAAAACAACGTTTTGCGACTGCGAAACGAACAAACAAACAAAAAAAAAAAACCCGCGATCAAATCCGAGGACGTCTCGGACGATAAACCGAAATCTAGCCGTATAAAACACCCTACCGACTGCCGTTATACTGAAATATTACATTGTATTCTAATATACGTGTCGTATACAGTCGAATAGTATTATAATACTCATCGCGACATTGCTCATACATAATATTATGTGCACGAAAAATCGCGTATGTGAGAATTGTATTTTTATAACAGCCATTCGACCTTCATCCGGAAGAAAATTCTCTGATTTTAGATCCTGAGTGGAGCGAAAAAGCTTACGGTTTTACAAAGATGTTTATTATTTTTGTTCTGTTGCGGACGACTTTTCAACCAGAAATCTTGCTCGGACTTATGTAACAATTATTTTTTTGGAAGGAAATCGGTGTGGGGAGGTACATTAGAGAGGTTTTTTTTTTGATTTTCTAATGAGTTTTCCCAGCAAATGTGAAAAACCGGGAAAAACCACGGGAAAACGATTCTGAGCGAAGTTCGGTTATACGTCGTATCTTTTTTTGTCTTTAAGATTTTCGTCAAAATTTTATATTGAAATTCTATATTACACTTGATTTTTTTTATCACTAAGTCGTACAACTGATAATGAACCTCCTGTTAAACTTTCAAGTATTTTTGTTTGATCCAACGACTTTACCCACAGAGTACCTACCGAATAAAGATTGCTTAAAAAACTCGAAAAAATATAAAAAGTCTAAAAATAGCTTAAAAAATGGCTTTAAACCTTTTGAACATTTTATTATACCTAGAAAAGTAAATATGAGTTTTGTGTTCCAATTTCAAGTTTTTACGAATATATTTAACTGAATAACCACAAAAAAAAACAAAATTTAAAATAATACATTTTCTACATTTTCTTGTTTTTTCCAAATTGCATGAAAAACCCGTAGAACTTCATAAAACGACCTTCCTATTATACTATCTAGATGAAACGTTTGACCTAACCTAACCGCCCGTAGTTAATTGGATAAAAGGGGAGTGTGGGGCAAGTCCAGAGACGTAGTATTCAGCAGATATTAACTAGATTATTGTAGTCACTTGTCTTTTATAGTTTTAAAAAATGTCAAAAATCGTTATTATAATCAAAACCGAACAAAATATGAAGCCATTGTCAGTCTGCTCATAGACAAGTTTTTTTAAGAAGAATGAACGTATTATTTTTTTTTTTAAAACATATACACATTAACAATTATAATCAAGGGCGTGCTTATGAAGTTGGAGGGATAAGAGTGTTACATGATCTTCGTTAAACTTTTTTTTTTTTAATATTAATTCAATTATTCATAACAAATTTCCTGTAATTTTTGTATTGTTATTTTTAGAGTATAAGGAAGAAAATATTGGTTTTATAATGTGTATTATTTTTTTTTATCTGTGAACGACTCATCCACCAAACATATTACTCCGGTTTTCAAATGAAGTAGCTTATCTGAAATAAATTTTATTTTGGTAGTCCACTTTAATATTTATTTGATTTTCCGAGCGTTTTTCTTAATCATTTGAAAAAACTTAGAAAAACTGGAAAGTTTACATACAAAAGAAACTTCGTTTCGAATCATTTTTCGTTAGCAATGGTTTATCGTTTAAAATTGCATTCCCTTTTATATCATACGTTTACAATTTTTCACCCACAAAAGTGGCCCGAAATATGTCCGTCTTTTATTTCTTTTTTTTTATTGATATTTGGTAAGAATATATTCTTTGAAATTGTGAAATTGTATTGTTCGATGGCGTAGATACCGAGTGTTATAACAATTTCTACCTGAAATTACTCTAAACGATTTTATATCCGTGACTAAAGTAACGTTCAGATCACCTTTATTACGAACCCGCCGAACACGTCACCGATTGTAATTATAAAACGGGTCCGAAATTCAGTATTTACATGGTCGTCAGTTCGCGGCGCATTTCTCGCTTACGACTTTAGTACGAGCGCGTAATAAAAAAAAAAATCCCACCCTGAAAATATAACAGTAATAATAATAATATCATAACGATACATCATATTGCGGAAAACAAAAAGTCGACCGTCGCATTATTCTTTTATAATAATATAATATTATATATATAATCCGATAACAGCTTCGGTCCGTGAATCGGGTTTTCGAAATTGGATTACGCCATACTATATACGTATATATATGTACTCCAAACCGTGCATACAAATGAGCTTTTAAACCGCGGGCCTGGATCTATCCTCGTCTCCTCGGCGGCACGCATAATTGAAACACGATATAAAATAAACACGGGACAATGCATTATACGCATTAAAATATTGTCGCACTTATAACGTTCGTTTTCGGGGTATAATACGAATAAAGATTAATGTTTCGTGTGTGTATTGTTGTTGTTTTTTTTCTTTTTTTTAGGAACGAAAAAATCTACCCGTGTTGCGACGAACCGTATTTGGACATAACGTTCAACATCACCATGCGCAGGAAGACGCTGTTCTACACCGTAAACATAATTATACCTTGCATGGGCATATCGTTCCTCACGGTGCTGACTTTCTATTTGCCGTCGGACAGCGGCGAAAAAGTAAGTATATTATTGCTATGTATGTAGTATGAATAAGAAATTTTATCGGTTCTCACGAAAAAAAAAAAAGCTCCCGTCACGGGCACGTAGCTATAACGAGGGGCCTGGGTGGCCTGGCCCACGTCTCGAGTCGTCTTGCACACTTCGTCTGTGTACTTCTTCGTCTGTTTTTTACCAATATTTTCTGTTAAATAAAAAAAAAAATAAAATACAAGTATACTACTTGTAAAACATAAAATTTGAAACTATCCAAGTCATCATGTTGTAGACTTATTGTCTCTTACAGGGTATAAACAAGTGCAGTATAAAGTAAGTAATATTGTTGGGCCAAAAATATATCGGCCTACCTAAGGAAAATTTTCTGGCTACGTGCCTGAAATATTCAACTACCCTATCCCTTACACCTAATTAAATTTGAAATACTATTTGTTTACTTCTTTGGCTCTTTGAAGTTACATCTTTGTATTTCCCTTTCGTCTGTGTTTCGATTAATTATGCAATAGCATTATAATTAATTATAACCAATAGTAGTTTTCGATAATTTTTTATTTTATACAATTATATTTGTTGTCATTATGACAACAAATAAAAACATAAGTCGATTATGGACTGCGAATTCATAAAAATAATTCGACGATTATAAAAATAGTGATATACAGTATAGATGAGTCGTTTTCAACACACAGACGAATTTTGTTATGCGTATATCCTTTGAATGGATGTCTTTAAATGGACGACCGAGGTTTTGTATTAGTTTTGGTTTGTCTATAAAATTTCATAAGGAAATAATATTTTATTGATCACAAGGCGGTGGCAATAAGGATAAAGGAAGGATATTCAGGTACATGTATACTGTATGACATACATGGCGATTATTTTGTCACGGACCAAAAACATATTATATAATCTGTACAAACGTTCATTTTGTGTCAACGTTTACGTTGATTTTATCTTTTCGTTCATTAATCATTTGGCGAATTGGGCAATTTTTAAATGATCTTATTCCCAATATTTTAAAAATGTTACCATTATTTTGTATATCAAAAGGCAAAAACACAATTTAACTATTAGTTTTCAATTACAAATCCTCAATTTTCAACTCAGAATATTTGTTTTCAATATTTTAATAATTAAAATTAAACTTTGAACAGTTTTCAAGTGTTTACACTTTGTAACAGGTCCACATGAGTAGTACGAAATGGTTATAAATTGTATACCTATCTTACATTCTTAACCTTATTATATATTTTAACATTACCTAACATAATCGTATTCAGATCATAATCAGATTCTTAACCTACCATACTTAACTGTCCACCAGTATTCCATATTACTGCAAACTGTTTCCGTATAGATTTTAAACTGAGATCTGTGATAACTCATAAATGGCATACCAATGTTATGCACATGAAAATGCTAAGAAAACTATTCTTTTTTTCAAATGCGAATATTATACGGAAAGTTTGACAAATTTGAAGATTTTAGAAATTTGTATGAAAATTTACATAGCAAAGTATAAGTTAGGTTAGACTTGCCTAAGACTGTCAGGGGCGTCGTATATTTTGTAAAAAAACAAATTCCTCGTGGAAAAAACACTCACGCCCTATACAATAGTTAGATTTTGATATAATATTTATTTTTTACTTTTTGTAGAACGTATGTAACTCAGATTCTCAAAATAAAAATTTCCAAGAAATTGTATTAAGTATTTAATTATTTTTTGGAAAAATTCCAATTTTTGTTATTTATTAACCTTTTTGGTTTTAAATTTTTCAAAATTAAAGACAATTCAAAAAACTGTCTCCGACAGCACTAAGTCAATTTCGTTTAGTTTTCAATACGAGTAAATTTAGTTTTGAAAACACATATTGTCCTACACTTGCTTAAAACTATATACAGTTACGAGTATATCGTTTAGTACAAAAAAAATGGGGGGGGACAAAATTACATAACACATAATTATAAAAAAACAATTTTTCCTCGAGACCAAAGACCGAAGACCTTGATATATACCTTGATAGACGTGGTTTTGACGCAACTGATACACGCGTGTCATCGATCCGGTTACGACGACAACGCTGACAAAAGATTTTATAATATTATTGCGGTCCAAACGGCGACCGGAAAGAGAGAAATGGAAAAAGGAAACGTGACCCAACCCGCGAAATCACTTACGAAAAGTTTCGCATTCGGCCTTAAGTTTTTTAAAACGGCTTGGCTGTTATAACGGTATAATATAAATAGATTGCATTATAATAATAATAAACTATTAAGTGGAGTAAGTTAATTTACGATTTTGTGCGTGTGTCTGTCTGTCCGGTCCGTCTGTATGCGTTTCATCTATCAAACGATTGCAAATTTCGGGATGCAGTTTTCATTGAATAATTTGTTTGGCTATAAAGAAAGTTTCTATCAATTTTCAGTTCAGTCGGTATAAAAAAAAATAATCCCTAAAAAGCCGTTGTTTTGCATATTATATTATACTATTCGTGTGTATATGAATTTATATCAACTAATGATTTGTTTAAACGAAAAAACCACTGTGAACAAAAAAAATGTTCAAAGAATAATATTATTTGTAAGAAAAATGAATTAGTTCTTGATTGTCTTTTGTTTTGTTCAATGAATTGTTAAACCCTGGGAGCTTACGTTTGTTATGTGGATACACTGATTTGTATCTTTTTATTATTATTAGGGGTGGAGGGAAGTGGACCGATGAACAAACCCAAGCTCGATATCGATGGTATCGGTTTGTTTGTTTTATTTTTATTTTTTCCAAAGCAGATATTATTGGAGAAAAATTGTATTAAGTCTTTAAAATATAAAAAAAATCATTACAAAAAAATCGGGTTTTCAGTCTAAATATTGGTCAATTTCCATATCATCTCGTGGTTTTTGAAATCACATATCTACAGATATCCGGTGTCAGCAGCATATTATATCGGAATACCGGTAATAGTGGTACCTGTCAGCCCATCTCAAATTCATTATTAAGTATCGTAAACCGTCGGTGTACACATACGTGCGTACTACGTATCATGTATGCGTGTATAGTATAGTCTGTGAATTTAGGTGACTATTTATATTATTATTTTTTTTTTTTTTAATAAGTCAAGTGTTGTGTTGACTTTCCTTTTGCGTTTATGTTTTCCCTCTCGCTCCATACAACGGATTTGCACAAAACGTCATAATTGTATTATTGTTCTTATTATTTTGTAATACCGTCCACTCTGTACTACTCTGTAAAAACAGAATTCATAGTTGTTCAACGATAAATATTCAAATAAAATATTATTTCAAAAATAAAACCTGCAATCCACGTACAGTAACATAACAAGACTAACAATAATATTATTATTATTTATTTAAAACATTGTATTTATTGTTATAAAAGAAGTAATGACAACGAGTATCTGTTTACAGTATATAATTATTATTATTATTTTGTTTGTACTAAACAATTAAAGTATCAATTATTTCTCGTACAATAATTAAAAAAAAAAATCGTATGATAGTTATATGTACTCGTAAATAAAAAAAAAAAGTTCGTATTGTTAAACACGTAATAGTACACACATATATCGTAAAAATATTTACATTCGACCATCGCATTTTAGTCTGTCACAGATGTTGACCATTTATAAATAATACAAGATTATTATTTTTTTTTTAGTACGAACCAGCTATTATATTTTTTTTATTTTTAGAAAAAATATGCTCTTTTCAAATGTGAGTTTAAAAAATATTGTTTGCAAACTGAAAACCGATAATTGCATGTAGAAAAAGAATATGCTCATGAAAACTATACGAAATTTTAAAATAAATAGCTGGTTGCCAATTAAATTCCTTCTTTTTTAATATTATAAACAGAATTTCTGAGAAATTCTTTTAAAAACCAAAGAAATAAAACAAATTCAATTTGACGTGTAATTTCGTTTCAATGATATCTTTATTGCAGTTATCCATTGTAGCCAAGTAGTAGTTTATAGTTTAAAATAAACAATTTAATTTTTTATTTTATTATTTCATACATTTCACCAAGGTAACTTCGAAATATAATAAATAAAAAAAAATTCAATTTTTCATACTATGCATCGTGTATGTCATCGTGTCTTTAGGGTTTGACATTTTGACATTTTAAAATCCAACTTCCAGAAGCACACAAACCCGTTAATCCGATTCTGTACAAAAAATATTCTTAGATCTCTTCGTACGATAGGTTCAGCTGTGGTTCGCACACACACTGCATCACAAAGACATTGACTTTTCTTATTAGCGATAAGTAACGTCATTAAAACAAATCTTTAACGATTGAAAAAAAAAAACCAAAATTAAATTCAAAACAATTCTTTGTAACAATAATATTTATAATCTATTTGTCTATAAACACAGTAATAATATATTGATAATATTACAAAAAAAAATTAAACATATTGACATTTCCCCAAAAAGCATAACTTGTGATAAGGTACAGTGAGTTTATTGTAAATATATGTAATATCGCTATTTTATGATAAAAGATGATAAGGAAAATAAGGACCTAGCTTATCCAATTTCTAGATTCACAAAGAAAGAAGTTCTAACAAACCAAAAAAATATAAAATAAAATAAGTCAAAAAAATGTTTACTCAAATAGATGATGAAAGTAAGACAAGTAAACACAGCCCTCTCCCCAAATGAAGTCTAAATAATCAACTCAAGTGACAATACATAGATAACAATTATGTTTATTTTGTGTCACGTGAAATGAGACCTTAGTTCTCTCAAAATTAAACTTTGATAGCTTTAAACTAAACGGCTGTTTCGTGTCTGTTTATGAATTAATATTTTAGTTTTGGTATCATAATATTGATTTTCGTAATATTATCACCTGGCGTCGAGTATATTAAATTGAGAAAATTTAAAATATTGTAATTTTTTTCTTTTGTGTTAATTCATATAAACGTCCAATAAAATAACTATGTGACACTATAATATAATAGTACTGCGTAAACCTAAAATGAAGATACGTAATAAATTATTACTTTCTTCAAATTAATGCGAAGGAAGTTGTTAAGATTAACAAATTTTAATTGAAGATGTAATCAGTAATGAGTTGGTTGTTCAGAAAATATAATAACAATGATTAAATGTCTACTCCTGTGCGCATTGTATTCGATACCGTATAACTCGTATACGACTATACTAAACGACGACCAGTCCATTCCTTTAACTCTGGACTAATAATTATCAGAAATGTGAGAACTATAAGTTCATTTTTATTATTACTGTGCGAGGTCCTCAAATAATAATAATAATAATTGTAAATTTAAAAAACCCAACTTTTAATTGCTGATTGAATAGGAGCCAAAAACTGATGAAACTTTACCTGATAGTTCACCTAGGGAGTATAGTTTTATCTAGGGAAATTTCATTAGGAGGAAGGGGTTAAATATCACCACGTCCAATTTTTCGAGTTAAAACCGATGTTCATCGGACACTGTATAAGAATAGAAACTCGCAGATTCAACGGCAGTGGATGGTTTACGAAAATCGATGGACCACGTGATTTATGATAATGTCTCTAGACCTCTGCAGACAAGCCGAGCGATAACTATGCACCACGTCATGTCAGCGTGTATATTAATAAATAGATTATTATGTCGGAAAATGGATTGTCGTGTTATTATTTACCGAAAAATTTCCGGCCCGTTGAGGATAAAACGCGTACACGAGGAATAAAAGGGGAAAATATAAAATAAAATATTTTATCGCTCAACGGCAGTAATTTTATTGTAAAATTATAATGTAGGTACGCTTTTACAGGAATCGTTGTCGTTTTATTGTATGTATAATTAATTTAAACATAGACGCATACGCATTAAACTATGGATCAAAATGCAGTAAAAAAATAAAAAGTTATATCGTTTTTTAGAAAGAAAAAAAAATGTAAACATTGACAAGGTACTCAGGGTTAAAGATTTTTCTAGGCGAGCATTGATTATTGCAGCCAATACCCAACAGAGTATATCATAACAACATTATGTAGTATAAAATACATTGGAAACCTCGATTCAGTTCATGATGAATAATATGCGTGATGCTGTGGTTGCTTACATTGCTGGAAACGCATGCAATCTGAACGGTTTTCTATAAGCTGACGAAGGAGTTCATCATAACTAAGTATATGACTTTATGAAATAATATTCCGCGTTGGATATTTATTACATTATTATATTACATCCGAGAACATGGTGGCAAGAGGATGAGGCAGGATGAGCAGAAATAATAGGAAATAATAACCGTAATTTAGCCGTTTAAAATGATATATAGTAGGTACAGAAAATAACATCGTTTCGTAAAATATGGAAGGAAAACAATATTATTATTTTAAACTCGGCAGTGGCGGATTGAACAGATGAACAATAATATACGTGAGATACCTACGCCCGACCGGTCACAGTTGACATTGGGCAAACAACAAACAATACAATTAACTTTAGAAAAATATATAGGTAGGCACAGGGTACCCGTGTATCATAAATTTAAATAATACACCGTGAATAAAATGTGTTCGATGTTTCTCTTGTTACTTGATGTGCCAATTTTTTATGAACATTAATATACAATATAAAAGCTATGGGTTTTTCATTCCTATAGGTTTAATTCGATTAGAAGTTTTTACTGTTTTAATTTTATCAGTGAATCTATTGCAGAGGTTTTGGTCGTAGGGATGTGCATTGTACGCAATTAAAAACCCTTAGAGACGTCGTCACTAATATTTATTTTCTATATTTGTCTTGCAAGTAATACGGCAATAAAATATGTCCTTATCTCTACGATTAGGACTCATTGGACGAGTTTAAAGCAAAGGAACTTACTATGTATTTTATAGGGAAAGTTATTTAATTTGATTCTAGAATTATAATTTTTATATTTTCATTTTTTCATTCAAAAACGATTACACGCAAATCTTGATAAAAAAAAATCCTACACATGATACCACAATAAATACTCGTCTTTATAAAAAATATAAAATAGGAATATTCTTTCTATAGGTCAAAATTAATTCGCAATTGTAAACATTTGGAATGCCTTTGTTTTTATATAAGTATATTAAGAGAGACAGATGGAAAAAACAATTTTGTAAATGACGTTTAACGTAAAATAACATTGTCTTCCCTCGTTGGATTATATAAAAAACGTCCACTAAATTATTTTTTAAATTGTATGAATATTTTTCATATATTTAATATAATATTTTTATAAGCAATTTTACGTGCGGTTCCCTTAACATAAGATGCCTTCCTGTAAATTTTATAAAAACCGGTGAATTTATATTTTTGACATTTTCGGTTACGGGAAAAACAATGACCCAAGAAGAATGAAATTTATTTGAAATTATTTTCGAATTACAAAGGCTCGCAGTTCATCCGGGTAGTATTATGATTTATTGCGTATTTTCCGCTTGATAATTGATTTCATGGAGTGGTTTTCGTATATCGAAAACAAACATCAAAACGCAATCGACATACAGTGTTCCCGTAACGTCGTTATCGAATTTAAAAATATAAAATTATACGCGGCCCCGTACAAACGATGGTGAATCATAGATTTATATTATCATACGCGATTTATGGGCCGGAAAAAAAAAAAAAAAAAAGTTTACAAACAAATTTTAAGAACTATATAGCGCAAATAGTATTAGAAAGTGGCCGTTGGGCGAACTGCTTCTCGAGTGGAGACACAGATTATTTACGATTATCGTTTCTCGAGTGAAACGTAAAAACGTTAAAAGTTCTCTCGAATAATATTTCCCAAACAATAACAACAATAATATCGTGCAGCCGTATTATAAATACGTATTACCGTACTCTGTAACTGGTTGAGCACAATAACAATACGCCCTCTATAATAATAGCACACGCGTTGGGAATTCGCCGCCAAAGACACGGGACATACGCGTGTTTATAGTGCCGTCGTTGGAAAAACCGTACGGACGGGTTTCGATATAGCAACGACAACGTATACATGATATCGTTATGGTCGCGGCGGCGCGAAACTATACCGAAACGGTTTTTCGACAATATTGTCGGAAACGTATTCCCGAAACTTTTTGCCGTTTCGATAATCCCGCGGGAACGCGATCCCGAATCGGCGGACCGAGTCGGCGGACGGAGGGTGCGCGTGGCTGTCCGGCCCGTGACAGTCGGTCCGCGGGCGGACGGAAACCGACCGAAAATCTGGGATTTTTCCAAGAATAGAAGGGCTTTTCGGTGTCGCGTACGCGGTTTTCGTTCTTTATAATATTACGTTCGTTTATTTCGTACGGGTCGGAACCGCAATACGAAATAATATAATATTATAATACTGTATAATTTAATATAAAAAAAAAAAAAAAAAAAACCCATTAAAATACAGAGCGATCAATAGTCGATTAGACATTCGATTTCGGAAAATATTCATTTTTTCTTGAAAATATTTGACAAACGAGCAGCGCTAAAATATTACATTACTACCGTTATTCTTGTTACCCATTTAGTTTAAATGCATTTCAACGTTGATATTTTTAATTTCCGTCAATCCGTCGACGAGATGTTCCACTTTTAAAGTTTGGTTAGGGGGAGAACAGTGGAGGTTGTGTGGTGACACATCGGACGGCGCGTGAATAGTGCGGCGTATGAACCTTCACTTATCTCCCCTGATCAAACATAAAAATGGAATATCTCGTCAGCGCATTGCCGGAAATTAAAAATTCCAATGCCAAAATACATTTAAACTAAAAGTTTATCTATTTATGAATTTCGTAATATAAGTTACTATTCGAAAACGAAAAGGTAGTGCCTACAGCGATAATACCCTCATAAAATAAGGGTGACGAAAAATAACGGTAATGTAACATTTTATTGCTGTTTTTTTATACATTTTTTAAAACATATGTATTTATGCGCAATAAAAGTGATGGACATTTTTAAAAACGTATAGTTTAAAGCAATAATATTTATCTAATCATCGTATAGTAAAATGTGTTCTATTTTTTGTTTAACGTTCCGTTAAAATAGAAATTTTGTACGGTATTATGTTCGTAATGCGATATATTATAATATCATTTACCCACTACTTATCGACATTTCTAACGAATCACTGCGCACCAGAAGAACAATTTAAGACTTGACAATTATAGTTGTTTCGTAGAGGGAATAAAGTGATAAAAGTTTGGTAGGAATTTCAATATACACTTAGCCATATTGTGGGTGGAGAGAATTTTTTCAGTTTGTAGACCCTTATAGAATTCCCAAACAACCTGCTATATTATTAAACAATTATAAAATTATAATATATTTAAATATTCAACGACAATGAGGGGGAAAAGAACATTTTCGTATATATGTATGCTACACGGAGTAAGCACAAAGCGCATTAAAGCGGAACAAAGTAACAAAGATTATTGTGATCCCTATTTTGTTTCAAATGTTACATATATTTTTTTCCAAAACAACAAAGTCATTATGAGATTGAAAATCCATTATGCTTAGTTTGTCGAATCGAAATAAATTTTTGAACTTAAGCTCCACATAAACATTTTTAAATTTAATTAAAGGCTTCAGCGAATATCTTTTGATGGTTATGTTTGAGAAAGCGTTTTTTTTGTGCGTGATCAGAGACGAGAGACTAATCATACCTTTGCGTCCATTCCCACTTTAAACACTGATTGAAAGGCCTTGTGTCAGAGGATAACTATGAATTCGAAAATTCGTGGGTGCGGGAAGAGTTATACCCCGTACAATTGCATATATATTCCGTATTACACGACAGGTTGAGAGTAAAAATAAAAAAAACTAATAATTATAATTGACAAAATTCACCGAGTAATTCGATAGGGAAAGGGGTGTGTTGGATGTTTTGGATATTTTGCTTAAAACTGAAAACAATTAAGAGATGTTCGAGCGTTCGGTCGTGCGTGTAGTGCAGTGTGTGGGAACAAAAAACAAACTATAAAGAAAAAAAAAAATACCTCGTGTGCGCGATTCCGGGATCGTTCTGAATGAAAAATTCCCCCTCGTTTCCCGGTAGCAGTCCTGTTGACACACGCATCAACTGCCGGATGATTGTTACGGGCCTCGGGCGGGCAGAAAAAGAAAAAAAAATAACGAGCTCGTCAAAAATGACTAATGGCGACCGTCGACGTGCCCCACGCCACCGCAGTGACGGACGCGTGTTTAAAATGACAACGTTTTTTTTTTTTTGTTTTTTTTTGTTCCCCCTTTCCACCGACTGTGTTAGAGGCGAATTCCACTGGTACAGATATATAATAATACCACTACCTACGACGAAGACAATCGTATCAAAAGAAAAAAGAAAAAATTCCGAAGAAAAACCTGCTGTCGACTTGGCCTCAGGACCGTAAAATATTTTTCGTTTTCGGAAAATCCGTTGTCGCGCGTGAACACCCCCCTTCACCTCCCTATAACGTCGACGATCCATCAATTAAATAAAACACATAATAATAATAATAATAATATTATTATTATTATCATTATTATTATTATTATCGAGTATTATGATAACAGTTTTGGGGACCCCGAGCAATTGGAAAAGTTTCATAGTTATACCGCTACGGCGGTATTCGTATTGTTATTTTTTTGTTTTGTTTTTTTCCCCTGTGATTGATGGAAAAGAAAATGGACCCTGTCTCCGTCATTTCACAAAGATGATAAATTACTAATACAAACTATATACACGAGGCGACGGCGTGCTCTCCAGACGGTAATCGCGCGCACACGTGTGTGTGTGTGTGTGTCTGGTCGCGGAGCTGTAAAAGGCTAGCGGACGGGTGGGAATTAGACGTACCGTCTCCCAGCCGCCGTCGTCGAGGGCTCGTGAGGTTTCCGGAATAAATGAAAAACTGTTGTTATGACACACAAACACGCACACACACACACACACACACACATACACACGACACACACAACACACACATATAGATATCTACGAGTAAACCGGCTGGCCCTATGTCATGAGGGATCGTTCAGGATTTTCGGCCGTCACGTGGAATTTAACACTTTTTTATATTATAAGAATTAATTTAGTATTAGCAATGATAAAATAAAAATAATGATAATAATGTATTATATTATAATGTCATGATGTAACGGTCAATGACCGATGTGATCGAGACCTTGTGTTTAAAATAATATAAAATAATAATAATAGCAATGAATATGAGGTGTTGCTATTAAAAAACGAGACTGGTTACGAAAAATTGTTTTATTTTAAAAATTTGTCTACATTCAAATACTTCCATTCAATATACTCCCCTACCCTCGCCACACACCGTTTCATTCGTTTCTTCCATTGCTCGAGGCAGTGCTGGAAGTCTGTTTCCGTAAGACCATTCAGGAGTTCCGCCGATTTTTGTTTCACCTCTTCCATCGACTCAAACCGGATTCCTTTTAAGGCAGACTTTATCCTCGGAAACAAGTAAAAGTAGCAGGGTGCCAAGTCGGGTGAGTAAGACGCGTGTTCGAGTACTGGAGAGCCTTAAGCGGCCAAATAACGCTTCACGCTTTATCCTGGTGCAAGATCCGCGACTTGTTTTTCCACAACATCGACCGTTTCTTACGAACTCATTAGCGCAATGTTGCCAAAACTGTCAAATAGTAATGTTGGTTCACAGTTTGACCCTCTGGAACCCATTCAGTCATCACGATGCCGTTGATATCNCCACTCAAAAACACGCGCCCGAGATAGGAAATCCTCACTATAGGCCTCTTTTAACAATTTATAGCACTCAGTTGGAGTTTTTTTTAGTTGAACGAGAAAATTTTACGTTTATCCGTTGCTCATGTTTTTCGTCACACATGGTTTTCAGCACGAGAAAAAAACACGTTCGTTTCAAACCACTACTGCACAAATACTATAATAGTGACGAAAACGTGTTTTAGTACGTGCATAGATAATATATCTAGATACCCAACGCATTACTCGTTTTTATCACTATCCATCTAGGGCGCCCTTTAGACGGGCAGTCTCGTTATTTAATAGCCACACCTCGTATATGTAAAACACGCATATAATGCAATTTTATAACGTACAGTATGATGTGCTAAAGTAAATATACGCGACAGTTAAATTAAATACGAAATCTGATATCGTCGGCCTCATTCGCCAAATGTCCCAAATCCGAAATGGCAATTGTTCAGCAGAAGCCAATAACGTTCTCGTTCTGAATGACTCCAAAATGATTACATTCATTATAAGCATATTTTAATGATATTATTATCTAGATAAAAAAAATACAGATTAGACATTTATCTATGTTCAAGATAAAAGATAATTTTCAGTTGTAGATACTCGTATATCATATAGAAATGGCGAATTAAACAAATATTGGGATAATTCAATTAGATACATATTAATTAGATACTTATTAAATCTTTAATGAATTTATGACTTCAAACGTATACATATTTTTTTTTCATTCAATTATAGTGATACTCATATGAGCTTTTGTTACATTTTTTTCATGAAATCCCGAATTTATACACGAAAGTTCGTGTTTCATATCTTTGCATATTTCTAAGTTTAAAGTTTAAGCGCAATTTTGTTTTTTTGTGTGCTGACCGCAATTTCAGTACCATTTTAGTACTATTTTGATTTTTTTGTATGTTTTTCAATTGCTATTTTAATATCGTAGGCTTCAAAATATACTTAATAAAAATAATAATTTAAACACCATTGAATATCTACAGGTTCATTAAATTTGTATTTCCATTAGCGTCCGCTGCAATTCAGTGAGACACTTATCATATCGATTAGGATACTCCATAATTTGTGCCACGTTTTATTTATATAGTTTCCAAATATTCCGGTATCATAATTATTATTATTATTATTTGCATATTTTATCATTGTTAGTGTATCTTTAAACACTTTTATACGTGTTTTTATGAGCAATTTAGTGCGCTAATCAATTTTTTTTCATAGATACAGTCTATGACCTCTAACTACAATTAATATTTTTTACATATGGCAATTAATTTTGTTTTGAACTCAGTTTGTTCAAATTATATCGCTTGCTATGCGTAAATTAAATTGTTAAATGACTTTTCGTTCATCTATTTGTATTTAATGGTAAAATACAATAAATTGTATAAACCAATATACATATTATTATAAATTACTCACTGAACCCAGAATCTCAAAAAAAAAAAAAGAAAGAAAGATGGTATAATTCACGTTCTAGTACTTATTATCTATTATCTACGTATTAACTGCAAATAATAAAGGATATCAAGAAGTAAAATAGTATTAAGATGTTATTATATTTAAAAAATAAGATTTCAGTGTATGAGTGGAGGCGATCAAGATATTAGTAAAGGTAAAAAATAATATTATTTTATTTTATAAACCACGATGATTTAATTGTTGAGTGCACACGGTAATATTAAACAATTCATTCGCCATCGTATAGTAATAGTCATTTTTACAACCATTTTGGCATCACTCGTTAAAACACCGATAATATTGCTGCATTAAATATTATTGCGGAAAACGAGACTACGACACCCTATGGTCTCTGCGGACTTAGCCATTTTCTCACCACCACCACTACCCCCACCACCACTAATCCCTGGAGAAAATCGCGTGTCTAGACGGTGAGCCACTACTGCAAGGGAGACCGATGTTGCGTCGCCGACGCTCGTCCGCACTGCAGTGACACCGATTGGAAATTTCTGGAAAAAAAAAAAAAACTAGCACCCGAATGTAATAAATTACGTACAAAAACGTGATCGGATCGTAGAGGACGTTCCTGAATATTTCCGCGTTAGACAAATCCACGCGAAATAGGAGTGGACGTTTTATACGTTTTTCTTCTTTTTTTTTTTCGAAGCCCATTGAACTATGGCCTGCATTTTTTATTTTTTTTTCTTTACTTATCGATTCGATTTTTAAAATTTGAATTTGCTGTTGTGGAGTTCATCCATATAAATCATATAGATTGCAATAATAATTATAAACCCACTAGTGCTATATTTTTAGTTACGTCGTTTTTAAAAATAAAACCTCCATCTCGAAGAAATATGACAATAATGCTGACGGTAGCATAGTTTTGGCTCCCAGTTTCTAATTTATCAATACAATATGTCAGCATATTATTACTGACCCTTTCCAATCACTATAGGTGCTTGTGTCGTAATACTTGAACGTTCCTTACACTGCAGTTCACAATAAAAAAAAAAAGGCGGTATATACTTCAAATTATGAGTGTGTCACCGTACTATAAGTGGAAATTTAGAAATGTAGGGTAGATTACAATAATTGCATTTAGGTATATCAGTAGGCAACGATAAATTATTACAAACGCAAAATTATTTTGAATAATGTTCGGTTAAACATGTTTTGATAAATTTAAATTGCAAATTGTATTAATTTATAATTTGTACACCTAACTATTTAGTAAAATACAATATTTTTTTTTTTGTTTTTGTTTTTTGTTTTTTTAAATTATTGAGCATTTTTAATGGATCGACAAAGTTGTTATCTCGTGTATAGAACAATGGCATGTAAAATGTCTTGATTCTTAAAAGTTTCAATCAAAACTTGATATTTAAATGTTTATAAAGAAAAAATCCTCATTAAGGATTTTCGGGATTTCTATAATATCGTAATTATTACAATATCAAAATTTTTAAGTATTTTTGAGAAGCGAACGGGCTAATTACGGGTTATTGTAAGTGATTTTTTTTACTCTCAGAAAAGAGTTTTTACTTAAAAAAAAATACTGGTCGGGGATAATAATTTCTTAGTCTTAGATCAGCTTTCCGCATTAAACTTTCTAAATCTCAATAAAATAGAACAAAAGTAAAAAATCGATTTTCAAATTTTCTTAAGGTTTTCGCCTGTAAGCTTACATATTATTATTTTCACAAGATAATATATATTTAGAGGATTATAGGAGAAGACGGCTTGATAATTTATTGTGTTTATCTATCAGCAAAACCTACAGACGCTTTTTGTTATAGTAAATTGGCTTTATGTATCTATTTCCGGCGAAGTATTATTTTTTCCTTAAATCTGGAAGTCAGCAGTAGATTTGTATTCAGCAATATTATATAATAAATAATTATAGTTTCTAAAAAAATAGTTAGAATATCCTACTCTCTAGCGTGCAAAACTCTCGGTTTTTGAATACATTTAAAATAATAAAATAAAATGCCTTATAGAATTTTGTAAATTAACCCTACAATGCATGGCTTTTTATATTTTTTTTGTCCATTGAACACTTGACTTTTTTTACAGGAAAAATAAAAATTTTCTTTTTTTTTAAATCCTATTTTAATAAAAGTATTTTTTTTCCATGTCTGACGGTAGACAAAATCATGCACAAATGATCATAATTTGTTTTTAAAAAATAATATTTTATAGACAATTCAAAATATTATGACCTGTAGGTAACATATAATGCATTGTATAATTAGATTACTTTTCAATCGAAATACGACAATAGAGCTTTTTTGTTGTATTTTAGATCTAATTGGTTCATTTAGGAAGTCATTTTTCTTGATTTTTCTTCCAGTTATAATCATAAATGAGAAAAAACAAAAAAATCGACTACAATACAAGTTTCGTTATTTTTTATTTAATTTTTTTGCCATAAGTCATACTCCGAATTTCAAGTGTAGCGGTTTTTTTGAAGGAAATTTTTTCTAGGTGATCAATATATAGGTCGAAGTTTGAAACTTCGAAGTGTTAACAGTTTCATTACTTTTGATTTTATTTATTTATTTTTTTTTTTTGTATTGTTTTAGTTTGGTTTAAAACATTAATAATAAGAAGTAAATTATGTTAGCATATTCTAGACATGATAAAAATTTCAAAATATTCTGATGATTTTTAAGCATTTTACAAAAATATGGCATATTCACGGTTTTTTAATTTTTAGTAGGTTTTGCGTAGATAAAATTTGTTTTACTAATCAAAAATGTTTTAAAATTAAACACAAGATTCACCATAAATGTTTTTTTGCGGAAAATAGGTTGTAATGTAATGTAATGTATTTTTTTTTATTTTTAAAAGCATATTTTGATGAAAACACGTAATTTCAGAATATTTTCAACCGAATTTTGCTCAGAAATGTAATGAATCACCTAACAATGTTTAACTATTGTGTATAGTTATAAATTTAATACCCTATTAAAAACCCTATGTATTTCAACTTCCCACCTTCCCATAGACTCCAACGGTATACCCATCAGCCGTAGCAGCATGTTTTTATGTATTAGTTTACTATGATACGTGCAACTTTTTTTCTGTCTGTACATAACTTTTCTCACAAAAACCTTGTTCCAATAACAAACTTTAAAAGAATTTTCTCGTAGAATTGTTGATAAAATTGGTTTTCAGGAATGAAATCATTATTATATATATTATAATTATTATGTATTTTTAAATCTATATTTTGTAAATTTAGATTTCTTATTTATTTATTTTTAAAAAAAATTCGAAAATAATTGACACTTAAATAAAACAAAATAATATCAATAACAAAGGATTTCTAGTATAACACCTATTAAAGTACCTACAGTAATAATCTTAAAATAAATAATTTATACAAAAGCAACACGTCGTATCATTTTTTTCCAACGGGTACGCTATTTACCTTGATAATAATAATATTAATTTGTTATAAGAAAATATTGTTCATTTGAAAAAATTATTTGTTTATTTTAGATTCGGTTAAAATTACTCGTTGAATTTTGTAGTGTAATTAATTCGATATTCAGGAATAAAAAAAAATTATTATGAACGAATTTTTTTTTTTTTTTCACGGAATATAAGTACATTAAAAATACATAACGGCTCTTAAAATCCTATGCGGGATCGAACGCGTGAAAAAACCGTATAATAAAATTCGACAGATTATACGTACGTGTTATTAATTTCTTAAACTAACAAGAGGAGTTTTCATATTAAATTGCTATGGTATTACATTTTTCATTCCCAGTCTTATGTACAAATAATACGACAATAAATCCATGTTCAACGGATAATAATATTTTTACGGATATTTTTCTCTAGTCAACCCGTGTGCTATTTAAACTATACTATTTTATATTCTGAAAACAGCGAAGAAGCTATTAGTTTTATTATTATGCGTGTCTATTATTTTATTGGTAAATACTTTTTTGGCTTTTTATGTTTGTTTTGGTTTTTTTTTTTTTCTAACGAACAAACGAATTTTTCAAAATTTCAAACGATTGACAAAAATCCATGCATTGATTTATTTTTATTGACTTTAGCATTACTTTATGTATAGGGCAAAAATACTCCTAACCACTTACAACAGTAACTTTCACGTAAACTCAACTTTAAATCAACGTAAATTAACTTTTAAGTTATTTATAATGTACACATTGTATTTATTGAGTTTTACAAGTATATTGCTAAATATTTAAGACTCACATTTCCTCAATATTCTACGGGTTAACGCGGATTTTTGCGGCATATTTGAATCTGCCCTAAGTGTTATTGTCTATTTCGTGAGCTCCATTTTTTGGCACAGTTCATACTTTTATGATTTCGGATAGAGAATATTATTTTCTCTGACACATAAATCGATTATATTAATATTTTTAATTGAATTATTATTGTTGTAATGAAATTATTATTACTAGATAAAGAAATTCCAAGCCACAATCGTGGCATGAACGTAAGTAAACATACACATATAGTATTATCGAAAATACAAAAACTTTTGATAATAACAATAGGTAATCAACGATTAGATAGATGTTCAAAATAATTTTTCTTATTATTTTCATAATTTAATTTTAGTGCAGTTTTACAATTTAGTACAGTGACAATTTAAGAAAACTAGTGTAATCCCGGCAAAAACGACAATGAAAACGAGTTATTTTAACATGAGCTATATGATGGAATCGTGGGTAGGTCTACTTCCCACTTACATCACAAGTAAAAGGTAAAGTGCACGCATCTTGTAAACAACGGACAGCTAAATTGTTGCCACCTCTGTCTCTTTGATCCTATCAAAACTACTTTACAGCATGGACACGAAATGCACTCTGGTCTAGGTGGTCATGTAAGGGAGTCGGACAATGAGCCAATAGACACTTAAAAAAACACTACATACCATATTGTATTACAATTTATTGTACTATTACTAAAAAATTACAAAATATAGAAATGGGTGTTTAAAGATGAACTTCCAAAAGTTAAACATCCTTGGACTTATGCCACACATTTTCAAAATCGCATTCCTCTGGCATCATTTGGAGGGTCTGTAGAGGTGCATAAAACAAGAGAATTATTCTATACCCACAAACTATATTGTTAAATTCATATTGCAAGTCGGTTTTACTTTTTTCACACAATTCACCTACAAAACAACCACAATTTCGATTTTTGCGCTCATTTAATCCAGAGATGTCCAAAAATAATGGGAAAGATTTATGATAGACACAATGTAGTCAATATTCTCTATTATATTCGGGGGAAATTAAAAAAAATGAAACTATCTGGTTATTACATTGCAGAACCCTTCAGTATTGCTCCACGCAACCTTTTTATAGTATAGTTGTTCTTTACAATTTTGTAATAATTCCACAGAGTTATTTTATTAAATTAAAACGTCAAAAATTATATTGTTATATAGGTACATCATTCCTTATAATAGTAATAATAATATTATACGAGTACGCTTGTAACGAAAATAATATTATTATTAAAGTTTATTATTTTGCCAGTTTACCAAAATATAATATATTATTATAGTATTATAATAAAGTCGGAACATTTCAAGTAAATTTCGAAACGCGAGGCCACCTACACCAACAAGGCAACAGCTATCCTTTACTCGTGTAGAGACAATACTATGTACGACATAATATACCTAATCATATCCACCATATCGTATACGCGAAACTTTGATGGTAAATTACGAATGGGTATAAGGCAAATTATTATGGTTATGTATGCCGAATATAAAACGTAAGTACCTACCGGCTGGGGCCCTTTGTACATAATAAAACCCAAATCAAACTCTCTGTAGCGAGCTGTTTCTTCAAAGTCAAACCTCCAAGAATTATAACACATTATAATATCATTACTATACACCCTATAGCTACGCAATAAAGTTTCAAAAGTCGACTAATGAGTAACACTAAATAAATTATTTGTGTAAACCCACAACGATGACGATTTTATAACATAAGTACCAGCCTTGATACCTACTACTACAATCAAATATAAACTCGTTGTTAATAGGACTTTGTCGTTTTGCAGAGCTTAAAAGAACATTTGATGTTATATGAACAAACTCGGGAGGACAGGGAAAATTTTAAAAGTGTGAAAAACATAATATTTTACTTTTATACGATACCGCTATTAATGGTGACACGCATTTTAGACGATATATGTATTAAATGTGTAGGTACCACTCAAATAATGTTTAATCGTCTATGACTAATTCGTCGAGTCTTAACATTTATTATCGAGTTCATTTATAAACCCCCTTTAAGAGGGCATGTTACCGCCCATATTTAAGAGACGGAGTAGTATGTAATTGGTATTTTGGAAAAAATTGAAATCTGTATCGATCCGAAAATATTTCAGTTCACATTCAAATACTCGTGCATTTACAAGTGTCAGTAGCGTTTTTGCGAGGGAAGATAAAAAGGTGGAATATAGGATAAACATATTCGTAAAGGCCTGACATTTTTAATGAATGAAAGAACTAACAATGACTGTTTCTATTCGCGGATAAATTTCAATAGCATTCTCGCAACTTTTAGTTATTTATAGTTGTATAACGTTTTCGATGTTTTTTAAATTTTATTTACAGGTTTTTATATGGATAAAATTGTTCTGACCAAGCAGAAATGTATGGAAGTTTTACCCGAGATTCATCACAGTTAAGATTTAACATGAATTAAAAACAATTTTAACATTATATACTAGTATTCTAGATTCTGAGTGAATCAAGGAATGCATCGGTTGAAAATCGCATGGTTTAACAATGGTGTTTATTTTATTTTTTTATTCTGTGTACAATATTCCTTCCAGAAATTTTACGAGGATTTTCAAGTAAAGAAATGTGCTACTTTTTCTCGAAGGAAATTTTATCTAGTTGGTACTATAGGAAATTAGTTTTTTAAGTTGTTTACTTTTCTAACGTTATTTTTTTATTTTCTAAGTGGTTTTCATAATAATTGAAAAAAAACGTAGAAAAACGCGAACAATTACGAAATTTATTATTTTCAATTTTATTTTTTTATTGTAATTCAGTTAAAAATATTCGTAGAGAGTTTAAATTTGGAAAAAGCCCATTTATATTTGCATTATCTAGATTTGGAATAATGTTCAAAGCTTTTGAGCCCATTTTTGAGTTATTTATAGATATTTTAATTTTGCGAGTTTTGGAACTTGCATTTTTATTATATATTTGAAATCTCAAAGAAACTTCTCTGAAAAACTTCGTCAGAATCTGAAAGTCGATGAATTGTGGACTCGAAAGGCGAACGTTATGTAGATTTACGCAGTATGGGTTTTCCACATTACATGATATATTTTTTACTTATTCATTTTTGTTCATTACATAGTCAAAAAATAACGGATTCTGAAAATATAACTGTAATAGATTTAGTTATATTTCTAGAACTTTTTGACATTATCTCGCCAAAAAATGTCATGGCTTGGTTTTTTTTTTAGTTTTAAGAGTAGTTAAAAAACAATGTGTGGATTAAATGAGAAATTCAACCCCTTAAGTGAAGCACTCACAGAAAATATGTTTGTAAAATACAAAAATTGCAATTTGTTTTGTTTATTTTTAATGTCTCTTGGTTACACGGGAATAAAATATTTGTATTGTTCATTATTATAATGAATATTGTGCACTGGTAAAGCTGGATAATACAACTGGTAATAAGTTTAAAATAAAAAATTATAAAAGAGGTTCGAAAGAACAGAAAAATATGATAACATGAAATAATAGAAAATTCTATAGGTATTCGTTTACAAAAATAAAACGTCATCATAATATTTATACACTCGTTAAATTATTTGTATTTTTTTTTAGTGAACTTTTGATTATTTATTATAAATGTATAATATAAGGCCATAAAGCCTACTCAAGTGTATTATATTCTATAACATAAGCAGTATATGAATTTATTCCAACGATGTGATGACTTATTATTTGATTGCTTTCGCATATTTATAAAAAATTGTTCATAATACTTTTTAAAAAGCGAATATTATATTCCTTAATATTTTCAATATTTTATTTTAAATTGTGAGTCAGCACCGATCCTCGTATAATTTGTCTCAGTGTATAGAAAATAAATTGTACAGTTAGGTGTATCGAATTTACTTTTTTTTTTTTATGGAATTAAATATTATTGTCGTTGATATAAATACTATATTTATATTATGGTGCTTCATGTAACATGTAAATACTGTCGACGGCACACAAAAACGCGTAATTTTAACTGATACCAATGGAATTCTTATGCTCGAAAACCCACAACATAAATTTTCAGGAAAATCTCACAGCCATAAGTTTTGAGGTAGGAGTAGAGGGGATATGCATCGGACTATTGAGTACTGGATATCGGGGTTTTCAAAACCGATATTATTCCTGATATTTTTAGAAAAAAAGGTCTAATGATTCCTCACTTTTATACATTATTGGGAGAAAATCTATAACAAATTCTTTAATTAATGATATTAATAATCCCTATAAATTATGACATTTCAGTTATACTTATTGTAAAAATCAAACAGGCATACTTCACACAATGAGTAGTGATAGCTGGGAAAGTAAAGTGGGAATTTAATGTATATCTGTGCACAATGGTTAAACACCTCGCACATGTATTTAATAGAATTTTAACTTTACATTTAAATGATTTTGGCTTTAGCTTTTGTTAAAAATTGTAAACATTGACAATAGTACAAAATTAATTAATAGTAAAATGTCTAAAATATCTTCTCTTGAAATGGTTTAAAGAAAATTATATCGATACACTTATTACGAAATTGTCTTTGTGACCCACATTATCTTTTATATTTTCATCCTTATTTTACGATTATTTATTAACTATAGATTAAAAAAAGATGGACATAATTCACACATAGGTGGGCTACTGTTTTAAGTGAGAAGTTGGAAGGGTAGTAAAGAGGAATATTATTGTACGCAAAGATTAATCATTGCTAACGATAAAACGATTCTGAGCAGAGTTCGGTTGACAGTGTTGCTTTGTCAACAAATATATATATATATGTTATATTATGGTAAAATAATTACATATGTATTAAACCTTTTCTTTAATAATATTTATTTAACATGGTACCAATGTTTCGGGTATTTCCCATTTATTCGAAAAACTCCCGGGAAAAAAAAAACGACTTCCTTTTACTCCAGTAAGATTTTCTTTCAGAAATAGCGCTACACTTGTAAATCGGAGCATGATTTCTGATAGAAAAGTTGTTAAAAAATAAAAAAATAAAATAAAAATATAATTGTAAAAACAGTTAATTCCTCGTTACATTTAAAATGTCAAATAGCAATAACGGGAAATTAATTAAAATCAAAAATGGTCTTTTACGCCAAAATTGGCTTCACGGCAAAATTACTAAGTCGGAACTGCTACGCCGAAATGTCCTAGACCGTGAATTAGGTACCTAATGCACGAGTATTAGCCTCTTAAAATATTTAAAAAAAAGACATATCGGTTCAGCACTGATACAAAGTAGGTACATATAATATAAATGTGTAACATACAATTGCTGATCTTATTATACGTAATAGAGCTAAATTTATTACAGTAATGCAATTATTGTTTCGAAACGCAATAATTATATAATGTTATTTTTTATCGTTGCATTTCCTGTGTGTATTACTGAATGATTTTTAGTAGCTTTAATTTATTTTTCGGTGATAAATATACGGTTCATTGGTGCATTATAATAGTATTGATTATAAAAAAGCGTAAATAGAGTTTATTCAAATGTATTCAATTTGGTATATAAAAATTAATATTGACCTCTATGCAGTAGGCTTAACGGTCATGCACAATAAAAATATGTACACGTAAAAACTTTTCACAGAAGGATAAAAAATATTCATCACGATCTATGTACGGTTGAGAGTGAACGATATATAAAAAAAAAAAACCGTTTCGGATCAGTGGATCTAATAATAGGGCAGAATTTCCAAATTGTCCATAGCAGTAATTCCCAACTTTTTTGACAATACGGACCACTTAGAGAATTTTCGACAGGCCAGATTTTTTTTGTATTTATAATAATAACGGATCATTTTTTTTTTAAAGATTTACAATTTTTATTTGTAATTTCTAACAATCGAATGAATAAAATGAATTTTGATTTTTGTTTGCTTAACAACTTTCTGGGGTACTGCAGTTCAAAGAATCAAATATATATAATACTATACACATGACTTCGCATTGTGTCTGTTTTCCGGTGGGTTTTTTTTGTGTGTTACTTTTTAAGTTGAGGTTACAATATTAAAAATGGATTTCGGTTCGTATGCATCAGGGAGGTATGTTTATTGTTTATATATTTTCACTCACATAGGTTCAATTTTTAAACTAAATTAAAACTAACGGAACGCCGCATTTTTTGTTTCGTTTTTTTTTTTTTTTTTGGAATATTTATACATTTGTGTTCTTATTAAATTATTTGCTGACTGAATCTCAAAAGTAAACGAATTCGAATTGATGATAAAACTTCAAACGTATGAAACGCATCAATGCGTCTACTGTGAACATTAACTGACTGAAATTCGCTGCATTTTATTGTATTGTTCGGAATTTCATTGAATTGTTACGTAGACAAAAATTTGATAATTTCGACTTCACAACTCGTCATATCGTGAAAAACCGTATCACCACAATATTCTTATTACCATTATACTTGTAGTTATTATCTTATTATCGAGAAACAATAAAATCAGGATGCCTATGGGAAAGAAAAATGTCTTTAGAAACAATATAACAAAAACAATTTTAAATTGTTTAAGTCAAAAATGCCGAGTTGCAAAATCGAAATTATCGCAAATGTTTATTTATGCGTACTTCCGAGATGATACCATAGATTTTAAATTTAATCAGAAATTAAGTTAATTAAATACAAATTGTTAATTTTTAGGTGTTTTCTCCTTTAGTAAATAAATTAAAATAATAAAAATGGTCTCATGTAATCAATTTAACTGTGGATCTATTTTTAAAAATAAACATACAATTTGATCGCCCGTATGAACTTTAACCGTGGCGGAAATCAAACACTGGTATTTTATGATGGACAATTTCTTTTTCTTTTCCTTTAACCGAAATATAGTGGATTTCCAGTCTCTGCAGGATTCTATCGAAACAAATCGAAAATGTTGGTTTGAATAAGGCGTTCTACTGTCGCATTATAACCAATTTAGATTTCACCGCATTAGTCGTGACATAAGAACATCAATCGGTCTGTCAAAAAAGGAAATTCGTTTTCCCATAAAATTCGAAAATATTGCAGTAAATAAATAAGCCGATTTCCGATTGGAAATCTCATCTCTACTTTGAGAATGTAGGCTTGGGCCGAATACGAACAACAATATACAACGTAATATAATGATTAACTTCCGACCGAAATGTCACGACGAACCGTGAATAGGGTCGAATGTAAAAATAATACAATTTCCGCCTGAGATTAAAAAAGAGCTGATACTCGGGACGGCTGCAGCCACTGTTGTAGGTGGGACGTTATATATGGTCATTTAATTTATATCTGTAAGCAACGATAAATCATTGCTGACAAAAGACGATTCCGTGTATAGTTCGGTGATAAATAATTTGAAGTGTAGTAATTAAGTACCATTGTAGACAAATTAAAAAAGGAAAAAACTCATCTGATGTTTTTGGAAATTTCACCACGTCTATGTAAACCCTATATGGGTATTATTACCAAGTTTCAAGTCTCTACGTGAATTTATAACCAAATAACAGAAAAAAACTCTCAAAAATTAAAATTCCTTGAAAGCTCAAAGAAGGTTCAAAAGTTTTGGCAATGCTACCATAAGAAATTAAATCAAAAAATGTATTTTGTGATTTTTCGGTAAATCGTTTTTTCTGGTAGAAAACGTCATCCGTGTTTTTATAAAATAATGAAATTGTGAAATTGTACATTTTCCTACGTTTTTTTCCCCACTAAAGTGTTTTTATTTAAAAGATGACGTCATCAAAGTACAAACTAGATAACTTGAGCTTTCAGGAAAAATGCTGCACTTATACGACAGATCAAGTTTACTAGGGAAAAACTTGTCCACAGACTAGAAAAAAAATAAATAAACAGCATTGTAAAACCAATAACTCCCTCGCTATGCTCGGAATCTACAATAATACATCAAGTTTCACTAATCATAAAATGATTGATTAAAAATATAATTCAATATTCTTCCGGTTTTTAATGTTTGGTGAGGCGCATTATTATTTATATGATTATAAGACTGTATACTGGAAAACAACGGAGCAATTATGGTTCGCGATTAATCGATTTCGATAAATTAATTATTTTATTATTACTATCACGATATTTTCACGATTTATGCGATTTAATATATTTCGGATAGTCAACCACAGTGGTGATCATTTGAACTCGACATACCCCAGAAATGAAAAGGCTGCCTCAAAATAGACTCATGGAGGAAAGGGAAATGCTGCGATAACCGGTCTGCATAAAAAAAAAAAAAATCACTTTTCAACGGTATTCGAGTCGACGTGTTTTTTAGATATAAAAATATATTTTGAAACTCTGTACAGGTACTCAAATATTTTCGTTTCGCTATTTGTCGAAAATATGTTTAAAACCATAACTTTTTATTGCCTACTAAAAAACAATAAAGTTATAAGCTTTCGGTATTACGACTTTTAGTTCGCCGTGCCATCATGACTACGTGATATAATTGTAGTCATAATATATTTTTATGACGACACAAAACTCGGTCAATATAAACGGAAAACCAAAATATTATGCAACAATAAAAAAGTAAATACCGATATAGCGAAGCGAAACGAGGAACGTAGGTGTTGACTTTGCTATATGCATTGTGTTTTTTGAATAAAATTTTTTTTCGAAAAACTACAATACAAAAAAAAACTATAGGAAAACCATACAATATGCAAAACGGTGTTCGGCGTATTTAATACTGCACATTATAATAGAAGTCTTGTCTATCGGTTTCTGCGGCGTGCGTGCGCGGGCGATTGTGTGTTTGCGCGCGCGCGTGTGTGTGTTTTTAATGTTCAAATATAAAACCGACGGCGAAAATTAATTTTCCAATATAAAAGCGATTACATTCTTCGGTGCTGCTGTTCTGTGTCGGCATTTGTCTAGATATTATTATTATTATTATTATTATTATTTGGGTCTTGCAATTTCTGTTTGCGATGAATAATTTATGTCCGCACGCGCGGATTTTGTATTTTAGCCGGTCCGTACGTATTGTACGTATAGGTATTGTAGTCTGTGCACGAATTGTACCGATATCGGAAACGTTTCGTCATAATAATAATAATAATTATTATTATTATTATTATTATTTAGTTTCGGGGTTTTAGTTTTTGAAACAATTTTTAAAGCTGTTCGGATGTCTAAAAATAAACACTTCGGAAAAGTCCCCGGTGCAGATTGGAGGCCGATGAACTTTGGCCGGTGACCGACGTAGGGCTCGAGAGGCCAGCGTTGGGTGCGATTTCACGCTGCTTTTCGATTTCTCGAGACAACGTCTTAGTATACACATGATATTTTATTTATTTTATAGTGTTTTTTTATTTTTTTATTTCGGTTTTAATAGTTTACGTTAAATAACCGTAAATTAATTGTTTTTATAAATTACCCCTCCTCCCACCTCCAGTCAGATTAGCTTTCAGAAAAAGTGCTATTATTGTAAATCGGAGCAAAATTGCTCGTAATTATCCACCAAAGTTATCCACAGGAGAAAAAATAAACATCATTGCAAACCGAATACATTCCTCGCTTCACTTAGAATCTAAAATTGTAAGATGTGTAATAAGTTGTTAATAACGTCCTAGTATACTTCTAAATAGTACGCTGTTCATAATTATTTTTCATTGGCAATGACAGAGCATTTTGATAACCGTCTACGTGTATAAATTACTCCAATATAAGTATTTATAGGAAATTTAAGATCACTAAGATTATTCTGACGGAATTCCAAAAATCAAAAATAATACAGTAGTACCCAATCACAATTCAGGGCATTTTTTAGCAGACACTCCAATAAGTTAAAATTTTACTTACTGTGTTTCCGTTAAAAAATAAATGAAGTTGCTAAAATAACTTTTGGAAAAAAATATTTTATATTGTATAAATACTACTGTCACTGGTAGGGGAGTCACTTTGGAATGTTCGGTCTTTCTCTAATGGAATGGTGAGCGGATACACAGTGGATATTCACGAAAATAATGTTTCTCCGACTCGCTTAAACTGTATAAAATTAGACACTGACCCAGTAAATATTTAGTCAATTGCGAACCTTAATTCGAAATACAAATAAGATATTTTCACTTTGATGTTTTTAATTTTTTTGTATTGATTGCAAAATCAACTATAAATTGCCCTATCCCGTTTCGTTATAGAATGAATGGCCATTATTAAATGGTTTACGAAAATCAGTAACGCGTGCAACGTATGAATGGAAAGGTACAGTTTTTTTTTTCGACAATAACCAAACCGATTTATTTTCCTTGGTAGCGTTTGACTGACTTTGGAATCGGTTTAATGCGATCAACATTTACCGGGTAACGGAATGTATTATGATGTAAAAAAAATAATTAAACCACAAGAGAAAAATAAACAATCATTAAGTGAATTATATATAATATAGATTATAAAGAAATTGGTTTAGAACCTTTTAATCGATAAACAAATAATTAAAAAAAAAGTAAAAAGAAAATCATATTATGGTGACAAATATTGCATTCACATTAATTTCATCGAATAAAACTACTTTTGTTTATTCGTTTTTTATTATTGTTTTTTTAGAAAATTATTTGATTTTTTGATACTGAATAAAAACAATATAGGTATATTAGTTTTTAAAATAAAAAAACATTTTATTAAGAGGGCGTGTTGCTACCACCAGCCCATAATTCGATTGTAAAAACTTTTTTGTGCGGAAAAAACTACACTTACTATAGAATCAATTAGGAACTTGATTTTTACCATTAAATAGGAGAAACTGCACTGTGCAACATTGTTTATGTTTTTTTTTTTTTTAATTTACAAAAGTTAATATTGTTTGAAAATCGACTGAGTTGGAATTAGGCCGACGGCTGACTATGACTTCGAGTGGTATATCCACATTGTGGATGCCTATATTATGTACATAGAGGATGTCCCACCAAGTTCTGCGGATTATAAATAGCTTGAATTTTTTTTAAATTTAACCGTGTATAGAAAATGCAAATATAAGTATTCTGTCTAAATTTAAAGTTTATACGAATATTTTAAACTGAAATACAACAAAAATATAAAAATGAAAACAATACAACCATTATTTTAGTAATTTTTTCCATTTTTCCCAATTATTAAGAAAACTACTTAGAAAATCAACTTCATTAAAGTACCAGCAAGATAAAATTTCCTTTCAGTAAAAATGCCTAGAAAATTAGAGAAAGATTTCTGATAGAAATTTTAAAACCAGTGTACAAAATATAAACATAGTAAAACCAATACATTCCCCGATTCACTCAGAATCTAAAATAACTTTCATAAATAAACTATTTTTTAACTGAAATATTTTACTGCGCATATTAAAAATGCATAGTTTTAAAATTGCATAAGAATGCTCGTTATTTCCGAACTTTTAAATGTATATTTTTCTAAATTGTTGCACTTCACTACATGAGCACATACTTATTTTAAGTCCTAATCATAATTTATGTCGGTTGTGATTAAAAAATGAGCCTTATGAAGTAGTTTTTTTTTTTTTTATAAACGTTTTTAGTTAAAATATTAATGAATATCGAAAAAAATACGAACATTAATTCAAAACATATTTAATTTCGGTCAGAATCATTTTTTGTAACCATTGATTTATCGTTTCGTACGGAAATCCTACCTTTCCGACTTTTACTTTCAATAGTGGCAGATCTGTCTGTGGCATTAGATCGCTTTTGTTTTTTTTTTTTTTTTGTTTTTCACTAAGATGGAAACCTAAAAAACAAGAAAGATATGGGTTTTAAGTTTTTTTTTGTTTTTTTTTTTGTCTTTGTGTACGTGTACTCAGTGAAAATGTATAATATGTATTTATATTGATATATTCGGCGAGTAATTTCCGCGGAAAAGGAAGTACAATCCCTTTCATTTAACTTGAAATTTCGATTTCCCGCGGTATGTCTACAATACCAACGATCTACTGCGCTATAAGTAACAGTAGATGTGAGAAATTTCGAAAAACAAACCCTGAAATAAACTACCGCTGTCTGATAAATATCATCATAAATGATTGCACTTACACAAACAGACCTGCAGGTAAAAATGTCAACAACTCTATAAACAACATCGTCGTGCATTATAAAGACGTATTGATGCCGATATACATGACATATTGCGAACAATTTGTAAGTGACTATCATATCATCGGTGTCGATAAAAACATCGTTTACGATGACTCTGTGTAATATATAAGTCCGTGACTATGACGTATATTATGTAACCGAAGAAACCACCGGCCGACTGCGGTATTTTAGTTCTATACACTTTTAACGATTTATGGGCTTCAAATAAAAACGTATTTATCGATCTTAAAACTGTATACAAGTGGGTAGTGATTACTTAATTATTATTTTTTTTATTTTTTTTAATAAAAAAATATTACCATAATACCTAATCCCTTTAACTATGCACGTAAATTAGGTGAATAGTAATGTTTCAATAAACATTATATATGCTAGTACGTCGTGTATTACATCGTCCAGCAATATTTTTATAATCCACCCAGTATAAAACTGTTATATTCTGTAGCGAGCGATGTATATATTATTGGTTCTACTGCGATGGGTATTTTTTTTTTACTATTTTTACTTTCTTCGCACCTTTTTGCCAAGTAATAGGTGCTCTATATTGCCTATGTATTTTGGTGAAGTACTGACATAACTGTAGTGATTACATGATTGAATTTTAATTCTGAAATACCGTTTAAATTAATACGCAACCAACACTTGTCTTGTGGTAAATCAATAAAAGAACAATTGACAAACTGCTTTAAAATTAAATCATTTAATATAAAAAAATAATAATAAATCATTAATCATATGTTCAAAATGTAAAGAAAAAAAGAACCATTTTACATGATTAAATAAACCATAAAAAACTATATTAAAAAACAAATAGCATCATAATAATATTATAAAAATTTTCAAACATTAAAAATTCACATTAAGATAACATAGGGAAAAAGGCTATTGGGGAGGTCTTTTCCTGTAATATTCGATGAACATTATAGCATAATAGATTTAATTTCGTATAAATGACCTGTTCAGTAAAAATATCGGGTATCAACTACTTAAAAAAAAAAAAGTTTATATTTTTAGTTTGTAACTTTAGAGTGGTGGAATTCCGTATGTAACTACGTTATTATAATAATTATTGCAATCGAAATGTTGTTTTCGATCCTTTGCTACAAGTTTAACGATTGAAATATTATGATGGTATCTAAGAAATCAATATGTGTTTTTTTTAATTTAAAATATCAGACTTTGAATCGTATTTTGAAATTCACGAGTAAAATAGTCCAGTACACAAATGCCGTGTGTCATTATAATAGAGTTTTCGAAAAAACCGTTTTATTCTTTATTAGTATATATTTGAATATTTCAACGAACGTAGCTAAAAGTTTTTAAACAAGTTTTGAAAGATTTCAAATAAATCTGATCAATTCTATTACCTTCCTTTTTCAGTCAAAAAAAATGAATTCATACGTCTTTCACTGCAACAGCGTTCATCGTTCTTGGGAACACTGATTTCGTTATATTTCTATATTTTATTTTAAGAGCACTTAAAAATTCGTTTTCTCTACCTTTTTCCCCTTAAGCTTTTTTCCGATGAAAAAAAAAAAATATATATTTTAAAAGTTTTATTTAAAGAGTTTAAAACAATATTAGAAAAAAAAGCGATCGCCGGAATACAGATACGTGGCTCGTAAAATGACAAAATTTTCATCACGTATATATAGAACATAATTATGTATAGTTATATAATAAGTATATCGTATATGTCAAGTATATTAAAAATTATAACCAGTCCATACAACTGCTTCCAACGTAATATAAAATAATATTTTTAAAAATCTAATAATTCAATAATTTACCACTCATTTTCTAATCGACAAACAGTAAGCAAAAAAGTAAATTTCTTTACATGGGCCAAATCAACTTTACTGTGTGTCCATTTGAACACTGAAAATCTCCTTAAAAATTTCTCCACTATATAATTATGTATAAATAAAATATTAATACATGACTTTGTTTTCCATTTCAGGTGACCTTATCCATATCGATTTTGATCAGTCTTCACGTGTTCTTCTTGCTCGTTGTCGAAATAATACCACCAACATCATTGGTGGTCCCACTTTTAGGCAAATATTTGATATTTGCTATGATATTGGTTTCTATAAGGTAAGTCCAATATCATCAAAACTACGTCGATTTATACAAATATTATGTCAGTAAGTTTATGAATTAAATCAAAACCGAGAAACGTAAATTATTATAATATTCAAATAGTTGACGATTACAATTTATAAACTAAAATTTATTTTGAACAAAACACGTGTAATAAAATATTGTAAATTCAACTATATAAATTTTTAAAAAAAATTTTAATATTTTCAATATGTAAATTTTACGAAAGTACAAATGTTCGAAAACGTAAATACCAAATGTTCATAAACATCAAAATATATCATAATAAAACACAGGCCAGAATGATTATTTTATCATAATTCAAATATTATACATGTAGATTTTGAGTAGATATTTGTTTTAAGTCAAATTTTCTAAATGTAAATTAGTAAAAAGTAAAAAATTTCAGTTAAATAAACATGATATTTAGTTATCAATAAATATATATTTAAAATTACGCAACAATTTATCGGTAGAAAATATTTATAATTCATAGACGATAAATCGTATGTATAATTTTATGCATATCGAAATTGTCCACTCGGAAAAAAAAAATTTTACTAAACACCCGGATTTTCCAATGCAGTTTTCAATATAATATTGTAATAATATGTTTTAAACAGCTTTTTAGCAATTTGTACGAAACATTTAAAACGGACATTTTAAATATGCGGTTGACAACATAGCAACCCCAAATCAATTTGGGGTATGATATAATAGAATTGCATCCCACACACATTTATCGTATTGCTGAAGGTGTTATCGAACGCAGTTTATAGATATTGCTTATTAGCATAGTTTGTTTGTATTACAATGAAATATAAAAATATATATTATTTATAAATCGTGAATATTTTTAATTACACTGTCAAGAACTTTCGTAAGATCCAGTACGAAATTATGTCAAGTCATACTTCAAAAATCCCGTATAGGTAGCGCTGTATTATATTATATACGAGTACATGAATAGTCGAATGCTCAATTAAACACGTATTAACCCTTCCGTAACGAAATTTAATTGGATTCGAATATCCGACGCTTATACTCGACTTTATGATGTCTATAAATATAATATATAGGTACGCAGTATAGCATACAAATACAATAAGTGACAAGAGCCAATACGAGCGGTTGACGTTTATATTTCGAATTGTCCGTTTTCGACGTTATTTAGTGCATAACAATAAATGGTGATTGGCAATATTACGTATCACAAAACGGAGTATTTCACAAAGAACCGAATTTTAATTACACCAAATTATTAGTATAATATTATTACCGTTATTCACAATATAACACCGAAATAAAATAAAGTCCTGGCGGTAGGGGCGTTTTTAGGGATGGGCACGGGGAGAGGTATTGGCTTTGGTTGTCGCATTTCAAGAGGGCGTTGGAATCATTTAAAACGTAGTAAAGTAGTCGTTTTCCCAAAGTTTACATTTTGGGTCATTTTTCTTGAGTTTTGTACGGTCCAAAACAATAATTGTTTGATAATTTTATCGAAAAATCCGAACGTAGAATTCGGGTGCTACCTGCATAGTAATAATTAATAATAACCGTTAATATTATATTATACTAAATACGAAACAAATTTGATTTTTTTTTTTTTTTTTTTTTGGTGAGAATTTGCTTACTACCTAATAGTGACGAATATAATATTATTTACCTAGAGATAACGAAAATGTGCATCATACTGAATAAATACAGTCGTTTTTACAAAATCTTTGTGTTCAATGTCCCGAATAAATAAATGAGCTCCGTTGTACTCTAGTCCTATACATGCTTATGTTAAAGAAAATAATGGATAATATTGCCCAGGTACTTTTACATTAGATTATATTATCAGTTATTAACTATTGAGGAAATAAAGAGCCAAAAGAATTTAAATAGTGCATCTTGTAACACATTCTGGTAAAAAATATAATAGATTTTTTTGCTTACATTCGGATCGAATGCAACCTAATATCTTTGAATGAACATATTCAACATATTTTTGTGTAGATATAAGGGGATTTTTTTTTCTATCATTGTCATTTTAAACAGTGATTTTCTTGGAGGATTTGAAATAATTTCGATTCATTTTTTCTTTCCGACACCATTATGAAATTGATCAAGTTCTATTTAATAACTATTTTAAAATTGTTTTTCCAAACATTAAATGAATATATTAAATTGTATTGTGCAATGGCACACTCTCACCGTATTTTCGAACAAAGATTCAAGAGAAGAATATTTTTCTAAAAATGTCGATGTGCATAATAGTAGTATCGGATAGGTACATACCTGTTAATGAGTTCTAACAGTTTAAAATTTAGACCGGAAAAGTAATACATTACAGTAATTAAACACACGTGTCTTTAGATAATCACTGTTTCCTATTCTTCTGGTCTAAATTTCGAATTGTTCAAAATCCGTAAATGGTATAATGTTATAAGTGTTACGCATAGCAAAATGTTTAGAACAATATTGTCTATATGTTTTAAAATCAAAAAATAATCATTTCGTTTGAGGTGAACGGAATAATGATACGATTTTTTTTTAAATATTGTAAATAGGATCATTATTATAAACGATTCTATAACATGATTGAAAAAACAAAAATCAATTTTACTCGAGATCTTTGCGTACAATCAATAAAACATCAGTATTTATTGAACACACGATTGTGTTTAATTTACTAATAATAACGGCCCTCGGTAATTATTTGTTCAGAAATAGTCAGACCGGTTATTATTGTGATTTCGTAATGCATGTAAAAAGCAAAAAAGCCTATTCCATATTTTCGGTAAAAAATCAATGCACGTAAAATAACATAGTAAAGCATATTGCAATCAAAATCGTCCATCGCAAAAACACAATATTTGGGTTAACTACCTTATATTGGTATACGTGATATTTGAATGCATGGAAATCGAACGAAATAATAAAATAACAATGATCGCATGAACAACGAAATGAAAACATTATAAATATCGTAGGTTCGAGGGAGTTTTTACTAGTATGAGATATGGGAAATGGTTTTGTTTGCTACTATATTCTGATAATTCGATTAAATCCCAATGGTACACAATAATAATATGATGTTTTCATAGATTTTATTGATATTTCACACACTATTATAAAATACTTACACGAATAGGTAAACATTACGAGTGTGTAACGGATCACGAACACCTATAATTTGATTTCGAATCTCGTATTTCCGTTTGAGTTTTTTTTTTTTTTTATTTATTTATTCGGACCCGTTTTTACATCCAAATTCGATTACGATTGTTTTTGTTATTGTAGTTATTGTTCTGCAGCGGGAAAAGTGATAATTCTAAATCGGTCAAGTTCGATACTAAAATTCTATTAGTAAGTTTATGTGTACACGATGTACATATATATATATAGGTACACAGTTTAGAGTTTGTCGCCGTTTGTTAGTAAAAAGTTTTCTATACGTACACTACACATACGCATAAACATACGGATATTTGGCTTTGTTGAGGAGAAAAACTTGGAAGATATGCGGATCGCAAAGTATGGTTTTACTAATTAAACGTATAAATCAAACAACGTTAAACGAACTTTAATTTGGACTTCGCGAAACCATCTCCCTCTCTCTCGCTGAGTCTGGTAAAGGCTTCGTATTAATCGTCGTACGATTTCCACGCGTTTGACGATTGTATATTACGTATTATTTTTCAAATTATCATCAGTTAGTTGTAATATTTTCATAAATAATAAACTATAAAAAAAATCGATTAGTTGATTAGGAATCTTTTGGATCGGCTTTTAAATGGAAATAATCGCTGCTTCGTACGAAACATGATATCTACCGAAAGTCAATCCCTCATACACGTATACATATCAACGCTACTTAATTATTGATTATTTTCATTTTTATTTATTTCACCGGAAGTGCCAGAAATCTCATCGCCAAATAGCCGTGTCGATTGTACACGGCGATTTTTTTTATTGTGAATAATATGATAGGTAATAACTTGCTTATCTACAACCTTTCCCAACTCCTCTAGTTTAAACTTTATATTGTTATAACTCTTAAACGATAAATCGGATTTTAGTGTTATGCATATTAAAATTTCTAGAAAAAAATTTTGTATTCAAATCTGTGTTTCTGAGATCCTCTGAGAATTATCTCAGAGAATTTTTAACCAGCAAAACCAGCAATTATGCTGGTTTGAGATAAAAAAAAAATCACTCTGTATTGTTTCATTTCACTGGTTGCGTCATATCGATCATTCGATAAAGTTGTTGGGGTATATAAATACCTGTGTACTGCTACAAATTATCTGACGAAAATTATACGCCCCGGCAATACGACGTGAAATAATTGGAAAGCGAACAATTTTATCTTCTCCTAGATTTATTTAACGGATTTTATTACTTGAATAATATGATTCGTTAAATTTTTTGTTCGTTTTTTTGAAATTATATCGTAGTATACCTAGCTATTATGATTTCCGTAGGGTATTACGTATACGTAGCGTACGCATTAATCCAATGCGTATACAACAAAACATATATTGATAGCATTTGATGTTCTGAGACGGACGAATACATGTCTCATATCATATCAATGAAATCATGCAAATTCTATAATCAATTTAAAAATGCATCGCAAACTAAAAACGATTCTGTATAGGGTTCGATTAATCATTTGAAAGTGCAGCAAAAAGTATTTTGGCATGTTTTAATTGGAGCAGATTACTAATGGAAAAAAAAAATAAGCACACAATATCACAGTGAAACCAATACATTCCTCGCTACGCTCGAAATCTAATACGAGGATAAGTATATATGATATCATACTGTTCTTCATATTTCTAGACAATAATGTAATATATTATTTCACACATCGAGAGTCGAGACCCGTTCGTACTGCTCGTAAAAACATTAATAACAATGGAAATAATAATATCCTCGCGTTGCCGGGCTGGATGTTAGTGTGTACGTAGGTATACAAACATTTCCTGTGCCGGCGATATCGGGGTGACGGTTAATAGGGTTGGAACAAAAAACACAATAAAAAAGACGCTAAAAACTGCTTTGGAATCCTATTCCATTTGGTGGACACAAACGTGTACGTATTTAGGTACATGATAATGCTCTCACGTATTCCATTTCAGATTGAAGCAAAGGTCACAAAAAAAAAAAATAAAAAATAAAAATATATTGCATCCTATTGTTTTCGCTTTTTCTTTATTTATTATTATTGTTATTATTTTATTTTTGTATATAGCTTTCACAGCGTGATAAACTTTGAAACCGTTATTGTGTTACATAATATATATATACATAAATAAAAAAAAAACCTCATGGCTTTTTATTCGCATATTTTTTTTATTTATATTTTTAAGTTTAAATATTCAATATAAAAAACGTGTCGCCCATTATCAATTCGGTGTTATCTTATTTTCAATGGAATCCTACTATACGACGCTTATAATATTCGACCGTCCTATATTTCAAAAAAACTGCGCACTTATTTCATCACAAATGATTAATATTTAGATAAATAATTATGGAAGTAAAACATATTGAACGGTATTTATTGAACAAATTCAAATTATATTATTAAATATTATAGGTTATTTCCACGTTATATATAAATTTTATAATATTAAGAATAAATAATGATTAATTATCATGGATAGAAAAATCGAAGTTCTGATAAGTGTGTTTTAAAATGCCTTAATTTTTAAACTAAATTAAATTTAAACATAAAACTATTAAAAAAATTACTAACTCACGCTTATCATATTTTTTTTTTTTTTTTTTTTTTTAACACTATGTATAATATGTAATAATATGTATAACTTATGATGAATCTTCTGTTAAATTTCCAAGCATTTTTATTAAGCCAAAATAATTCAATCTATACAATTCTAAAAAATCAAATGGTTTGAAAATTGAAAATTATACCACAGCCAAAAAGGCCTCATATCAAAAATATCCGATGATAATTTTAGAGTTCTACGATTATTGAATCACAACGGAAATTCATTACAACAGAAAAAAAAAAAAAACAAAAATTATAGAAACCCCACCATTGCGTAAATTGTTTCCTTTTCTAAGGTTATTTCTCAATTATTAACAAAGCTAATAAATATTATTAAAAAATGACTTTTTCAATGCACCAAAATAACAACATATTCTATCAGAATATAAAAAGGTTAATAAAACTAATTATTATACCTAACCATTAACTTTCAAGTACAGTATTCGCTAGTGTTATTAGGTATTTCACTCTACAAAACGGCCAGTCAGCCTTATGTTTTAAATTTGATTTTAAAGACGTCTCTATGCACCGTATATGTTTACATAAATAATGTATCATTTTACATAGCTCCATTGTACACGAGCTTCTGCGTTGTTCTCTTTTGACCACGCAAAAACACAAAAACCGCAAAACAAAATTTATTACACGATCTTTTTCTATTCGTAAACAACCGTTTCAGCGGGATTTATATTTTATTTTAACTAACCAACTTTCAAGATTTTGATTTTCAAATCGCTACCAGTATAATATTATTATCATCGTTATTGATCTTTCAATTTTCGGAATCGGGTCTTCGTCTATAAACGATTATCTTTTTTTGTATATTTCTAACTGGTCGGAATTTCCATATTTTTTTTTTATGGCGGTAGGTAGTAGTTACAAATATAAACGACTACCGATCATACATAGATATTTGGTTTTCAGAAGGACATCACAATTTTATTTATATTAAATTCTGCGTGCGGTACTTATGCACTTCGTAATCGATATTTTGATTGCTCATTTCTACCCGTAGGTATTTTAAATAAAATGAATCAACCGCTCATGCAGTCGGTGTCTCGCAGTAGTTCTACTTGAAATTTCAATTAAAATTCGGTAAAAATAAAATATAATAAAACCAACACGTTCAATTACCGTTCGGCTTTGTCAAATCAGTCGATTCCGGGCCGATGGTTTTGAAATTTAATGTTAAACGTAGTCGACTGGAATTTTTATCAGAGTTTATTCGCAGTGTATTTCGAATTTCTATCAAAACCGATCAGACAAGAGAATATTATAATGTTATATTTATTTTAACCATCATTATTCATATTTTGCTAACGGGGTTGAGACGACGAGAAGTTTATACAAATCCAAACAACTAAATTCCGGTTGGCTATCGATTCGTTCGGTTGATGGAAACGTTTCGGGGCAACTTTCTACACGATATGAGATATAATTTTGAACAGTACGCCTCGAATTCAATTAGCTGTTTGTTGGTTAAAGTAAATTATATATTGATTATAGGGCGTTTGGTTATTTCCCATCACCGTAACTTACTTACTTATCGAAACGCGTATATTAATTGTAGAACAAACTTATTTCAAGTTAACAGTAACTTATGTTATAAATTGATATTTCTATCTAAGCGACTCGAGTTCCGACTAAAGATACGGTTTCACTACATAACTTTGGTGATTATGACAGTTGAATTTTTTCGTTTAAGATGTTCTGAATACAGGGGGTCAGCTATTTGTTTCACAATAGGTTTTAAGATGATCGCTTTTTCAAAATTTTTATGAGTTTATAACAATTTTCGAATCTTTAAAAGATGATATTATTCTACATTGGCTAAATGCTCAATATCCTTACAGTATACTGCGCTAAGTTCCATGCAAGGCTATATTATCTGGAGGTCCAGCAAAAAGTACTATTCATTATTTGCAAGATAAATGTAAATTATGTTCGGAATAAAAATAATAGACGATTTTATTTAACTTCTAAATTCCCCCACCCATAAAAAAAAAAAATATGATAAATGCCCATATGGCAACTCAGTCTCCAATCAAATATCATAATCATATTTTCAGAATATCTATTAACAGTGGTAATTCTTATAGTAACATCATTTTATTATATTAATATAATCAAAATATCATTTGATCAATAGTTTTTTTAATATTTTATTAAAAATATTATTTTAATAATCAAATTATAAGGTTGTATTATTCAAATATTTACAATATACATTTTTTTCCAAGTAATTATTTGATACATAATATAATTTTTTTTTTTTTTATACACATGAATTATGTTTACACAATATTATCATTACACAAATACTATCTGGGATATATACAAAAAAATATACCAAGTTCAATAATAATTTGCGAGTAAATTACAATATGATTTATAATATCGTTGTTTTTATTTTTTTTCTCCACATGGAAGAAACAAATTGATAGACTTTGGGAAATGAAAATCAATAAATATGAACATATTTTGCATCCGTTTCGATGTATATCATGTCCGAATTTCGAACAAACCACGGATTTTAATTCGAATAATTCGGGTTTATTTCTATACTTTGTCGAAAAACTTTACGCATTTCATCTTTTGAATAAAGATATACTGATAACATAACACCTAACCTGTATAACGATGTTAAGGTATAAATGCTATAACGGTGCGATATTTTTTTTTCACTCGTATATTATAGCGGTCTATTTTAAATGGTTACTTATTAAAAACAAGTGTGATTTTTTATTTTTTACGAATTTTTGTCGTGTAGACCTTTTTTTTTATTTCATCGTCATCGTTATTAATATAACGTAATTAAATATTCGTTTAACGTTGCGTATATATATATTATAGGTATTCAATTTTTTTCTACGCGTTCAATTTCGCGTGCAATCGCCCGGTTTTGAATAGCACTTAAATCTAATGGCTTTGGCGACCATACAGGAATCCATTCTCAAAATGGTAATACAGTGTTAATATATTAATAATATAATGTAATATAGATCAATATAATTTCCGAAACGATTATAATAATATTCAGATATAAATTATCGTAATGGGTTAAATTATGCGCCGCGGCGAAAGTAAATAATTGTTTATTTCCACTTGCAGTCTTATATTATAACAAAATATATCAATATTTTTATTTTTTTTTTATTTTGCCCCATTGAATTGTGTCCGTAGGTAAATATATTACATTATACGTATTTTCGCCTGTACCTACCTAGATCGTTTCAAACTATTATTTGGTTAAATATTATAATAAATATACAGCCCGGATTCAAATGTCAAAAAATTGTTAAAAATTCTCAAAAACAAAAAACAAATCACGTTTAGAAGTATTTTGAAACGAATTAACCTAGAGGTAAGGCACCTCCTAACAAAAATAAGAACATATTAGTCGCATAGCTTTGAATAACAATACAAACCAAATATACATTTTGACATCAGAATTTATAATATTCAAAGAATATCGAAATTACGTGTAGAGTAGTATTAGTTAGAGGAGGCTGTGATAGTTATCAATAACTGTGAGATGGTTTTATCTAAACTTAAAAATCGTCCCGTCTCGTTGCGTTTTTTTTAGAAATATATTGATACAGCAGAGATGAATCATTTCATGCGGAAAAAGATTCCACTGAGTGGAACTAAAGTTTTGACGTTCTTCTCGTCATCTGCAGCAGCTGCTCAGATTTCTCGCAATAATTTCACGAAAGGCGTCAAACCGAGAATAATGTCAAAAACGTGTACCTTTGGCGTTCAATTATGTATTAAATCTTAAGAACTGTGCCAGACTGAGTCGTCACAAAAAATGTTTCCCCGAGAGAAAAAAAAGGAACATCATTGTAAAAATTAATAATTCTGTCCGGAATATAACAATTAAATACGCTAACATTGTAATAATATTATTTTAAAATCATCACCATCGAAAAAGATTCTAATCGTTGTGGTCAAACATTTCTCGTTACATTTAAATTGAAAGTTTGATCAAATTATTTTAACAATGAAATTAATTGCAAATGGTTTTTAACTAATTTCAATCGTAAATTTAAAATTAAACAAGTAAAAAAAACTAAACTAAACTTTTTGTTTCAACGCCAAGCACCTACACATTTTAATTAAATATCTATTCTTAGTTTTTTAACACTGTTATTAAAATAATGTAATTCGTATAAATCGAAAAATAGAATGCAAAATAAATGATTATAATTAATACAATTTTCGTTAAAATTTGAATTTCAAACACCTGTAACACAAACATCGTGACTATAGATGTCAATATTTTTAGAACGCCATGGTTAACCATGAATTAAATTTTTTAATATTATGATAATCTAAACAAATTGTATCCGAATTTAACCAGAAAAAAAAATTATAACTAACTTAAATTACGCCAACATATTTTGTATAATATAATACCACGACTATAGAAAATGCTATTATAAATAAGTACTCGGTGGAAATTGTTTGTCTCAGCGATTATTTTTCACTTAACTACAACAAAAATAAAACAACTAAACTTTATTTTTGTAAATATGTTCGTTTTTGTCGCTTAGTAAAAAGAAAATCTAAATGTGACTTCATCATTACATACCTACTAGACAACATTTTCTACTAGATACCAACACACTCAACTAGGAGTTGACGTTTAAATAAAAGTTCGGAATCATTAAAGAAAATAACGATAGTTGTTGTATAACTTACATTATTGCCAGAAACGAAATCGGTTTAGGCAATTTAAATTGATACGAACAGCAATAGAACACGTTCGAACTTATATCTTCCAAATCGAAAAATAAAATTGATTAGATAGAAAACATAGACTTATTTAATTTATATAATATGTACACTATGAGAAATCATTGACAACGAAAAATAATTCGGCTAAAACAAAGTTGAAAACAAAGATCGGTTTAAAATGATATTTTACCACATCTAGAAAATGCTAATATAAGTACTATTTGAACATTTCAATTATCCAAAATCATTTTTAATAAGAAAAAAAAATCGAAAATAATGAAATCGTTGTTGGTTTTTCTTATATTTTTTTTTCGTTTTTCACGTTTTCCTCGGTTTTAATAGGAACATAAAAAACTTGCCTTCCCAATGAAACGTCTAAATGCTTAAAATTTGCTTTCGGAATATATATATGCAACACTGGAAAAACGGAACAATGTTTCAGACACGATAAAACGTTTAAAAACGCACACATCAAAATAAAACCAATACGTTCCTCGCTGCGCTCAGCATCTAAAATGATCGTATTGCATTAGGTATTTCTATTCTCACCGAAATAATAATCCAACATTACATTGTCTGCGGGAATAATAAATTATATTTGCGCAGTATTTATCAACGGGCAGAATAACTGGAGCAATAATAATATTTTGCTGTTTGGGAATACAGTATTACTGTTATAGAAATGTGCCACTAAATTAAAAACCCTTCAAACACACGTGTACTGTACACTATAACATCGAGCAACAGCTGCTGTACAATACGTGCATAATCAAATGCGGTTTTTTTTTTTTTTTTTGATCGAAATAATTCGGCCCGTTGGCTTACTGCAATAATATTATTATTTCGACCGCGACATTTTAATGTTTGAACAATGTAATATTTTGTTTAGTTGTTTTGTACCTATATAGACCGTAGTTATACGAAAAGCTTTTGGGAACAAATTTATTTTCATCGTGGACGGCCACAGCGTCACAGGGATTGCAGTGAACAAAACTCGAGGTCATCGCCCATGAGTGTGACACACGTGAATGTGGGGCTATATAGGGCAGCTAGGTATCATAGGTTAAACTAGACAACCATGGTAGAGAGAACAATCAATTATTTTAAATCACACCAAGAGGGAGGAGGTCACCATTTATCAGAGTTAGAAAAAAAAAATGCTATTTTCTATCCAAAAATATTTTTGTGGTGGGAATAATCCACGAATTTGGCCAAAAAAAATGTCTTTCCCTGTAGACCCGTGAATTTATATATAATGCCTATAATGGTAGTCGTTTTAGACATTTAGGACTGAAGTGGTAGAATAGGTAGGAGAGGTAGACAATATTGTGGTAAATATATTTCAAACTCTAAGCATAATATCCAATATTACACGAAATGGCACCCCATTTCCTTTTTCACCTTTCACATATCTTAAAGTCTAAGCAATTGCATTATTGAAACACTGTTCGCATCATTACTGTAGGCAGGTATATCATACTATGATTGAGTTTTATAAAACGTATTCGTCGACTAAATAGAATAAATTTTAGTGGGTGAACATAAAATTGAATCGTCGCGGGTCAGATTGAAATTTCAAAATTAAATTTATATGATTTCCGGGCCCCCGAATTTGTTTCTTAGATAAGTATAAAACTAATAACTGTCTATGAACGACACACAAGCGATTGACCTAAGAAGGGTTTAAAAATTCAATTCAGAGGAGAGGGAGCATAAAAAGAGATTCGAAATAATACTGTTTGCACGATAATGTCGGAAGTTAGCAATTGTATTTCATTAAAATATTCAAAGGTTTAATATTACGATTGTAATAATGTTTCTTATTATAAATATGAAACTTTCAATATTCTATAATATGTCTGTGAGGACTCAGATTTTTTTGTTACGCTCTAATAATTCTTTAAGCTTTATATTTTTCTCGGTGAGCCGTATGTAATACGAATTGATTCGAAGGAGAAAAAAACATTTATCTATTTATTCATCTTTTGGAGTATTATTATTATTGATAGAAAAAAAAATAATCTTTTTTTGTGAAAAATAACACATATTATTTTGCTTCAAATATCCGATATAATGCGTTTTAAACTTCAAATTTCTTAATATAATTTATTGTAAATTAAAATTGTGTTGGATAATATAATTGTTTATATGATAATATAGTGGAACAATTGAACTTGTTTTTTCTTATGAATGTATGTTTTATAATTTTACTATTTAAAACTATTAAAATCTAGGTCCAATCTCTTCAGATTGTATACATATAATTCGTCCAGAATGTTACCTGTATACAGTGTATGTACTATGATTTTTCACATGTAGAGTGTTCCACGAAGCTATATCATAACGAGATCTCGGAATTTTTCGACATTTTAAGAAACAAGCGGCTTTAAAATTTTATATTTCCATCAAATGTTGCTGACCACGTCTTTATGATGGTCTTTCCACTGCTTTATCATTGTCTAAACTTAATAGCGAAACATCTCGTTAACGAATTGATAAAAACTACAAATGTCAACAGTGACGTTTAGATTTACTGTTATCTATTAATGGAATATTTATAAAATAAGCTGTTATTTGAAAATCACAATCACCAACAGTGGTGGTTTCACCTTCGAAAATAAGGGTAACAAAAAAAAAAAAACGGTAATATAACATTTTAGAGCTATTCGGTTCATAAATAATTTATAAACAGAGTAGCTCGAAATTTCATACTTTCCGAGATATTGTAAGGGGATTTTTTTTGTAGGACAGTGTAAAATTATTTATTTTGTTTTTAAAGTGATATATTTATTTTTAATTTACCGGACTCTATTACGCGTATTTTTACGTTTTGTTAACTTTACAGTTATTTATTACTTCTCTACTAAATGTTGGTGCACGATGTGTTTTTTTTTTCAGTATATGTGTGACCGTGGTGGTGTTGAACGTTCATTTTCGATCACCACAAACGCACAGAATGGCACCTTGGGTGAAGCGAGTGTTCATTCATATCCTGCCCAGACTTTTGGTAATGCGAAGACCTCAGTATCAGTTTGAACCGAACAAGTAATGTATAAGATACCTATGCAAGATAACATTTTTTTTAAGAGAAAAATTAAATTATTATTTTCATCTCTTCATTATCAAAAAAAATTACTTTTTTAATTAATTAGCCATTTTGCAAAAATATTATTATTATAGAACATTTTGTTACCTATATCACTCATTCATATCCGATTAACAGTTACTTAGTTATAGTGGCTTTAATATGATATAGAAAATAGGCGTGAAAACAATTAATATTCAATAAAAGATAAGGAATGGCCGCGCTGAGTTTTAAAAAGTAGAAAAATAAAAAGTAATTGTATGTGTCCTCGTCATACAAAACCCGATTAAAAAAAAAAAAAATGAACATTTAAAAAGAGTTATTATCATAAGGATAACACTGTAAAACACTCTGTATAATACTATGATATATGAATAACAAGGTAAAATCGATACATCGGCTATTTGTATATTTTACACGTTAAAAATTAAATATAAATATCGAAAAATCGTGTGGACAAAATAAACGCGCGTAAACCAAAATTAAATTTGTAGTACGCTTGTTTTCTTTATTTTATTTTGGATTTCTCGCAGTTGGACCTACCTACCTGTCGTTCTGTTTTGGTATTCTGCCCGACAATTGTAATTTATAAAGCATTTACCTACACCCTTGTTAATAATAAAATACCTACGCCGTTAGAACAATTTATCAGTGTGGTTGAACATAATAATACGTTTAGATTGATGTATTTATTTAAACGTACCTACCCACTCGGATCTAAATAAAATTATATGGTTATTTTTATTTTTTTTTTTTTTTTTATCAAATATTTATTGGGATTCTAAAACCTGTACATTCGCCCAAATATATTTAAAACCTACTATAAATTTCCTTAACATGTTATTGTAATATATTTCTCGTCAAATTATATTATTTATTTTAAGAATTAACATAATGTTTTAAAAATTAACGTTTGAAATCTAAAAAAAAAAACCAAAAATAATGAAGTTCATTAACCGCGGGGATTGAATTTTAATCGTTTTAATAATATTTTTAATAGTAATTGTGCTCGTTACAATAATAGGCATTGCAAGTTACAATAAATTATAATTTATTTATTTATTATTTGTATATTTATTTGGCAGTATAAACGACGTAACAAGGGAAAAATTATAATTCGGCGTAATTATAATTTTTCTAAATGATGGTTTTTTTTTTTTTTTTTAATTAAACGTCCTACAGTTTTCGGCCAAATTTAGTAATTTAAATTTAACGTTATTCCCGTAATCCGATCAAGCCGAATTTTCGCGCACGCTTTTAGTATTATAATGAAAATACAAACTTCAAATATTAAAAAATTAAAAATGTTAATTCATATTATTTTGTTAGTATTATTTTATTCAAATTACATGAATGTAAAAATGCTCATGAAAAAAACTACATGTTAGGCCATAATGTACTATTACTACTATTAAACAGAAATCAAAAATCGCAATTACACAAAGTTTGTCTTTCTTTATTATTCCGAAGGTAGTTGACGGGCGTTTAGTAAACTATAATAGATACTGTTTTGTATGATAAAACACTGTACAAATATGGTACATTAGTACCTACAATAGGTATACCTATTAAATATGCATTATTATGTGTTATACACATACACACGAATACGCACACGCACACGCAAACACACAGGCAGCCGAAAAATCATAATAAATTATACTCACATAACATACTTTGATTATGATGGCGGTTTTTTTAAACGGATATAAATTTTGGCAAATATCAAGCAATCAAGATTCATTGAAATAAGGTTTTTAATAAATGACACGTAGAACTTCGTGCATGCAAAAAATAACGACATTTATAATAATTATTGTTTTATATACACACATCTATGAGTATAAATCATTTTAATTAATATCAGTCACATTGTTTACAGATTATGTTTATTATTCGCGTATACTTGCAGCTTAAAAAATAGTATTATACATTTCCTACTAAGACTTGTTAAACATTTTTGGGAATTTGCTGGAAAAAGTTTTAAAACTAGTTAAATATTAAAGTATATAGTACTAAATAAATACATTCCTAGCACTACATATGAAATACAAATTTTAAAAAGAAAAGTATCCGACAATATGCCCTATGAGCCCATGGTCATTGTTAGACATTTGTCGAATTGGTAGGCTAACAGATTCTGAAAAATTCCCCTTAAAGTGTCTAGTACCAAATTCCAATTACCAAGTACATACTTAGTACAATCATAATATTAAAAATGAACGGAACAATCGCAAAAATTAACATTTAATTCTCCAGTACTCGAATTGAGGAGAGTAACGCAGGGGGATTCCAAATCTCAATTATTTTTTTCAGACTTATTAGAGTTCCTTTATTATTTATTTATAGTGGGATGCTCGGGACGGTAGGTATACAGGCTGATAACTCTATCGTATTCATTATCTCGGAAAGTATTAACTTTTTTTTAGAATTTGTTTTATAGAAAATTTAAGAAACTAGTAGCTTTAGAATTTTACATTTACGTTTTTTTTTGTCCCCCTTATTTTCAGGAGTAAAACCACTATCTAATTTTGGTTTTCAAATGGCAACATATATTAAAAATTCCATAAATATTTGGAGTATTTATTAAAATAAATTTTGGTGTCGACATTTTTGATTTCCGTCAATCTATTGACGAGATATTTCACATTTAAGTTTAGTTCAAGGGAGAATAGTGATGCGTTACTAATACGCCGCACGCCGTTCCACCATACAAATGATCCTATGATCATTCTATGACCTCTGATAACTATGTTAAAAATAAGGAGGGAAATTGTAAGAAAAGACCTTGTATATACAAAATACATTTTTTTTCGTTCTAGTTTAGTGTTTTGTGTATGCAATAGATACAGTTTAGCTACAAGTTCAATTTGTTTCTACACAAAAAATATGATTGTAAAAGAAACGATTTATACACTATAGGTAGATGTATACTCTCAAAATAACAGACTTTAAGGAATAATAACTTTTTTGCCGTGGAAGTATTGTTTAAAAAAAAATTATCCGTCACTCATATAGGTATACTTTCTGAAGGATCATACATCCTTTAAATAATATACCTGCACCTTTAAATACATAGTTTTATAACCATTGGGGTTTTCCTGAAATGCGTAGAATAACATTTAATCTTAAAAAGAAAATATCAAAAGAAACAAAATAATATATGCAAACATATAAAATTTTTCGTTTACAGGTTAAAGAATATTGTTTTTCAACTATATAATATTACTAGCTGTCCCGCGCTCGGCGTTGTCCGTGGTAATTTTTTTTTTTTTTTAACCCTTATTCATTTTTTATTGGTTTTGGCCGTGTCAAAATTGAATGATAACAAACAGGTGGGTAGTGTGTAGTCCACTTTCGGCGAACTAAAAGTTTTCTATTGTAAAATCTTAATAGTGTAAATAATAATAGGTTATAATAATTTATTAAAAAATAATAATTATATAATTATAGTTTTCTTATCCGCGCGTGACAACCAAATATTTTATCATCCGTACCATACCATCTAGTCAACTTGAGCTTTCAAAAATGATGCTAAACGTAAAAATCTGAGCAAGTATACTAGGAAAAAGCGTATCCACAGATTGGAACAAAGAAGAAAAAATAAACGGCCTTGTAAAACCAGCAGCTCCCTCGCTACGCTTGGAATCTAAAAAAATAAATAAGAAATTGGATATTTATATTAAATATACCTAAAAACCACTATTTTACCACCTTAAGTGTTGAATTTTCAAAAATACTTTTATAGCGATTGTCAAAGTCATAACAGCTATCTGTGTGCCAAATTTCGGCCTGATCCGACCGATTGGGCTAGGTGATGATGAATCAGTCAGTCCGCCGGTCAGTCATTCAGAAAATATTATTTTATGTATATAGATTGATTATTATAAGGTTTATGAAGGTTTTTGAAGAAATATTTCTATCTATAACTCACTGATTGTTATTATGTATTTTCTGAAATTTATTCCGATAATGGAATCAACTTGAGAAAAAGAAAACAAAAATGTTAAATGACTTAATCGATATTAAACATAACTTAATTATGATGAAATGGTGATGGGTATTGGATAGAACTGTGTGATGGGCAAGAATTAAAGTATAGTTGGCCCTCGATATTGTGTGATAAAATAATATTTATTTTTAAGCATTAGTTTAAATAAAAATGTATTATTGTTATTCAAGATGGTCCGAAGACCGTTTTCAATATTATTTCTGACAACGATGCCTTGGTTATAGGTTCAACGCCGGTTCGATAATGCTGAAGGGTAGAGACATACATCCATGTTTCTTCCAGGCGGGTTGCGGGTACGACAGCGCTGTAGTAGAGTCCGGCAATGACAAGGGGCGCCGGCAAACCGACGACAGTAGCACGTCGAAAGGCACCAGAGAAACGTCCAAAGAAGATCTGTCCAGGTCGGTATACAAGTCCGCGTCCGCGTAATAAAATCATTTGTTGGTTTTTTTTTTCGCTGGACCGCTCTTACAATCAACAATATTATTATAATTATTTATTAGTAAATGTGTCGAAATTCTCTCAGAATCACGAAATGGATCCCTTTCAAAAACGATAATCATTATTATATTCTGAAGGTAGAGCCTTGTCGGTGTAACCAAGATTGTCTGTTCATTTTGGTTCATTTTGTTAGAGAAATTCGATAGGGTCATTTTCCTCTATCGTTTAAGCTGTTGATCTTAATATATACAGGTTGGTTCATTCGCCTTTTTAAGGAAGTTTCGCACCTCGAGGAGACGAGATTGCCCTCTTTACTGAGCTCATTTACTCCAAGGCCTTTCGACTTTGCAGAGTCGCTTCCTTATACCAGGAGACTTTCGGTATTCCTATTAGTCGCCTTTTACGATAGAGGGAACAGCTCATGATCTTATTTTAACCAGAGCACCACACTTTTCACACGTGGAAAACGATAATACAATATTAGTGTACATATATCGCACTGTTGACTCAGCGGAGGTGTCGGAGCGAACGTAAAAGGATTAACGGTCCTCCTTCGCAAAGCAGTGTCACTACCGCTGCCGCCGTCGTTTGAGTAAATTCGAGATATTTTTGCGACTCAAATCTCACCGGATTATTCGTTCGCGAGTTGCAGTTTTAGCGGCAATAATATAATAATAAGGTTCAACGATTTCGCCTGGTGACATTATTCGCATAGCTGGGTTTTTGAAAGTGATGCCGCTGACGCTTTTCCTGCCCACTCCCAAAAATAATTAAGCATTACTTTACGCTACTTATTATTATATTACTTTCGACGGCAAAATCTTTGACATTATCCTTGACGTGGCGTTCAAATAAAACACTTTGTGTGTTTTACGTGAACATCGCCCGCAATCGAGTTAAACAATTCACCGAATTAGGCACCTACCTATACATAATATTATAGGTTATTTTAAGTACCTACATTATAATGTGAACTGTTGAGTTGTAAGAACGCGCAACGAGTAAAATCTTTAATCGAGTAATATTAATAAAACTCGAGGGACTAACTAAACGAATTACAAAACTGCTGATGTATTATTACAATTAAATCGGTATGTATAATTCAAAAAAAAAAAAAAACGGGTATCTATTATTTCTAACAGTATGAAAAAAGTTCCCTTTTTGTTTCCAGCGCATCTATATTTACTTATATGGTTTTTCGAGAACTTCTATAGTTATACACATATTTTTATTTCTGTATAGTAAAAAAAATGAATAACATAAACCATATAATATATAAACAGTGCAGCTATCAGTGGATATCGGATTTCGGGGTAAACCATAAGATATCGAAGTATAAAAAATACAATATACATTATACATAACAGTAATCTTTATAACCTTTTAATATTAAATAAAAGACTAGCTTATACTTCAAAAAAAACACCGCAAGAATATTCAAAGTAAGCTATTTATTTTGTTTAATGTAATTTTTAAAAATATATTAATTTGTATATAGGAGTATTAGAAAGGTTTAACTAAATTTGTAATAAAAATTTAATCATAACAGTAAGTTATGATGACTTATTAATATTAAGACTAAAATAAAAAGAGCTGATACTGCTGATAGGAAATTGAGAAGGTAGGATAAAGTTGTTTAATTTATATCAATAAGAAACGATAAACCATTTCTAATAAAAAATAATTCTGAGCAAAGTTAGTTTATACACGGTTTGAAGCACCATAATATTTACGATTTTCATTAAACCTTAGTCTTCAAAATATTGTACAAAAATTAAATTTTCGAACATCTTACCACATCTAGAAAATGTAAATATAAGTTTTCTGTCAAATTTTTAGTCTACGAATATTTTTCACTGAATTAAAATAAAAAACAAAATTACAAATAATGAAACCCTATTATTTCCTTAAACTTTTCTGTTTTTTCTACGTTTTTCCGGTTTTGCTCAATTACTAAGAAAACTACTTGGGAAATTAAACAACGACTTATTTACTCACTAATAAGATTAAAAATATAATAAAAAAAAAGTCCCTTATCGTTTTTTGATTGAGGCAATGTTTCTGATAGAAAACATAATTAGTACAAATTAAAAATAATAAAATAGAAACGCCGTAAATTTGTCAATTTTTATTTTAGGTATTTTTCGGGTTTTTCCCAATTATTATGAAAACTGCTTGAAAAATCAAAGAATAATTTAATTCAATTAGCAACTAGATCCAAATTTCAATAAAAAAATTCACTTGGCATTTTCGATTAGGTAAACAATATTTCTGAAAAAAAAACATTGTGCGTATAAATTAAAAACAATGCAATCGGTAATGCTGTGGTGCACCGTATATATTTGTCGTTTTTCCTATGATTTTATTTCCGGTTTTTCCAAATTATTTTGAAAACCTCTTAGGGTATCAAAAAATGACATCTTGAATGTACCAACTAGACTCAAAATGCAATAAAACAGTTTTCTATCGTTTTTTCGATTGGGGCAAGTTTTCTGTTCAAAAAGTTGCGTACAAGCAAAGCTAAGAACACTCTCCCTTACAACAACATGGTGAAAATTCATATCGAAATTCAACCGAAATTCTATCACTTCAATCCACCAATAAAAATTATACTTTAGTTTTACAAATTTGAGCTCATTCGGACTAAATAGTTTAAATGGAAGTATTAGAGAAATGTCCAAAAGTATAGAGAATAATATATACCTATACATTATATAAATATATATAAATTATAGGTATATATAGGTTATATATATATATATATATATATATATAAATATAACACACACCATAGACAACGCTGCAACGGAATAGCCTCTGTTTTCGGTGAAAATTCAACAACAAAATATAGCGTGTGTATAACAAACAATATATTAACGATAGAGCTACCTACCTACACAGGAAGACGAGCACACGACTTTATTGCTTTTAGGGAAGGAAGGAAATTTATTTTATTCGTGTTTATTGTTTGCGCGAAATTTTGTTGAAGTATTTTACTGGCAGCCGTTTTATTTCCCTTTGTTTATGTAGAGTTGTTTCGAAAAAAACAAAATACGTTAAGTCTTATTCATGTTTCATGTTTCACCGTGGTTTTATAAGACATATTGATATAAAAACATAATATTATATTATACCGTGTCTATAGTCGTGCAACGATATTATCAGCCGGGTAAAAATACAAAATTAAATATAACTTTTCGATACTTCAATGTAATAACCTGAATTTTCACTCACTCGGTATAAACTGGAGTGATGTGGCACCGTCAAAAAGCACGCAATACTCGAATAAATACAAAAAATAAATATATGTATTATATATATATTATATGTATACTTAAGTTTCAAACAGCTTAAAAAAAAAAAAAAACAACAATAATAAATTGTACATCACAAAATAAAATTACTGACGGTTAAAATCATCGTTTACAATCTAAATGTTAAACGATTTTCACGCACGAATAAAATCTGTACAAAGAATTATTATTATTGCTATATATTATTACTCCCGACGTCGGGTATATTTTGAATGCGTAAACACGCAACTTTCGTAGTTCAAAACGTTTTGTTAATAATAGATAGTATGTTAAAAACGTTTATTGGGTAATTCAGTTTAAATATGTAACAGCGTAACACATTGCACACGAAAAATCAACTCTGAGCGGAGTTTAAGAGTAAAATCGGAATATTTTAAGATAAAATACTTACGTAATATTTTTACAGTGACGGCGAAGCAGGCAGCTGTCAAATACACGGCCCGCCATCACACAGTGTAATTTCCGATGAGATGTCCGTAACCGAGATGACGACAGACTGCAGCAAGAGCTCAATACTTCTCAGGAGCCCCGGATTCCTGCACTCATCCTGCCCGCCGGCCATGCATAAGTCGTGTTTCTGCATCCGGTTCATAGCGGAACACACGAAAATCACAGACGACGCGACCAAAGTAACTTATTCATCATCTAAAAACCTAAACTAAAAACTGCAAAAAGAAAAACATTTCTGCGTGATGATGACCAGACATGGGAATATTATTACAATCGCACAATCACTTGGTTATCTGCTGCGAAAATTTCAAAATTTCGAGCGTATCTCCCTTTTGGATATTCTGTAACACGTTACTATATGGTAAACCATCACATCGTTACTGTCCGTAAAATCATTTTTCGTAACGCATACACACGAAGAATTGAAATAAAAACTATGAATACAATTTTTTTATTATCTCGAATTTAATTAAATTTTCTCTCGGACGACCGGTGAAATGTTACGTCACCACTGACACAGTCCCGTCAATTTCATTCCGTAATATAGTCTCATCGGTTTCCATTGTGTTTCGGTATCGGATCCGGAAATAGTTATCCAATATTTGGATTAAAAACCACGGGAGACCTAGTGCAGAATTGTCGCCATACTCGGCCATAATAATATACGCGTATTGTGTGTCGCTTATAGTATTTTCAAACCGTTTTCAAGTTTGCGATATTTTAAGAACCTATTTATAACCGTATCCGCCCATTTAACGTGTTGTCTGGCCGTAAACCCGACAGAAACTTACCTATTATAGAGAACTATAGAAACTATAATAGTAGTCTATCCCGTTCGGGAAAGTGTACACTGCAGAAGTATAGTAATAAATAGACAAACGCAACACGCAGTTATTATATCGTTAGAAACGAAAATATAATAAAAGCCGGCTGTGCGGTTTCTCTCGCGGGATATAGAATCTATTGGGCGCGTGTTTCTGAACGTGATGCCTCGAGATATTCCCGACGTTTTATACCCAAATGGCTTGCACTCCGGGGATCGCTTTCCGCCGTTGTCGTTACAAATCGAACCGACTTTGTTCTATCGGTTCGTAATTCAATCATCGTTCCGAATTTTCCGTTAATATAGCATGTACATTGTACAGAATGATTACTTTGTCAACGAAGATTTTCAACATTTCACCCGAATAGGTACCTACCGGCAAAACACACGTTTTTATTTTTGAAAATTAATTCTTAAAATATAAAAATACGATCATTGTATTTCTACGCTAAAATGGGTGTATATTTTTTATTTGTTTTAACGCCAAGTTAAATTGTTAAATTATAAATGTATCGCAATAATTTCGTAGTTATGTATGTTTTTATAATACAAATCGATAATTTTCATTAATGTTTGAATTCTACGTTTTTACGTAAAAAGTTTATGGGGTAAGCATTTTTTTTTTTTTTTTACACCCAATAATATTAATTCGTGGAAGTCTCTACTGAAAACATATTTTATAATGCATTTTTTAATCACTTTATTTTACTTATAATATATATATATATATATATATATATATATATATATATACATTAATCAAATACTTTTCATGACATTTTAGGTATATTATTATTATTTTTTTAATTATTTATAAATAATGATGAAATGTTTTTAAAATATCGTAAAACATGATTATTAAATGATTTTGTAATGTCTAAAAATTTCAAGTCTCTTCGGAATCATTTGATACATACAGAATTTTGATACCTTTTGGGGAGACCTTGTCTTCCCTAGCCCCCCCCCTATCACCACCAATATTGTTTATGATAAAATAATCATGCTGTATTTCGTAATTTTTGCAGGTAAAAGAAGATTGGAAGTACGTCGCTATGGTCTTAGACAGGCTGTTCTTGTGGATATTCACTTTGGCCGTGTTCGCGGGCACAGCTGGTATTATTTTGCAAGCGCCTACACTGTACGACGATCGGATACCGATTGACAAAAAGTTCAGCGAATATCAAACGTAAGTATAAAAATAAAAAATAAAATAAAAATGACCATAATAATGACGTTAAAACGTCAGTCGTAATAATTAGATGTATTGACAGTTTCCAAGCGGATTTATATTGCATAATAAAATTATATATACCGGGGAAAACGAGATTTTTGAGATTGATATAATATGCCTCGGGAAACGTTTTTAATTTTTACGAGGACATCGAATCTGCATTTGCTACAAATATCTTTCTAATGAGCAACTTATGTAACCGAAATGTGCTTTCATAATTTTACTTTAAATTAAAGTGCTCAACCATTGTCATAACTAAACGTTATTTTGGTGCCAAAATAAATAGGTATAACACGTTTTTTTGGTGTTGATATTATTGTCCAAACTAATTTGTATTTAGATATCACAAATTTCAGCTTTAGATGAATATTTGCCCATTTCAAAAAAACTATTTTTCGCTTTGCTTGTGAAGAAATATAGACATGTAAAATCAATATTTATCAAGTGAGATATTTTAATGGGTACTTATTTGAAATTATGCATGGATGGATGGGCTTTTTAAATATTAGCTGCTTATGGATATGCACACAGGTTTACGCAGAAAGAGATTTTTTGAAAACAAAACCTTTTTCGTTTTTGAGTATGGAATTTTGAATAGAAAGGGGAGAGTAGTCTCAAGAAGAGTTCTTGGGGAATCATACTGAGTTACCGAAATTAAAATAGTATCAAAATGATTTTTAGGACTAACGTGGTCCGAATACGTATACTATTGAAAATACGAAAATAAATCTTTGTTAAATGATTTTTTGTTAGATAATATTATAGCACCTGCAAATTCAATGTTCTCTAAAAAAAAGGCATTATTAAAATAATGTGTAGATTTAAAAAAAAATGTTTAGCTCTTTATAGGATTTCACGGGTCATATTAATATTATCGATTCATTGAAATAATTAACAGTAAATAAATTATTAAAATTCGTTTTCATTGAGGGCAATGTTCAATTATATTACTGTAGTATGTACCTGTAGTTTGTATCGTATACTAAATGATAAATTTCTTTTTCACAGTCGGATTATATTAAAAAATAATCGAATCGGTTTAAAAATTATAATAACGATGATAATATAAAATTATTTATAATTAATATTTTACCACGATATTATTATGCGAATAATATTAATCCGCTTTGAAATATTTCAATAATAATGAAAAAAAAACAAAAAACAAAAACATTTTACTTGCAGATCACCTAGCATAAGGAAGCGACTGAAGATAGGACGTTATTGAAATAAAGTATATATTTATAGGTACTTAAAACAAAAAGCATGATAGCAGGAATTAAATTTATATTCCTGCAATATTTCCAAATCATTACTACTAGTTTTTCTTATACCTACAGTAGATTCGTCGAAAGTATACCTACTCACCCGCCATGCCATACATGTACACAGTTTTGATTTTTTTCTCTATAGGTACATTATAAATCTAATTTGACATATAATATGTATCATAATATTTTTGTTGCATTTTAACGTTCACTGGTATATTATTGTATCTAACTAGCTGTTGTACGGTACCGTTTTTGTCTATCGCGAACACAAACGGTTTTACAATCTGTGTAATTGATATCTATTGAAGTATATTTAAAATAAGTTTTTTTTTTTCAAACACATTTATTGCACACACATATCTTAAGTATAATTATGATTTTTATTCAACGTGTAGATATTTACATTTATTAGGATATATATTGTTTTTAGCATTTCTGAACACTTCACGTGTTCATCGGGTGCAAAATACAGTATGTGTATAGAATTTTTTTTGTTTTTTTACCAGATTTTATGACAGTTACAAGCTGTTATAGAACGTAAAATCTGCAAAATAAGTGCTTAGAAATTACTTACTAAAACTCAAGTTAGGAAACAAGAACCTTAATGAGTGTTCACTATGGTGATAATAGGTGAATTCTCTCGTCTATATTTCAATTTTAAACTGTTGTAATTCATAAACGGTAAAACTGATATTAGTGTCACACATAGGTATAAACATTTGTAAACAAATATTCTCTATTCAAATCTGTGTTTAAAGGGAGAAGGGAGAATAATTGAAAATCACAAGTGTACGCTCATTTAAGATGCAAGTATTAGGGGTTGAAAATAGAAAATAATGTGAAAATAAACCTATACAGAAACAAAATTTATTTAAAATTCTCACCCGTATATTTATAGTTTTACAATTTTAAACCTATTGCAGTCGGATAGCAAATTATTAGCAAGTTTGTTTGATAGCCGATAAAAATCTCTGAATAATTTTGTTTTATAAAACGTTGAACCATGTTCAAGTTAAATTTTTAACCGGTAAGAAAACACCGCGTAATCAACCGACTGTGTATAAATTTCATTTTTGTACGTCGCGCATCGTCGCTGAGTTAGCCCAGCGGTGTTATTGTAACCCCACCGAATAGGTCACCTACGTATTATTATTATACGAGTACGTTTATTATATCCTAAGTATTATATATATACTCTTATCCTTAAAAAAATAATAATAATAAAACCGACACCGACAAAATTGAGACAATCTGAATAATATATGCCTACACATTTTATTATTGTATTTTGTTCACCGTGTTTACAATCCATACTATTGTATAGATGCGCGAGGGCAGGAAAACAAAACAATATCCGGAACAAGAACACCGGATTTTGAAAAATGTTGCATACTTACGCTGTATCACGCTATTTTATATTAAATTTATTCCTTTTTTTTTTAGTGAAATATTTTTAGGGTAAACGTGTTCAATGATAAAATGTTCTGTGACCGCTTTATTGTGGTGCAGTTATACGTATTCACAGATAGAATCTCACGGTTGTTAGTTGAGATTATTCCTTTATGAATTCGGATTATGGAATTTTTTAATTTTAAATGTTTTTTATTTATTTTTATAAAATATATTCGCAAAATCATTTATTTGACACATTCGCTTATTGCAGCAGTATACTTATTTTATATTTTAATAATATTGTATAACAAATTCAATTACAGTATTTCCATATTCGATTTCGATAAACATTTAACATTTTTCCATCAAAATCTACCATTTGCAATTATTGCAGGTTTAGTCGATGATAAAAAAAAAATACATACATCAGTATTAGTATAGGTTTATATTTTCGTAATATCCCATTTCCCGATACGGAAAATTATTATTTTTAAATGCAAACAAATATTACTATATTATGTTTATTTACATTTTGTTTTATATACTAAATTATTATTAATACTATCAATTATTATTATCATTACTATTTTATTTTTATCATAATATTATTGTCACCCGCACGCGGGTTGTGTCAACGTTCCAACCGCCCAGAGAAGTGGTAATATTTTAAAATTTTAAAATTTTTGGAAGAGGGGGAAGGGAACTAATAATATTTATTTATGTAAATATTAAAATTGGAAAAAATTCAAAAAAAGTTCAATGTGAAAAAATGTGAACATTCTATTGCGTTGTCTCCTGGTCGACTATACGTGAATACAGTGAATGTTCGTAATTATTCGACGCGAAAAACCCAAACAAATTTGTTTGATCACGTTCGGGGCCGGATTCGATATACCGCGTTAATATCGCCGTATAAGATAATAATAATATCACTGAAACTCGCCGTGCCCGTTTTAAAAGACTCGAGACCATATCGTTCCGTCATCGTTACAGTAAATATTATATATAGTGGTTCGGAAAAATAATAATAAGTCATCTTACATAACGCTGCACTTAGACGTCGAGTGACAATATCCGTCGACATAATATTGTTTGCACCCGTTGAAATATTTTTCAAAACGCCGTACGCAACGTATCCTTCGTACACACATATACGCATATAATATCAATTTTCCAACAGTAATAACAATATTACACTATGTCCATATTGACACGTTCCGCACGATATCATATTGCAATAATATTGCATCTGGGTTTTGTTATTATGACAAATACAAAAAGGCAGTAATTTTTATTTTTTTTTTTTTTCGAGAATACTGCGAACTTCTAATGCTTCTCTCTGTATGTGTTATTATATTTTATGACTTTCCTGCGGGGCGTATACTTCAATACTTATTTATCTACTTTAATAATTATTCTTAACACTATCGTTTGTCCGCCTAGACGATAAAATTATTCGGGTGGTACGCTGTCGGTATATCCTTACATATTTACGATCATTTATAATAAACTTAACGTTGAGAATTCGATACATCGAGTTAACCACGGAAAAAAAAAATTTCCGCCCTCCGTCCAAAAGTGTATTATTGAGGTAGGTATAATTTGAAAAAAAAAAATGGTATATTTGGGGCGATTGCTAATTTTGTTTCTAAAAAATTTAGTTAACTATTAATTTAATAATTTTTTTGATTTTGCTGATTATTATTGTTATTATTATCTATTAAATTTATTTTGCACATAATTACATATTTTGATGTTAAAAGAATATATTGATATAAAACCACGTGTTTGCATATTTTACTAATATTTTTAGAGTATATTACAAGCGTATATTTAAATTTTTAAGAGAAAAAAAACATCATATTCTTGCTATTTGAGTGGTGTTTTCCCTGACAATTGGAAAATCTGTTCCATTATTCCGATTTTAAAATCTGGCGACCCATCGAACGTCACCAACTACCGTTCTATATATATTCCACCTCAACTAGGCGAAATTTTCGAACTAATTGTGTTTAACAATATTAAAAGATCATTTAATCATGTTTTAATTGATGAACAACACTATTTCCATCATGGTAAGTTAACAATTAGTAACAGTGTTGTCTTTACAACCTACATTAGCGATTGCCTTGAGGTAGGCAATCAGGTTGATGTTATTACTACTGACTTTAACAAAGCATATGATACAGTCGACCACGAACTATTAATTAACAAATTAGAATGCTTGGGTGTTGGCAATCCATTGTTATCCTGGTTTAAATCATACATCACTGGCAGGAAACAATTTGTTTCTGTTTCGGGCTCCTGTTCTGAAATGTATGCTGTTTCTTCAGGTGTTCCTCAGGGTGGCCACCTTAACCCATTATTATTCTTTCTTTTTGTTAACTCCTTATCCCAGTGGCTTACACAAGTTAAAATACTGCTTTATTCTGACCATATAAAAACATTTCATCAAGTTCGTTGTCCTGATGATTCTTTACTGCTCCAGAGCGAAACTAAACATATTCTCTAAATGAGTTTCCCACCTTGGCCTATCTTTAAATTTAGCTAAGTGTCATATAATTTCCTTCTCCAAAATACGCTGCTCTACTCTTTCTTCTTATTTTCTCAATAGCTTTAATTTAGAGCGCGTTAATAGCATTAAAAACATAGAATTTAATTACTCGGCCAATTTCTGCTTCAGCTCTTACATCGCCATTGTAGTGAATAAAGCATTAAAAATTCTCGGGTTTTTCATCCGTAGAACAATATTGTTTAAATTTGTTAGGTGTTTATGCACTTTATATTTTTCTCTATCACAACTTGAATACGGCTCAGTTGTCTGGAAACCATACCTAGCAAAGCAATTAATTCGTCTATAGTGCATACAAAATACATTTTTAAGCAGCTATTAAATTTAATATACAAATTACGCTCCTCGGTTATTTAAACATACAAACGCTAACCACCCGCCGTGATAAAACTGACTTGGATTTCTTAGAAGCTCTTTTAAACTGCTCTTGTACCCGATGTACCCGATTTCCTTGCTCTTTTGCAATTTAAAATCCCAAATTATTCCTCTAGATTCCAATTCTGATTCTTTATTCCAACACATAAAATCATCTATGGTCACAACCATATATTGCATCGAATGTTAAGGTCCACCAATAACGACTAATACTTTATGCCACGTACCTCATTAATTTTTCTTTTCAATATTTTTCAATTATTATAATATTAATCACTATTTATTTGTTTATTATCTTTGATGTATATATTTTATTTTATTATTTATTTATGTTTGTATCTAATTGTATCCCTTCTATTTGTATCTAATCAATAGTTTATTAACTATTGATTAATATTTATTATTATTACTAATAATTGCATACCCTAATAACATTTTTACATTTTACAATTTAAATTTGTATGTAAACAGTTGTATCTGTTATAACTATGTTCAACTGCCATCCGGCGTAAATAAGCTTATGATAATAATAATAATAATAATAATAATAATAATAATATAAATCCGCGCTCTACTCATGACAAACCTTGTAACTATATCACATTTTTTATCATTTGTATACTCAATAAACTAAAACAACTCAACATTTTAAATATCTAGTTAGGTATATAAATAACTCAAAATGCAGAATATTTTAAAAAATGTTACCACTTTTTTAGAAATTGCTAATATAAGTATTGTTTTTCACTAAGTTACAATAAACATAAAAAAAATATCAAAATGTGTTGAAACTGGACATTTTTCAGGTTGTCTCTATTTTAAGAAAAGTATAAAGAAAATCCAAAAATTACCACCCCAATTTACCATTTAGACAAAATTTGATACTAGAAACCACTCCTGTTTTCGATAATTAACGCAAGTTTTCTGCAGATCAAAGATTACTGACTGAACAAAAAACAAAACTAATTGTACATCTCTCGCCTAATTCAGAATTTAAAAACAATATTTGAAATAATAGCTATAAACATGACGAAACAAGTAAATCTAGAATTATTGCTTGATTTAAAAACTAATAATTTGGCGTATAAAGTCAACAATAATTGTGTCCGTCTACAACGTGTATTTGCACCAGAGAAATGTTTCAATGGTTTTTTTTTCCGATATCCAATATTTGTTACCCATATAAAACGTACACATAGATTAATTTTTTATTTCATATGTGTAATGCTATAGCACAATAAAATAACATAGTTGTCAATAATTATAGAGACGAACACATGTCATTATTGTAGATTTTCGACTGTTAAAGTCTGAAAATGAGGAACCGTCTCTTCAAATGTCGGTTTTGAGTTTAAAAAAAAATTGAATACCTGATATTCCGATATCATGGATCGACTGATGCCGAAAATCACTAATCACAATACCATAAATATAATATATTAATTTTGTAATTCTATCCACTTTTATAGCAACACTATAATATATTATTTTCGCCTGAACGAAAATTTATCACGATTATAACGCAAATTATTAATATTATTACAATAACTCACTATGAAAAGTATTTTTTAGTCCTAATCTCATATACGAAAAGTTTAATAATAATGTATCATATTGTCGTTGTTTCAGGTACACGTCATACAGTTTGTCACAACGCGAAGCTACTTAAAAAAAAAAAAAACCAAATGATGTCATTGTTGTTGCAGTTGCTGTTGCAGCAGCGGTTTGTATAATAATGTTATCGTGTTAGCAAAAAAATTAAAATTAATTTTGTACGGTTAAAAAAATTGTTGTATACCCAGTTTTGTTACAAATTTACAATAACACATAATAATAATAACTACAACAATACCAATAAAGATAATAACAATAATAATAATAGTAAAATATTGAAAACTGCACGATTATGTTGAAAACTTCAAAGTATGGAAAGTAAAATTGTATACCTATTAGGTGTACTAAATCTATGAAACGAATTTTTACGTTACCTAATATTCAAAATTCAAATGGTGATCATTTATTTGGCTCTAAATATCAGGTGAATATTCAATTAACTATTAGAATTGGCTTCCAATAACATTTTCAACAATGAGGGTTATTGTCAACATTTTTTAAACGAATTTTTTTCTAATTATATAAGTTTTGCCAGAGTGAGAAAACGTTTTAACGTTTTTACGTTTTTTTTTTTTTTTTTTTTTTATTGTTTTATGGCTTATAATTTTTTTAAATTTAATTAGTTCAAAAATATCGGATTTAAATGTGCCTTACCGAATACTAGTTACAATAAGGATACCAAACTAATAAGTATATCACGGCAATGTGGTTAATATCTCAACTACCGTAGTATGATATAACTACCATATATAACGTTATCAATCTAAGATCCTCCAGTCATAGTGATAACCTACTAAACCAGAAACCGGGTATAATACACGTTTGATTCCCGTCAAAATAGACCGTTGAGCATATTTTTTTTAATTTATGGATTTGTGATAACAATTTTTAAAAGATTGTTAAGTCAAAATAAAAAAATTATTTCACTTTCAATGTTACTGTGCCCTTGAAAGGATTCAACGTAAATTCTTATTGCTTCTTATTTTTTTAAATTTCCGTGTACTCCACAATCCACATGATTATTTCTATTTGAAAAAATTGAATTTATTAAGTTTTAAAGATCATTTAGCTGATACGTTGCAAGTACTCGTATTTCATTTGTTACCAAACTTTTATCTAACTCAATTAACAGTCCTGCTCTCCTTTAACAAATACATTTTAAAGTTCCACCTTACTAAATAAATTCTTCCTTTTTATACAGTTTTCCTCATCTAACTATCTATTAAACTCTCTTTTCATGTCCATGAGAACCCTCATCCTTTCATTATCCGTAAACTAGCAGACGTATCGTACATTTATTTACAAAATTGAAATGCTACTTATATTTTTCTGTCCCGGCCGGTTATGTTTTAAAAATAATATATATTCTTGATTTTTAAATTAATTAAATTTATATCAATTTGAACAATTTTGCTACCAATGAATTTACGAAGTAAATGTTAAACAGTCAAATTTTGGGAGCCAATTTCTGAGGTAAAAATATCGACTACCTCGGTTTGGGAGTCAATTCAGTTGCACCCATTCAAATACATGAACTTACGGGCTTTGATAAATAACTTTTCATGTATTTGTGCATTAAAATGTGTGCTAAATTAACAAATGATTCAGATCTATTTATCAAGTAACCTACCCGTACAATTTATACCTAATTAGTTAATAATAAATTTAAAAAAAAAAAAATGAATTTATTACAAATTTTCATTTTCATAAAATAACACCTGCCTTCCTATCTATAATATGTATACGAACCGAGATAATGTTTAATGATGTGTGTACATTTCGGGAAGGTTTACAATCGTCCTTTTTCATGTTCCAAAATTATTTCCACGATCACGTTCGACGTTCACCTCGTTTTTCGTCAAGTATATAAAAAAAAAACATAAATCAGTAAAAAAAAAAAAAAAACTACGATAAAAATAGTTCTTGTACCGTTGGACTTATCGACGAATTATTCAAAATACGAAAACCTAAATAACCCTCAAAATTGTTGAAAATCGCATCTTCAAAGATAGTCGTGTACGTGTCGAAAATATTTTTTACGCTTATTATTATTACTATTATAATTATTGTTATTATTATTTGTATTTTTATATAGTCGTGCCGGTTTCGTATTCGTACTTATGTGTATACCTGTGTATATGTAAGTGTTAAACAATATTATACAATAATAATATTAATAATATTTAGATGGCCACGGTGTAGAGTGCCTTAAACGTAAGGAAAATAATGTAATCTTTATAGCCTGTACAATAATTACCTATCGTGTTATATTTATACTCGATGAATAATATTATGCTAGTCGTGTTATGGAATAATTATTATTATTTTTGTATACATTTCGGATAAAACGAAAAGTGAACCATGAAAACCGGACGCTCGTACGCAGATATTACAAAAAACGCTTGCGACGGAAAGCGGATGAGTACCCATCACTTCTTGTGTTGTTTATTACGCCGAGAATAATGTGTCGAATGGTCTTCAACGAGAAAGGATTCAAGTCAATTTTCGTCATTTATTTTTTACACCACTTGTGTGTGTGTGTGTAATTTTACACGTTGAGAAAAAATCAGCAAACAAAAATTTTAATCCGGTTCTTGTTCTTTCTTATCTACAGTATTTATCTCTCAAAATGTATATTTGATATCCCCCTCCCATTGTAATTTTCAAAATTAATAAATATATGATAAAAATAGTAATAGTAAGTTCGATAAGTGTATAATGTTATAAATAAAACCACATGGTTTCAAAAAATATAAACGAACTTGAAAATAAAATATTTGTAATTGTTTTTGTATTTTGTTTTTTCTTTTGTCTCTTGAAAATATAAAGAAATTGACTTGCGCCCTTTATTATGAAGACCATCCAATTATATCTTTTAATTCTTTTCTTCATCACTCGTGTAGTTGTCTGTAAAGCATTTATTAAAAAAAAAAAACAATTGACGACAATAGATTATAAATTATTATGATACTGATTTATGAAATATAATTTTTGAATACACTGCCATCAAATAAACGATTCGTTTTGTTATTTTTTCAAACTTACAACAATTCAGCACAAAATAATTATATGAAATTACGAATTAAATATTATGAATAAGTTCAAGAGGCCTGCGCAAATAGAAAACCGTCATTGAAATATATCGAAAATGTAATTTTATAAAGCTTAGTTTTTATTAAATTACTTTGATTTGTGCTGTTGTTATGGAACAGTACTAGGACAAACGGACCGAAGTATCTGTCCAGTTTTCTACAACAAAAAAAAAATGTTTTGAACGTAACGATAGTCCCAATATTTATGATATTGATTGTATTACTATTAATATGAAATGTCTCTGTTCAAAAGTTGTTGACCTCGTCCGACAGACGATAATTATTAATTTGGACTCTTCATCCCTACGTACGTGCGAGCGTTCGGCTTTACACACTAATATTATATTATTATGTCGTGTGTTGTAAATAAATAATTGCGAATTTCTAGAGTTTACGTCATGATAAATGGGCAGCTGCGATTGAATAAATGGGAACCAAATTTGGAATTCCGCACTTATATAGATGAGTCATATTGTTAAGATAATAAAATTATGTAAAATAGAACATTATTATTGCTCAATGGCTTTTATTTTCAATATTTGTTGTTCTTTTTTTTTTTAAAAAAAAAAAAAAAAACCATTAATACCATGACGTTACTGATGAGAGGATACAATTTAACTTATAGATAATAAATGATTATATTATATTATAAAACTACTATAAATGGCCCAAAAAGTTGAAGATAATTTCGACGTCATTTGTCGTGTGGTGAATGTTATTTACATCTGTTATCAATATTATCGAGGCAATATTGCGATAACAGTTTTATATTATTATAAATCTAGGCTGAATAAACAAAACATTCTTCAATTAAAAATCAATGACGTGAAGCAATGAATAAAATAAATTCCAATTGAATTGAATTGAAAAAAAATAATTTTCATTTACTCAAAAAATTATCGTTCAAAATATTCAACATTTAGTAATAGTTACATCCTATTATTTAATTTTTTACATATTATTATGTACACAATTATAAATTTCAATAAATATTTCTAGAGTTCGGAATCTAATGGTCTTTTATGCACGAGAAAATGAATAAAAATGTGTGCACTTATGCACTAAAAATTAGCTAAATATGAGACGATAAAGGAATCCAAATTTAAGGCGAAAAGAAAAATTATGTTTAGAAGAACATTGAAACAATGAGGCCGGAAACCTGATAGAGGGCAGCTGTTGAGAAGTGAGAACGGATTTAGGCGGCAGGTTATTGTGCGTGGCCTCGAGGGCCGACACCAAACACAAGTTACATTTGTAGAATAGTAGGAAATTCTCCACACGCTACAACTGACGCGAAAAATCATCGAAAACACAATTATCAGACGGCCGTGTACTATAGTAGTTGTACGATAATGATAATATAATATCTATGGGACATAAAATAATACCTAATTTAAAATTAGAACGCGTGAACTATGATGTTAACACGGTAAGAATAATATTATATTATTGTTGAACGGTTGTAAGTCGTATGCTTACGACTAACCGGTAATTTACGTTTAGATTTAAATATATATATATTGCGATGGCGTTTAAAATGAAACTCGCATATAGTTTCATGTAGGACTATGATAATATTACTATAATACAGTATTATAATTCTACGTAATGTATAAGGAAATCGTGTGAGCTATAATATAATATTCGCGTTTTTATGCATGTGCGCTTAATGTGAATACCGTATAACACACACAAAAAAAAAAAATATATGTAATAATAATAATAATAATACGAAAAGTGCGAAAATGTACGGTTGGTTTTAAATGTATAATGTTCTTTACGAAATTATGTAGTACGAGTTCGATCGTCAAGTATAATGTACCATTTACTACGGCCCGTGTGTCAAGTTTTGTTTTTGATTTTTTACCGTGTTATATTGATTGATGTGATTATACGAAATGCGCGTCTTGTTAGTATAACAATAATAACAATATTATAATTTGTTTGTGAACTTTTCTGTTAACGTAATTATTCACATATTATAATATTATATAGAATGAAATGTAACGCGGACATAATATGAAAAAGACGGAAAAAAAATAAATAAAATATAGCGTATAACCCGCGAATATATAGTTTTTTTTTTTATTTTACAATATGTCGGATCATCATTAGGTAGTAAATTAATGCGAAACGATAGAAAAATATAGGTAATTTAATTACTTACCTGACGATAGCCTATGGCCAAACATGTTGTGAAATAAAAAAATACGCCTGTATTGTTGTGCAGTAATACTCGCGGTTTATACAAAATATTTTATGTCATCATCATAGATGAGCATTAGGTCTTTTTATTAAAAAAAAAAAAAAAAAAAAATTACTTATAGACACATACAAATATACATAATAATAATATTTTATTGTTAATTTCGCGTTTATTCGTTTCCTGATTTGCATTCCTATACAGGACTGCGGCGTTATCAATAATATTTTGACCGCTGCTCAGTGTCGGATCCACGGGGATGATGGACGATGTGATGACTGTCCCCAGCCCGTTCGCAAATATACCCTTACTCTTATTAGTGCCGGATTGCGTATAACTATACGGAACCGATAGCCGATTATCGGTTCCGTAAAATTAAAAACCGTTATGTAAATTTAAAAATTGTTAATACAAAATACACACGAATAATATTCTTTCTTGTCTAATTGTGACTAACAAAAAACGTGGACACTCAGACAGTATCAGTCATGGCTAATTGTGTTTTAAAGCAAAAACGTTTTGTTTTGACTACGACTTATCAGTGTCCGTATGCAATGCAATTTCCTATGTTCTATTTTTAACAAAACTGTGTTAGGCCGACTAACACAGTTTTGCTCTTTTGATGTGCGGCCGGCCTAATGATTATTAACACATAACTTACAACCATAAAGAAAAAATCAATGCAGATAAGACATTCCTATTTAAAATATGAAAAACTTTTATGCAATACAAACTGTTTAATACCTTGAATTTAACAGACCCGTGGATCGTGGACCCAACAGTTTATAGAGCGGTTTGTATGCAACCCGGCATAGGTATAATATTAATCATTTTATAATTATCTATTCTAACCTAACAAGACGACAACTGAATCTTTTACAATGGTGTACATATGAATACAACATTTAATAACGATTCAAATAACGATGAGTATTTTGAACAATATTTTTGAGAAACTTGACTAAATCCGCGATCGCTGTCGAAATTTTAAAAAATGTGATTTTTTAATAGATAATTTAAATTAGTAATAACTCCGAAATGATTTACAAATAGGTACCTTTTTAAATTTGCAGTGTCTCAAAGATCCTCATAGCTAAGATTTAGGTAAGTTATGGTTCTATCAACAACGTCGATGCCAAGAATATATTAATAAATAAACGTTAAGTAATTTATAATAATATTATAATCAACTTTTAGAAAATTATCAGTACATTTTCTTGCCCCTCCAGATATTTTTATTTTATATACTTATTAATTGTATATTAATACAAGTTTATTAATTATTTTTTTTTTTTAAATGACAAAATTTATAAAATAAAAAAAAAAGACGTCCTAGTATAATGAGGACGGGTGCAGCCACTATTATAGATAATTTAATGCATACCTGGAAGCAGCAATAAACCATAATACCATAATTTTTTAAATTATTATCGAAACTTAAATGGTTACAAAAAACTATTGCGTTTGATTTNAACAATATTTGTACAATGTGGTATCGATTTTTCCCAGTTTTCCTACGTTTTTCCATGTTGTATCGAGGTTCTTCACATTTGCTGAGAAAACTCTTGGGTTAATCAAAAAATAACCTCTTTAAAGTATCTCCCTAGTGAAATTTCCTTTTAGAAACATTGCTATCGTTAAAAGTTTGAGCAAAATTGCTAGTGGAGATGATGCGTACAAATAAAAAAAAAATATGTATAAACATCTTTGTAAGACCATAAGCTTCTTCGCTCCACTCGGAATCTAAAATTCTGGTAATAATTAATTTTGTACGCAAAGAAAATATATCTGGCAAATAATTATAATAAAAAAGAGCTGATGGGTGTCCCATTATGTAGGTGGGACGTTGAGAAATTGGGATACATTAAGTTAATAAATCTATAAATGTTTGCAAAAATAAACTATTGCTGATGTATGTAGATTCGATGTTCACTTAAACATGTTTTCCAATACCATAATTTTTTAAATTATTATCGAAACTTAAATGGTTACAAAAAACTATTGCGTTTGATTTTTTTGTGCGACTTATTATTATAACTTATGATGAGTCTCAAGTAAAGTTGTCGAACATTGTTACTCCTGGGTGTACTAGTAATAGTCATAATTATTATCAAGTATTTACCCAAGTACTGTATTATTATATAGTCGATAACTGCAGTGAAAACCGCATTAGTTCAATAAATTGTTGGTGAATTTATACTACACACATATATATTTAAATTAATGATTTTAGATTTTAATTTCATTGGTTTGACAATATTATCAGGGATGCTATATCGTGTGAAACACATAAAATAAAATAATATTCTATATTACAATTCATAACGAAACAATATCGATAGGTACGCGACGTCGCGAATTCGTAACAGCAAATTCCATCCGACTGATCATTCGGGTCCGTTTACATCACAGGTGTCTGCCGATAATCAGTTCCGTAGAGACCGCGGTGCGGGCGGTTCATTGCACCAGGGCCCCTCGCCTCAAGTTCTTGTACGGGGCCCATGTTTAAAATCGTTTAAGTACCTATACCGGTAACAAACCATCTCGATACATGTATGTAGGTCTCGAAAGATGCACACGACAACCAATAGGTATTATACACAATATTGCGTGTGTGCGGGCGACCTCCGGGACCGGCGGTAGTGCGGTGCACTGGCTGGATTGCACGGGGACGCGGCTGGCCCGTTGACGAGCCGCGGAATCGCCGTTCAAAACGTGGGTACGATAACGTCCGTGACAGGACGATTCGATATTTTGACGATTGCACTGTCGAACAGCTCGCACCGGGCACAGCCGGGGCCGCGAACGCCGCCGCCGGTCGGACGAACGTGCGGCAAACGCGCACGCGGTCGCCGCCGCGGTCAAGGTAGGAGGACAGAGCGGGCGCTCGCGTGCGTGCCACGCGGCGGAGAGAAAAGTACAGACCGACAGCAGATTATTGTCGCCCGAACCAGCGGTACCGGACTGCCGTTACGCGGCGCGTCCACGTGCGAAAATGACCGATTTCGATGGCGTAAAAAAAATACCAAACTATAAACGCGGAAAACGAAACCACAGCGGACGGGGCGCGGGAGCGGAAGTCGACGGGCGGACGGTCACCGACAGCAATGACGGGGCGCCGGGCGGTGATGGACGGCCGCTCGCATTGCGTCCATAGAGTAATTATTACGGTTGAGACGCGGCGCGTCGATGGCCGGGCGCGGGACGGGGTTAGATTACTTTGACCGTTTTTCACCGATACCAACTTACGCGGTGTGATAAACTATTGTATTGTTACGCACTGCTTACTCATATTTATAGACTTTAAGCAATTATATTTATTGTTTATATAAAGTAATATATGTATAGTCTATACTAAAGTCAATAGAAAAATTCCAAGGTGACACGCTGATGTCCAATATGCTGATATTTATTTTTTTTTAATTCTGATCGGAGCGAGTATTGGTTTTATAAAGGTATTTATTTTATTATATTATTATTATTATTATTTTTTTTTTTTTTTAATCAGCAAACAACTTTTTTTACGAGAAATTTTTCTCCAATTTCCAAGTATACCACTTTTTCTGAAAAGAAATCCGACTGGAGTGGTACACTGAAGAATTCATTTGTTTTTTTTTAAAAAGTTTTCATAATAATTGGGAAAAACCGAAAAAAAAAAACGTAGGAAAAATATGGGAGTTTACGAAATGCATTATTTTCAAACTGTAAATATGACGGCCATTTAATACATGCATAACTGAATCGTGCTCATAACCGTTTTTCGCGAGCAAAGGTTAATCGTTGCGTACAGATATGCATTAAATTACACCTTTTAACTTCTCATCTACGACGGTGGCCCACCCTTCATGCGAAATATGTAAGTATTTTTTTTTTAAATATACGGTTAAATTAAATATTAATGGAAAATAATGGGTTCACAAATTAATTTTGCACCGGGACCCACTTAACTCTGGCTACGGTACTACGGCAATAATTGAGAGATGGCTTTTCGTAGATCCACAAAACAATATTATTTGTGATGACCATGGTCAAATTCGAATGAATAGCGTTTCGTTTTTATATCTGCTTCAAACGATTTGGAGTCTTTTTTTTTTTTTATTGTAAAATCCCAATTAGGTGAAAATGTGTATATTTTTAGTGGTTTTCAACGAATCGAGAAATGTTTCAGTTTTACAATAACGATAAAAGATTTTTGAAAAATATCTTTTTATCATTATAATTTGTTAACCAGAAATTTTGCTCAAATTATCAACTGATATAGAGGTGATGATACGGTTATATCCAAATCGTTACATTTACTTCTTGAAAATATCTAAAAAGTTCCTACAGGGCCTGTTAAGGCAGAATTGTGTTTTGTTTGTGGATGATCGACTAAGCGTGCTCACTCCATTTTTTTAGTTAAATTTTGCATAGGTATATTCAAATTCTGATTTTGGAATTTTTTAGTGTTGTTAAAGCCGATATTTTCGAATACTTAGATTTCTCACAACATTTAAGAAGTATACCGACTTTTGTTTTCAAATGAGAACCTTATATTAAAAATTCTATAAATAGACGGAGTATTACTTTAAATAAATTTTGAAGCTAACAACCCATTAACGAGATATTGAACTTTTAAGTTTAAGTAGGGGGAGATGAGTGTAGTATTATTTGTGTGGTTGTACGGCATGCGGCTAAATATGTCGTCAACGTGTTGACAAAAATAAAAATTTAAACACCATAATATATTTAAAATCATAATATATTTTTATTTTAAAAACCGAAATTTGTATCACCACAGGACATCCCTAAATGTTATAAAAAATCTAAGTATTAAAAAATATCGGCTTTAACTACATTTAAAAATTGAGAAAATTAGAATTTAAATATATGCAAAATTTAACCAAAAAATAATAATAATAATAATGGGGTGAGCACGCTTAGTGAATCACCCTGTATATGCTATTTTCAATTTTATGAGAGTAGTTCAATTTAGATTTTTCAATTCAAATTCAACTAAAGTTAATTAAAAAAATAAATTATATTTCTGTAATAAATTACACTAAACATGTTTGATGATTAATACCTATATAAATATTTCAACATTATAAATTTTAAGCAAGCAAATACAAGTTATTTTATAAAAGGTCGTGTATAAAAATAGGTTTTTTATTTTAATAATATAATACAGGCCTGGCTCAGGAACAACAGGAAAATTACATGAATTATGATAATTTAAATATAAAAATAATATAGAAAATGGTGTTACAAAAATAAACGGGATTAACTCAATAGGTATAGGTGCAATAGAAAAATTAAGTGCTTGGAAACTAAGCTCCCTTTAAAGGGAGAAATTGAGATCAGTATTTTCAATACGCATACGACGAATGACTGGAGAGTTAAGAAAGTAGTTAGACGATAAGAATGGGATATGAAACGGGACAGATGACCGTGTAAAACGAGAGAGAATTTTAAAAAAGATTAAACAATATATTCAGGGCTTTTAATTGTGGAGGAAAGTAGGTTGAGTAAGAATGATAAGTTTACCACTTGAATTCGGAGTTTCTATCCCTGTTGTATTTTTTTGGCTTGACCTTAGTTTTTTCCAGTCTATCTTCAGGTCGTAGACTTCTCTGCGTCCCTTTTAATGCACTCTCCATTTCTTTTTGGTTTTGGCTACTAAAGCAACAACGTTTGCAAATCTGAGCATTTGTATAAATTCTCCTCCTACCATCACTCCTATATTTTGACTGCTGAGCTTTTTATTTATTTCTTGTATTAGTTGTTCGACATATATGCTAAAAAACATTGATGACATGGGCCACTCTTGTCTTTCCGTATTTTTGTTGTTGTTGATTTATCTTCTATTCTTATTTCAGCCGTCTGGTGTCTATACAAATTGTTTATTAACAGTCCATCCTCGAAATTCACTTCTATTTGCTGTAGAATTTGAAATAATTTTTGTTTTTTTTTTAAATCAAAGAATCACTTCTTTCAAAATAGAATTGTAAATTATTATAAATTATTTATTATTAATATTGTAAATTCCGAAATGAATATTAATACAGCATTAACCTTTCTATGAAAACACTTTAATTTCAATTTATCAATTATTTTAATGTATATGATGTGTATGATTTTGTATTTATTCTTGGTTTAAAACTAACTAGTTGGCTTGCTTCAGGACCCTCCACATAATATATTGCAAGGCACTGAAATCACTTGACTTTATTATGAGAACAGTGAATTATTTCAAAAAAGGATCATTCCTCAAGTTCTCCTATACACCTTGATTCGTATACAATCTTGGTTGTATGGTACGGTCATCAAGGATACTCTCAAAATTGGTAAACCTTTCCAAATCGAACGGTTTTTATGGGTTGTTGCGTCTTTACTCGGTATTTCTTACACACATCATAATTATAATCCAATATATTCTGACCAGTTTTGAATTGATATCCCTGGCTGATCGCATTTAGGAAGAACGTCATTCACGAACACGTTCACATTAGTATTTAGTGAAGGTCACTCATGAAAATTAAATTTATTGTTATTTATTTTAGATAAAATATATTAAGGAGACGGGGTAAAAATAATAATAATATTATAACGTCCAAAGATAATTACATAATAATTTAAAACAAAAGCAAAATAAAACAGAAATCAAATTTACTTAAAATCCTTCGAGAAAATAGCTGGATCGTGATGAAAAACATTGCAGTTATATACGGTATACGATAGGGGAAGGGTAACAAAAGAATAGCGCAAGTATATAATATTATGTTGTACAAAAAAACGCACGCCACTTTCGGATCGTACAATAATTATAATATAATTATTAAATTTTATTACTCACGAATGCGACTAAAAAAAAAAAATGCGAAAAAAAATCCATATGAAATAATATCTATGCATTATTATAAACACAAACAGTGTGCATGTATACTCTGTTTAAATACAGATGGTGTTTAACAAGAAAAAAAATGTGTTTTGCACAATATATCGTGTAGGGTCGGCGATGGCGGCGGCAGTATGCGAAGATAACCCGAAAAGCTAAACCCGCCTCTCCACCCCGTGCCACGATCGTACCCCGACGCATCCAGTCACATCATCCTAAATAAAAAAAAAAAAAAATTAGTAATAATAGATAAAAAAAAAAAAAAATAAAAAATTCATAATAATAACGTGCAACGACAACAATAACAGACATGGCGTCTCGCAGACACGATCCTAACAACGCGTAAGTACTGCTTTGTGTGTATGTAATAATGATAATGATAATAATAATAATAATAATAATATTATACCTTCTGTTAAAATAATATTTTATAATATATACATATATATACATGTAGGTAAACTTGGCGCGCGGGCGTTTTTGACGGGTTTTTTTTCAAATATTTTTATTTTATTTTTTTTTTGTTCCATTATTCTCGCGAATAATAACGAGACGACACGACGACGACGACGGCAATATCGATTCCGCGACCAGTCGTGAAACGTGCGTATACTGTGCCGCGTGTATTTGTAGGAATAATAATAAAATATTATAGGGAGAATAAAATTTATTAAATATTTTATTAAAAAAAACACACGAAAACAACTCGTCGTTGTTGTTCCCGGCGACGGCGGTGGCGGCTACAACAGGGAGACGCTGAGGATGTCGACGATGCAGGCCCGGCACAGAGGTCATAACATTCCCGAGGGCGTAACCACGTTCAACGAGATCGAGTACGACCGGGAGGGCGGCGTGTTCCTGAACCGGACCAAGCTCATCCTGTTAGCCGTCATCGTGTTCCTGTTGACCGCATTTTCGGCGTTCATAGGCCGGTACTCGGCAGAACGGCAATTCCGCGAGGTAAAAACAAAAAATCCGAAAAAAAAAAAAAAAACCATGGCGTAAACCGATTACCGGTTCTTGAGGATAATTGTTCTTTTATTGCAACAACAAAAACAAAATCAAAAATAACAAACCATAATCGCGTATATAAATATTCCCGTTTTACCGACGTTTTTTTTACCGGTTTTCTCGAGTAAAATTTGAAAAAAATACCCCTTTCCTTATGAAGCAACTAGACAACAATGACCGGATTATGATTTCTGTACATGTATTATGATAAAATTAGCTATTTATTATTGTTGGTTGTTATTTATGGTAAAAAAGCTTAGAATGAAAAGAAAACGTTTTATGAAATATCGAGTTTATTATAATAAAATTGTTATTGAAATTAATTTACCTCTATCAGAATACCATATGATTACAAAATTCAGTTTTACTTGGTTTCATTTTTATAGTTTCTACATGGTATGAGCTATTTATAACGTACACATTGTTGGAGTTGATTTGTTTGTTTTTTTAGAATTTTGAACAATGGTGAACAATGGAGTTATCATGTGTTTCACTGCAATTTTTTAAAATTCTGTTAAATCACGTTATAACTTCCATTGGGATAATAGGATTTCTCTTAGTGTTGCATTTTTTCCATCATAAATCATCAGAAAGTATATACAGTTTTCCAAAATGTTGTCTAGTCATTCCGGATAATTATTTTTATTTTTCTAGAAGATGTTTTTATTTCTCAGATTCAGATAATTTTATTGTTAACCGATACGGCGATGATGGTGCACGAATTATGTCCTGACTGTCGAATTACCTAATAGAATAAAATAACCGAAAATATTCTCGTATTGGTTGATTTCAATATGTGCACTATAATTATTTCAATGTTATTATTTTTCGTTGAATAATCGTAAATAAAAAATTATTTAATCGATTATTTTGAACCTACATGAAATTTAACAGTGATTTCAAAATTAAATATTTTTGCATAATTTTATAAATTTCCACGTTTTTTTACTTTAAGTCCAAAAAAATAAAATATTTACGGAACAAAATTCGTGTAATCCCAGAAAAGTTACAATACTAAATCTGTTAAATGAGAAACCATCAAAATCGTTAAATGATCCATTCCTCTTTCTTTCTTCTTTTTAGGCTTTATAATTTGTTTGTTCTATACATTTATTTTATTATCTATTTAATAAACACGGAGAACTAAGTTTCCCTTCAATATGACGTCTTAACCAGTTTTTGATTTTCTTCTTCATCCCATATCAATTCCATTTGTATTTATTCTTATAGGTAAAGTTAAAAGCGCAAAAGTAGCTCTAGGCCTATTTTTCATATTTTATTATTTCTTTGTTCGTGGAATTTCACCAGAACCATGCCCCAAGCGCTTTGATTAATCATATGGGTAAAACAATCAATGCATTGATATCCTGAATTATAATTTTGTTAAAATGTTAGCGTTTGTTATTTGTATGGTATTTATTTTTACAGTTTTTTATTCGCAGTTTTCCATAGATGAACAGAACTATCTGGGAGTCCAATCTTCTGAAATTTCACAATGATCTATTTTGAGGTTTCTGTTCGATATTTTTGGTGACACGAGAAACAATAACCGCTCGTGAAACCTATAAATACCCCAATTAGGTTAGGTTAGTAGGTTATAATTGCACCTGAACACACGTGAGTAGGACTTAACAAAACTCGTATTTTATTTTTACTGAATTGTATTGATTCGTATATAATAACATCCAAATATATTACGCATTTATCAATCATTATAATAAAATATGTAAAACCTATAATTTTCAGTTTTAGTAATAATAATTGAATACCAAGTCCGTTCTTACCTTGGTCGACAACTTCAAAATTCTTCTGATTACAGTCGACAATTGTTGACGTAATTTACCATCAACTTATAATTCAACTAATGCTGGTTCAAAGAAAAACCATATTTAATAATATCGGGGATTTTACCGCTGAATTAAATGTTAATTCAAGAAGATTGTATATTTTAACAGCCTTTAAACTTTTATGTGAATTTATTTCATTTAAACTTTTTAAAATTCGCAACCTCTTATAACACAAGGGGGAGGGGGTATTTGTTACGAATATTGTTGGTATTATACAATTTTGTCGGTTTACTGATACACCTTTACTGGTATAAAACGGGTAGAGATTTTAAATCTATGCTATCGTAGGACGGCACACGCCAAATCAAATCAAAACCTTTTTTTTTTTTTTCTAACGATTTCATCCAATACGAATGGAATTAGTTTGGGAAAACATCTAACTACAACTTTTATGTATGCCGCCGGTGATTAATAACGAAAAAAAACTAATTGATATGCAATGTGTGCGTAATACTTAAACGTACCTACCGATACTCTATAGGACCATGTGTGCAAACATCGAACGAAAATTCGTCTCGTATTAATTTGTTACACGCGACCAAATTATCTTTATTATTAAAATACAGACTATTTAGAACATATTTTTATAAAATCGTTGTTATAACCAGACAATCAGTAAATGTACACTCGGTAATAATATTATCTAGGACAGTATACCTATTATACGGTTATACCTATAGGTATACCTTCTATAACACTTGTGGTTTAACGATTATCAGCTCGAAACGTTTCGTTTGTGAATTGAGTAAAATGAAACCTACAGAATACCCCATATTGACTACCAGCTCATTTGCACGATATTACATCAGATATTATATAATATGTATATATTACATAGGTTGGTACCAATATGTATTATTTTGTGCAAAATTTACGTTAATCGACATCATTGGAATCGTTACATATTGTGTGGGTTTTTTTGCACGTATTATACAAAATGTGAGCTTTCTAACTGTAGAGTTGTAAATATAATCTGTGCATTGTTATTGGGTAGTTTTAAAACCTTTATACTTACTTATTACTGCTTTATAATACTTATTGTGTACGTATGATTTTAACGTTTTCAAGCGCGGTATATGTTATACGTTTGTTATTTTATAGCTTATAATATGATTATTTAAAATTATTTGGTTTTTATTGATCTATGTTGATAATTTTAGTTACTTATACGTCTATATTTAAAATGCTCGAAAATTTGACACAAGGACAATCATAACAAGTTATTCTTATCATAGATATTAAATTAATAGAGAATGGATATAAGTTACCACGTACGCAATCGTAATTTTAAATGTGTAAGAGTGAAAGTCAATTGCTTAGACTGGATCTATCTCTAGCTGTGGGTATTTTGAGGTAGTATTCAGACTTAGATGTTAGGTATCTTGTTAGGCTCGTGTTCAGCAGCTTTAATTTTATAATAATTAAGAAAATTCGAAGTGTTGTATAACAATGTTAAGTTATTGTTTTATTATTAAAACAAATTATTTTACGACTTACCCTTAGTTTGAAAATAATTGTACAAACTATTTGTACATAATCTTAAAATACCATTGGCTAGAAAAAGGATAATTTATCTCTATTCGTCATACTGGAATGTTAGTTTATTTATTAACCATAAAACACCGTAATATTGTTTTAATGTAAAGTTAATGTTAACCAATGCCATAGAAAGAGGGGGGGAGTGGGTTTCCAGCTCAAGCCTTTCCTCCTTGAAATATCAGTCGACAAGTTAATTAAAGTAAATTTTTTTAAGTGAATTAAAAATAAAATGTAATACACATTGAAGCCGTGATAGTCCGGCGTCCACTGCCCCGGATGTGGAGAACAGCCAGTGGTTAAAATGAGGAGATGAAGGAGCAGAGTCCCCTACTTCTTTAAGGTAAAGTTATCAGTTCTCTTTAATTTAAGTCAACACATTCTAGGAAAACGCTTTAGTTATTTTCACTGAGACAAGTATAATGAAAATTTTAAAACTCGAATTAGTTTTATTACAAACAAATTCCTTAATACCAATTTTACTTAGACAGACTCTACTTTATTTTATTTTTACCAAGCAAGTATATGCGTAAATTAACATAAAAGGGGGTGAGTTTATTTTTAAACTCTATTATAACATTTGTATAAACAAATGTGTGTGAAAGAAAAACATTTTGGAAGCCTTGTCATCATGGTGGATTTCTTAAAATGTTGGTTAAACTTAGTTTGTTCTCGGAACCACTCATTAATTTTCGGTGAATACAGTTCCGCTTTGAAATTTTCCTCATTTTAATCACTGAAAATGGCCGATGGATTGGTAATATGATAGTTAGAAAAATAAAAGGAATGACTAATTGTTCTAATCATAAATACAATCTGAGTTAACCACTAGATTGATACCACGTATAAAGATCGCGAACAAATAAATACCCAATCCTCAGAGTAGCAGATGCTTCAAGTTTTATTCATTCTAATTTCTCTCCTGTTTAACGACATAATTCTCCATTTTCTCGTTGTGAAATACAAAACGTGTTGCTTTCTGGTGAATCATTATGTATTACCAAATCTAGTCAATTAGCTTATTATAATATAATGATTAAATTATGACATTTTCAGTAGGGGTTAAGAAGTTCTTAATAAGAACTAAATTCGTTTAAAATGTTTTTCATTACAAACCTATTAATTGACCATATTGTTAGGCCATAAAAAATTCACCTCCTTTCCCCCCAAAAAAAATCCTCATGACGTGCCCGAACAATCTCAGTTTATTTTTTCTGTAGGTACAACGTCCTCTTAAATCTCAAAGGAATTATTTTGTCACATGAAACGCCTGACACTTTTTGTCACTCTATCCAATCACACTTAATTCTATGTTAGGTATATAATATCCTCTTTTTTTTTTTCTTACGTTTATTTGGCAGAAATACGATTGAGATCGCTCGGTTTTTATAATTCCACGCAACGTTGCCAAATATGTAACAATCTGAAAATTCAGCCAATCAAAAATATATACATTTCTTGTTTCGTAATCGAGTTTCATGATTACATATTGTTGTTTGAAATGACATATTACTGAATTCATCACTAATAATCTAGATAAATACAACAATAAAGAATTGTTTGCAACGAACAATCAAAATATACGCATTAGTGCATTACTTAGTACGTGGTTTCCCGTATTATGCGTTTTTATATGCAAAGTATTTTACGTTCGTACTTAAATAAAATAGAACGTCACCAAAACTCATATCCTCTGAACGTGGTGGAAATTTAATTGTTATAAACTCCCACAAATACCGTTTTATTATACATTTTGAATAAGTTTTTCATAATTTATTTATGAATTTTGACTTGAATATATTTCAGCAACGTTGCACATAATTTCGTTTTCAATAGTACTGCTTTTTTGGGTCATTTCATTGTTTCATTTCGAGCGTTCTCAATTGTACGCTAAAAAATTCGAACGTTCTCAATCGTATTGTAGCCATACATCTGAGATAGGATAATAATTCACGTGAACCTTGTTTAGGACGCTTCAATAAAATTTGACACAATTTTTACACCATTTATTTACCTAGTGTAACCATATTTATCGCTTTTTATAACAAGTAGAGGTATCGTGAGAATATACTGTTCCCCTCCCATAGGGAGAAGGCTATGGAACTAATGTTAACTAATCATTTAAATCCACGTGTAAAACAATTATAACTTCCGATTTTGTAGTCATTCAGTCCAGTAGAAGTGTCTAAATAAGTAGTGGGAAAAATATAGATATAATATTTTATATTATAGAAAGAGAGAGATTTATAATTAACACAACAATACAGTGAAATAATAGCTTTTTCAATGAAATTTTTACAAAAAACCAACGGCAGTTTTTTTTTTTTTTTTTGTAAAACACGTACTCGTGGTATATTTTTAAGTGGCACTTGGTGTAGTATGGGCAAAACAAAACAAGTGAATTGATAGGGTTAATATTGTCGTTATTTAGTACATAAATCGTGATTCGTTCGTAAAGAAGGCTGCTGACTCGGGCGTACTGGAAAGCCAGATACCGTTTTTGGCAGTCGAACCAGAATGTTACAAAGTATTTTTGGAACCCAAACTATACGCTCCGGACGGAACCGTACCTAAACATGATGTGACATATAACGGCCGTGTGGAAGTGATTTTCCGCCCAAAGACCGATACAGCCGTCATAAGTCTGCATGTCGGTCTTCTGAAGATCGATGGAGATCTTATTTTGAAACGCAGACTCAGCATGGAAACGCCCACTGAACAAGTGCTCCAGGTGAGTCAGTCGGAATATTTTTAATTTAAATGCACAAAATAGTAAGTATATCGTCTGACTATTAGATAATAAGAAATAACTATTTGGCGAACATCTAGCGCTGATATTATTTATTTCAGTAAATTTTCTACTAGTAAAATAATCAAAAAATATGTTCCATTTGGTTTTTTCTAAAATTGTCTACTAGTCATACATTTTACTAAAAAAGAGCTGTCCTGCGTGGTCCTAGGCCACACGGGAACAATGTCGATTTCTATCAGTAAAATAATATTTAAAATTAGATTTTACAAATTTACATCTTTATAAAATAAAATAATTTGTAATCATAGGCTTTTTTTTCCATAGGGTTATATGGCTAGGTTGCTAGTCATTATATTTCATTCATATTTATCGACCATTTTCTCGATTCAATCTACCCTTCCATGCTCTGAAACTGTCACTAATAATTCGCTCGGCTACAATGATGCATCTAGCTCTAAAATCTATAGTGTGGGTGAGGGGCTTTATCATACATTAGGTCTTTTTACTAGATGTAAAATGAAGAAGGGGGCTAGTCTCTGGAAATTATAAAACCTCGAGAACCAAATATCATTAATCACGTGTTTCGAAAAAGGATGACACGAAGTATGAGTTGGACAGCCAAGTGAACGAGACATTGGAGACGCTGACAGTGACTGTCAGTGAAGTGCTTAAGGCCGGCCACTACTATAGCTTGTTCGTGAACTTCACGGGCTCAATTGGCCGAAACCCCGAGAAGGGAGGTTTTTACAAAATTGTGTTTGATACGGCCTACAAACCAGTCGCAAACCACTGGTATGTGGCCACCAAACTGACCCCGCGCAAGGCCCGACATCTATTGCCATGCGTGGATAACCCCAAACACAAGGCTATATTTGAAGTAAGCGTTGTAAGAAACCAAGAAACGAGAGTGATTTTCAACACCAAACTGAGGGAAACGGAACAGTAGTAAGTATTTTTACTACTCAGAATTATAAAAAACAAAAATACGGGTTTTCAGCATGGACAAATAATTTAGGATGTTTTTAAAGTTTTTCCAAAATTAATTAGCTTTTTATGTTGCAACTAGATATTTTTAGTTGAAAATAGCGTCTTGCTTACAAATATAATTTTATGTATTTGATAATAATAATTTAAATAAAATTGACGGGTCGTTGTTGCAGCAGTGAAAATCTACTGATTGACCATTTTGAAAAAACTGGACTCATCAGACCCGATTCGTTAGGGTTGTTTATGTCCAACTTTAAATCTCAATCTGTTGAAACGGACGGTTCAGTTGAAGTGAGAACATGGAGTCGTCAGTCTACGGATACGATCCGTACGATCAGGAAAATTGTACCGAAAACGTTGAATTTCATCAAGTCATATCTAGCCACTGATTTCCCAACTAACAAACTCGATATTGTTATCGTGCCCGAAGAGTTGATAAGTTCAGCCGAAAGTCCAGGCTTGATAGTGATCAAGTTTGTTAATAATATCATAGGGAATATAGATGAATAATATTCAATTTGACAAACGTCTTCTTATAAAATATACTTAATAATTTTAAATTTTTTATTTTAAGAGATACGGTTTTAGACAATAGCGAGAACGACGATGAATCCGCTTTGCTCGAACATCAGGACATCGTAGAAACCTTGATGGAACATGTCATCAGACAATGGATGATGCCTTTACGAGGACTCGATCGCGAGTGCAACGAAGACAAATGGTTAAACGATGCTATCGTGAAATTTCTGAGAATATTAAACACCGATAATGTAAGTGCAACTGTCAAGTGAGACCACACTAGAAAAGTATTTAAATACGAATTCAATAGACTAACTTATACAATTTAAAAAAAAAAAAAGTGAATATAAACTTAATCTAAATCTAAAATAACCGTGATTTTTTTGATTTCAAAAATATTTTAACTTTAAAGTTTATACAAATCTACTATATCATCAAACTTTTTAGATTCATAGCGGAGCAAGAGATCAATTAGTTTTATATATTTATATATTTCATATTCAGGTGTGTGTGTGTGTGTGTGTGCTTTTTTGTACCTGTGAATAAGTTTTCTACCAGAAATCTTGCTCCAATCGAAAAATCACAAGATAACATTTTAGGTAAATAAGAAAGTCGTTTATTGATTTCCAGTGTAGTTTTTTTTTTAATAGTTAAGTAAAACTTGAAAGAAAACTGAGTAGTTTACCAAAATATCGGTACTCAATTTTGTTTTTTTTTTTTGTTATAATTCGTAGAGCCTTCAAATTAAAAAAGACAACTAATCTATGCATTTTTTTAAACGTAGTACAATTTTTGAGCTATTTTTAGGTATTTTATGTTTGCATTTTTTACCTTGCTTTTATTTGGTTAGTACTATGTGAATATAATTGTTTGATTAAATAAAAATGTTTCAAAATTTAACAAGAGGATTATTATTATTTTTGATAAAAAAAAAATTGAGTGTAATATAGTTTTTAAATTTTTTTTAGAAGAAAAATTTTGACAAAAATCGTAAATATTACAGTCTCTCAAAAAAATTATAACCGATCTTTTTTCCTAATAATTTTTCATTTAGAACAGTTTATCGGTTTTTACAGATATAAATCAAATAACTTCATGTATCCAGCCTTTCGAACTTCTCGTCTCTAACAATGGCACACTCGTCCCTAGTATTAACTTTTCCTTGTTTTCTTAATTATTATGAGAGATGAGATCTCTTTAGAAAATCAAAAAAAAACTTCCTTTATGAACCAACTAAATTGAAAAAGGTTTTTGTTAAAGTAATATTTCTGATCGAAACATTGTTTATAGATAGAAAAATCCTGGTTTTAGGATGTTTTCCCCGTTTTTCAAAATTTTTAAAAAAAAACTACAAGGAAAATCGATAAATAACGTCCTTATTATACCAACTAGATCCAATTTGCTACTAGAAACCACCCCTGATGTTAAAAATTGCCGTGAGAATTTTGGTAGGGAAGTTAAAGCTAATACAGTATACATACCTGCATTCCTTGTTATAAGCTACCTTCAGTATTTAAAAGTAGGTATATTTCACAAACCTAACTGCAACTCTTCGTCGCGATTTATATTATACTTATAATCATTTTTATTAATTTATAATACAATAACACCGAACAATACATAATATAAGATTTTACCGGATTGGACGTTTGGATCGAGATTTCCGTTACACTACATTCAACCGGTAATGTTTTATGACAGCTGGACGAATTCGGAGCCCCTTTCCAACTACGAACGACACACCGAGATATATAAATACATCAGTTCAGACAAAGGTAATAATAGCGGGTCGGTATATCGTGAACTCACTAATTAATTAACACCAGTATGCGACTCTACGTCTGTGAAAGCTGATTCTTGATGAACAATATTGACACCTACTGTACCGTCAACGTATAATTATTATTTACAGGCACGTCGATTTTGCGAATGCTAAACTATACATTCACAGAGGACATTTTCAAACAGACTTTAAGAGAATACGTGCACACGGAGTGAGTATTGAATATGTAATTAGAAAAAAAACATGCAGACATTATAATAGTAGGTAATCTGCAGGGTTTAATTATAGCATTGAATTTTAAACGAATCTAAATTAATTTCAATAATCATATAAGTATTATATATGTCGTTATAAAGGGATAGGTGCAATTTGATTTTCAAAAGTTGATCCCACTAAACATTTCAAATAAATTGGTATGGATCACGACTATCGAAAGATGGACTGTGAAAATGTGAGCTCAAACCGAGAAATTAGGTTTTAATGCAGATTACAGCGCTCTCTAGGTGATTAATATGTATGAACTATATGCATTACTAAACACAGAATATTTTACACATTACGTAACGGCAATATAATCACGATAATATTACCAATTAGGTATATAAGTTGTTATTTATTGATTGAAATGTAGATTTAATAAAAGCGACTAATTTCAAAAGGTGAGACTGTCAGGACGTATTTAAGGGAATACTCGGAGGGGCAGTTGCCCCTGGTGGCAATTTTAAAATTATAGTTTAGGGATAGCAAAATAATGAAATGGTAAAAAATTTACAATTTATCTGTAGCTCATTTAACCCAATGAGTAATAATTTAAAATATAATAATATATAATTAGTATAATAGTCAGTTACTGACTCTTCACACCTTTGCACTCTTGTTATAACAATATTAACTTCTAAGCTCACTGCTAGTAAATGACACGGTGGTCTGCACAGTTTTGTTCATGATTTTTCTAACTCAAGCCTTTTCATATGTTTTGGAAGGATCCAGTTATCAGAAAAAATGTAAAACTACAAGTTCACTACAGTAGTGTTGCCAAAATTCTGAACTGCAAACTGTATGAATCTAGTACAAAATATGACCAACTATGTTCACGGAAATTCAGCTCATACCATAATTTAACACCCAATAGTTTAGTTGGTTCATTACGTATAAAATTATCTTTTACTCCTGATTCTGAAAAACTATAAACGCCGTAAATTTGAATTAAAACTTTATGGAACTGTAACATACAGAATCAAATACAAGTGTATTATAATAGAATAAAACAGCAACAAAAAATGATTATTTTGTCATACACGAATACCTATATAATTTTAAATAATTTAAAACAATATTTTTTTTCCATAATGTTGATATAAGTAGATTTTGATTCAATATTTCTTTTTGAAATTTGCAGTATTACCAAAGTTCGTTGTTGGTAATATTTCTTTATTATTTTACTGACAATTGCTACTAATCGATATTATCAGTGGCGAACATATTTCAAACCCTAAGCAAAATATCAAAAAATGACCATCCCACTTCCCCTTCAACATTTTATAGTATTTCTGAGGCTAAACAATTATTGCATTAGGTATACTTCATTCAACATACTAACTTTATGTTTAGTATAATAACTTATAATAGCCATATTAGCTATTAGGTACGCCATGGTATGTACGGCATACACATTACATATATTTAAAATATTTGCATTCAAAAGGCTATATTACAGATAAACACTATCCATATATTCGTTTGAATATAGTTTATAATAATTTATTTTAGAATTTATAAATACAAGGACACGATAAGTTTTTGGACATTATTAGACGACAATGCGAGAAACAAGTCGATCAAATTGCCCGAAAATTCGGCCGTCTTACAAATAGTGAACTCGTGGATACAGAACAAAAACTATCCACTGGTGACCGTCAACACTGACGGTGATGATTTAGTTTTGAAACAGGTATAATAAAGTTACTTAAATCTGCGCGAAACACGTTTAGACTGGATAGAGTCATTACTGATTTACTTAAATGTGTGTTTTCCCCCTCACATTATAAACGTCTTAACTTTTTTTCTTTTCATATTACTATTTTAGTTCCGGTTCGATTACAATGAACTCAAACCTACCAACGATTGGGTGATCCCCGTTACCCTTACCTCGGGCGCAGCATACAGTACGACCGTTTGGTTGGAGAACAGTCCAGAAATCAGGGTGCCGGGATACAATTTGGCGTCCAACGGCACGTGGATATTGGCCAACCAACACCAAACAGGTTAGGTCAGTGACATATAAAGTGTGAAAAAAATGGTTCTGATCTTCCAGTGGTTTCAATAATAATTATTATTTTGTACTCCATTTATTTAATTTATTGATCGTGATTAAAAACTTCTCGTGCAAACTAACTTAGGTACTTTTTTATTCTGTCTGTGAACAACTTTTCTAATGGAAATCTCGTCCTTGCTTTGATTACTAACTTCAGGAATGGTTTCTGGTAAAAATTGTATGTTGTTGGTGCATATAATTTGGATAAAAATAATAGACTTGAAATATTCATTGAATACTTACCTTCTTATGTTTGCTCTTTCTATAAATGGTAAAACTTTAAAAAAAATTCTAACGGTTCTTTTGTTTGTTTTTTTTTTTTGTTTTATTTGTATCAGGTTACTACAGAGTAATTTATCAGGACGTTCTTATGGACAGAATATCGTACGAGATCTCTAAAGGCAAATCGTTCGACGAGTATGTTGTTTCCCTCTTGATCGCGGACATTTTCGAAGGAGCCTTTGCTGGTATCGTCGGATTTTCCGATGCCTTAGGATTTCTGGAAAGAATCATCAATAACGCAAAGCCATCTAACGGATTTTGGGTTCCCGTTTTCAACGCCTTCAGCAAATTAGAGACAGTTTTCCATAGTACTAGGCATTATAATAATCTTTCGGTATTTATCGTTTAATATGACTATATTATACACATCAACAATATAATATTTTAATTTAAAATGTTTTTCTCGATAATAATTATTCTAATGATCTATACTTTAATTTTCTATGTATTCATTTTAAAAAAGTTCCGATTAGAACTACGGTTCTGAACAACACAAGTAAATCTGTCTGCGTTCCTCAAATATGTCGATTTTTGTGTTGAAATATTCACATTATTATCTCAAAAATGCACACAATGTCATAATAATAATTTATTCTAATTTTAAACGGAAATGTTTTTACTTGTAAAGATTTTCATGGAAACAGCAGCGGGAAAAGCGTATGGATTGTTCCAAAACCTCAAAACAAATACGGTGGGCAAATTATATGGCAAAGTGGAAATGTTGAAATACGCGTGTCGCATTGAAACAAACGAATGTGTGTTGTGGGCCAAAGCAGAGTTCGATAAATGGAAGAACAGTAAAACTGAACAAATTGCGTAATATTTTATTTATTTAATAGTTTTAATAGTGTTAGGTTTTAAGGTCGAGATCTTTAATGGGAATATTCTCGTATTTATTTCAGTAAAATATTTCAGTAAACAACATAAAATATAATCAAAACGCTCTGTATTCAAAAAATGTAATTAAGTTTTACCATTAAAATTAATGTTTCTTAATAATCGTTTCATACAACGGGAGAAGTTTTAAATTTTAAATTCTATGGTAGGGTTATTTGAATTATGTAAAACTATACAAACTATAAAACTTTAATCATTTCGCACAAATTTGAGATAAACGCATCTAAACTATGATGGTTTAGTACGCAAGTACTCTGAATTGGTACTATTTTGAATAACAATTCACATAGTTAAAAATATGATGCAAAGTATGTGTACAATACCCACATTTGTTTAATTTAATTATAGATTCTGAGTAAAGAAAGGAATTTTTAGGCTATTTTTTATATATATAATATATACTCTTATATATATATATATATATATATATATATATATATAAGGTGTACGAAAATTCTACCAGTAACCTTGTTCCGATTTTCAAGTGTAGCACTTTTTCTGAAATAAAATCTGACTAGTGTGATACTTTAGGGAAGTACCGCCGCAGAACAAATTTCTAAGCGGTTTTCATAATAATTGAGAAAAACGGAGAAAAAACGTAAAAAAAAATGGGAAAAATTAAAAAAAAACATTGCTTTTATTATTTTCCAGTTTGTTTTTTTTTTTTTTTTTATTGCAATTCAGTTTAAAATGTTTTTAGAGACTTGAAATTTTTAAAGAAATCTTATATTTGCCTTTTATAGACGTGATAACATTTTCAAAATATTTGAGTTATTTTTGAGCTATTTGTAGACATTTTAATTTTGCAAGGTTTTTACGTAACATTTATTTAGTAAGTACTCTGTGAATAGAATTTGTTTGACCAAACAGAAATTCTTGATAATTTAATAGGAGATTTCTTATGAGTTGTACTTATTGATTAATATAAAAATGTGTGTCTAATGTAGTATTTTTTTTCTGAATATATATATATATAAATTTCAAATAAATCAAATTTTGATGAAAATCGTAAATATTACTATTATCATTACTAATATTATTATTTTAAAACATGTATGATAAAACTCCACTCAAAATAATTTTTTTTTTACAATAATCGTTGCATACAAAAATACCTTAAATTCTCCTCCATATTCTACGATCCTAATTTCTCACTAACAACAATAGCCCACCCACCACACGAAAATATTTCCGTCTTTTTTAATAGCTATTATTTCTGATTTTTAGCATCAACCCAAACGAGCGTACCACCGTTTACTGTACCGCCATGCAATACGCTACCAAACAAGAGCACAGATTTATGATGAGAAAGTATTTTGATTCCAAATGGTCGGTGGATAGGAAAACCGTTGTAAAAAGTTTTTCCTGTTCGAGAAACATGCATTTTTTGGAAACGTACGTACATACATCTATGTATTTATGAATATAAATAATATATAAATACCCGTAGATAGATATTGATATTAAATAAAATTGTTTCATGCAGAGTAATGTCAGCTGCAGAGGTTAAAACTGAAGATTTGGCCGAAATTTGGGATTCATTTTCAAACAATCCAACAGCGGGTCCGTACCCGTTAAATTTCTTGAGAAACAACTGGGAAACGTTGTATAAAGAGTAAGTATTTGAAATGGATAGTTTATAGATATTATTATTCAGTTAAATTAGTATTTAAATATAATATTCAGCGATGTTCAATCGAAATCGTCAAATACTTTCCAAAACTCAACGGTTTGATAGAATTTTTTTGTTGGATCTTGTTCCAACATCGCCAATTAAATACCCATTGGACTAGTGTTAAACTTCGCAGATTTCTATGATTTCTTATTTAAGTATTTTTTTTTTTGTTCGTATTTGCCGTGATTTAAATTTATTCCAGGCATAAGTTGCCTATTATATTTGATAATGTAGGGACAATTTTGCAATAATATTTTAATTATATTCAATTATTAAACACAATTTAAGTATTTTGGTATCCTGTATCAATCATCCAACGGATCCGTGATTTAGTTGAATTTCGAAGGATATGATAATTCATATCTATAATGATTCTAGGGAACGGATTTCAATTTAAATAAATATTTTTTTGAAGTTTTAATATCAGAAAGTTTTCAACAAGTGTGCACATTTCATAATATTTTGAATAAATTGATTTTCATTGTACAAATGCATCTTGCATTTTATATCATTGTAAAGTGTTGTGGTTATTTTCAAATTGTATTTAAATAATTCAAGACTATAAATAAATATATGTTTAAAGTACAAACAAATAAACATTTAAATATTATTAATTGTATACTAAATTCAAATCCGTTCCCATATATAAATGTAAACAAATCAAAAAATAAAACATTGTTTTAGACGTTTTACTGAATAAGTATTTATTTGTTTAATCGTATGGTTTCCAATTGTTTTAGTGGTTACCTATAATACAGAGTGATTTTTTCATCATGAACTAGCAATTATCTCGAAGGATTTTAAGTGAATTTGATTTCTGTTTCTTTCTAATCATAAAAAAATCACCCAGTATAAAAATAATAAAATAATAACAAACTTTATTAAATATGAATATGTAAAAAATAACTAAATAAATATGTTAGATGAACTTATTCTGAGTGTAAATTTTACATTTACAATATCATATTATTTATTTGTTATAAATAAAACGCAACCAACTTAAGGCTTAGTTTTTCTTTCATATTTGCTAATTATTTTTATTTGTTTTACTTATTTCATTTTTCTCAAAAATATTTTAGATACTCCGAAACTAATTTGGAACTACTATGCACTATGTTACATGTGGCCATCCGAGGTCTGAACAGCTTGGCCGATCTGGAAGTTCTTCAGATATTTGTAGAGAAATATTTCGGCAGTACCGTCGAGAATCGAAATCCGACGCTGTTGGAAGTGTTGCATTTCGAAGAGGAGATCCTCCGGCAGAAGATCACATGGCAGGAAAAATATGAAGGTGTGATATCTGGTTGGATATCGCCGAAAGCGGAAAAGTTAAAGCACAATCTCGAAAAAACTCAAAAAGAAATAGGCAGTAATAAAACGGAAGTAGACAGCAAAGTAGAAGGTGGTGCAGAGCAAGTCAACCCGGGAACTATTGTCAGGACCGTTCAAGCAAAAAATGATACTTCTTCCGTCTTGACAGTGGTTGCTGATCCCGATGGAGCCGAGAAGAACCAAAGCGCCGATAGCGGTGCAAGTGGACCGGATCCAAGCAAAATAATAACAACCAGCGGAGTGAATCCCAAAACGAATCAGCCTGCCGCCGCTGACTTAGCTAAAGCAAATAGTCAAACTAAGACCAGCGCGGGTCCACCTGTAGGCCCGGTAGATACCGATAAATCCGCCACAGCCGTGGAGAACGCGACAACAGCGACAATAGACAACGCACCGGCAGTCGTAGAAAAAGTCCCGATAGCAGTAGAAAACGCTGATAATCTGCAAAATAAAATACCCAAATAGCCGCTCTCCGCTCTTCGGCAGCAGTAAAGTATAAGTAATTCTTGACGTCATAACGAACAAGGGATCAGAGGGAAACTCATAATATATAATATAAAACTATAATATCAGACACATGAACTTATCAACAAAACATAATATTTCAATCACGTTTATAATACACCCATTGCATTATTATTTTGTTATTGTATACATTTATTGTTATCACTTATATCAAATTATGATAATGTTATTGTACACATACCTAAAGTAAATGTTATAATTTATATTGTTATTTTGTATTTTAATGTGTAGAACTGTATATATTATATACATACACGTGTTACTGTAATCAACGGAGATACAAAAATAGCACATCTAATTATTTATATTTTCATATTATGTTATTAAATTAAGTGCTGAAGACGGTTTTTTTTTAATCGAATATTTACAGTATTTGTATCGGTATAAGACATTTTTTTACTTCTCGGTACATCAATTTCTCCTTCATTCGTTTACTTATTTTTCAGTTACCACTCGATAATTTAGGAGATAGACTATCGACCGACAACCATTTGATGTACAGGACCGATAGCCAAAATAACGTCGGGGACAATTAAGTGTTATGTAACCATGCGTTATTTATATGTCTACTTTGAAAATCCATTCGTAATAAAAATTAATCAAAAAATATTTATAACAATGTATAATGTATAATAAATACTAAACATATTATAATAATTAAATTCGATTTTCATACGATTTTATTAATACGATTATTCTATTTCTATATAAAAACTACTCATAATTTGTCGATAAGATAATAAAAATATTAAATTACAACGTATCTTAATGGTTTATCAATCAGATTTTGCATTCTAATAATGTAATAATATATTATGCAAATATATGTTGTAAAGAAAACGAGTAACAATAAAATTGCTTTTAAAAATTGTATTTAGTTAGTATTTATTATACGTTACACATTATTATAATAATGTTTTTATTCATTTACATTTCGAATACATTTTTAAAATGGAGATATGATTAACATGGCATTTAATTGCACTTTGATGTCCCTGTCGGTATTTTGGTTATCGGTCGACGATCACTGTCGTTTGATTGTGCTATCAGTATTTTTGGTTGTCAGTCTGGTCGGTTGAAAGAATGTCGGTCGATTGTCCCAAACCCCGATAATTCATACGGTGAGTCAAACCTTTATCCAACGCAGAGTACTCGAATAAAATTACATACCAAAATTATATATATTTCAAATAAATCTTGAGGCTTGAATAAAATGTTATAAATATAAAATGAAAATTTAAAACAAATCAGACAAAGACATTTTGAAAACACAGTAAAACCTCTCTATAACGGAATCGTTTGAGACCAAACATTTTTCCGGTATAAAGAGTTTTCCGTCATAGAGAGGTAGAAAAAAAAATTAAGTATCAAGACTCTATGTATGTATGTATGTATGTGTTAAAAAATTATATTTTAGGCAAATATTTACTTCGTACACATGACAGACAGGTAATGAAGAAATGTCCATGCTTTTAAAACACCGAGGTTTTTTAGACTTTCCAATTACCAATGGTTTTCTAATTTCTCCAGCCGTACTACCACACATGAGCACTGTTAAGCGATCCTTTGCTTTTTTTCCTCCAGAACTTGACTCACTCTTGAGGACTAGTGACTCGGTAAGAATACCTTTAAAAAAAAGGCACGTTTGGTCAGCATTGTACAAGTCTTTTGCTTCATATCCAGCAATGAGTCTCGAGATTTTTCGCTTCCACTTCTCCACCGTTTCTTGATTAACGTCATTTGACTCGCCACTGACTTGTTTCCAAACAATATCATGCCTTTTTTTTTAATTTTTCCAACCAACTATCCGAAGCCTTGAAATCTTTGACATTCATTTTTTCTGCCAATTTCATAGCTTCTGTTTGTAAAATTGGACCGGAAATTGGTAAATTTTTTGACCGAACGCTGATAAACCATAAACTCGTACAACTTTTGGTCAATTTGTTCAAATGAAGGAGTTTTCAATCTTTTACTCTTTCCCGAGTCTCTGCTATTTACCCATTCATCCATAATCTTTTCTTTATTTTTTATCGCGTCGTAAACTTGAGTTTTTCCACATTTAAATCTATTAATAAGTTCCTTCGTACATAGTTTTTGTGTTTCCTTCAACTCGATTAGTTTAACTTTATCGGACAACGTCAGAGCTGTACGTGACACGGTAAGTAAAAATGAAAATATGCGTGTACAAAACGAAATCACAACGGCAGTGCACACGGTGAACGCTGCACGTTTACTAAACGATATGAACAATTCAACCGAAAAAATACTACTGTGCTGTTCATGTTTACAAAATTACGTACACAGGTGGTTATCTAATCTTTTCTACGCGCTCATTAGAAGGCACGTAATAAACAAACCGATATGACAATCGCGAATCGATACTGTCAAATGATTTTTCAGGAAAACCTGTAATTGTTCCTTTAAACAATTTTATTTTCCGTTTAACAGAGAGTATTTCCACTGACTCGATTACGAAAATTGTCCGGTTCCGTTTGGTGGATGTTCCGTTTTCGGCCGGTCCCACACGACCCGTATCCGCCAAATATTTATTCGAAATAACGGATATTGACAATGAAAAATAGTCTGTTTTCGGGGAGAATCCAAGATTGAGTTACTTTTCAGCGCCAGTGAGTCACTGGTGTTGTATCCGACACCGACGGGAAACCGCGGGTGACGCGGCGGGTAAAAACAATCGTCGTGCTTTACCTCACGCACGACTCGCAAAGTGGTACGGTTGACGAGTGTTCGCCGGTTACACGAGCCGTGCGGGACCGGCTTTAGAGGAGTCAATTTTCTATATTATTTGCACTGGGACTATTGACATTTACCGTTATAGGGAGTAATCCGTTTAATAGAGGGTCCGTTACGGAGAGGTTTTACTGTAATTCAATTATAAATGCTACGTTAGGTTATTTCACGATAAATTGATAAAGATATGAAAGCAATAAAAAAAATTAAAAAGGCGGGAACTATTCAGTAAAAAATATTTGACCCTTAAATAGTTCTCATATTATGTATTTATTTTGATATATTATTCACACAGAATTAAAAAAAAAAAAAAATTGGTTAAAGACTGAATAAGGTATCTATATAAATCAACGATCGACATTGAAACTCATAATATGAATTTTCTTGAAATATTAAATCTAAAGTAGGCAAAAATTGAAGAGAAAACACAATGTAAATCATGAAATTAAAAAAATCAAAAATACGTCAGTGTCAACATCATTGGAGTATAGGGTATAATAACATCGATTTGAAAAAATAACAACGGTTTAAAACAATTCACAATATGAACATAAAAATACAAATTATAACCCATAATTATTTAAATTTGCTGTAATAGAAACCAGTGAAGCAAATTATTGGATCATAAATGTGTAATGTGGAACAGGCGAAGCACGCCACCTCGAGGTGGCGAAGCACGCCACCATATAATGTGTGATCCTGTAGGCGAATATTTTCGGGATTCAACCCGCTCACAATAAATCTAAATCTTGCCACTGATCGGACGAATCTGGTGAATGGCTGCATTATTGAAAAACGTATCTAAACGGTACTAATTAATTATATTTTATTTAATAATTATCATTAGAATCGTGCGCTGTTTAAATACAGCTGCTCCCGCTTGACAAAATGTGTGTTTGGCCGGCCACGGCGATGCGGTGCAAGAGGGGCGGCAACAGTGGTAGTCGCGTGGTGTCTTTCGCGGCGGTCGTGTTTTTTACGACGATAGCGTGATAGTTATTGTAATAGTTCCGAAACGATTTAGCTCACCCCGGAGAACAACATGCGATGACGACCGAGGATCCCAGATTTCGTTTTGATTTGTTTTTCTGATTTTCGGCAGTTCGAAGAGTAACTAAACAAAAAGTAATAATAACAATAATAATAAAACACCGCCGGAAACCGTAATGGCGACGGTCCAGGCCCGGCACCGGGGGCACAACATACCCGACGGCGGCATGACAACGTTCAACGAGATCGAGTACGACCGGGAGGGCGGAGTGTTCCTGAACCGGATCAGACTTATCCTGTTGAGCGTCATTGTATTCCTGTTGATCGTCTTCTCGGTGTTCGTTGGCCGGTACACGGCACAACTGCAATTCCGACAGGTAAACATCACGGTAGAGGCGCCAACGCCGATTTCAACTCCGGCGGTCGTAAATACATAGATCCTGGCTATCTAACGTCCGATTATATGTATATATATATATATATATATAAATATTATATACTTTAGCAGTAATATATATGTAACGCGTTATTTTACTAACCAACTAGTTACTCCACGACATTCCTTAATATGCTCGTGTATGAATTTATACGAATACACGGTTTCACTAGTTAATACATAAAATGTCAATTGGATTTTCGCTTATTCATATCGTTACAAGCCATAACCGGGATCGGAGCAGATAACATGCGATATTTGTCGCCGTTATCATTCTATATACCAGGATAATTATTATTACGGCCGTTAATGGTTACACTTATAGCCGTAAGGTAATATCGAACTGTACCGTACACACCCAACCTCAAAGGTCTATTCACACACAACAGTGACGTGACGGTGCGGTGACTGTTCCGGGATTCCCCCGGCGAAATCTATAACATTTCTAAAGGGGAGATAAGCTTGTTGTTCTCACTTGCCCGGCGCGTGACCGTCCCGACGCAAACGGTGTCGTCGCCGTTATCGTGCCGTGAATTCGCGATTACTTGCCGACGATATTTTTCATATTCCACGGCCGTGATTTTCGCCGTGTTCCGTTCTCTCTCGGTTTTCGAAAATGAACGACGAGAATCTTATTGAATGAGTTCGGTTTTAAGTGCCTATACTCAATGACGGATGGACAACTGACCATTGTGAATAGAAATCACGGCCAGTAGAATCCCGGAACGGGTACGGCACGGTCACGTCACTGTCACGTCACTGCCGCGTGTAAATAGACGTTTAACTTATTCGTTTGAACGAATGTTGCAGTGTATGGATGTTATCAGTGTATAATAGGTAGTTCGTAGTTTATTATTTTTTGATTTTTTTTTCAGCGTTGTATCGTTTTTTGTAATACAATAAGGATTGTTTTTTAATGAAAACGAAATTTGAAACAACTATAAAAAAANTCTATATACCAGGATAATTATTATTATGGCCGTTAATGGTTACACTTATACCCGTAAGGTAATATCGAACTGTACCGTACACACTTAACGAATTCGTTTGAACGAATGTGCAGTGTATGGATGTTATCAGTGTATATTAGGTAGTTCATAGTTTATTATTTTTTGATTTTTTTTTCAGCGTTGTATCGTTTTTTTGTAATTTAATAAGGATTGTTTTTTAATGAAAACGAAATTTGAAACAACTATAAAAAAAAAAAAAAAAAAAAAAAAAACAATAATAATAAGACGTGATAACAGTAGGTTTTTGCTATATGAAAAATATGACTTTTTTTTATGAATGAAAGTAAAACGTATCAAAACAAGAAAAAAAAGTCTCCGTAGGATTATTGGTTAGTACAACGGTATAATGTGATAGACATAAAAGAAGTTCTAATAATTATTTTACTTATTAAATCGTTTCTGGTAGTTTATACAAATGTATCTACTTAGTATATAGAATGACTAGTTGAAATACGTATCTTTGTATTCGATCAATACATTATCTGAAATCGCTCGTAGTTTTATAAAATAATTAGTGATTGTATAAAGTGACGGGATTTCATATATTAACGCTTACACAAATAATTACGCAAATATGTTACAGTTAAAGTGTTGAATTCCTGTATTTTATAAATGAACTAAGTAGCTAGTGAATAACTTACGAATAATATCCGTTAAAAAACATGAAATAAAACATGAAAATCCTTAACTAGTTATTTCATAGAATATCTAGTTATTCTACACAATTATGGTTTGGCATATGTTAAAGTATGATATTACATTACAATTTAAAATATATTATAATATTTTAGATAATTTAAATTCAATTAATTATTTATTTGTTTATGCAAGCCTATCGAGGCATTTAGAGTTGCACAATATTTATTTTTTTCCGTCACCGCCTTATATCACATTTATAGTACAAGTGCACTTAACAAAACCCTGACCAGTTCCCGGTGACCGCGCAGTTGCCGCAGATCTTAATTTAACACTTTTATTTGAAACAAATGCCATAGCTAACATAATTTATGGTCATTCCGTGAACTCGAGATTATAGTTGTTTCAACACTCCAGTAATTATAACGTGCAGTTGGGTATTAAACAAATGAAAATATAAAAATTACTTGTTTCATTTAAATTTATCTTACCATCATTACGTCCAAACTGATTAAACCCATCTTCCGTTTATTTTAAAACACTTGCAATAATTGAACGGGGATCACCTCTTCTTTTATCTACATCGAAGATTTTGCTACGCACTGTAGGACCAATATTAATAACTGCAAATTTAGTATTTGATAAATCTTGTAATCTTTTTGACTGTTTTTCAAATTTTCTTTAGTTTTTTCCTCTCATTAAAACATTGAGATATTTTCAATCACAATGTAAAAGCTAATATGGCTTCGCTAAATGACATAATTGACATATCATATCACAATGTCAGCAAACAAAGACCAACAATTTANCAGAATAACCATAAAAAAGAGCACGTTTAACATTACGGGTTGTACGACCTAACGAACACGTGATTGTAGTTAATATAATATTATTCAAACGATTATTTTAATGGATTATTCGTGGTAAACGATTGAGGTACAATTTTGTCTTATTTTTATTATTTAACAATTATCGTTAGACATTGTTGAAAAACGTATGTAACCTGTTTGATTAAAAATCAAAATTTGAAAATTTGAAATTGTATTTTACATTTTATGTATACCATTTTTTTTTTTCACTCGTAATTATTCAAAAAAGTACTAAATAATTTTTAAACAAATTATGACAATATAACCCTAGTACAGACAATTGTACCATAAACCTTTTAGTTTACCACTGATTAAATATTTATATTCAATGAATACCGTGTTATCAACTATCACAACCATGACTATCTATATTAGTGATGGTTTCTCACGCTAATAGATCTATGGGGTCTACACAAATTGCGAACTTCAATCAGCGTAAAATTTACTTTGTATAACGTATTTAGTATTTTGTATTTATTGGAAAGTAGTTATTAAAATTACTTGAAAATTTCTATTGTATTGTCACTGAAACTTAGTGTAGTTTGTATTAAGTATTTAAACACAATTAGTATAAAAGTATTTTGTCCACCCTTTACACTCGTACAGTAAATTTAGATTAAATTTATAACATCGACAATATTAAAATACACACATTTAATTATAATACTTTCTGGTGTACACAAAACATACTATAATAATAATTTGTAAAGCGGTCTCATTAGTAATTGATACGTCCGACAAACGTGACATTGCTGAATTTTTGTAATTTTGGTTCATTAAATAACTGTATTTTACGAGAAAGTAATTAACTAATGAAACCTTTTTTAAATGCTACATATGGCTCATAATAACAAAGCACTCATCTCACGGGAAAAACTTCGCTTGAATATTTGACAACTATAATATTGTAATTGGTGATAACAAGTATAACCACAAAATGTAACTGGGTAAAAACATCAAGTCAGACTTTTCTCTTTTCACATTACAATTGTTCAAAGAACTAGTATATATGATAAATATTGAATAAAATAAAACAAAATTTACACTTAAAGGAATTGCTTATGATGTATAATTTAGTAGATTCAAATCTAAACGCAAGACGAAGCTATATGGGAATTATTTTGATAAATTGTTTGATGTTGGACAGGACATTTATTCCAACCTTAGGTATTGGACTTAGGTATTGGGTATTGGTATAATATTATTATTCAATACATAACATTTTTGTTATATTTATATTTATATAAAAAAAAAAGGCCGTTGAACCAGAAGCTAAGGATATACAAATATCGTTTTTGGCTATCGAGCCAGACGGTTACAAGGTTGAGTTCGAACCGAAATTGTTCAACGACGAAGGGAAAATTATTTGGGCCGACGTCATTTATCACGGGCGAGTGGAAGCGATTTTTCGACCAAAAATCGATACGGCTGTCATTAGCCTCCATTTTGGACTTTTGAAAATCGTCGGGAATCCAATACTGAAACGCAGACTCAGCATGGAAACATCTACCGAACAGGTCCTGCGGGTGAGTACGAGTGAATTTAAAAATTATAAATAGTTAATAAATATCGCGAAATAATTTAATACGTAGGTAGGTAACGAAAAAAAGCTGTTATAATAATTTCAGGAACTTGAGTGTAGCTGAAAAAGTTTTCGTTTACTATAAGGTAATGATTAAAAATTATGAGTACTTTTTAACAGTTCAAGGATAGTTTCTGGTTGCAAATGTTGTAAAGTTTGTGTATTGGAAAGAAATAATTGATTTTTAATAGTTTTGTTTTTATATATATATAAAAAACACTGGAATATGTTTACCAAATAGTAATTAGTGTTATTTTTTAATCTTTTGCTCCCGTTCACTGAAAAATAATGATAGAGATCTGAAATTTCTTATGAAATATTATTAATATAATTATTTAATCTATGTGGAAAAAACCGTTTTGGTCCAGTAAAAATGATTGGAAATTTGATCAAATATTACGATAAATACTTTTCTGGTATTATTCAATGATCTAAAATTCCTTATAAGTTTTTTTTTTAAGCGCTGTAGATCAAATAATGATGACAAAAATCACGATATATCGTTTACTATTTTTTAAATTGATGTGGGTAAAACTTTTTTGGTACCACATACATTTAAAAAAAATTGAAATAAACACCACGGACAGTTATAATTTATTTTATTTTAATAATTTATTATAATTTAAATTTTTTAAATTGTACCTTCAATTATTGAAGTTAATTAAAATTAATTACAAATATTTAACCGAAATTCACTCAGGATCGTTTTTCGTTTGAATAATATATCGTTGCGTTCTGGTATAAAATGAATTACCCTATACATATATACTATCATTCGAAATATCTATCTACAAAATTGTATTTTATCATAGTGCAAAATATATAGGTCTTTTAGATTTCGAGTTTAGTGATTTAGCAATGTATTGTTTTACAAAGATGTTTGTTTTTATATTTTATTTTTATTTGTAATATTTTTTTTTTTGTGTAAACACTATTTATACTAGAAAGCTTACTTCAATGTAAATGATGTAAATCCTTTTCTGAAAGAAAATTTTCCTGGGGTGGTTCATTTATCGATTTTCCAATTTTATTCGATAAAGAGTTTTTAGGGGTTTTTTAGGAAATCTGAAAAACCAAAAAAAGAAACTCAGGAAAAACAGAAAAATCGGTACTATATTAAACAAATATTATTAAAGAAAATATGTAATGCTTATTTAATTTTTTTACAGTAATATAATAAATACATTGAAGACAGTGCGTCACTATTAACTGCATTCCGCTCTGAATCGTTTTTCGTTAGCAATAGTTTATCGTTGCTTAGATACAAGTATATTCATTAAATTGCCTTTTGTATCCTACCTTTTCAACTTCCTACGCACAACAGAGACTGTACCGTTCCCATTATTCTAGGACGAAATTGTATTCCATAAATTCATAATTATTATATTAGTTTATTTTCCTATCTCTATAGGATTTTTTCGGAGGACAGATCTTGTATGCATTATGTTTTCAGGACGTTTTTGAGTACAAAATCGACACCGAAGTGAACCCCGTTAAGGAGACTCTGACGGTAACTACCAGGGAAAACATGCGGTCCGGCCATTTCTACAGTCTGTTCATCAATTTCACAGGAAACATTAGCAAAATACCCGAAAAGGGCGGTTTTTTCAAGGTGATATTTTATGACCGCAAACTGAATAAAATATTCTGGTACGTAGCTACGAAGCTTGCACCACAAGGTGCACGACATTTACTGCCCTGTGTGGATGGTCAAACACATAAAGCATTTTTTGAAGTAAGTGTCGTTAGAAAAAACGGCACCAGCGTGATTTTCAACACCAAACTCCAGACGACTGAACAATAGTAAGCGTTTTATTAATAAATGACAATATTTTAAGAATATACCAAGAATAAATTAAAATTCTGAAACCACGTATGAAACAAGAAAAATAAAATCGATCTTCCCTCTTTTTTATTTTTTTCAGCAATGGCGATCTTCTCATAGATCGATTTGAAAAAACTGGACTTGTTAGACCGGACTCGTTGGGATTGTTCATGTCCAACTTTAAATCCCAATCTCTTAAGAAAAAAAATTTCGTAGAACTGGTTGTATGGACATTTACACCAATTGAAAGTTTCTCGCTCTTAAATGAAGTCCTGCCAAACACGTTGGTTTTCATGGGAACTTATCTAGAAACTGATTTTCCGACCAAGAAACTCGATATAGTCATTGTACCCAGAGACGAGATTGGTTCGGCTGAAAGTCCGGGTCTGATTGTCATCAAGTTTGTAGACATTTTTTCATTTAAATTTCACTCCTCTTTCATCGGTCGTTTTGTTATATTTTGGAAAATTTAAATTCATTGGGGAAGATTTTATTTCTGATTCACATTTTAGTTTTCCAAATAATCGAAAAGACGGTAAAATATACAGTAACGTTTTTACACATGTAATTTTCACAGAATACTTCTATTATTCTTTTTTCCACGTGATAAATATTTTGTCAAATTTTAAACTGCAAAATGATAAATATGTAACATTGGTATAGAGTAATTTTGGTGGCCGTCTATGGTACAGGCTTTTGTGTTTTTAGCTTTAATTTCACTACACAGTTTATAAATTATTGTGTGTTTTAGTATTATTAGTTTTAAATAGACGTCCTAGAATAATGGAAACGGGTGCTGCTACTTTTATAGGTAATTTAATGTATATCTGTTAGCAATGGTTTTTTTTTTGCTAACAAAAGAACGACTCTGAACGCTGTTTAGTCGATAGTGATGGTTTTTCAATAATAAATATGTCATATTATGATAAAATAATTAAATTGGCATTATATTTTTTCTTCAAAAATTTTTGTTTAATATTGTACTGAGTTTTCCATGTTTTTTCTCAATTATTCACATTGGCTGGGAAAACTCTTGGAAAATCGAAAAATTACCCACCCTAAAGGACCTCCAAAAAAAGATTTTCTTTCAGAAATTTGCTATCATTGTCAACTGGATCAAAATTGCTGGTTTAAATGTTGTCAAGTAAAAAAAAACATCAAAATATTTTACTTTATATTTAGTAGATTTCCCCGTTTTTCACGATTTTTTTCATTTATTGCAGTATTCTTGGAAATTCAAAAAATTAACTCATTAAAGTACGTTTCCTGTCAGATTTCCGTTCAGGAAAAGTGCTACCATTGTTAATCAGAGTTAATTTCTGGTAGGAATGTTGTTCACAGAAAACAATGACCATAATTTTTTTTTACTAATACCTATATTTCGTATATTTTCCGTTTTTTCCAACATTTTATCCCAGATTTTCTGGATGATTATAAAAACTTCTTGAAAAATTAAAAATTGACTTCTCTAAGTTACCACGCAGATAAAAGTTTCTTTCAAAAAGTACGCTACTCTTCATACAGTGGAGCAAGATTTCTAGTAGAAAATTTTTTCAAATAAATCAATAATTGTTTTGTGCTTAATATAGTCTGAGGGAGCGATGACTTGAGACTCTGAGTGCATCCAAAATGCATTTGTTTTTTCCTCGTTTATATAAAAAGGAAAAAATGAAAACAATTTTTTTTCGTCACATTGGTTAAAACTAGGAACCCCTAGGACGATAATAAGCATAAATTACCATTAGTTTACGACAAATATGCTTTAAGAAGGATAATATGGAGTTGATTAAATTCAAAAAGCTTTAATTTTGAAATTTAGTCAGTCCGCTTAATTCTGACTTCACCATCATTCTTAAATCCACAATATATAGAAGTTCAAAAAAAAAAAATGAAAAATTCTATTTGTTCCAAAAATAGCCTAAATGTTTTTTAAAATTTGACCACGTCTAGAAAGGGCAAATAAAATTTTTCTGTCCAAAGTCTTTACAAAGATTTTGAACATAATTACAACAAATAACGAAATTGACAAAATAATAAAAACAATATTTTTGTAAATTTCACGTTTTTCTTACATTTTCTCCTCGTTTTTCTTGGATATTATGAAAAAAATAACCTCTTAAAAGCACCATCTGGACAACGTTTTCAGTGATAAGGTTTTGGAAAACAAAAGCGGGATGTCGATAGCACAATATCAGGACACCGTCGAAACACTAATCGAACATATCATTAGACAATGGCTGATGCCGATGCAAGTAGTCGATCAGTCAAGTACCGAAGAAAAATGGTTATTCGACGCGATCGCTAATTTCCTAAGAATCGTCAACTCTGACAATGTAAAGTGAATACAATATTATTATTATTATAATTCTTTCGTTAATCGTCATTTGCTTTATATTGTAAAATTTGGTTGTCCAAAGATTTTACCGGGTTGGAATCTAGAAGCTAGATTTCAACTAGACAACATTCAACCTGTAATGTTTTACGACAGTTTTACAAATTCTAAATCACTCTCCGATATTGGATACCGTTCAAATAAATTTAAATATATTAGTTCGCATAAAGGTAATAATAATTACAGAATATCTACGTAACCATTTCAATTATTAAAACATGATTTATACCTAGGTACGTCGATTTTGCGAATGTTGAACTACACGTTTACCGAGGATATTTTTAAACAAACTCTTAGGGAATACATACACACCGAGTAAGTTATAATACTAATAATATTACAATATATTCGATTTACATAAAACATACCTACCTATTTAAAGGTTTATTAAACGTTAAATATTTTTTAATTGGTTAGGATTTACAAATATAACGACGCTGCGAGCTTTTGGAAACTATTGGATGACAACGTGAGACTCAAGTCGACTAAGATACCTAAAAACTTGGATGTATTTCAGATCGTCAACTCGTGGACACGGAATAAAAATTATCCACTGATCACGGTAGAAGTTCAGGGTGACGATATAATTTTGAAACAAGTGCGATATGAAAAAGATAAATCCCTGTTAATCATAATACGCGCACAGCAAAATTAAACCGCATTATTTTTTTATATATACACACTATGTGTATATAGTTTCGGTTCAACTACAACCAAACTATACCCACAGATGAATGGATAATACCCGTAACCCTGACTTCGGGTATGGCATATAGCACGACGATTTGGATGGAAAACAGCAAAGAAGTCAGGGTCCCGGGATACAATTTAGCGTCAAATGGTTCGTGGATATTGGCCAATCAACACCAAACAGGTCAAGTAAATAAATCAGTCAGTTATATGGATAGAAATTTCCGAAAGAACGATTTTTATAATAATAAGAGAAAAATGAATACTAAAAATCATTCGTAAAATACGTTACTCTATGTTTTGATATGTTAATTGATCGGAAGCGTTATATTACATTTCCCCCGAGAGAGAATGTCTTTCTGAGGAAACCCTGTATTAAGTAATTTTCTCTAGAAGATCCAACATATGACTTGAAAGTTGTACCAAAAAAAATATGATTTTTTAAATAAAAACGGAAGAAGAATTTGAAGAAGAAGTAGTCTTATCTTGTAAAATAGTGCCCTACATAGTGAAAATATCAAGGGGAACATAACTATAGAATTTTTTCTTTACGATATAAATCAAAATTGCTTCAACTAATCTATGAAATTGATGACTTTGTTGTATTGTGAAATAAGAGTGAAGAAACCAAAGTTGATATTTAAAAGGACGTTATTATAATACTTAAACATAAGGATTCATTGATATTAATCTTTCGAAATTTGACGCGAAAGGATCGTAAGAAATCATATTAGGAAGCATATTGGATTTTGCTAATGAAATAATTGTTATTAATTTACAAAACATAGAGAAACGAGTTGGTCTAAGAGTAGCATTATAAAATAGTATGCGTAAAATAAGTACTCTTTTTCGGAATTTATCAAATTACGCGGGTGTAATGCTATTAAATCAAAATTTGGAGATTTTTCAAGATTACATTTCTAAATGTGAATATAATTTAATTAGGAATAAATGTTTACTTTATTTTTTGCATTTTCTAAAAATGAGAATTATCATAAATATACTATTTTAAAATTGTCTTCTTTCCGGAATTATGATTTCTACTTAAGAGTTCTCTATCTTAATTCGATTTTATCGATCCCAGAATTATAATAAACTGTTTTCTTCTATAATATTACAATGATTATATTATAATATTTACAAGAATTTAAAATAATTGATTATACGTTTTTCATTTTTTCTTATTTCAGGTTACTATAGAGTTATATACCGTGACAACTTATTAGGTAGGATATTGCACGAGTTCAAAACGGGCAATTCATTCGATCCGTACACCGTAGGACACGTGGTTGGAGACATTTTCGAAGGAGCGTTAACTGGCATAATAAAATTCATTGATGGGCTGGAATTTCTCAAAAATTTCATTGAAAACGCTGGTCCATATTATGGACACTGGAATCCTATTATAAACGCATTCAATAAAATAGAGATGGTATTAAAAGGCACTAAAGAACACGACTCATATTTGGTAACTATTTAATATTCCACATATTAATAATGCATAATTAGGCATCAGGTTGAAAATGTTTATAGTTATATGTATATGGCCAGACGCAACGAAAAAGTTTGTATTACACTTTTTATTACTTTTGATTTATTCTTTTTAGACGAGTAGGGATATGGATTTTTTATAGATGATGCTGTAAAAAAATACGAACTTTAACGTACATTTTTAAAAATGCGAACTTTTTCGTAGCAGCAAGTGTTTTATGGTATATAGTGTGATTTACTCAAATGGTTACAAGATATATTTGTGTTCATTGATCTCAGATTAAAATGAGATGAACTCTTGGAAAAGAAAATCCTTGTACTTTTATGTGCTACAAATATAGATCAAGTATAATAGATAATATACCACAATTATATTCAAATTTGCAAAAACTTCAAAAAAATATAGAAAATTAATTAAAGACAAAATATAAATAAAAGTCTCCACCACCAAAAATGTTCAAAAAACATATTTTACAAAATGGCCATTTAAAATAATTTCAAACATATTATAACAAAATTTGTATTTAATGTCCCCCCACAAAAAAAAAAAAAAAAACACTTGATTTGCTAACTGTAGTGGAGAGAAATGTAATTATTTAGCAAATAATTGTATAGAACAAATATTATTTCCAATGTCAAGTCATCATACACTCTGTACATAGAATTAGTCTATGTAAAAATTACTTGTTTAAATAAACCATCAAACCTACTTCTACATTACTATACTTTTATTTCTCAACTTCAATAAGAAACCTATTAAATTATATTTTAAATATCCTTTTTATGTCTAAAATAACAAAATATAATATATTTTATCTTCTATGGTTATAAAGCAATTACATACTCTAATTTGGTTTTAGCTATTTAAAACTTGTTTAAATAAAAATAAATTTAATATTAATAACTACATATAATATATGTTTACTTGCGTATTAATAGTGTTCTATAGTACCAAAATATTATATATATATTTTTATAATAACTTTCAAATTTGTTAAATACTAATATTATACCATGTTTAAGACTTACACTTCAGTAGTGGCTAAAACAGCGTACAATGTGTTCAACAAAGCAGAAGTAAATAACTCCGACCTGATATTCGGCATGATAGAGATGTTATGTTTTGTGGGTCGAGCGGAACTAGACGAATATGTGTTAAAGGTTAAAGAGAAATATAAATCGTGGAAGAATGGAACAAATACGAATCCGTAAGTCGATGTATAACCCATTCATATATGATGTATTTCAAGAATAATAAATAAATAAATTTTATTTTATTCGATTTTAATTTCAGTTTCTGGCCTAATTATCGTAGAGCCGCATACTGTACAATACTGCAATATGCTTCTGTAGAAGATCATAGATTTTTTATAAGAAAATATATTCATTCCAAATGGACGCCTGACAGAAAAACCTTAGCCAAAAGTTTTTCTTGTTCACGAAACACGCAATTTTTAACTTGGTAAACATTTCAATAGACACATATACACATTGGCGTATTTTGGGCTTTTTTTTTTGTGTGGTTTCCTGACCCCTGGCAATTCTTTTTCTCCAGAAATATTAAAATAACTTCATCACGAGTTCATACTTGATTATAATACACATTAAAATCTTATAAGTGGTAATTTTCTTTTAAAAAAATCCTAGGATCCCTTCATAAGTTTTAGAATATAATAAAATTATTACAGGAATAAAGCATAAACAATTTGACTGAATAAATTAAAACTTATTTAACTCTTAAATTTACTGAGTGACTGAGTAATTTCCCATATTAGTTTATTAATTTTGTATATTTGTATATTCACTTGTATACTATGTATATTTATTTGTATATAAGGTATTCAGATAATACACTTAAACCTAATATTATTAATGTTTGGCAGTCTCCAATTATTATTAATCCAAGATAGAAATTTTTTAAGCAGTTTTAATATATTTCGTCATTTTTTAACAATATTTTGTGATATTTCAATAATTAATAGAACTAGACAAACTATTAGAATGGATTTAATCCTCAGGAAACCCCCTCCCCTAAATACTCCACCTAATATACTATAGCTAAACTAATAGATAAATGTATAATATCAACTTAATCATAATATCTTCGATAGGATATTGACGTTTGACGGATTACATTCCGAGGACATGTCCGACGTTTGGATCTCGATGGCAGATAACCCAATATCTGGTCCATTCGTGTTTTACTTCTTTCAGAACAATTGGGAAAAATTATACGAGGAGTAAGTTTAAAATAATAATTTTTTTTACAATTTTTTATAAGCACTTATAAAGGTATGTTAAAATATAGTTATGCAGATGTCAATATTAACTTGCTGAGTACAATGTTGCTCGCGGCGATTCGTGGTTTAAACACTGACATCGATCTTGAAATGCTACAGATGTTTACCGAAAAACATTTTAGCGACATCGCTGAAAATAAAAAACACCCAGCATTGCTGGAGGTTTTGTACTTGGAAAAAGAGATACTAAAACAAAAGATCTGGTGGCGGAAAACATATGAATCAGTGATCGGCAATTGGCTATGGAATGAAATCTTGAACGATTCCAAATCCATTGATAAAAAACAAAGCATAGATGTCAAAAAATCTGAAACCGACCGTAATGACAGCGTTACGAATACAAGCACGATAAATGTCAGTCAAACGAAAAGTATAAACGAGAAATTCGTTACATCAACTAAATTGAATGCGACCACACCCGTGACACAAGCAGAAATCCCTACTTCAATTTCGTTCGAAAAAACGAATTCCGAAAAAAAAATACAAGCGTCCAGCTCCATAGTTACATCACCAATTACTACAATAAACGAAAATGTGTTAACGACCACGTTCGAAAAGGATGGTGGATATGAAATTGGACCAGTGGCGGTGGTAGAAAACACTAATCCAGCAAGAAGTACCGAGCCCACGGAAGTGGTGAATTCAAATAACAACGTAAACAAAACTGACTTTATAGCTTTGCCGAAATTAAAACTAAATCAAAAAATCATATTAATCTAATAAATATAATAATAATACCGATATCTATTAAGCAATTTAGGAAAATTATTATAATTCAATTTTTTGTCATTTATAATTATTCGAATAGGATCTTCCTATTATTTCTATTATTATTGTTAGAAGGAATTTTTGGTCAGTTTCCTTTTGGTACCAAACTACACCGTGCATTTAATATTTAACATTATATTTTATACAATAATAATACTAATAATAATCGTAAATGTTTGATAATGAAATTGTTTTAGTTATAATATATACGCTCTATATTAATTACCAAACAACGTATACGACTTTATTGTTAAAAAATAGTGCATTGTTTTTATACAAAAAACAAATTAGATATTTTTTTTATATATTCAAATTATTTCTGTTGCTGATGCTGTCTCTACTCTTGTCCAATTATTTTTGACCCATTAACGATTATGAACGATTTGATTTCCATGACCCAGTCACTGATACAAGTTCCAGATACTTAAAAAAAATCATGTATTGAAAAAAAAATAAGTTACATTAAAATCATTGATAACTAGAACTAGAAAACGGTTTTGAGTATTACATTTTAGATATATATTGTATACATCATTTTTGAATAACTTTTTCAAGAATTTTTTTTATTTTAATTCTTAAGAGTTTCTATAGAAAACTAATTTAAATTTAAAAATAAATTTAATGTAAATAATTAAATATTTATTAAATACTATACAATTCATAATTCATTATGATCTTCATAATCACTTGTATACTTACTTAATAATCAATAAAAAATGTCGAGTTTAGTAAATGATTAGATATTAATGAAATATTAACTTACCAATTACAGGATATGGCTATCAAAATGCCTTAAATAACTCATCTCATATATGTGTATTATTTTGACCTAATTGTACGTGTATTAGTATTACCCAATGTTCAAAATGACAGACAATTTCCAAGAAAATTTGGAAAAATACTTCTAAAAACAGTTTTTTTCTATAGGTACATGAAAAATTGGAAAAAAGGAAAAATTAAAATTATACAGTATTATGAACTATTACGACACAACTTAAACATCATTCATTTTTAAAAGTAATATATATTGTTCGTTATTTAACATCTTAATGAAACTTGTTAAAACATAAACCTGGTTTAAACACGAATCTAGGAAAAATATTATAATCAAGGCTCAAAACCGTTATCAATTTAAACGGTTTTAGTTTTGAATTTATAAACAGTTTTTGAACAAAACTAGTCAATTTCAGGTTAATTTTTTTTAGATTCTGAGTGGAATGAAGAAACTTATGGTTTTACGAAGATATTTAATTTTTTTTTTCTGTGGACAACTTTTCTACCAGAGGGATTGCTCCGATTTTTACGTGTAGCATCTTTTCTGAAAAAAATTTGGTGTGGGGAGATACGTTAAGGAGATTATAATTCCTCAATAATTTTTTCAAAAAATGTGAAAAACTGAAAAAAACCGGAGGAAAAATGGGAATATTTAAGAAATGTAGCTAAAATATATTACGGCTTTCTTTTTTCCTGTGAACAACTTTTCTACTAGCAATTTTGCTCCGATTTATAATGATATCAATGTTTATAGAAGGAAATCCAACTGGGGAGATACTTTAAAGATATAGTTTTTTGATTTTCTCAGGAGTTTAAACAGCAAATATGAAAAATTGGGGAAAAACATGGAAAACCGGAAAAAAAACATAGGAAAACCAGAAATATGGGTTCAACATTAAACAAATATTAATAAAGAAAATATATAAAGTCTATTTAATTATTTTACTATAATTTGGCATATATATTATTGTCAAAGCATCACTATCAACTTAACTCCGCTTAGAATCGTTTTTCGTAATCAATGTTTTATTGTTGATATTATTACATGTATACATTAAATTACCTATAACAGTGGCTGCACTCGTCCTTATCATCCCAGGAAGTCTTTTTATATGTGTAATTAATATAATAACTACATTATCAGCTAAGTCATTTTAGACCAGTTTTTATTATTTATTATTATACTTGAATTGCGTATACATGAGATGGGTTCAGTCTAAAATTTTCGGGAAATTGAAAATAACTATTTTGCACGTATAATTTTACTTGTAAAAAATTATAAAAATTTAACCTAATTTAACTTAACCATGGGTTTGGATTGTGATAATAATTTCTTTTATGTTATATTACAGAAATAAAATTAATGTAATCAAATATTTTTCATTGTTGTATCGGAAACTAATGATACGAAAAAATTATAATTGCATTTTAAACGTGTCTACTTTTTTTAAATACAAATATCAAACTATTCTAAAAACTATCTATTCTTTTGTAAAACTGTTTAGAACATTTTAATTTAAATGGTTTTGGTTTTGAAAGCGATTTTGGAAATTGTTTTGAAATTGAAATCGGTTTCAGTTTGGGTTCAGAGAATGGTTTTTGGAAAATTTAAGGTTCCGGTCTAGGTTAGATTAGAAATGAAATTCCGTGGTTTTAATCGGTTTTTCAAAAAACAGTTTCAATCCCTGTTTGTAATTTATTTCTTGCCTCAACTGTGACAAATTATTATACGTACGGACAAACATACTGAAATAATATTACATTAGTGGTTCCATTTTACCATCTTGGCTAAAGGTCCCAATAAAAATACTCGTTGCCTTACCGCCGTATAATGTAAAAATGTAAAAAATCAAACTATACGCCTATATAAATATTACATATAACGAATAGATGGTACTAAATTTTTACGTTTTATTTAATACTAATTATAATAGACTGATTAAATACAGCTGCTCTTGTTTGACAACCATGTGTTTGGCCGGCCGTAACGATGTGGCGTGATTGCAGTGTTGTCGCGTGGTGTCTTTCGCGGTGGTCTCGTTTACGACGATAATAATAATTATTGTAATAATTACGAAACCAATAATCTTATGCTAGAGGACAACATGCGATAACGCCTGAGGATTCAAAACAACGGTTTCCTTATTTTTTTTTCCTTTCTAAAAGTTTGACAGAGTTAAAAAAACAAAAAAAAAAATACCGCCAAAAACCGTAATGGCAACGGTCCGGGCCCGGCACCGGGGCTACAACATACCGGACGGCGACATGACCACATTCCACGAGATCGAGTTCGATCGGGAGGGCGGAGTGTTCCTGAACCGAACCAGACTAATCCTGTTGGTGATCATTGTATTCCTGTTGACCGCTTTCTCGGCGTTTGTCAGCCGATACACGACCCAATTGCAAATCCGACAGGTAAAAATCACAGCACAAGTCTCAACGCTGATATCGACTTCTGGGCGGCCGTAAAAAAAATAGATTATTGCGGGAAATTATCAGGCGAGTTAAATGCGAAAAAGAATTCGGAAACTAAACTAAACTTTTAAAGAAGTCAAGTTATTATAAAATGTTGGCAAGACTAATTTTAACTAAAATACACAGTAAACAATGTTAAGAGGACGTCACACGTCCAATATCTTATGGGATCACGTGCAGCCAATTCCAAAACTCGTTTAACCGAATTTTGCTCAGAATTGTTTTTCGTTAGCTGTAATTTATCTTTTAAATATTAAATAACATTATATATTTTAACTTTACAATAACATATCCACAACATTTTTACACCTATCACCAGTATCAGCTCTTTTAAAAAAATTGATGACATTTACAACGAAAAAGACTTATAACTTTTAAAAGTAATAGTCCGAAATTCGCAACTACAACATTAAATCATTTTTGCTATTTTTATTTTATAAACATTAAATGTATTAGTTATTAAAGTAATAAAGTAAAAAAAAAATTATTAAAATGGTTAATACTCTTAAATAAATAGAGTAAATAAATATATTAATAAAATAAAAAAATGGCATCTCGTTAAGATGTGAAAGTGAAAAATCCTGTTGGATATAACTTATTCGTTTGTACAGACAAAAGACAGAGGTCAAAAAATCAAAAAATGACCTCTTTAAAGTACCATTAAGATAACTTAAGCTTTCATAAAAGTTTTTGTGCTTAAAAATTGGAGGAAGTTCACTAGGAAAAAAATGTGTCCACAGACTAGAACAAAGAAAAAACTAAACATCTTTGTAAAACCAATAGGTCACTCGCTACGCTTGGAATTTAAAATGTATGTATAAAAAATAAATTAAATAAATGAATAAATGCGTCGTCTGAGGTATTTTATTTTTGTATATACATTTTTTATTTAAATATTTATTTACTTTAGATATTTAAGACTTTTTTTTGTATTTCTGAGCAACTTATCTACCAGAAATATGAATCCTTCGAAATATCAAGTGTAGCAATTTTTCTTAAAGGTAATTTTCTCTAGTTGATACATTGGGACCTAACCATTTTCATTTTTTTTTATTTTTTACGGCTTATATTTATTACCATAAATTCACGATAAGAAAAATAACAAAGGTTAAGTTAGGTTTCAAATTTTAAGCTTTTCAATGAGAAATCTTGTTCCGATAGAAAGAGTGCAATCTAAAGAATGTTCTGAAAGGAAATTTTATAAAGATGATGCATTTAAGGGGTCATTTTTTTTTATATTCCGGGGGATTTTTAATCTGAAAGAAAATTATTGGTTAAACAGAAAATTACTTAAAACCACGGCATTACTTACTACGGCATTGTTTGTAATTTTTGTAACTTATGTTTTCTACCATAAATTGAAAAAAATAAAAAAAGTTCGATTTTTTCGTTATAATAGATAGCCACTAACAGAGTCGTTTTGTGATATCCAACGTAGTTTCTATTTTAATGAGAAAAACCAAAAAAAAAATACGTTTTTTTTTTTAAATTATAGCGCAACGATTTCATTATTTAAAATGTATATTTTTCTACCAGAAATCTTTGTCCGAATTCTAAGAACAGCATATTTTCTAAAAGAAAATGGTTTTCTTGTTTGTGTGGAGAAAATCGTTGGTAATCTTTCCCGATTATTATGAAAATCTCTTAGAAAATTTAAACACCAAACACTTTCTAACAATCACGGTGATGTTATTTGGAAGTTTCCGTTGTAGTAACAAACCGGATTAATTGAAAAAAAAAAATCTATGGCATTATATTATGTGTGCAGTCACATAATATAATATCATATGATTAATGTAATGATTTATGTCTGCAAATAAAGACCGAAAAAAGTATTCATTTATAAAACTATGTTAATTGTTACACTGTATATACAAAAACACGTTTTACAGTGTAATTCTTATGATCGAACGAACACACGATATTAATAATGTACACATTTAATATATATAATATATTATATTGTTCTTCATATGTTATTTTAATAAATTATTGAGAACAATATTATAGTATTACAATTGTATATTGTATATAACTTAATACATCAAAATTTGCTATATTACTTTTTTTTTCGAATTTCCCGAAAAATAAAGACTATTGCACTATATTCAATATTGTGTGTCCAACGAGGAAAAAGTTTTGATTCTCTTAGATGTCATGTATTTATTACTTATTATGCTTAAATGTAAGCTTTTTACATTCGCTAGAAACCAATATTTTTTTACTATTTTAATAATAACAATACGTCGGTGATAAAGCAATACGTAACTCCAAAAAGTCAATTTTCAGAAGATACAAAAATGTATTTATAAAATCAAATTTTCAACTATTGTACATAAACTATTTTAAAAATTTTTTTATGTATTTACTGTATTTATTTTATGTATTTTTTGATCTACAGCAAACTTCAACAACGCACTCGAAAAAACAGTATACTTATTCTAATAACAACATCCGTCACTTCAAAGTATATACCTAAGTAATGTGGCTCCGATTTTTAATTGAATAATGTAACTAGTAAACTTATTGCATCCCGGGTATATTATTCCTAGTTTCGTCCCTAATTTCCTTTTGTATACAAACTAAACAATATTTTCCTTCCATTTGTATACAGACTTAGGACTGTCTATAGTAATAATTACAACAGGTGAATACCTGTACTACACTGTTATACAGAACTATGGTGTACAGAACGTAATAACTCAAAATAAAATCGCTTATACTAAATCGATAATACTAGAATAATTGATAATAACCAATAATTTTGCAGTTCAAATTATCAAAGTTAGTTTATTTATCTAATGTGATTATAATTCAGACGTGCTCAAGAAAAACCCGGGACGCAATTACTTTATACTTATTTATACCGGGCGTAGGCATTCGTAAGCAGCGAGAAACATAGTCTAGCAAATTACTACAAATCGCATGGATTTCTTATTAGTCCGTGTTTGATATCACGGAGATACGAGATATGTTTAAAAAAAAATTGTCAATGGATTTATGTGATATTACTTAACAGTTACTTCAGAGTATAACTTCTTTGAAAATTTGAATATTTCTGAGGTATTTACACTAAAATATACGTTTTTGAAGTTACGTGGTATTGTTTTATCACCATTATATTATGCATGATTACGTTATGGGTTATGGCTTTAGCTTAAGCTATAACTTCGAGTCTAAGCACCATATTGAATGTGTTTGCTGGCGGACGTTTATTTTGCTTGGTTTTGTTATTAAGTTGGTAAATGAATCGTATATTAATATGTCTATTAAATTATTGTATTATACTCTTTTCTGTCCAATTCTAAAGTAGAGTTGCATTTTTCGGGTTCTACATACAGCAAGGCAGGTTTAGAGAGTCCAGAGAAAGTTATCGTTTTGCTAGTTATGTCCTGAAAATTCCCTGACCACTGCATGACTACTCGCTAGTCGCTAATGCGATTAGCCTTTCTTGCATAGCTGAGCGAAGACTTTCCACAGGTAGTGTTTGAATTCTGAAATATTTCATATGAAATAATCCTTTAAAAAAGATTTTTTTTTTTTTTATTACTATGATATATGGTCTTATTTGCGACTGTTTATGAATTAATCTATATATTAATATTTAATTTCTTATAGGTTATAAGTCATAGGTAAATATATATATAAATATATTAAACTTTTCATTAAATTATTATTTTTTTATTTCCATCAACCCATTAACTAAATACTCTGATTTTAATTTTAAGTAAGGGGAGATTAATAATGCACTAATAAAACGTTGCATGTTGTACGGCATAGAAATAATACTTAACTAAACTTCCCCTGACCTAAACTTAAAAGCGGAACGGTGGAACACTTAAAAGTGTTTATAGGAGAAATATATTTAAAATAATACTATGTTTATTTATAGAATTTTCAATATAGATTCTCATTTGAAAAACTAAATTTGGTATCACCATAGGATACTCCTTAAATGTTGTGAAATACCTGAGTATTCGAAAATATTGAATTTAACTACACTTAAAAATTTAGAAAATAATAATTTGAATGTATGCAAAATTTAACCAAAAAAAAAATGGAGTAAGCACACTTAAAGAATCATCCTTATATTCTGTGTGGCATTGTATCATTTAAACATTTCCGTATGTTTTCTGGCAATATGAAAAAATGCAAAATATTAAAGAAAAAAATCACTATAATGACAAATGGAAATAGGTAAAAACAAAAAGAAAAACATGTTTTCTTAATATTGAAATATTTCAAAATCGTATATTTCATGAAACATTAAATCATTAGTTACAGGTATATGTTTTATTGGAGAACTGCTAAATAACAAAATTGAATTTACTTAACTCGTTACGCACTTTTTCTTCGATATATCTTAGAGTTCAATTATATTTACTACTTTTTTGCCTAATATCACTACAAATAGCTCAGTTGATTAACGGCTAAGAACATTAAAGATGAAATCCAATGAAGATTTTCATTTCCTAATCTATCTTATTTTTTTTTTTTTTAGATTCTGAATAGAGCGAAGAAGCTTATGGTTTTATAAAGATGTTTACTTATTTATTTAATTTTTTTTTTATCTGTGTTTAACTTTTCTACCAGAAATTTTGCTCCAATTTACAATGGTAGCACTTTTTCTGAAAATAAATTTGACTAAGGAGGTACTTTTAAGGTGTCATTTTTTGATTTTCCTATGAGTTTTCTCAATATATTGGAAAACTAGAATAACACAGAGGAAAAACGGGAAAAAGGGAAAATAGGTACAATATTAAACAAATATTATTAAATAAAATGTTTAATGCATATTTAATTATTGTATCATTATAACCCGTCTAACTTCCCAACTTCCCACCTACAACAGTGGCTGCACTCACGTGCAAAGCAGGCTCGTTCCTGTGTGGGGGGTTTTATGTTCCTTTTTGTTATACAAATTATCCATAATTCTTAAGTACAAAGAAGTACAAATGCAACTGGATCCAAATATCATAAAAGATGATTCCGGATCACAAAAATACTTTGATTGAAACAATAATGAAACCCTGCTCATATATAAATGGGGCCCGGATTAATGAGATTCTACTATAATATAATTGATGATACTATACCTGAAAAATAAAATTGGGTGTGTGCATCTATGCAGGATTTTACACACATTGCCCTTTACATTCTACAAATTTTTAAAGAAAAATTAAAGTGTATAATTTACCGTTAAAAAAAAAAAAAAAACAACTATAAAATCAAGCTAAATGGCTTTGAAAAAATATTACATCGATCTGTGTGATAATATTCTTATCAGATATATTATACTGTTATTGTTCTGTTAATATATTTTTTTTAAAAAAAGGTCACTGAATCAGGAGTCAAAAATGCACAAAAATCGTTTTTTGCTGTCGAACCGAACGGTTATAAAGTTGAGTTCGAACCGAAATTGTACAACGATGATGGGGTCGTTGTCGAAAATGATGCAATTTACAACGGGCGAATGGAAGTGATTTTCCAACCAAAGATTGACACGGCTGTCATCACACTCCATTTTGGACTTTTAAATATCGTCGGGATTCCGATACTGAAACGCCGGCTCAGTATAGAAACGTCCACTGAAAAAGTACTGCGGGTGAGTACAACGAATTTATATAAAAATTGCGAAAATAATGATCGCGAAATGTTTTAAATGTAATGAAAATTAGCTAAGCCCCAGAAAACGGGTTTTTAAATAGTGGATAGCATTGGTTTAACACCTGAATTTCAGCTAGGTTTGTTGTGTTATTTGGTTAGAAGTAAGTATGCAATGTATGCGAGGCATACCTTATACGCATTATTTTTCTAGAACGTTTTTGAGTATAAACTCGACACCGAAGTGAACGCCGTGAATGAAACTCTGACAGTGACCACCAGGGAAATTCTGCGATCTGGTCATTTCTACAGTCTGTTCGTCAACTTCACTGGAAACATTAGCCACTTGCCCGAAAATGGCGGCTTTTTCAAGACGACGTTTTATGAACACTACCCAAACGAACAGTCCTGGTTCGTAGCTACAAAGCTTGCACCGCAAGGGGCTCGGCATTTATTGCCCTGCGTGGATGGTCGAACACAGGAAGCGGTTTTCGAAGTTAGCGTCGTCAGGCAGAACGGAACCAGCGTGATTTTCAATACCAAACTCCGGACAACTGAACCGTAGTAAGTGTTACAATAATATAACAACGTTTATTATAACGTTCCATAATAAAAACGTATTCAAACGGTAATACTTGACAGTAGTCGCTATCGTGGAACTGTTGTCATATAAATTATTTGATAGTAGCTGTTATGATATTATAGCAGTACACTTACTATTTAACTAACAGTACTACTACCACACGATAGTGGATTTTATGGACTACTGTCGTGTAAACACTGCTCACATAACACTGTCAACTATCATCACGTTCAAAATATTTATTATCGTCCAGTGTTAAATGTGATACATTTAAAATATTAACTTTTTAGGCCTTTGATACCGAATTCACACATTATGGTATTAAAAATTACGCGTACTTATAATTTTCTTCTTTTATTTATGTATATAAATATATATAAATCACCAATAATTCATATTATGGAAAAGTATGAGACTGTTAGAAATAATATTATTTACTATTTGTATTCTATTTAGTATATATGTATACTTAGCAGTACCGTAACCAGAAAGTTAGTGCTCCCGTGAAACTTTTTTCCCGTAATTATGCAGTGCAGTTTACATTAATTCGTTGTATTGAAAAAATATATTATTAGTAGTACTTATAAAAATAATTCGTATAAAATAGACTGTTTTGTATTACTATGTATATTGTATAGGTTATTATTTGTAGAAAGGGGATATGCAAAGTTTATTATTGACAAAAATCTACCCTCTTTACTGATATATTTGTCGATTACGTAATCTACATACTTTTAAAATCTAATGTCATTAGGAATCGATTGATGAATGTGAACACACACGCAATTAATATCGAACCAATTGTTATTAATATCCTGCTGTTCAATATTGTTCGATATTTCGACAATAAATTGATCATTTTTATTAGACTAGACGCATTCGATCTCGTATCTACTTATCATTAATAAATACGATATCAGTAATTTCATCAGTTGTTAAATTCCAATGATTGAAGCATAATGTGTTATGTGTAACTCAGATTACACATTCCATTTCGTTTTTTGTCGTGACACAAATTACTAAAATCAATTTTTAGATGTGACGAAATTACATGTTATGTTTTTATACTTGGTCCTAAATTACATACGCACTTAAATGTACCTATTGATGGTACAAATTACGAGTAATAAAATTGGTCGAAAATACCACATCATAATATTTCGTTAATTAATCTGCTCAAGAAGTAGCTGTAGAGGCGCATCTAAAAGATTCCCACGATGAAATAAAAAATGAATGATTTGAAACTTCTGATGTACAACAAATTCAAAATGACTGCAAATGGTGCGTTCATGTTAATTTTTAAAAAATATTTGATTAATTTTTAAAAAGTGGATAACAACGTAATTTATTCATTTTTACGCCTAGTTCCTTCTTAGTCTTGTCTAGATTTTTTTTATACTCTCTGTAAAATTTGGTTTTCTGGAAATGTTCTCTTTCTGCTATTAGTAGTATTCATGTATTGTTTTATAAGAATACAAACTTTGTTTTAACTTTACATTATAAAATTAAGGGCGTATAAATAATAAGAGATAAGACTAAAGAAATCATAAAATAACAGGTGATATTTATTCTAGCCGAAAGTTAGATAGAAATATTAAGTGCCACCCCCCCCCCCGCAATTTTTCTCTGGCTACGGTACAGCTAATAAATATCGGTATAGTTGAAATATGAAATTAGAATTTTCAATAATTAGTATGAATATTTAAAATAATNTTAATTCGTTGTATTAAAAAAATATATTATTAGTAAAAAAATAAAGTGATAATACCTTATAAATGACAAAAGTGCATATTGGTTTCCATTAAAATATTTATCGTGGAGTATTCCAAAATTACTTATATGTCAGAATAAATAAACTGTATATATTTCTCGTTTTTTTTTTTTTTCTAGCAACGGTGGTCTACTCATAGACCGATTTGAGAAAACCGGACTCGTCAGACCGGACTCATTGGGGTTGTTTATATCCAACTTTAAGCCCCAGTCTATAACGTCGAAAAACTTCGTAGAACTGGCTGTGTGGACTCTTCAACCAATGGAAAATTATTCTCTAATAAATAAAGTTCTTTCCAGTACGTTGGTTTTTATGGAAACTTATCTGGAAACCAAATTTCCGACCAATAAACTTGATATCGTCATTGTACCCAAACACGAGATTGGTTCAGCTGAAAGTCCGGGCCTGATCATCATCGAGTTCGTAGACATATTTTCATTCCTTTTTCATTGGCCTTTTTTTGTCATTATATTAAAGATTGGATCGGTTCAACTGGAAGTCCTACACTGATAATGATTCATTTTATATTTGTATTTTTTTTTTGATTTCCCTCCTTGTAATTCTCTTAATATTTAGGAAGAAAACTTAGAAAAATGATAAAATTTAATTTTCTGTTTCATTATTTTTGGTTCTTTTTTTTTGGAAATTTGGTTATCAACGATTTTAGGGACTTGAATACTTGTTATTTGCTTATTTACATCAGTATTTTCTATAAATGATAAAACATAGTCGTTTTTATAAAAAAAATTAAGTTCAAATTTGAACAAAAATCCCATTTAAATACTTATTTAACATTTTATCCAAAATTCGCCCAGAATCGCATTTTTTATTAATGAATTATCATTTTATAAGACGAAACTTAAATATTTCTATGATTCCATTTTTCCAATTTTTCACCTACAACAGTGGCACACCCATCAGCTCTTTTCGTATATATATTTTATACCACTGCGTTCTACGGATTTTATTTAATATATTATTATTATATTGTTTAAAACGAAATTTATTATATTTAATTTCTAACACAATAAAAAAATGCGTAATAGGTACAGAATAAAATTTAAACACGTTATCAGTTGACAGCGATTGTGATCCCCAATCGCGTAATATATGGTAATCTATTGTGTATAATTTTTTCATCCCTTTTCTAGAAATTAAAGCAACAATTACTAAGAAACAGTTTATCAGATATATATAAAGATGAATATTGTATTTAAATTTTTAAACTTTCTAAAATTATTTTCATTACACAACGATTTTGAAAATGTTAAAAGGTGAATAAATTAAAATCTTTTTTTTTTTCTAGTAATTAAGAGGCGATAATTCAAATTAATTTTTATCTAAATATATATCCCACAAAAATAAATCTGATTAAAAAAGAAAAATTATAATATCGACAGAAATATAAAAATCTGTAGAACACGAAGAGACTCTGTAAATATAATTTTTTTTAGGGATAAGATCTTGGAAAAAGTCAATGGAATGTCGATAGAACAAATCCTCCACATCGTCGAAACACTGATCGAACATATAATTAGACAGTGGCTGATGCCAATGCGAGTAGTCGATCGGTCGAGCACCCAAGAACAATGGCTATTTGACGCGATCACTAATTTCCTGAGAATCGTCAACTCTGACAATGTAAAGACATCACGATATAATTATCACATACATTATATATCGTCTACATCATATTTAAATATTTTACTGTCCAAAGATTTTACCCAGTTGGAACCTGGAAGCCAGATTTCTACTAGACATCACTCAACCGGTAATGTTTTATGATAGCTACGCAAATTCCAAATCACTATCTGAGTTTGGATACCGTTCAGATAAATTTAGTTACATTAGTTCGCATAAAGGTAACAATTACAATTATCATAAAGTACCTGTGTAATAACTTCAAAAATAAATAAAAACACATGAGCAGTAGAGCTCTGTGGTTAGAGCCGAAATTCTCTCCCAGTTATCCGTTTCATTTATTTGTTTATCGTTTACCTATATGCTATCTCTTTCAACCGTCTATCGTTTACCTACACGAGTATGTACTTAATCTGTTAGTGATTTTAATAATTTTTTGAATCATTTAACTTTTAATAATGACATTTTGAAGTCTTGCAGATTATATATATATTTGTACATAAATATTTTTTTTTTAAAATTATAATGTATAATGTATTTGTGGTGACTTCAATCCCTCTAATACCACATAGTCTAATGCTGACTATGTTCTAATCTATTTTTCGTCTTTAGGCCAGAGAGTGCAATGTGTCCCTGATATATTTGCTTTCAAACATTTTTTTCAACTCAATGGCATCTCAAACCACTTTGGTGGTTTTATTGATCTGGTGTTTTCTAACAACTCCAGTATTTTGATGGATAAATCTGAAATTGCCTGTTCCATGTGATCTTTATCGCCCTGCCTTTGTTATTAAATTTGCCATTAGCTGAGACCTTCCACTTCTTGACAACTTCCATAAATATTTTAATTCCCGTCGCACATAGTATCGTGACATGTTCTTTTCTGTGGATCAGGCTACTGAATTGTATGCTGTTCTGCATTTCTGCGTACTGAGTAAAAATATACATACAATATACAAATATTATGTGTAGTCTCTATTTTCTCAGGGAAATTTAAACGAAAAATACGTGTTTATAGGTACATCGATTTTGCGGATGTTGAACTACACTTTTACAGAAGAAATTTTTGTACAAACTCTTAAAGAATACATACACACAGAGTAAGTTAAAATAATAATATGTTCGATTGGGATTTATCTGAAAGTAACTACGTGAAAAATTGTTCAGTGTATAAAAGTTATTATTTTTTTTTTCATTTAGAATTTATAAATACAACGACGCGGCGAGTTTTTGGAAATTGTTGGATGACAATGTAAGGCTCAAGTCGAATAATATTCCGAAAAACTTGGACGTATTTCAGATCGTCAACTCATGGATACGGAACAAAAATTATCCATTAGTCACGTTAGAAGTCCAGGGTGACGATATAATTTTAAAACAAGTGCGATGTGATAAAAATATTCCTGTTAATCGTAATACCCACGCAAAAAATAAATTTTGTTTTTTTATAAAATATATATATAACATAGTTTCGGTTCAACTACAACAAAACTGTACCTACGGATGAATGGATCATACCCATAACCTTATCTTCGGGTTCCGCATACAGCATGACGATTTGGATGGAAAACAGTAAAGAAGTCAGAGTCCCAGGATACAATTTAGCGTCAAAAGGCTCGTGGATATTGGCCAACAAACACCAAATAGGTCAAGACAGTCATTTAGTCAGTTCTAATAGTCAAAATTTCAGAAAAACATTTTTGGATCGAATTGGGCAATTTTAGTGGGAGTAAAAATTATGAAAAAAATATATTTTTAGAAAAAATCCATTTTTGAATTATTATGGATTGATATGTATTGCTTAGTCATCCGCAAAATATACTCCTAATTTATTTTAAAATGTGGTTGATAGATAGCATATTGTATATAAGATAGGACTGGAGAAAGGATATCACTCTGTAATAAGGCTATTATATTAATATTTGCTAAAGGAAGATCCATTCCTAAATTGGAAGTGGGACACCAGTGAGATATCATTTAATTAGTAAACAAATTTAGGAAAAACATTTTCATCTTATAGAATAGTCCACTATTTCATCAATAGCTTTCGAGGTATAACAGTATAACCAGAAACAGTTTATTGTATTTAAGAGCAAAAAAAAATCTTAAAACTCATTTCGGAAGGCATTTGGATACAATTTATTTTGTGGTAATTATAACAAAAATCAGAAATTTAATTGGGCTATATTTCTAATATTTCTAAATGCAAATTTAATATCATTAAATAATAAATATTTTATGTTTCCTAAATCAACAATTTGTTTTGTATAACATTTCTGGAATGAGTTCTTAAGAAATTTACTACTTGGAATTCTCCACTTTTTTCTAGAATTTTGATTCTTAACCAGATTTTTTTTCCATTATAAGATTTTATCGATCCTGGAATTAAGATCCTATTGTATTTTTATTTATATTTTTTCCTGTCTGTGAATTCTAACAGAAATATTGCTTCGAAGTATCAAGTGTACGACCTTTTTCTGAAAGGTATTATTATCCTATTGGTAAATTAAGGAGGTATTTTTTTTTGATTTTCCAAGAAGTTTATTAAATAAATGGGAAAAACCCGGGAAGGAAATTATAGATAAAACGGAAAATATGTACGGTGCGCTACAAAATTATTTTAACGAACGTGGTAAAATGTTTAAAACATTTTAGCTTTTCTAGGACTAGTTATAGGTATTTGATATTTTCGATATTTTACTTTTATTTGGTTGGTGTCTGTTATTTAAATTTTATGACTTAAAAGAAAGGTTTGAAAATTTAACACAAGGTACATTATATATTATAATTAGTAGTCTAAAAAAAATGTTATTAAATTACATTTTTTTTTTTTTCATAAGCGTTTAAAATCGAATTTTGATGAAAATAGTAAAAATCGGGACATTCCAAAATATATCTTATCGAACTTCGCTCCGAATCGTTTTCGTTAACAATGATTTATCTTTGCGTACAGATATAAATTAAATAAATGTATGTATCTTACCTTCCCAATTTCCACCTACAACAGTGGCTGCACCCATCCCCAGTATCAGATTTTTTTTATTGGTTCTATTATTATTCTATTATTTTTCTGTTATTATTTATTATTGCTATTATTATGTTCAATCAAGTTTGGACGGTTTAAAAATAAATAATTAAGTACCGATTTTTCATATTTAATACGTATTCCAGGTTATTATAGAGTGGTGTACTGTGACAAGCTCTTAGAAAGGATATTGTTCGAGATCAGGACTGGTAATAATTCAATAGATCCATTCACCATAGGACAAGTGGTTGCAGACATTTTCGAAGGAGCGTTAGTCGGTTTGATAGAATTCAGCGAAGTGTTCAAATTTTTAACCAAATTTATTGAAATAGCCAGTCCGTATTATGGACACTGGCATCCCATTTTTAATGGGTTCAAAAAATTAGAGATGGTATTAAAAAATACCGAACATTACGATTGGATTTTGGTATTTAACATTCCATTTATACGTAATAATTAATATTACGCAACAAAGAACATATACGTAAATAAGCTAATAAGGTCATACTTATTATCTCAAAATGTATATTATTAAATTTTTTCTAAAAATAGACTTAAATATCCAAATTTTAAATCCATATACTTTTATAAAATTTGATATTATACTCGTATTTTGTTAATAAGTAGTCATTAAATATAATTTTACTTATGTGCCAAGAACCCGATAATAATTTTATAATATACTAACATTCAAAATGTTACTCGTATCATAATTCCATTTTAAATTCTGAGTGGAGCAAGGAAGCTTATGGTTTTACAAAGATGTTTATTTTTTTTTTATCTGCGGACATTTTTTCTGCCAGAAATGTCGCTCCGATTTTTAAGTGTAGCACTTTTTCCAAAAGAAAATTTGACTGAGGAGGTACTTTGAAGAGGTCATTTTTTTATTTTCTTACTTATTTTTCCAATAAATGGGAAAAACGGAGAAAACATGGGGAAAGTATAGGAAAAACGGGGAAATAGGAACAATATTAAACAAATATTATTAAAGAAAATATATAATGCCTATATAAATGTTTTACCATAATATAACATATATTTTGTTAACAAAGCAACAATATTATCAACTGAACTCCGCTCAGAATTTTTTTTCGGTAGCAATGGTTTATCTTTGTTTACAGATATACTTTAAGTTTTCTATTTACTACCTTTCTAACTTCTCACCTACAACAGTTGCTGCACTCACATACGTGCAAAGTATGTCTGTCTTTTTGATATTAATATTATAACATTTTTAAGGCTTACATGGAAATAGTAGCTGATAAAGCATACGAATTATTCGATAAAACAAGGGCAAATTTAACTGATACTATATTTGGCAAGATAGAAACGTTATCTTTTGCATGTCAAGCTGAATTAAATAAATATGTGTTAAAAGTTAAAGATAATTTTAACAGGTGGAAGAAGGCAAATGGCAATAATCCGTAAGTTGATGTGTTCATAATTGATATTCTCAAGCCATAATAATATTATTAGGTACACAAAATATCTTTTATAGTGATCTTATTCATAAATACTGCAATGTTCTACGATGATTTGTTTTCTATTTCTGTTTCAGTTTCATGCTTGACGAACGTAGAGCCGCATACTGTACAATAATGAAATACGCTACCTTAGATGACCATCGCTTTTTAATGGATCAATATGTGCATTCTAACTGGACGATCGACAGAAAACTCATAGCTAAAAGTTTTTCCTGTTCAAGAAACACTCATTTTTTAAATTGGTATAAGTTTAAATTGATACCAACTTATTAGGGTCCTTATCTTGGTTTTGAAAAAGAGAATATCAGGCCACCCCTCACATCGGTTCCAAAAATATAAAACAAATTTTCTAAATTATTTGGATTTTTTCTCCTCCCTTCGTTCTCCTATTTTTCAAAACTTAATGTAAGAGTAGTTTTTATTTATTTTTCACAATCAAAAATCGACAATCAAAAATAAATATGCAATAATAAAAAAAAAAAATGTTTCATTATTATTTTAGTGAGACTTTATAGTGAATTTTATTTTGAAGAACAGAATAGAGATATAGGTTATTAATTAAAACGTTTATGCAAAACAAGGTGACGAAGAAAAAGAGAGAAAAATCTAAACGAATTAAAAATTGTGTTTTTCATTGGCCTATTTTACACCATCAACTAAATACTCTCACTCATGCGTTAAATGCGCATCAAGTTTTCGTTGCAAACAGAAATATATTAACATAGTATGATATATTTGAGCATAGCACATCAGACCAAATTTGACGCACACCAAGCACAGGCGCGTTATTACGAGCGGTGTAAACGTAGTCGGATCCACTTGATGCGTACTAGCTTAGTAGGTACTCACGGTGATAACTAGATCAGTGTTTGGAACCGTTCTGAAAGTGCCTGAATCTTTTGTTTATTATTTTTTTCCAAAACCAATAAGGACCATTCCAATAACTGTATTATAACCAAACTAACAAAAAAATGTATAACATTAATATTATAACGTAATATTTTCTTACAGGATATTGGTGTTCGATGATTTACATTCTGATGACAAATCTGACGTATGGGAGGTGATAAAAGATAATCCAACAGCTGGTTCGTTCGTGTTTCACTACTTTCGAAACAATTGGGAACAATTATACGAAGAGTAAGTTACAATTAATACCACCATTTTTTCTACAATATTTTTGAAGTACCTAATTTACAAAGCACAGATATATTAAAATATAGTTATGCAGATTTAAATATTAACCTGCTGAGTATAATGTTACATTCCGCTATCCGTGGTTTAAATACCGCCGTCGATCTCGAAATGCTGCAGTTGTTTACCAAAAAACATTTTAATGAAATCACCAGCCAAAAAAAACACCCAGCACTGCTGGAAGTTTTGTACTTGGAAGAAGAGATACTCAGACAAAAGATCTGGTGGCGAGAAAAATACAAATCTGTGATCGGTGATTGGTTATCGCAGGAAATCATGAATTCCAAAAATAAAACATGAAGGAATGAGTTGAGTAAACAGTCAAAGAGTAAAAAAAAAAAAAAAAAACAAGTTTATTTTCGATACCTATACTATATATTTAGCATATTATATTATTCTATAATAATAATAATAATAATAATTGTAAATATTCATTCTTGAAATTACTTTAATATTATAATTTTAATATTATTATAAATATATATATATATATATATATATACAACTGTAATAATAACTGAAAAATGCATAAGAATTTATTATTATAATAAAGTACATTGTTTTTATACACAAACAAATATGTATATATTTTGTCTATGTTTTTAAACTACTCCTACTGTTGGTTCTGCTCGAACTCTGGTCTAGTTGTTCTTGCATCACTAACGCTTTTTGATAATGTGGTTTCCACGATCCAGTCGGTCGTAAAAAATCAAGATGATCATACAAATCGTCTATCAAAAAGGAAAAAAAAAACCAAATTCATCAATTGCAATATTATTATTATACCCAACATTATAAACATTTTTCATACTAGAAATAATTACGTGTCGACGGACGTGGACAAATTTTGTATAGATTTCCCTCTTTATGAATAAATTAACATACAATTATAGCCAACTCGCAAGAGTATAAATATTATTATTACCCGGAATAATATACTATCGAACTAAACTTGAACCATTATGATATATCATAACATATTTAATTTAACTTGAAACGATTATTAAATACGAAGAAAATAATAACTTTGATCGTTAGTATGAATTTATACGTTATAATACAAGTTCGATTTTATTGTCACATTAGGTTAAAAACCACGTTTGAACCTCGACAGTCAAAACCGAATAATATTATACTTTCCTCTCAAATACGTAAACAGACTGTGTCGCTAAATATACACATTGACTATTATTCACCTAACTAAAAATAAAACCCAAATATTTGTCAGGCTAATAATTAAACTGCACTATTCATGTACCTCCGCGTCTCGGAGCGATTTCATCAATTTCGAAATATAAGTTTTCTTCTGTTTCGTAGTGGGAACTATTGTTATGATTCCCATACGTCAGATAAAACATTTTGTTCGTGTAAGATGTATTCCAGCCCGTCATTCGTTCACCGTTATAAACGATGCTAATCGTTCCGATGTTGGCATCTTCTGTGGATGTATTTTCCCGCAGTTCCGAACGAGTCGCGTTTCTACGATTATACAAATCTAAAATGTATACAATAAAACAAACACATTTAATATTATTTCAATATCAGGTGGCATCAAGACATCAGGGATATTGTGTAAACAAATTATTTCAATTAGACTAAAACATACATTTCACGAAACTATAGTGAGTCCGATGTATCGTATGATACAGAATGTTGGGCATGAATATTATAATTGTGTACAAAGTATATATATAAAAAAAAAAAAAATTAAAATAATAAAAACCATTATTTTCGTAAATTTTCGTAAATTATTGTTATTTATTACTTTGTATGGAGTAAGCAAAGGCTTATGAAATAAATACGTACCTTGCATTTTATGCCGATAGTAGTAAAAGTAGTATATCAACATTCCTATCCCTATAGTCGAAAATAGAAAAAAACTAAAAATAATCGAAACGTTCACGATCCAGATAGAGTTTCTTTTTTCTTGATCTATCTGAAGGACACTTGTGTCATCTAAAAATTCAAAATACAAAAAAAAATGTATATGTACAAAAATATAAATATAATATTAAAATAAATGCTATTTTAAAAAGTATAACCTATATACGCTTTTTAAATAAATAGAATATTAAAGTTTAGGAAGTGTCGGCTACCACAAATCATTAGGTTTTTTTTATAGCCTTGTAAAAAGTCGTGTTTATAACATAAATCTGTTTGATACATTAATACTATAATTATGTTTAATGTATTGGTATTCAGAACCGACTGTATTGTAATTATAACTAAAAATAATGACTGTTCGTCACACTAACATTTTAAATGTCATGAATTTGTTATTAATGGATGAAACACGATTATGAACGTATTACCTTCAGTGTAACATAGTCGAGTTGTTGTATCGGTGAAAAAGTGTCAGTTTAAAATTCCCTTAATTATCATAAGTTTATATATTATCCCGAGCCCGAGCCATAGACACCTAATAGGGCGAAGCCCTAAGCAAGGTATTCCGGAGAGTCCAGAAAATACCTCATACAAGTCAATAGCGAAACACGAAAAGATAAATTTTATTTGTACTTATACTAACAGTACATGTCTTAGTACTGAATTGTTATTTACACATATTTTTAGATAAATTAATGCATAAAATAATAACAATTTACTACTCGCTACTTTTTAAATTAAAATTTAACATTATATACATAATAGCTTAAAGGACCGCAGCATGGTCGATTCTAAAGAAAACGGTTTAGGTAATTTATTTGACGGGTACACACACACACACACCCACGGGTCATGTCGATGTGTGAAAAGTGAACGAACATTAATGTGAGTGCTATTTGATGCGAATACCGCCACTTTCCCGACGTCATTAGTAGATACTAGTACTTACTATCTAGTAGGTACTAAGTAAAATCGTGGGTCATATCGATATTTTTGGATTTATACATTTTATTATGAACCGTTATCAACAAAAAATGATAATAAGGAAAGTTCAATTTCATATTTTTGAATACCTAACCTAATTTTTACGATTTTCATTAAAATTGGATCTTATAGCGCTTATATATATAAAAAAAATAATGCTACAATTTATTTTTTACCACCAAGTACAATTATTTATAATAATCCTCGTTTTCAATTTTTTAAGCTTTTCTGTTTGGTTAAATATTTTATTCATGTCATTCCAACCAAACACAAATTTAAAAAACTCTTACATGTCAAATTACTATAAATAACTTAAAATTTAAATATAATCCAATGCGAAAAACAATTATTGGAACAAAAGAAAAAGTAAATATGATGTCAGCCTATTAAAAATTAATTCCGAAAAATCAATAAACTATTTTATTTCAAGATTCTTATTGACCACGTACTAATTCTTCTTTAATTAAATTAATAAAGTGTTTTCTAAATAAAACGATAAAATTTTGATTTCCATTTCAATTTTCATAAAGTTTATTAAAAGTCTCGAAATAGTTATTTTTGACTATGACTAAGTTTTGGCACCGTATATTTACCTCGGTTTATATCGGACTTGGCCGAAATACTTAAACCCAGCAATAGCATTTTAAAAGGATACGGCTATAAACTTCGCATGATAGGTGGGCCACTGTCTTACGTGAAAAGTCGGAAAGGTAAGACAAGGGGAATTAATTGTATATTTGTACGCAACGATCAACCATGGCTAACGAAAAACGATTCTGAGTTGAGTTTGGTTGTACACGTTTTGAAAGACCGTAATATTCACAATTTGAAAATAATATATTTCGTAAATTTTCCGTTTTCCTAAGTTTTCCCGGGTTTCTCCCATATATAATGAAAACCTCTGAAAAAATCAAAAATGACCTCCTTTAATCACCACCCAGATAAAATTCCCTTTCAGAAAATGCACTACAGTTGAAAATCAAAATTTCCTGTAGAATATTTGCTCACAGATGAGAAAAAAAATGTATATATATATATATATAAACATCATTGTAAAACCAATACATTGTTCGCTCAGCTCAAAATCTAAAATTAAATCATGTATATGTGATCGAGTTTCACTCGTGTGGTTAAGGCAAACGCTGGGCAAAACCAACGATTACAAAATAATTTTCATTATCAATACGACAATATTATTATACTAATTATTGTTTAATTGTAAAATCACAAGATGTGCCCCCACAAAAACATAAATTTTACATTTAAAAATTAGAATTAGTTTAGGAATTTTAAGATAATTTTTTTAGAAACAAACAAACAAAAAAAAAACCTCACACATACTTTAATACTTTGAAAGTAATACACTCTTCGCGCCGCTCAGAATCTGAAAACGCGAGACCCTATGAAGCATAAGGTAGATACCTAATTAGCCCACCCTTCCACTGGCCCCAATGACACCTACTACAATCAGAATAAATAAAAATGAAATACAATAAATTGTATGAATAGTTAAATGAATGAACGGGTAAACCTCAGGAGTTTTCGTTATACACTTTATCTATGATTATCACGTTGTATCATATAAAATAATGTAAATAAATCGCCATGATAAGCCCGCCATAATGTGAGGCGGAAAATGTGTACAATTCTAGTATAGAAACGGCCTATCCAGTCTTTATTATTTATCTATGACCCGAGCCCGTTGATTATCAGATTTATAATCGGTTTGTCGTCCGGATTATATAAAATCAATAATAACAAACAATATGATAACCAATGCAGGTAGGTACCTATTATTAATAGAGACGTTGTATCAACATAAGTAATAACAATAAAAATCTTCACAAATATATTTGTCCATAACAACCGGTATTTAAGTAGAATATTCAAAAACTGATTATTCGCAATTCGTTTGCAATATAATAAATTGACACAATAACAGAATATACCTAATTCAACAATGTAATAACTACGCCGTTACAAGTAAACAAAAAAATAACAAAAATCAGAGGTGATACGGGGTATTATCTTTTCTCTGTAATTATGACTAATTGTTTTTCTATATTGTATTATATTTGTGTACTTTTTATAATTATTAAAAAAACGCATTGCATAAAATATTATCAAGGTTTTTAAAAATATATGTTCCGTACATTTTCTTTTTGATAGTGTACATTTTTAGTTTCCTGTTCAAATTTAACAACTTGGCAACATCACATAAAAATTCGTCCGCAAATCTCGTCACTTTTCGGAGTCCATATCGTTATACCGTGAACGTGTTTGATCGTATTATGGGGAAAAAAATGTCACACCGATATAAGAATCGTCCGCAATCGTGTATCACCATTCACCGATGTAATAAATGACTAAGGTATTTTATGCGATTAATTTTTAAAGATTAGTCGGTAATCATTAAAGGACACTCGTTATACGATACGATATTAATATTTACTTGTAAGGCCAGTAACGGGAATACATCCTTTAACACTGTCGCAAATCTCCGCAGTCGGATCGCACATGCATTTATATATGCACATTTTGCCGTAGAAGTTTTTGGGACACGCTATAATATAATATACAGTAACAATAATAACAACCAATCAATAATATTGTATTTATTTTCAATTGCACAACGGGCCACGGTCCAAAGTACAACGGATTCAAATACACATAATAATAATAATGTGGCATTGAAAGGATTTAATACCGATACGCGTACAAATAAAAAAAATAAAACGCGCATCGAGAGCATATTCTTCATCATATTACGAATTAAGGGGATCGGAAGCGGTGATTTGTCTTACACGCGTGCAACAAATAGATTTAAACGTGTTATATATCCAACGTGGGTACCGACGTAGGAAAAGCGATAACGATTCTGAAAGCAGATTTGAACTTGTCGTCAAGTTTATTTGACATTAATTTAGATTACTATTTACAAGTACTTTCCCACTATTACTACTTTTTTTTATAATGGCTTTTTCAGGATTTAGAATGATAAAGTTAAAAATGTGGGATAGTCAAATTCAAGTAGATTTGACTAAAAAGTCAAATTTGTTTTCAAAATTCTTATCGCTCTTCTCTAGAATTTTTTATTAACGGAGAAAGATGTCTTAGCCGAGCAGTCATCGAGACGAACATAGAAAAAAGATACTACCTAGTCGAAACATTTTATTGAAATGCATTGCTATATTATAATATTCAGTAAATTTACTTACAACAATCACAAACGATTAATGTTCTTGTCTATGCCACGTTTACTATAATAGGTAGAAAGACCTATCAGCTGCTTCTCAAACGCGCTACACGTACGTTGTTATTAGCGTTGTTGTTTTCGTCTGTTTATCACAAACTTAAATAGGTTGCGCCATTCGAATTCATTTATCGGCGTATATAGGAACAAACACGTCAGAGTCATATATTTGTGTATAACCATTTGTTTAGCAGGACTGCCACACTTACATTGAAACGCAACGAAACACGATTCTGTTCCAATACACATTAAAAAAAAAAAAAAAAAAAAAATCAAGGAATAAATCCTGTTTAACACCTTCTATTTATTTTCAAAACTATTACTTTTTATAAATACGCGTTTTTCGACTCTAATTTTGAAATAGTTGAAATTTTTTCAGAAATCACTATTGAAGAAGTAATAGTCATTTTAAGAATGATTTTGTGTTTACCTACCCGAAAGTCTCCAGTGAGTAACCACGCTGTGCCGGTTACTCGCACGAGATTTTAAATGAAAATAACCCTCGATTTTTTCTGTAAAACCACATAAGGTATATGTAACTAGGAGAAAAAACAAAGATTTTAACAAAAATAACCCTCGATTTGTTGTGCAAAACCCTTCCACATTTCGGGCCGTTTGGTAATATTCACCGATAATTCGCATATGCGTATGTGTGTACGGTCTCGAGCATGTTTGAATTTGCTCCCTCCCCTACTTGAACGACTTCTGGATCCGTTATTAGCGAATTCCGTTTAATATTCATAATGCAGATTCCGATGGTAATTCGTAATTTCACTCAACTGACATGCAATAGCCATTAAATTTTTAAAGTGTATCACATACAAATTAAATTTATAAAAACAAGATAGTAATACTCACGGTATTTAAATAATTCCTATGTTGTAACTATTAAACTTCGATTTTGAAATGTACATTATAACGTTCGATTTTTTTGTTTTTTTTTTTTACATAAAATTTCAAATCTAATAATACACGACTTATAACAAATTAATTTTTATCTCGTGCACTGAATTAAAATTTCCTTTAAAATGTATGTAAATGGGCATCTTTTTTCAGCGATAGATAATGTAAAATATTACGGACCGTTATAATTTATTATTTTACCCAACCATTCCACAAATTGCACGAGACACGCGGCCAATTCATGACGAGAGAAATTATTGATATTTATACGATTTATACGTTGGCACCTATTATAATAAGTGTTTAACAGTCTAATATTCGTTTAAATTAACGTTTCTATAATTGCGCGATAATTATTATTTTAAATGCTATGATAAATATATAAATATACATATTGCATAGGTATATATAGTATTTGACACATTTGATATTTGATATTTTAAAATAAATTTGAATTGTACGATATTTGGATTGATACGACGAATGTATACGTTGCAAGATGGAGATAACGTTATTGTTTATACGGTCCACATTCTCCTATACAAATGTAAAATGATAAAATAGAAATCATAAAATGTAAATACTTATCTATCAGCGATCGTGAATCCTTAACATTAATATTAATTTCATTAGTGTGATGTAAACAATTACTAATACCACGATGAAATAATTCGGTTATGATTTAGGTTGTTGTATCATGGTAACGAAATAAATCATAAATAATCAATTTTCTGTTCCAGATTCTGAACGGAGCGAGGAATGTTCGTATGGGCTTTACAACGATGTTAATCATATATACATATATTTATTTTTATCTTTGAGTAAATTTTCTACCAGAAACTTTGCTTCGATTTTCAAATATAGCAACTTTTCTAATAGGAAATTTTATTGAAATGGTATTTTAAAGAAGATATCTTTTGATTTTTCCAGGGGTTTTCATAATAAATAGGAAAAACGTATGAAAAAAAGGAAAATTTACGAAATATATTATTTTCAAATAGTAAATAAAACGGCCATTCAAAACACACATAACCAAACTCCAATCAGAATCATTTTTCATTAACAATGGTTGATCGTTGAGTACAGATATACATTAAATTCCCTTCTATATTTGCCTTCCAAACTTCTCACCAACAACAGTGGCCTACCCATCGTGCGAAGTATGTTCGTATATTTTTAAAATACTATTGTTGTAAATTATTTTACTCAAGTTTAACATAAACCTAGTTAAATATGCGTGGTACCGACACTTCACGGGCCGATATTTTTGATGGCCAATTTATTTCTGGATAACATTAATTATTCAATTCCGGTAATTATCAGTATACCAAATATCACCAGCGCTCGCTTAATGTAGACGAAATTTGGATTACCTACATTAGGTACATATTAATGGAGTATTTTGTATATGAATTTTTATTTATATTTCCGTATACGAGTACGCTATCTATTGGTGTTTGTTTGTATATCTTAACCGGAAACGAAAATATAATGTATCGTGGCTGTGCAAACGTAACCCAGAGAGCAACAGTAATATTATTTTTAAAAAACTTATGGAAAAATAATACATTTGTAGATATTCAAGATTTCAGTTGTTTGTCACCACGAAGTAAAAAAAAATCACCAATATTATGAGAAAATTGAAAACATTCAATATCGAAGTGTTTCGATGAAAATCCACAAAAATTGGTTTTTTAAAAATCATACAAACAAAAATCGATCAATCACTTAATCTTACGGAACCTAATCTAACCTAAACCAATAAAATATACTAACTTTGTATACATTCAGGTCCATAAAATCCCGGCGGACACAAACAAATACCATCAGTGTGTCGACAGTTTAATCCCTTATGGCAATTACAAATCGAAGAGCAATTTTGACCGAATGTACCGTTTGAACAAGGAATTTTGCAAACGTATCCCTTCCAGCCCGGTTCACACTCACAAATTCTTCCTGAAATAAACGATTCATTTTTAAAATAATATGTCTATAGTGAAGTTTAATTTTATGGTAAAACGTAAATGCAAACCAAGTGTTGAGTACCTAGGGTTTTTATTTTTTTTTAGGTCAGAATTAAACACTTGCTTTTTATTTTTTGTCTTAATTTTTATAACAGTAGCCAAAGCACAATAATATTTTTAATATTTTAATTAACATTTATTGGCGACTAGTCACTCTGCGTAATCCAAAATAGGCGTATTGCATGAATACAATAAAACATTAATATTATCATAAATTATAACATACTTGAGCTGCTACAACTAACCTTTGTGAGTCTGTCTACAATGGCATTTTTCGGCTGCCGGCTTGCACGAAGTAATAGATTTATTCTGAGATGTCTTCTTCCACGTGTACAGATTATGCACATTTGTATCCTTTTTACTATCTTCTGAACCCTCACAGGTTCCTTAAAAAATAATAATAATAAATCTGCATTTTATGTAAGTTATTATAATTATAAAACACATAACAATATTCAATTTTGTACTATTTGTAAAAAAAACATAATTTACCGTTTATTCGATCGCATGTTCTATCGTGCGGGCAGTTGCATTTGTATTGACATTCGTGGCCGTAAAATCCAGATGAACAAGTAGTATTACAGTAAGGTCCCATAAATCCCGCCGGGCAAAAACAATGTCCTAAAAAATATTGGAATAATATTATTATTTTACAATGAATCCGCTGTTTACAATATATATGTCTTTTACTGTGATCACTAATTTTTTCAACGCCATAATATAATTAAAAAAAAAAAAGGTAAGATAATGGAGATGGGTGCAGCCACTGGTGTAGGTGGGAATTTGTGATGTAGGATATAGACGGAAATTTAATGTATATTTGTAAGCAACGATAAACCATTGCTTACAAGAAAAAAAACGATTCTGAGTGAATTTCAGCTGATAGTGATAGTGCTTAGTAAACAATATATATATTTCATTTTATAGTAAAATAATTAAATAGGCTTTATATATTTTTTTTGATAAAATTTGACTAATGTTGTACCGATTTTCCCAGTTTCCCTGCGTTTTCCCCGGGTTTTCCATGTGTTATCCCGGTTTTTCACATTTGATTAGAAAACTCCAGGGGAAATGGAAAAACGATTTAGTAGATTGTTTCCCCACGTCGATTTCCTTTCAGAAAAGTTGCTACACGTAAAAATCCGAGCAAGTCTTCTGGTAGAAAAGTTACGCACAGATAAAAAAAAACGTCTTTATGAATCATAAGCTTCTTAGCTCTATTCAGAATTTAAAATTATCAAATTAATAAATAATATAATATATTGCCAGAATATAGATTAACATGCTCACATAAAAAGGCGTTCCACATCTCGGCTGTATAAAATTTGTGTCACAAAAATAAGAAGGCATATAACTCCTAAAGTGTCCGTTAGATGGTACGAGTATTGATGATAAAAAATATCAGAACCTAAAATTATGCACAGTAATACACACAATGTGCAGTAGCAAATGCAGTAGTGTGCAGTTCAGTAATTTGTTTAATATATAATATTATATAATGTGATTTCCCACCTAATATAGTAATTAATTTGAAATTATTTTTCAAAATTCTTAATACTCTTTTCGATTTTTTCACGAATAGTACAATTGGAAGATTACATGAACAAATTATTTTGGAATATATTCAGAATTTCCACCATGTAGGACATGATGCATTTTTTTTTTTTAAATTATAAAAAATGTATTCCCTTATTGGTCATTTATTTAGTTTTATTCTCGAAAAATACTTTCGGTTATAGTGATATGGTCCAAATTGTTAACAATTCGATATATGATATTCTACTTATTTAAATACAAGTGATTAATAAGTAAATATTGTTGTGTAAAATATAGTGTACATCTAATTAATTGAATTAATATGTAAATATTTTTATTTTTATTTATTGGGGAGGGGTGGAATGCGGATGTGTACAATACCGAAGCATAGATTTTATGCACTGAAAAAGATAATGTTAAAACTAAACAAATATTAACCAATAATAATTAAATATCTGTTTTCTTTAGAAAAAAATATTTAGTAATGGCCATTAAGGTTTTAACATCTGTATTAGTTACACTGGTTAAATTTGTTGCCAAGGTTTTTTTGAATAAATACCAATTAATTTGAGAATGCTGAATTCAAATATGTAATTCGTTTCTTTAATGGTAATTTGCTCCTATTTTCGAGGTAATAATCCAATTATCTATTTTTTATATAAAAAAACGAATATATATATATATATATATATATCTGTTTGCCCTTTAGGCATTATCGCTCTTACACCATTCATCCGATTGCCACGAAACTTTGGGAAGTTGTTCGGAAACGGTTTATAGATATTAAAATCCACCCCCTATTGAAAACCATTACCTAAAATTCGGTTTTTCGGTATTTTTTTGTATAAAAATCGAATTATATTTGTTGATTTATGAGTTGCCTTTGGTAACATGGATGAACAAAAAACATTTTACATTATTTTGTAGTGTAATCCCTATGCTGTGTAGGTATTTACGGTAATAGCATATTATGATAATAATTTATCTGTTAACATTATTTAGAACCTTTTTTTATTGCACGAACAGCTTGTAGTACCTAAAATTCCCGAAATTAAGATTAAATACATACAATCTTTTCAGACATTTGTAATCTTATTTTATCGTTCAAATATAATTAATATTTATGATTACCACATGGAGCGGTTTGGGCGCGCGCGATCGCCGTTTAAAACCACGTCTGTCATTTCGTTTACACACATATGCGGTTTTTCTTCGCGCCATATTTGAAAATAGTCAAATTTTACATAAAATAAAGTGAATTTTGGCGCGAGTCTGAGTAAATTATCAATTGCATTAAACAGGTGGTAAAGGTAAGACCACTGTGTTTAATTTCAGTTTTCAAGTTTACAGTTATAAATCATATCTATATTATGGACTTATTAAACGATGTCGAAGCCATAGCGGTAGCATATGTATTACATAAGCGTAATCGTGCTGCAAAAAATGAAAGATCCTCAAAAGGTCTTATTGGGTAGGTACATCCGATAAACACGAAAAAGATTAAGGAAGGTCAGTTTTAAGTGAACTTCGTGACACTGAGGGCTCATTCTAAAGAATTTTTAAAACACTTCAGGATATCGTTAACATCGTTCGATTAACAATTGATACATTATAATTATTATTAAAAACCAATAGAGACTTACAAAAAAACTGTAAATAATTATCAATTATTTTCTACACTTTTCTACAAAGTCTCTAAACTTCAAGGGTGATTTTATAAATGGTAATTCATAAATCGCTACCGGACCGCGGCGATCAGATCGCCTGTGTGAACAAATCTATAATAAAACCATAGTTTAATATTGTAGCTGACGGACGCGGTCATTGCCTAGGAGTTGAACAAGAGCGGTCACAGGCGATCGTCCGCGCCGATAGTTGGCGCGGTTTCACTTGTATGCACATGACATTTGAAAACCCATGTTTAATATTGTAGGCGGTTGTCCGCCGCGTTTAAAAACCGTCACCGCTCCGTATGTAATCATAGACATTTAGAATAACATTTGAACATATTTGAACACATTAGGTACTAAAAATAAAATGCCCAATGGAAAATTGTTCATAACACATACAGTATTTACAAAGTCATTTGTTGCGTGATTCAAAGTCTCAGATATTTTAAATTGCATTATAATTATATTTTATATTTATAAATTGTACTCTTATTTTGTATCCTTATATCAATCTTTGATGTTCAAATAGTAACCTACCTTCGAACGGATCGCAGTACGAGTTATTCGGACAATGGCACTTTTTCGAGCAATTGACTCCGTACGTCCCCAGCGGACAAACGGCTATCGTAAAAAAAAAAAACACATATTATTAAAAAAAAAATAATAATAAACCGTACCGTTAAAGATTTTATTAACGCCAATGCAATTACCTATGCGTATGTCACAAGTCTTTCCGGCATATAATTTGTCACACTGGCATATATTCGGCAGAATACACTTTCCCCATTTACACGGTTTTTCACATACCGGAATACAATGTGTTCGGTGCAGCGATGGCTTGTACCCGTCACAACACTGTTTAAAAAGTAGATGTTTTGTCACTTCCTAAACATTGGATTTATCACATTATCATAACAATATTTTGTATAATATCAATAACAAATAATGTCAATTTTTAAGGATTGTATAATATTTAAAGTAATAAATGAATTGATATTATAAAATATTAGTCTGTTTTTTTTATGTGTGTAACAACTTTTTAGTTAATATAAATCCTCCAAAACGTTTGCATCGTACTTAAATGAATGCTGAATTTATTTGAAACATTATTTTAGTTTCCCAAAAGATTTTATACACAAATTCTAAGTACTATAAAAAAAATAATACACACACACTTGCGTTCGTTTTTGGAAAAAGTAATACCTAAAATAGGCGGGTGGATAAGAGTCGAATAATATTTTGGAATCTTTATTTTTTTCTGCTGGTGAACAACTTTTCAATCTTAATCAAAAAAATTGTGGAATTTTAGAGTACATTAAATAGGCCATTATTCAAAATGGTTTTCATAATAATTTAGTGAAAATGGAAAAGTTTACGATGATAATGGATCGAATGTTTTCGATTTTTTTATAGATTCAGAGCGTAGCGAAGATAAATCGTTAGAAAGTATTTTGTCGGAATCGTATTTTGTTGGAAAAATATTTTATCGGAAAGTGTTTTGTCGGAACTGTTCAATAAAATTTTATTATAAGATTTCCGTGACTGCATGTTATCGTCGTTGGATAAAAATTATTTTTCGACAAAATACGGATCTTACAAAATATTTTTCCGATAAAATATTTTCCAATATTTTACACGCTCCCATAACAATCAGTGTAAAGACTTTTAAGATAAATTTGTCTAGAATATTATTTATTTATTTTTTATCTTTCTTCTTATTTATGTAAATAATAATTATTTAAATGTTTTCTAAATATTTATCTAGATAAAATCGTCTGTAATTGTTTTTTAGGGCATGCACACTCAAAGCTAATTCATCAACGCATTTAATTTATTGAAAACCATTACCAGTAATGGCTTAATTCAATTGTTCTCAGTCTCAAAAAAGATTTAATTATTTATTTGAATTATAGATTTCTAAAAAAAAAATCATTAATTCGAAAATCAAACTCGGTTGGATATCATTGAAGCATTTAGAGATATGCGAACAATTATTTATCGCAAAATGTAATTAATTTAATGAAACAGAAAATAATTTGTATATAAATAATAAATATGATAATAATGACTATGAATTTTATAAAATTCTTTGTGGAGACGATTCTGTTCAAAATATTGAACAATTAAAAAATAAAAATAAAATTACAAATCTATCAAATTTTCAAGCATTGGATTATTTTTATACAAAAAAAAAAAAAAACATTTTAATATGGATTATAAATTACCCATTTTTCATATTAAAATACCCAAATTTTCATATCAAAACGAACAAATTCAACCGCCGGGTTATTTTTTTTTTTTTGCGTATTTTGTAATTTCTTTCAAAGGTTACGTATTTAATATAATATATTTATTAGAAGAAACAAATACATATTCTGAGATTTATTACACAAATAAAAATATGTGTACTTTATTTAAATATTAAACTTAAAATAGATGTATGGGCAATACGAGATGGGGTACAACAAAACACATTATTTTTCGTCTTTTAGTATCATATTGTTATAACATAATACATATTTTGTTTTTTTTTTTTATTTAAAATGTATCACATTATTATGTTTTTTGTTTTTTTTATTTCTGAATTTATATTATAGCATTTAAAATATAGTTTTTATTTCTACACTAAAATGATAAAAAAAAAAAGATTTGTTTAAAATTTTGTTAAATAGTATCCAATAAAACATATTAAATAGAAATATTATTTTATTTTGTATTTTTTGATCAAATGAAAATAAAATAAATTGTCGCTTCATTGTGCATTATCACTGAGATATATTAGGATATTTTGACTTTTTTTAAAAATGATCACAAAATAAACAAATTTAAAAAATGCATAGTAAATAACAGTAATAATATTACTGTACATTACAGTACATGTAGTACATTTGTTTTGCAAAAAAACAAAACAACTATTTTTATATGATTAAAATTGAATGAGATATGTATAGGTATTTAAAAGTTTGGTGTTTCATTTTACCCCCTCTCCCTCTCCACCGAACATTAAAAAACGTACGGACGTACTTCATACTACGGGTGAGGAATTTAATTTATATCTGTACGTAACAAATTATTGCCAATGAAAGACAATTCTGAGCAAAGTTTAGTAAATAGTATAGCTTTTTAATGTGCGTTATCATGTCAACAACTGTCATTTAAACAAAATTAAAAGATTAAAATAATAAATACTTAGTATTAAAAAAAAATTAAATTAAACGGTTGCAAATGATAAATTTATTTGTAATCTTTTAATATTTTTTAATCTAAAGATCCAGTTTTTCTCAATATCTCGGATATTAATGATAATTTGATTGACCATTCTACATTACCAACTAGAGCAAAAATAAGAAAAAGAAGGTTTCTTATAGTTTTCTAATCGAAAACAAAATGTGTTATAGATAGCATAAACTGTATAAATTGATGACGAAATCATAACCCAACGCCGTAAATTTATCAGTTTTCATGTTTTGTCTCTTTTTGGTTTTTCTTAATTATTTATGAAAACTACTTAGGGTATAAAAAACGTATTGATTCTTAATGGAAATATATTTAAAGAAACAAACTTGTGAATTTTTGATCGAGGAAATAATTCTGATAGAAAACTTTAAACAAATTTAAAATAATGTTTCCCAAATATTTCGAAAACCTCTTATAAAATCAATAATTGTCATCATCAATACTAACCAACTGGAGACAATTTTCTTTCAGAAAAAGTGCTACACTTGATACTTCGGTACAAGATATCTGGTAAAAAAGTTGTTGACAAACAAAAAAAAAAAACACACATACATCATATTTAAACCGATAGATCCTCAATATTTAAAAGGATATTATTATAACGGCATAATATTTATAAAAACCGTTAAAATTGTATTATATCGCTATTGATAAAAGTGTTCATATCAAACTATTAGAATCTAAAATAATAATAATGGTAAAAAAAAAAATAACTTACTCGTTCAACTATTACTGGAACTGTTCTGTTAAAAGAAAATACACATTTTAAATGAAAATTTTTGAGGCAGAGATATTCATTGGAGATCTCACGGTTTTGGTACTCCGTAACGAGACTCCTAGCTTTAATACTGAGGTAAAAAAAATAATAATCATAATTTGAATAACTATACATAATTTGATATTCGAAAAATTCCTTTGGATATTAAATTTTAGAAATATAATACGTATTGAATCTAATTTTTTGGACATTTAAACTACTAAGCATATTAACTAAGCACCCATTCATTGCCCCCTGGGTAATATTATGTACAACTTACAGTTCCAGTTTTGTGCACACATTCGGTCCTTTCAGGGTGATGTTTTCATTATTGGTTTCGTAATAGATATCGTCGTAAATGACAGTGGATTTTCCAGTGCCCAGCACCACGTAATGTAATAATATTCCGATCACTACGGCCACGGGAACTAATCGCGTGCGGTCCATGTTGGTGACGTTTCCGAATCCAGTGGTTATGGTCCAAACCGATAGTTCTCGTCCCGCGTCTGTCCACAGGCAAAAATTCCCATCGAAGAAGGTTTGACCACGAGATTTTGTAACCGCGTTTATGATAAAAATTATTATTGATATTTTCGATCGATCGGTCGGCTCGGCGGTGTGTGTAGAACTCGTCGTGAAAACTGCAATTACGTCTGTTGTCTGTCTTATCGTCGATATAATTGATGTTATAAATTATTATTGTAAACTTATGTCATTCATTATTAATATATCATTACGAAATTATACGGTGTGCGCGAAAGAAAAAAAATCGTTCCGAAAACCATAAGACAATCGTTTATTTTCAAATAGGTTTCGATTTTTAAGCGATGAAAAGAAAACCAAAATCGAAAATTCTAACCCGGACCGCTATCGAAACTCGCGGCGTTTAGCAAAATGATGATACAGACAGGTGCGATCGGGAGCATTAAGTAACGTGATTAAAAATTAATTCAACTCGCATTATTTTTATACATTAATTATTACTGGTATTGTTTAAAAAATATTATTCAAAACTGGCTGGACGCGTAATAATTGTTATTACATAGAAAAATCCGTCGTCCTTCAACAATTAATAGCTATTGACGATTAATGTGATATACATAATATAAATAGTATGATAATTTCATCGTTGTTATCACATTCTTAAGTAATTGAATACAATTAATGTTCTTAATATTCCCGTGTAGACCAAATAATATAAAATGTTTTAATAAGTATTAACGTGTATTTAATTGTACATTTTATTATAATATACATATTTTTACAAACACGACCAATATTTAATTACAATATGTAACAACAACGCACAAGCATTCGTAAATATTTTTAAACTTTGTAAAATGATTATTCCCGGATAAATATGTTCAAACCATAAAATATAGATCAGTGCAACAGATTATAATACGATTAGTTTTTTTGTTTCTTTGTTTCGCTTATGGTAAGCGAACATTTCCACATTGTTCGATTTTTTTTTAACATGGGCGAGTTCACGGGAGAAGGTTGAGGGATATGACACCCCTCCGTGAGCTTTCTTTTTTTTTCGTTGTTGATAGTATGCCGTTAATTTAAAATTATTACTTTTATTTCCTATTCTACAAGCATTATTGTAATCTTCCTGTCCTGATTGCCTGCGTCTGCTCTTAATAATACTTGTAGTTTGTAATAAGGTTTATCAATCTCTGCAGTCTGCCTCCTTCCATAATAGTGGCGTAATCAACGGAGATAATGTTGGAAATATATTATCCGCAATAAGGTCGGGAGTTCAAGACTTTTTTTTTTCAATAACTTGTTACAAATCACACAAAATATCAAGTGTAAAACATGTCATATTATTTCTTGGTTTCACTATGATGACTATTTTTTTTCTGTCTGTAAAAAAACTTTTTTCCTATAGATCTTGCTCCAATCAAAACATGACAAGAAATCTTTTTTGTTGCATTTTGGCTCTACTTGGTACATTATTAGAATGGTCGTTTTTGAAACTCTCAGTAATATTCGGGATTATGAGAAAAAATTGGTTCTTTAGGTTAAAAAAGATTAAAAAATTAAAAATTAGGATGTAATTGATAACCATTTTTATTTATTTTAACAATAAAGTCGCACGCTGTTAGAAAAGCAATACTAATGACCGAGCTCCGCTTAGAATCGTTTCTGTTAGCAATGATTAATCGTTGCATATTGCATGTATAAATTAAATTCCTCTCTATATATTATATTCCCAACCTATCACCTACGACAGTAGCTGCACTAATGTGCGAAGTATGCTCGTACTTTTTATTATTAATGTTTAATATTAATAAAATTGTGGGATATCGGATATGGGCTATGATTTGTATTGACCTTTCTTTCGAAAATTCATATAAACCACTCTCGCCCTACCGCAGGTCCTATCCCATGGCATTGTTCTCCACTCTAAACTATCATTATCTTCGGTTGACTGGAACATTTTTTTTACGAAAAAACAATGAATCAAATTAGTGCGTAATATGCTCCTTTAAGTTTTTATTGAGCCTCGTGGCGCTCAGGATATTGTGTGTCGCGAAGAGTAGGATGAGAAAGTCAAAGACGTCAAGCTGAGGGCCAATCGTCATCCGTTCTACTAACAACTTTGGACATCAAAATTAACCCTGATGAAGATCTTGCAATTGGCTCAAGGTCATGTACAGGTGAATGAATACGAAAATATTTAATATACCAATACATCGCGAAAATCTTATATAATAGGGATCACAGACGATATGTTTTATTTATTGCAATTTAAACCAAATTGTTTGTAAAAGGTAAAATTTATTTGCTTGTAGTGTAATGTTACGAATTACAATAGATCACTTTTTAAATTTGTTAAACAAGATGTATAATATACATTTTAATTGATCGCGATAACCTTTAAATTATAATATGCACACAAAAATAATGATCGTACGTTTATAAGATAATCATGTGAAGCTTTGCAGCTCACTTTAAGTGTTTTGTATCATATATTCTAATTTGTCATAAATAATGATTTTAACAATCTATTTGCAACTGTTTTCCGAAATTCATACAATACGAGCGTGTATCGTGCAGATGATTACGGTATAATTAAAATATTCTACGACTGAAACCGTATTATCCGAAAACCTTTGCAGATGACCTTCACGTGTTAAAAATTAAAAAATCGACCTGTTCTACAGAATATTTGTTTTATAGACGTTAGAGAAGTATTTGTATAACAATAGAAAAATAATAGCTGATACCCATATTATCACTGATGGGATTAACACCAGTGAAGATAAATTAATTTTATTGACAAAAAAAAATATCGATTTGGTATAAAGAAACCTGTCTGAAGATATTATTGTACTGCAGATTAAATCTAAATAGTAAATGTTTCTCGCCAAAACACATTTTGACATTCACGTAAGCACCTAGCAATATTACAACGCTATCTCGTTTATTTTCGTTAAAGTAGTTATCGGGAGCCATTTGCCATAGTAAACACGGCGCTCGAATACGTGATCAAATATACACGTAGTTTTATAATGGGTCGGAAAATTACAGAAAACATAATTAAAAAATATACAACAATAAAGATTTTTGTAAGTAACTTCTAACAAAGGTATACACAAATATTAAACATTAAAACAAAAGCGACTCCTTCAGTGGTGAATAAATACGATTTCAAATTCACCATTTTATAAATAAAAACCAAGTACCAGTTTTAACAGATGAATACGATTACTTACACAGTTGTAGACTAGACCAAGAATTGTGTCAAGATCTAGCAGTTAAAATGTTCGATCAATATAATATTTATTTAGAAAAAAAAATAAACAACTTGAAACTTTTTATCTAGATAAAAAAAAGAGATCATTCTTTTTTCATTTCCTATCATATAATTGGTGTACTTAATAAAAATTTACGAATATACGAGTGTACCTCTAGATTTCAAAGATATTTTATGATTAGTTTGATTCTACTTCATTTGTTAAATAATATTATTATAAATTAAATATTTGACCTGTTATTTCCAATCATATTTAATAAAAAAGGAACGTTATAAAGGCTTTTGTTTCTATTTCCCCTGCCATATCGCATCTCGTTTACTTCATAAATACAATGCCCTGACACTATTTTTCCAACCTTTCCGTTTTTTATAGAAAATATAGATCCCTAGATGATATAATAATGTAAAGCGGGAATAAAAATAAAAGTTTGGTTACATATGTTTTGAAAGGCTGTAATATTTACGATTTAAAAATAATAAGTTTCGTACGTTTTCCCGTTTTCCTACGTTTTTTATCGGTTTTTTTCAATTATTATAAAAACCCTTGAGAAAATCAAAAAACGACACCCATAAAATACCGCCGCAGGAAAATTCCTCCTTTCAGATATATTATTTCATTTGATACTTCGAAGCAAGATTTTTGATAGAATTGTTATACACAGTATATAAAAAAATATGTATATATATAACATCATTATAAAACCAATACATTCCAAGTCCATTCGATTTTGCCATTGTGACCGTTGTGTTAAATACGTATGTGTGAAAAAAGCCGAGTAAAAATGAGTCAAAAACGAAGCTACCCAGAAAGATAAATTTTTAAATTGATATGCATAGTATTTAGTTAAAAATAATTATAAATACAAAATTATATACTATGTGGTAATAAGAATAATAATAAAAAAAAAATGGTTTTTTAAAAATTAATGGTAGTTGTATACTAGTGTGTATGGATGATAGTATAATTTTTAAGCCCCCCAAACAAAAATCCTGGGTGTGCGCATAAATTGATCTTTTACCAGTTGTCTTTAATTAATTGAACAAAAAAAAAAAAATTGTTGTACAAAAGGTTTTTGTTGAAATCCAAGAAAAATATGATTTATTCAGTACAAATGTATTTGAACTTCGAAAAATGTCAATATTTTATCCAGTGAGTTTTTAAATAAAAATGGTTTGTTTATTTGTTTTTAAAACTATATTTGATTTCTAGGCAATGTTTATAGATAGGGGGGGGGGAAAGGCAATTGACAGTGAAAAATTTATTTTGGGATAGTGAATACATTTTTTTTTTAGCAATTATGAAGGCGCAGGTGGATACCCAGGTGTAAACAAACTGGTGATAACCTTTTCTTACCCTTATAAGTGCTATGAAAGAGGTATGCATTTATAAAAATAGTGCAGTACGAAGTTTCATTTATTTTAAGCCCTGCTGTGATAATATAACTAGTTTTTATTACATGGTTATTTTTTTAAGTAATCACGAAAAAAAAGGTTATCATAATTATTAGGTATGGTTGCCACATGTCAGTTGGAAATCGAAAAAATGCCTGTTAAAAACTCATGATTATTATTTTCGTTTATCAATTTATTATTAATCGTGATTATTTTTGTTATTAATTTGGTACTGACCAATGCACGCTATCTCAACAGTCGGCTTTAGAATGATTTTGGCGCATTTTGTATGTATTGTACTTTTTTGTTTTTTTTTTTTTTGTAAAATAAACTTTATAATATCTAAAATAACAAATTTGTTCACAATGATAATGTCTACTTTGTCCAGGTGTACACATAATAGTAGTGAGACTGTAGAAACTGTGAATGTGAAAAAATCACTCGATGAAGTAGACAATATGTGAACTGTAAATAAAAAATTGAACACTCGTGAATGTAAGGGTATGTACCATATAGAATGAATTCTCAAATCATCAAGTATAGTGTTTATGCAATTTATAGACAATTTTATCATCAAACATACGAAGTAGGTACTTGATTTTTAAATAAAACATTTTTTAATTTATACAAATCAGTATTAAATATGTTTTCATACCTTTTTTAGAGCTTGAATGTTTATTCAGTTCAATATTTACAGATGCAGATAGGTTGACATTTAAGAATTTTATTTACCACCAGTTGAAAATGATAGGCAATGCTTTTGTTGAAATAAAAGTATGGAAAATTAAAATAGCCTATCTAGATATTAACATCAAAAATAAATTAGAAGCACTTAAGCTGCCAGAAGAATGATTTTCCAAATGTACATTTTTTAATTAAATTCTTTTGCACATTACCAATGTCTACAGAAACACAAGAAAAATATTTTTTAATCTTAAAAAGATTGAAAACTTATCTAAGATCAATAATGAATGGAGTAATCTTTCAATTATTATATAATACATAACCTAACTGTATTTTAATTTTATTATTATGTAGACAAGACTAAATGGACTACTTAGCAATAGAGTCCATTCATCAAGCCATGTATTTAAATGTGAATAAAATATTATGATATGGCATTAAGTTCAAAAAAATTAGATTTTGTAGTATAAATGTGCTTTTAGGTGGTCAAGAAAAAAAATTATTAACATCAGAACATATTTTTTTTTTGTATGCACAGTAAAAAAATGTAATTCTCATTAAAGTATTACAAGCTTATAAGCTGGGGGAGTGCTAGGAAGGCAAAGCTCCCTCCTACATAAATGTGTATTTGAAAAGTAATCTGGATCCTTTTTATGAAAAATTCCTAAATGTGTCATTATTATTCTTCACTGAGACTTTAAACTATTGATAATATTCACCAAATTATTTGCTAAAATTGTTCAGTAATTTTTAAAATTTGCATATTCTCCATTTCCTAAGGAAAATAAGAGTTTTTCTTGGTGGTGAGGTATTAATTTTGTAATTTATTTATGATAGGTGGGTATTAAACTAGACAAGTATTTAACACTGTTTAATATTATTAAAATAATTTATTCATTCAAATTATAATATATACAATAATAATAATGATAGTAAATGTGTATTATTATATAAACACAATTGTTAAAATTAAACAGAATAAATATACATGATTACAGAATGTAACGTATAAACTATTTAATGACCAATAATAATTGTTCATGAACACAATATACCTAATATAGATACAAGTTTTTGTAGTAGAATAAAAAAAAATTAAAAAATTATAAGTAGAATTACAGAAATCGTGTTTACAATTTATTATGAAAATACTCTTATTAAATATATGTATATGTATATGTACTTAATACATAAATAAAATATATGAAAAAAAAATAACTTATTAAGTTAAAATAGACAAAATAATAATATTCAATTATTTGATACACTATGAAATAAAATTATTATCTGTAAAAAAAAAAAAATGGTATAAAATTCCAATATATATTAATAATATATAATTTAAATGTTAATATTTTTTGGTTAATGTTCATACATTTTTAGTCGTCATGTCAAAACTATCAAGTTTCATGAACCGACCACCACCAATACAATGGTCAACATATTACATTAAAAAAACAAAATATCACAGAGCGTATCAATAATAAAATGTAGATATTTAACAAATATTATATTATATTGTTACTGTTTCATAATTTATAACTAATCAATAAAAAGTAAATGAAATATATTAAAATAGGTATACTTAATTTAAATAAAAAGAGATTGACAATATTTATATTAAAGTCAAAAAGTATTGTCTGAGAATTCTGTGGATGACAACTATCTTATACTTCCACTTTTGCTATATATATAGCAAATCAATACAATTGTTGTACATTTTATTCGGTGTTTATGTTCTTCTTACTGTCTGATTTCAAACTCGTTGACATCCGTTGGTAATGCGGTTTCCACGTACCATTGGGTCGCTGATAGTCTAAATGATCATATTCTTGTTCTAAACAAAATTATATTATTACTATAATAAAGAAAACAAAAATAATTTTACTATTATATATTTATAAGTGATTATAAAGAGGAAATGTGTTTTCATTAAAATTTAGAAAAATCTGAAGAACTAGTTTTGATGCACCTGTTTTTGTTCAATTTCTCATCGTAACTGGGACCTAGGGTTGGGCAAGATACCAAAAAAAAAAGTACCATGATACATGTAACATAGATATATGATACATTGATACTCCATATTTTATATTTTATATTTTCAGTTGCATTTTATTAATAATTAAACGTCAATAATCTATAGGTACAATATACATTTATACATAAATACTTATAAAATACAATAAGTGAAAACACATTATAAATTTATAACTAATACATCACTGTTTATAAATTATATCATTCATTCAATCATATTCATATTATAAACTCTTCACGTCGTAATTAATAATGCAATGTTTAGTAATAAAAATTAAATGTTGTTTTTAGAGATAAAATCTTGATTGCCTTTAAGAAAAATTAATTTTTCAAACGTTTTGTCAGATAGATTAGATCTACTGAGTGAGTGCACAAAACTAGCAAATCAAAATAAATGCTTAGCAAGAGCAGATGAACACAGACTGGTATTATATTTTATAAGCAGTTTTTTTATAGACAGATAGTTATTTAGAATAGTTATATTTGTATAGCTAGCATATTGTAAATGAGGAAGAAAAACTGCCTACACACATCTTCAATATTTTGAAAATGCAAAGTTTCTAATGTTTTCAGCTATACGGTTACACTCATATCTAGATAGTGGAGGATTCGTATTTTAATTGAACGAAAATTCCAGTTTAGTTTTTATTTGTATGACTGTAAGAGTAAATAGTCATATGGTCGTATACCTATTCGGAGATTAATTTGTTTTTTCAAATTATCTTACAAGTAATAAGTTTATAAAATTGTTACATTTATTTTAAGTTTTGAGTGTTCTGCAAATCGAAATTGGTATTATTCAGCAAACATTTTTACAATTAAAGAATCTTGTATCTATTAGCAAAATAAGAAACTAGTCTAAAATGTATCAATATATATGATACTTGATACTTTAAAACAATGTATCACCATACAAGATAACAATTGTATCTTTTACTGCCCAACCCCACTGGGAGTTTACTTTTTTTTTTTTATCAATAACAGTTTTGTTAGAATAAAAAAAAAAAAAGAAATATGTAAGTATTCTGTAAAATTTGCAGGTCTCATAATTATTTTTTAACTAAATTTTAACAAAAACCTAAATCGAAAATAACGGAATATTTTTGTAGTCACTGGCGACCGTTATTAATAGATTTGTTGAACAAATTCTTACCGGCTGTAGTAAATTTTTTGTCTTCAATTTCGTCATAAAGATTCTCCGATTTAAGATCGTCCAGACTATGATAGATGTTTGGGTTGTTTAGATCGGCTTCTCTGTTTTTGAAAGAGGCGGTGCTGGTAGACGGTACACCGCTGTAACTGCTTTCACTGTCATCAATTAACGTTGACGAACAACCGGCTTTTAACAGATTATTTGGCTTGTTCAAATTGTTTTTGATTTGACAGTTGTTCAATGATTGGTGTTCATCAACCGTGCCCACCGACGAGGTTTGTCCAAAAGAATATACAGGATTGTCGAAATGGAATCGGTCTAAATCAACGATAAAAAGACATAATTATAAGAAACATTATATTTTATATTAAATAATTATTATTACGTTTATATTCGTTCGTTTAAAACTTCAAAGAAAAAGTAATAGGTACTACAATAATTTAGGTACCTAGGTAATTGATTCGTTCTACCACTGATACTGTATCTTTATTTGATACAAAATAATTTGTATTTATCATATTTTTACAAAATGTCAACATTTAAATTGAGCATTTGCTAATATAAAATATATATATTTTGGCCATTTCCCCTTTACAAAAAAAAATAATTTTTAAACATGGCCTCGATTCATTTTCATAACATTGAAGATATTATAATATCACGAAATTAGGAAATATAGTCACATTTTCACAAATACCTTGATTTAGGCTCAGTGGATCGGCTCCATATTGGACGTCGGCAATTACAGTCTTTAAAGTGGCTATGCGTTTACGGTAGTATAAGAACAACATTATTAATGCGGACAACGACAAGATGGCGACAAACATTCCGGCGAACGACGCTCCCGACGAACCCTTTTCAGTTTCAGATGAACCGACTATTTTGTCGTGTACCGGTTCATCGCAGTTTTCACCTGGAAAATTAAAACTAATTGTTATAACAAATAATAATCAGTAACGAATACAATAGACTTTGTATGACAATTATAACATATGGTAATTTGGTTACCACATAATTATTCGTGTGATTACAGAGATTAACAATAAACAAATATCCTGTATATTGTGTGTATACCTGTGTAACCTTGTCTACACACGCAACCGTCGACGGCGTGGCATATGAACTTTTCACTGGAACAGTTGCATATCTTCATGCAATGGTCACCATAATATTGGTCGGGACATACTGTAAAATAAAAATATATATTTTATATAAACCGTTTGTTTTTATTTAGATACGGACGGAGGAAAAATCTTGACCAACCTTCTAAACATGTGGGTCCGGTGTATCCCGGTTTACAGTGACAGACACCGTCAATTGGACGACAAGCACCACCATTATGACATTTGCACCGGAGTCCGCAGTTTATACCATACGTACCGGCCAGACAAGATTTTGTGCAGTTCGGACCAGTCCAGCCCGGATAACAGTGGCACACCCCTTAAGAATAAACAAAAGTTACAAATAATTTCAAAAATTATAAGGAGTAAAAAAAATATTATATTATACAATTCAAATTACAGACGTAAAGTGCATGATATGGACTTCAGCTAAATATTAATCGAATCGTAACTGAAAAGAATGTAGTACAGAAAAGTAGAGTGGCTACCCATTGTCCAATTTACTATTTAGTTTCTAGAAGATTACCTAACCTTTTATACTGTGGAAATAAAAAAATTGTAGATTCCAAATATAAGCATTCCAGTATTTTATTTTCCAAATAATATGGTGTTTGGAGTTTAAATAAATTCAAGTAGCTATTATCATCTCATTTATTTTGATTGCATTACCAAGATGGCATGAGAGGCAAAGTTTATTCGCAGTTTTCTCAACCGTTGAAATATATGTTTAGTCCCAAGAAGGACTAGAGTTAATTTTTGGAATTTGTTTTTAAAATTTTATCTTATTTGATTTATTTCTCTTTTTTTTTTTGATCCAAATGATATAAATGTATAAATATTCTAACAAAATATAATACTACACATTAAAATCACTATGATGTACTTTTTGTTTGACTTAAAAAGCATTAGTCTTAATAAAACTACGTGACTTAAGCTATTTAGAGCGGTTATTTAGATTAGATCATTTTTAAATTCAGCAACTTCTCAGTAATTCAATTATGTTATTGAGCCAATGTTCATAATTTAATTTTCTCGGAATCAAAGATAAGCTGCGTTTTAAAAATGAACCCAACCTTCACCAATATCGATTAAACTACATTAGCACTAAATATATCGGGAATCCAAATAGCACCCAGGTTTATCTATTATACGTGTCTATTATTTTACGCTTCCGTCATCGATGATTTATTTTTGTATTTATTGTTGTACAGGTTGTAGACTCCAGAGAAATACATACCGGTGACGTGATGGCAGTCACCGAATTCGCAGTTGCACGTTTTCAGGCATCCCTGACCGTACGATTTGGCTGGACAAACGTGTTGACATATCGGCCCTATATAACCGGGTCGGCATTTGAATTCTCCGGTCACGTGGTCGCATGACAAGTTGTCTGGAAAAATAACAGAATTATCCCATTGTGTTATAAATGTTGATTTTCGTAAAAAAAAAATGTCGGTAAATTTACCAATAAAATTATACACAAGGTTAAATAGCTAAATCTTAGAACCATCGTTTTTATTAGTTTATACGATTGTTATTTCTATAATTGTATACTTGTTCTTTCTAATAATAATAATAATAATAATAAAGAACTAAACATCTCTTTATCAATGGGTACATAAGAGGAATATTTAATTATTTATATTTCTATTATAAATTAAAAATTAATATTTTAAACAGAAAATATGATAAGTACAATAATTAATATGATAAGTACAATAATTATTTTTGTATTGGTACTTATTATTAGTTGTTAAAGGACATTGAGATGGGTACAATTATTCGAAAACGGTAAAGGACGAATAAATACGGCCCGAATGTTTAATTTCTATGTTCAAATTTGATTGTAAAATTACTTCGTTTGAGACCTCAGATGAAACGATGGGAAGTAAGTAAATGTAGGAAATTAATCGAATATTAACTCCGATTTTTATCATATAAAACTACGTCGTGTAGGCTTTCATTTTGAGTGCAGTATGTTAATATGTGACTGAGCCACGTTACTGAAAATGATTCTTATCATATTCGAATTACTGTACCATGTCGAAGTAGATATATCTTGGCAATTCATGAAAGGCATTTTTGATTAGATTTGGTTAGCGGAATCAAGTAACATTCTCTTTTGGTAAAAAGTAATTTACCGGTAAAAAAAATGTACTTTACATTTATAATTATAGTTATTTTTATTTATATTATATTTAAAAGCCTTTCTACCGTTTAAATAAATAATAATATTATTATTTTACCGTCTGTATTCCGCTCCGGGCACTTTTCCTTACATCCGTAACCATATTTGCCGGGCTTGCACGGCAGATTGCATTTGGGCCCTTCCCAGCCCCGAGTACAAGTGCATGCGCCGCTTGATTGGTCACACGAACTGTCGTTGTCACAATTGCACTCGCTTTGACATAAGTCACCGTACTGGCCGCTAGGGCAGATCGTTTCGCACTTCACACCTGTGGCAGGATAATGATACCGTAAAGAAAAGGTGATACGGTACTTGTATATAATACCCACATACTATAATGTAATACTAATATAATGCGACCTACCTACCAAATAAGTACAACAATTTTTCGAAACCGGATTTTTAAATTTCAATGTATTTTTTCTGGGTACCTTTATAGGAAAAAAATACCATTGTACTTATGCCCGACTTCACCAAAAATAAATTGATGATTTAATGAAATCGAGGCATTTAACTATGATTAATGTTGTTCGGATTTTACTATTATAACCACGATTCCACCAACCTTTTTAAAATCTTTTAAAAAAATATTTACAGCTGTTAAAAACAAAAAAGAAACTCCAAAAACGGTGTAACTCGTTTGTCGATAAATTAACACATAGATATACATTTATACATACTATATATATATAGTGGGATAGTATAAGTATTATCTTATTATTATTCCGGTACCTAATATACTATACTGACGTTTAAACTTTAATATTTTAATTCATACCACCATTGTTTGGATAGTAAAAAGTTTAATAATTTAAATAGTTTAATATTTTAATTAAAACAATACTCTGGTTAGATTAGCACGTCATCATCAATTCATCAACAGTAAATGCCCGACTTAATATTTCTACGGACAATGAAATCTCGGCCGCACTATAATAACCGCCATTATAATAATATTTCTTATATTATTCATAGTTACCGTGCCAGCCTTCTTTGCATTTACATTCGCCTGTTGCTGGGTTACACGACTCCGTGTTGTCTTCTACACATTCGCACGTCTCTTTGCATTGTATACCGTAGGTTCCGGCATCGCAGACCGTGTCGCACGTATCACCGGTATAACCCGGTTGGCATGTACAAGAACCTGTAAAAAACACCTCCGACGGTTAAACTAACTGTATAATAGTATAATATTACGAACACTATAATATAGCATACTTTAATCTTGCAATATTCATCAAAATAGATAACAATTAACCGCGATCTCGTTATAAAACCGCATTGAACCTAATATTTTTGTCGGCAAACAATAATATTTTCTAATAGATCTTAAGTCACTTTTAAGTTATTTTGTACTCGGCCAGTAGCAAATTTTTAAAATTTTTCCAAAAGAGGTCCTGAAAACCGTATGTATTTCAAAGGTATCTTAATGGAAAGTATAAATGGATGTCTCTATTTACGACATCTATTTATCTATTTATCTAGACGCCATTATGAAATTATATCGGTATCTGGATCTACCAACCCCTCGTGAGTTTACCACTGTACTCGACAGATCAACATAATAAATTGTATTTTTATACAAAAACCTTGAACATAACAGCAACTACAGTAATTAGCGAGTCACATTGCCAACTTTACAAATAGGTATGTAATATAAATATGCTGCAATAAATTCAAAATAAATTTAATTTTCATTTAAATAGTTCAGGATTTATTACAAGTTAAGCATCTTTCAATATTTTGTACTTATGGAGTTAAAAAAGCTATAGTATGTATTATATACTACATGTAATTTGTATTGTTATCCTTCACCGGCTAAAACAACATGCCATTTAAATAACAATATCCTCTCCCCCCCCTCCCGATTAAACACAGTGTCAAAGAGAGAATATTTTTCAAAACATTTCGATGTGTATAGGAGTAGAAAAGGATTATGAATTTATTATTTTTAAATGGATATGAATAGTTTGTTACCCTTCCCTTCTTCTATTAAAATTTTAAACTGTTATTATAACTCATAAACAGTAAATCCAATATTGTGTTTTGTGCATATCAACATTTTCGTAAAAGAATTTTCTCTGTTTGTATCCGTGTTTAAAAGGAGGTAGGGTTAAAAACTAAAAATGTTTACTAATTTAGAACACAAGGAGTATGGCTGGTAGGTAACATGATGTTCAAACAATTTCACAACAATGATTGAAAAAAAATTACTTAAAATTCACTTAAAATCCATCATGATCAATGAATAATTAATAGTCTGTATAATACTAGCTATTATACTATCACGCTACAAAATAATAATAATTACACAATATATTGTTGAATCTAGTGATCCATTTAGTAAAATCATTGAAGTTGTTTTTTTGTGTTGTTAGAAACTAGTTGAGCGTGAGAATATACTATATTATAATATCATATATGAAAGAAGTGGTCTATCATTTTAACATAGCTCAATTTGATAAATGTATTAACAGGATGCTTATTAATTTACTGGCGTACACTGGCACTAAATCGGTTGTGCAATATTTAGGGTCAGATACATACAATATTATAAACTCGCGTAACACTACATAGTCGGGGAATAAATGTGTATTAATTTATTTTTTTTTTAATTTTAAAATACAATAAAATTAAATTTATATTTATTTTTTATATACGTGGTAAAATTTTTATTTATCGAGTTTTTTACACAGTTTTTATTTGGTAGGTACTCTGTGTATAAAATGTTTAGACTAAACAGAAATGCTTGAACATTTCACAAGAGGTACCTACATAATAAGTCACATTTATTGGGAAAAAAAAAGAAATGAATGTTATGTATAGTATATATATATTTTTTTTTATGAAAGTTGTATAATTAAATTTTTAAAATCGTGAATATTACGGCCTTTAAAAATATGTATAATCGAACTTCACTCCGAATCGTTTTTCGTAAGTAACGGTTAATCGTTGGTTAATGTTATAAATGAAATAACTTTATGTATATCAATTTTTCAACTACCAACTTACAATAGCGGCCGCAATCGTCCCCAGTATCAACTATTTTTTTTTTTTTTTATATATAGGTTCTTATTGCATCAAGCCACATAATTGTATGTTAATTATTATAATATTTTAAAGTTTTGTATGTATAGACAATGTATCCTCGTTTTAAAATTTAAATTTACACAAAATATGACCTATTACACATTTACGGAAGAAACATGTCCATCAAGTTTACACCGGAACATTATGCAAAAGCCTATAAAACTAATACCAAAAAATTGTTAGGAATTTGCTAGAATTTACTAGTCTTCCGAAATGCTATAAATTAAACTTCAACTTTGCCGGTGCTAACTTGACACAGCACCGGCACATTGTCCGATCAGTTCAAAAGTGGTATTTAATATTGTAAAATGGATTCTTCAAATTAGAGTTTTTAATAATTTTATTGTTTTGGTATTATTGAGATATTAAACAATCGATAAACCGAAAACATATTTGCCCCGCTTATTATCAATCAGTTAATCTTTTAGAAGTGGTACGAAACATTATAATAGATAAATGGGATCTTTATTATCTATAGAAAATTATTAACTAACTTGTAATCAATATACTCGTATAATACATTATAAATATAAAATATCATATTTCTTTTAAAGAAATTATAATTTCGAGTATATGTACGACTGCGTCAACATGTCAAAAACACTTATAACACAGCAGATTAGTAGTAATGACTAATTACCACCTACAAGTAATATAAGTTTTATGAGTATAAAACCCATATTAATTTATTATAGTTTAATGAGTAGTTACGGCCAACTGTTTAGAATTCATATATTTTGTTTTCAATTATTTATATTAGGTAAACTATTGATAGTGACGATGACGCAAAAGTGAAACTTTAAACTTCTTAATAATATTGTATAAGTAGTTTATATATCGCTAACGTACAGTTCTACACAAACTTTGGCATTGTAAATGAAATATTGGGCAGTTATATAAAAATAAGATGAATCATTATTTATTTTCTTTAGTTCTTACAAGAAATAAGCCTTAAAAAAAGACGGACATACTTTGCACGATGGGCGGGTCACTGTTGTAGGTTAGAAGTTGGTAAGGTAGGATATAAAGAGGAATTTAATGTATAACTGTATGCAACGATTAATCTTTGCTAACAAAAGTTATACATGTTTTAAAAGGCTGTAATATTTACGATTTAAAAATAATAAATTTCGTACATTTTCTTGTTTTTCCCATGTTTTTTTCCCATGCATTATGAAAATGGCTGAGAAAATCAACACAATGTTCTTGAAGTACCATCCCAGTCAAATTTACTTTTAGAAAAAGTTCTACACTTGAAAATTGGAGCAAAATTACTTGTTTAAAAGTTAACCATAGAAAAAAATAAAAAATTAAACATCATTATAAAACCAATACATTCCTCGCTCCGTTCAGAGTTTAAGCTAAACGAATTTAATGTCTTCAACTCGGAAAATTATGGGTCATATCCATTGTACACGTCTATTGTATACCTTCGCTGAACGTTCTCGAATTCAGTTTGTTTTGTCTTGACACGAAAAAAATATAATAATGATCATATAGTAAAAAATGCAACACAATTTTTTTTTTGTATTGTAAATATCGCTAAGATAGTAATTTATCGGATGCTAACTTGTGAAGAATTTTTTTTTTTAACATTTTATCTTATCTTATTAAAATCGATTTTTATATTTTGATTTACCATCAATAGGACTGCAGGCCGCATTGTTTTTACATTTGCATTCGTTTTTACAATGTTCACCGTAATACGATTTCTCGCATGGTGTATCGCACTGCTGTCCTCTCCATCCGGGCGGACATATACACATACCGGTTTCCGGGGAACACTTGGCACCGTTGTTACATTGACATTGGTTAGAGCAATTCTCGCCGTAACTGCCTTCGGGACAGGTTATGTTACACGAAATTCCGCGATAACCTAAAATATGTCGGTATACACATTTTACACGTTAAGTTTAATTTATTTAATTTTTACAGTTTTGTTAAACAATTCATTATTAATTAGGTAACACAAAGTTATTTAATGAGAAAAAGTAGTACAAGATACTAGCTACAATAAATAAATTATTACTGTACATGAGTGTGCTTAATTTTTTATTTTTAAATTGTGTTTGTTGAACAGGAAGTACTACTGGACTATAGTTGTGTATTGATATTATGTACATAGGCGAAACTATGGGTCAGGCTAGTCAAGCCATGGTCTGACCTAATACTGATTGGATAAAAATATTCGTATACAAATGATTTGACCTTTACTTGTATGTTATAAGTAATTGTTTTTTTTTTGTTCATTTTTATTACAAGTGGGTTATGATCGATAACCCAACCTTAGAATTAGAATTAGTTTAGAATTACTTTTAGAACCTTAAGAATTTATTTTCAAACTTATTATTTGGTCTGCCCCAATAAAATTGTCTAGTTACTCTAGTTTCGCATGATTATGTACATGTATATGTGAAATAGTTTTTTTTCAAATTTATCTTTGGTTTTGTGTGAATAAAATTATATTAATAAACTTAAAATCTTTGAAAATTTGATACTAAATTTATCATATATTGTACATAGTTATATAAAAAAAGAAAGTAACGTTATGTAGTAATTATTTCTTATAAGCATTAAAGTTCAAATTTTTATGGAAGTCTTAAAAATTATTCGATTTATGTGGATAAACTTATTCACATAAATCGGATTGTAGTTATAAATTAATGCAATAGAAATTTACTTTTTGAAATTTATTAAAATATGATCAACTAAACTTCACTCAGAATCGTTTTTCGTTCACAACGATTTATAATTACGGTTTTTTTTTATATTTATATACGTCTTGGTGTTACATAATACAAATATAGACTTACCTGGACCGCAAATACAAGTGCCATTATTGGCCATACATTGCGCGTTGTTGTGGCAAACGCATTTTCTCCGGCATCCTTCTCCAAAAGTATATAATGGACAAGGTCTAGAGCACGTCAGACCGTCCCAACCAGATACACATTCGCAGGTGCCTGTCCACGGATGACAACTAAACAATTTTAATACAATGATTTGTCTTTCAATGTTTTATTAACTATTAGTACGTTTAGTATTTGTATAATACGAGTAGATTATGCAACCCGAAGTGGAATAATATTAAAGAAATGTTAATAATATTTTATGATTTATGATCAAAAATATATAAGATTTTAAATATTACTACGTAATAAATAGAACAAAAAATTTTAATTTCTTTAATGTTATTGTTTAGGATAACTAATTTTTTGTACTCACGAGATAGTATTTTCAGTAACGCATTCACATATTTTGTCGCATCTCTCTCCGTAAAGATTGTCTGGGCATATTCGTTTATCACATTTATCGCCCCTCCAACCGTCTTTGCACATACATTTTCCGGTTTTCGAATTGCAATTAGAATTTTCCGGACAAGTACAATTTTTCAAGCAATTCAAACCGTACTTTCCTTCCGGGCAAATGTCTTTACACTAAAATAATACAAATATATTATAATTATTAAATACCTACGAATACAAACCGGTGACGTTATCACGGGGCTTTGTTTATCCAATTCTCTCTTGGAATTTTTTTTTACAGTAGATACTACTACATATATTAAATAAAAAATAATTGTTTTGTGAAAATGATTATATGATAACTTTTTGTTATCACATTTACAACAATTCTAGAACCTTAGATATTATTAAATGCAACTAAAATTAGAATACATTAAATGAATTAACTATGTTGGCAGTTCAAAATAGTGTATTGATAGATCATATTGATAATTTCAAATGAATTAGTTATAAAGCCAAGGAAAGCAGATTTATTATTATAATCACTTAAAAAAAAAAGATTTCTGCAAATATAATTTTATAACAAAAAATTAATTCCCCACGATCTAGTCTTAATTACACTTCTGGATTATAAACTATGCTCCGTCATACGATACGAAAAAAAGGAAATAAAAATCCTTTTTTATTACTTTTTCTCCATAATATCCGGGCATACATTTGCATTGTCCAGTAATGTGATGGCAGTTTCCTTCGTTGAAACAATCACAGGATTTACTGCAATTGACCCCCCATTTTCCGGGTTCACATTTCTCTCCGCACACTAATCCCTAAAAATAAATGTTTTATTTTATAATATAAATAAATCGCCGTTTATAAATACTTTTCGTTAAAATTTAAGTCAACATAAATTTAGTATTTGACCTTAGTGCACGCGAATAAAAAGTATTAATTTGCATGAAACAGTAATAAAATAATGTCAGCAGCACACTTTAATTACTACATTGCACAACATAAGAGCCCCGGAGCTTGAATGTAAAAAGATTATGTTCCGCTAACATTATGTTTTCCTACCACGTACAAATTCGATGGAAAAATTGGAAACTTTTAATTATTATTTTGCTACTCGACATTTTTGAAATTCTGAAAAAAACTATGAATACACTAGGTTTTACTATTAAATGTTTTTTTTTATATATATATATTAATTTATCTACCAGAAATATTGCTTCTGTCAAAGAACGACAAGGGGCTTTTTATATCAAGTTGGATCTTGTTGGTGCATTAAGGAGATAACTTTTTGATTTTTTATGTTATTTTCCTAATAATGAGAATAAACGTCGTCTAAAAGGAACATTTACGCAACAACGGTTATCTACTACTGTTATTTTCAATTTTGTTTTTGTTGTAAATCAGTTTAAAATAATTGCAGAGGATTACAATTTTTACCAAAAACATATTTTAACCTTTTCTAGAGGTGGTAACTTTTTAAAACAATTTGATGATTTTAAGCTAGTTTTAGTCATTTATATGTTTCTAATTTTGATGAAATCGGATAAAGTAGACAAAATTGTTTTAGATTCAAAAAAATAGTTTAAAATTTGATTTATAAGTAGTTCTACAATTATCAAAAAATAAATTTAGAAAAAAAAAATAATATTTTGCGTGCTATTTTCTGGTTGTATAAAAATTGTATTGATTATCCAAAAGTAAAATGAAAAGATCTCAACAATATGAGAAAAAAAAACATAGACAACCATTGTAACTCACTTTGAAAATCTGTTTTCGTTAGCAATGATATATCTTTGAGTATAAATATAAATTAAATTAATCGATTTATCCTTTTAAACTTCTCACCTACAACATTTGCACAGTCTAAATGCGAGTTTGTTTCCCCTTTTTTTATTTAAAAGGTATTTCAAAGTGATTTTGTAAGCATGAGAACGAGCATGCTTAAAAAAATTATATTTTACAGTAATTTTTCAACCAAATAGTTTAAATTGTTGGTTTTAATACCATAAAAATAGACGATATCGTGAATAAAAATTATGTTTTGCATCATACGTGTTCGGATAAAATAATATTATAAAACGAGGCTGTTAAAATGAAAAACATAATTTCAAATATTTTAATACCCATTAGACATCATACGTAAATATATCAAGCAGGAACTCTAATAATCCCCCCCTTTTCATGGTATGCTTGCCTTTCCGGGTTTAAAAATATCTTCTCAATCTAAAAAAGCAGACATACTCACACCAAGCCTGTACAAATGTTGTAAATAAGAAGTTGGGAAGAAAGGATATACAGAGTGGCATACAGTGTTATCTTGTGTTAATAAATCTATAAATATTCATTTTGTTTTTCAATCGAGTCTTTTTGCAAAGGAGACACATAGAAAGATCACTATTTTTACTTTTATCCTTTAATTGAAAAAAAACTTTATTTTATCACTTTTCAAAATATTAAAATAATGATTTTGTGAATGTTATTATTTTAAAAATTTAAACGTAACATAAATTCATATACGATCAATTTAATAACCGTTTTATTTTCTAGAAAATTGATACGAAAACAATAAATATTCAATAAAAGATAAGAAACAACCTTGCTAGTTATAATTTCTTTCACGTAACGTATTTTTCTATTAAAAATTAATTGTTTTCACACCAATTTTCTAGAAATTAAAACATTTATCACTAAGAAACTTGATTGATCAAATATGAATGTATGTTACATTAACATTTTTAGATCCATATCTTCTATAAAATTATTATTTTGAAAATTGTGAAAAGTGATTAAATACAAATTTATTTGTTTTCAATAATCAAGGGATGAAAATAAAAATATAATTTTTCTCTACATATATACCTCCCTCGCAAAAAATTTGATTGAAAAAAAAAAATGAATAGGTACAGACAGAATTATTAGCATAAGGATAACATTATTAGACCTCCTATGTAGGATGATTTAATTTATACCTATATGCAAAGACATATATCATTGTTAATAAAAAAGATTCTAATTGAAGTTTGGTGAAACATATTTTAATAAACTTAAATTAAAAATGTTATTAACTTGCAAACAGAAAATAAATTATAATAATTTTGTGAGTTTTGTGTCTTGTTTTGTTGTGCATTAATGGATAATCAATATAATTTTTTACATAAAACGTAAAATGGCATGCAAAATACAATTATTTGTTTTAATTGTTAATTGAAATTTGAACTTATTAAAAACTCGCGAGGAAACTAGTAATCAATTTTGAACTATTTTTATGAAGCTAAAATATTTTTGTTTACTTTATTCAATTTTATCAAAATTAGAAACATACAATTGACTAAAACTAACTCAAAAACCATCAAATTGTAGTTTTATATAATTATTTTTCACCTGAATTATAAAGAAAACAAAATCGAAAATAACACTAACAGTTTTTACCAAAAGATAATATAAAAAAATCAAAAAATGACCTTTTCAATACATCAAATTGATACAATTTGCAACAAAAAAACTCCTTGTTTTTCAACTGAAGCAATATTTTTGGTAGAAAAATTGATACCGGAAATATTACATTTCACAGTATAACTTAATGTACTCATAGTTTCGTTCAGAATTTATAAAAGGTTAAGTAGTTTAATAATATTTTAAAGTTCATAATTTATTCATTCATTTTGTATGTGATAGAAAACAAAAAAGAGGTGAGTATTTTTAAAAAATCAATCCGTTTATTAAATTTAATGACCATTGCATATTTTAATATTGCTCTGTTTGTATCGTTAGTATATTTTTTTATGTTGAATAAATGCACTTAATAAAGTATAAAGTTTTTAAAATATAAATGCAGGTTATTTTTTTCATTTGTGAGAGAATTAAAATGTGTGCCTTGTATTATCGCTATCTGTGTTGACTTCATTTCAAGAAGATTATTTCAAGTTGGAATAATTAAGTAGGTATCATACTATTAGAAAATTAAATATTATAAATATCAACCGATCTAGTTGATTTGTATTTTATTAAAATTATTATTAACAACTTTACACATTTACGTATATTTTCTCTAAAAACTGATTACACTGAATAACAATTACGTTTTATGTAAAAATCGTTATAAAATTATGATCACGAATTAAATAAAAATCAGTGTATATTTTCGTGATGATATATTTGTTTGTTTGTTTTCTAAAATTTGAATGTATTTATTTGAAATCGTTATTTTTAAGAAAAAATACTACATTAAAATAAAGCGTGGTACGCGACAAAGAAACTATACAAGTAAACTATTAATGCTATACTTGGACACAGTATATTTGGACACAGTTAAATAATCATGGTTTTTATTCCGGTCTGATTAAATTTAACAATCGAATAGACAAAAATGAATAAAGCTTATCGCTGAATAAATAACTAACTATGTTAAATTTAATTTGTAAAAATCCTTTCTAAATAAATGCTACGAAGGGCATTCGATTAAATACGATTCTATTTTATTATAGGTTAGATTCGTAATATCCATAATCTTTAAAATATAAATTGTGTTACTTACAGTCCATCCTGAGTTACAGTGACATTGACCTGTTGTCGCGTTACATGTGCCTCCGTTCTGACATTTACATTCGCTTTGACACTCGTCTCCATGATGACCCGCTGAACATATTTGATCACAACTGAAAATAATAATAATATTAAAATGGAAAAACAGTTTGCAATTATTTTAGTATAATTATTACAATTTTCCGATTCCTGATAGAAAATATGAATTAATTACGATTTTTTATTGTAATACATTATATTTACTATCTATTTACTATCAAAAATGATTTAAAAAGTTGAGATTTAAAATTTAAATTCAAACAAATATAAGTAATTAACAAGGATCATAAAATTAATGCAATATTCGTGCTTTTATATTTATATGCAGGGTGATTTTTTCCATGGACCTGCAATTATTTAAGATGATTTTATAAGTGAGCTTGATTTCTGTTTTTACCAAACCATCATGGAATCGTTTATGTCTTTTTTTAAAACAATGTTTAATATTTTACCCCTTTAACACATACCTTACATATAAGTACATATGTTTGATTTTCAAATAAGACCCCCCCTTTTTGAACACAGATTTGAATAGAGAATATTTTTCTATAAATTTTGATATGCATTACATTAATTTCAGGTGGCCCGTTTATGAGTTATAATAGTTTAATGTTTAGACCGGAGGAATAGGGAAGGGCAATAAAGAGTTATCGATAGACAAATAAAACAAATTATACGATTTCACGATGATTAGAAAAAAACAGAAATGAAATTCACTTAAAATCTTCTGACATAATTGCTAGTTCATGGTAAAAATAAATCACTCTATATATATAATTAATAAAATGACAAGAGCCGTATTATAGACCCGTGGTGAAATATAGATAAGTAAATAAGTATATACTCGAAACAACTTATTAAATAAGTCCGTTTAATGAATTTTAATTATTGTGCATCTTAAAAAATGTACTATAGTTCAGGATAGGTTAAATAAAATTATGACTGAAGAAGTGGGAAGGAAAAGTTATCAAGAAAAATACATTTACATTGTTTCAGCCTCTTTATTTATTTGTATTTTTTCGGAAGGATTTTGTCCTGAATTCCTATCAGATATGGTAAATTTTAAAAATATTGTGTAATGATGTAATTTAATAATTAATTTAGAAGCCATTTTAATATTTTAATATAAATTACATATTTTACCTATTAATTCTAACTTAAAATACTATCCATCAATTTGTGTAGAATTATTATTATTTATCTTAGTAACTTATTTCCCATTTAACAGAATAAAATAAATATATATATATACCTATCTAGAACGAACTCAACACACTCTATATGTATTTTTTAGATTCTGAGTGGAGCTAGGAATGTATTAGTTTTACAATGATGTTAATTATTTTTTCCGTGGATAACTTTTCTATCAGCAATTTTGCTTTGTTTACAATGATAGCACTCTTTCTGAAAGTAAATCGGACTGGAGAAGTACTTTAGGGTGGTCATTTTTTAATTTTTCTAGGAGTTTTCCCAATGAGAAAAACATAGAAAAAAAGGGAAAATAGGTACAATATTAAACAAATATATTATTAAAGAAAATATATAATATGTCATAATATATATTGTGGACAAAGAAACACTATCAACCGAATTCCGTTCAGAATCGTTTTTCGTTAGCAATGGTTAATCGTTGCATACAGATATACATTAAATTTCCCTTTTACTACCTTTCCAACTTGTCACTATAATAACAGTAGCTGCACTTGTCCCCATTATCCTAGGACAGCTTTTTCAAATACAGTAAAACTTTTATGTAACGGTCACCAAAAGGACCGAAAATAATGACCGATATTTAGAGGTGACCATCCTTTAGAGGTTTCCTATGGAGGCATAAAGCTAGATGGAATCAAAAAAATAACCATTACAAAGAGGTTACCGTATTTTAGAGGTGATCGTTAACGGAAGTTATACTGTACAAATTTAATAATAAGCCACAATAATGTTTATAAATTAAAAAATATTATTAAACTCTTACAGCGGACCACTGAATCCTGGCGGACAATCACATTTTCCAGTCACGTGATGACAAATTGCGCCGTTTTTACAGGGGCATTCTTCGAGACAGTCAATACCAAAATTATGAGGCGAACATTTTTCAGAACAGTCTCTGCCTATCCAGCCTGTTAGACATTTGCACCGTCCATCGTACGGATCACACGGCGATCCGTTTTCGCATTGACAGTTTTCGGTGCAAAATTCACCAAATTTCCCGGGTGGACACGCTAAACGAAAATAAACAAAATTACAATAAATTGATATTCATCTGAAAAAACTCAATGATTAACAATTCATACTTTTATTGCAATACGGTCCACCGTAGTTTTCATCGCACTTGCATGTGTTTGGAAATACGCATGTACCGTGTTCACAAGGATACTGACAAACTGGGATACAATTAGTTCCGTTTGGTGACACAACAAATCCTTCACAACATTCTTCAACGATTCTTTTCTTTTCTAAGACCTACAAAATTATAATAATTTAAATAATCACAAATGTATTTATTTAAAACTGATTGAAGCATGATGTCAAATATATCAGATATAGTCTATCCCGTTAAGAAGTATATGAAAATATATCAGCTATTATAATACGTATAATATTATAAACTACTTACTGCAGATAAAAACGTCTAATAAAATAAGGAGTATAATTTTTACACAAACTCTATTAATAATTTGCTATTATCACTAGCTATTTAAAAAGTTGTACGTATAGTTTATATTATATAATGTGACTTAAAGTGGAATAAATAAACCCGTAGCAGATGTTTTTAATCGATACAAATATTTTATAATTTAACGTGGCTATAATACTAATATAGAAATAAATGCACGTGGCCGTATATATAGATCCTACTATAATATAAATAGGTTACTAAACGTTGCATGATAATGTACAAGGGGATATATAATCCAAACATCGGTAAACTAAAAATGCACATAGAGCTTTTTCAATATTTCCAAATTATCAAGAAGAAAAACGACCTCCGTATAGCATAGAAGCAATCATTTGAACTTACCTACATAATAAAGTATACATATATATATTTGTTTTTTAAAATCATTAATAGCCCCCTAATACTGCTCAACATGTACATTATTACACTGTGCATACTGATGTGCAATTGTGTGATTGAACCAACTATGTGATGTTCTGTTTAGACCTTCCCATTTTACACCCATTAGCTATTCCAAACATATTTCTAAAATCTTAGATAATTCTATGAATCTTATCTCTTAATCTCAAAAATGTTTATTTTTAAATTGTCCCTCTTCTCGTGTGATTATGAGATGTTGTGAAGCATTTTAACTTTCCTAGGAATTTTCTATTTTGGTTCTTAAATCGACCCCCTTGATCACCTTTCTCCCACCCCTCACGAAATAACCCCCGTTCCCCGAAACACAAAAATGTTATACTTTATTCGTATGTATCGCAGCCAGAAATAAATGTCTTGACGTGGTCTGTAAATTTACTATTAAATTTTTAAATATTATATAATTATTTCTGTTTTCGAAAAGCCTACCATAATAATATAGTATCAAAAGCTAGATAGTAGATTACCGGATAATAAAACTCGTGAGATGCTGTCAAGACGTGCGACATACGAGACGTACACTATATACTGTAATTTTTACTATTTGTCTATGAATCGATTAAAATTTGTTCATTCAAATCGAGGAATAGCTACGGCCATTTTCCAAATGTTTTTTTTTTATACGGAAAAAAAAACTCTGAACAATTGTACGGTTATGTTAATGTGTTCAAAAAAATATTTTTATACCTCAATACAAATTGACGAACACCAAACTATACGATCTTAGAAACACGTGGACAACACACACATCTACAATTGTCGGATTCGGAGGTTAAAAACACAAATTAGGATTTATTAATGCTTATAAAAACTTAATAGAAAAGTTTTACCAATGTTACCGAAATCATATGATGAAACTATTTCGCAATTAACTTCTTGGCAGGAAACATTTTTAACTTTTAATTAATTTTTACTCAAATAATCAAATTTATAATAAATTAATTAAATCTTAAATGTTTAACTACAGAATAATTATTGTATAACTACACACATTTTAGAAATTTGCATTGATTTTGTCAAAATTTGAACATAAAATGCTTATTTAACAAAAACGTATATCTTTATGTTATTTTACACCCCTCTATTGTTCGGTATGTTGATGGGCATAGGATGTACGATAATTCAGTGTCGGTAAACAGATAATACGCAAACGATAATCAGCCGTTAATGCGCAAACGATGTACGATATTTTGGCACAGGTAAACAGACGATGCGCAAATGCTTTATGGCCATCGGGATAAGTAGAGGTGAGTTTAGATGAGTGGTCTTGAGGGTAGAAAAAAAAATAAAAATAAAAACTAGTGTACCTACTGTTCGTAATATTTACCTGCAGTGAAACAACGGTTTTCATTACGATTCTGTATCTGGAACATTTTAACTTGAAGTCCGTTAGACAAAAGTACGACTCTCGTAATTGGTATGGTTTCACTTCACTCACATTTAACGTTTTGTTGTACCTGAAACCCGTTTTATAAATTTAGTTGGTTTTACGAAAATATTACTTATCAAGGCTGAAACAATACATCAGTATTAAAATAAATATTCTAACGAATACTCGTTAGTTATAATTATTATACATTCAGTCGATTTAGCAATTTAATTTTCAACTTTAAATAAATTTAATTTTTTTTTCTGCACACCAAGTCTAAAATATACCCAATTTATCTGCATTATCTTAATAAATAATGTTAATGTAGACTGTATTAAATATAATATTTTCTTAATGCCAATCACAATCTAAAATTGTATAAACCTACTTATTTACGTTATTATTATTGTATAATGTATACCATTAATTTTAGTTTATAATGTAATACCTACTCCAAAAAAATTAGAATTACAAAACACGTTGAATTTTAAATATTTTTTTTGTTATTGCGAATTTCACTCACGTGTTATACTAACAAGAAATCATAATACTCCTTTAATAAAAACCGAAAAAAAAAACATTTTGTTCAACATCTAATACTAAAATACTCCTATATTCCAAAAATTCCTATATTTTTCGATTCATTTTAACTAAACTATATACAAAATAAACCAAAAAAATGGATCGGGCAATCTGGAGATTATTTCGAAAATTTACTTTTACGAGTGAATCAACAAATTAATGGTAATTTTGCCTGTCGTTTAAAATTATTTCAAAATTATTATCTGCTATATCCCATAAATGATGACATTTTTCAGGCATTAATATTTTAGATGTTTTTTTTCTGTGCCTGTAAGTAATTTTTCATCTATAAATTTCGCATCGATATATTAAATACAGCATTTTTTCATTAATATTTTTTTTTTATAAAAAGATGTCGTAACTTTTTTAACTTTAATTTTTGTATACATATACATTGTCTATAGCCCTGCATTTAATCTATATTTTTTTTGCTTATTAATTATGAAATACACGGATAAAATATTTAGTCGATAGAGAGAGAAAAATATGTTCGGTATTTTAAAGGTGATAATTTTAAAATTGAGGTACAAAACACCTCCTAGCATCAATGATTTGTACTAGGAATATGGATTTAATCAAAAAATGGTTCTAATTTAGTTGTTGAAGAAATAATTCGTTTTTTTTTTTTTAAATTCACAAAGTAGTTTTCATAAAGTTTGGGAAAAACAGAAAAATGAAAACTGATAAATTAAAGCGTACGATTTCATTATTTTAAATTTTTACGGCTTATGTTATTTAGATGGTATTACTTCACAGTGACACTGAACCTCTTTTAAGTGGTGGGTATACCACCTAGAATTAATAGTTTAGTATAAAACATTGTATATTTTACAATTAGTATATGGAAAAGTAGACATAATATTAAAAATAACGCGAACAAGTCTATTGCTGGACTGCCGTAGCATGTACTGTGTAATTGAAGTAGTAAAAGCAGATAACTATTTAATCAATCGTTTTACTGTAAATAACCAATAGTATCTAATCAATTTTTAAATCAACAACAGCTTATGCCCCCCCTCACGACTTACACAGAGGTTTAATACCGCGTAGAGGTAGGTGGGTAGAAACGCTATAAAACTGTTTATTGCCAAACATATAAAAAATTAGTTCAGCACCACTGTTACCCCAATAGAAAAACCACAACTATAATAAGAGACTTTTTTGTTGCATTTTTAATGTATTTGGCGAGTAATAAAGACATTTTTTAAATATCCCCTATAGTTGTTGTTAATAATTAAACAAAATCGTACAAAAATGTAAAAATAACGGAAAAAATTTTGTTATAAGTTGCAACTCATTTAAAAAATGCATAAAGATTTGTATTTTGTAGGTACTTCGTAAACAAAATTGTTAGATTAACCAGAATTGCTTGAAAATTTAACACGAATTAAACAATTTAGTGCAATGTTGGTTTTTTTTTTTTTATAAGATTTTTAATATCAAATTTTGACGAAGATTGTAATACAGCTTTTCAAAACATTTGTAACCGAACTTCGCGCCGAATCGTTTCTTATTAGCAATGGTTTATCGTTAAAGATATAAATTAAATACTTCTATTAAAAACCTCTCCAATTCGCTATCCACAACACAACATCCATCAGCAGTATTATTTATTTTTTTTTTCCGCATTTACTTGCAATATTATGATGATTTTTTCTATACTATTACCAAAAAGTTGTTTTCATTCCTATACATACGCTGTAATAATAATGTTTGTTATACGACTGAATCATATTTCATTATTTTACAAAATATACAAGATAATATACTATATTATGTGACTGATAATAATAATTGTAGAACGGTTTTGAAAAACAATGGCCCTAGAATTATAGACCAAAATATCATGTCGATTAATAACGTTAAAATTCGTTATCTAAAATAAAATATGCTTCTATATAATCATATGTATATAAGCTGATTTCATTTTATTTTATTTGGTTAACGCCAAACGGCAGTTTACAAAGAATATGTGAAAATGCATAAATTAAGGTGAAATGATATCAGTACAAATACAATTTTTGATAGACTTAAAACTAAGATGATTACATGCAAAAATAAAAATAAAATAGTACATAAAAAAACAATATAACACCAAATATATTCATAATAAACTAGGCGGCTTTATTGATAAAACAAAGCATGCGGTTGTGACCGTAGGAGGTGGAGTGAGTAAGGAATCAGAATATGAATGGGCATTTATCAATTGCGCCGAAAGACTTAGGTAAATAGATAAATTAGATCGTAAAATTAGGGAAGGAGGATTCTATAATATAAATAAGAATATGCAATGTATTACTTTAAATTCGATTACAAATTGTAACTAACATAACCCATAAACGGTGTATCTATTACTAGTGTTACGCGTATCAAAATATTAAAAATTATTTTATTTGTGCGAATCTGTAGTGAAATGAGGTGACCATTTGAAAATCAATAGTCAATACTAATAATTACAATGTGGAGTCACAACAATAAAAGACAATATTAAAATGATGCTCAAATGGTTGAAAAAAGACGGTAAATCATTACAATTACTTAAAATTTACCGAGAAAATCTTTGGATTTTAAACGAAAAAAAAAAATCGATAGATTAATCATTATCCATAATACGAATTTCCAATGTAAGAACAATTATTGTGTTGCCAATTAAAATATTTAAAATCGAAAAATATCATCTACACTGTATATTTTATTTATAATTAAATTATTTTGCCACGCACTAAAATAACTGGAGTTCTGTCATTGTTGACATTCAAATGAAATATTTTCGTATCGTATTTAATTAGTTACAAAACGATATTAGAGTTTAATAACGATATCAGTGTAATTTTTGATTACGTATAATTAAACAAAGTAGGCATTTTCACTTCTCAAGTTTATCGTATTATAATAACAAACAGCAATAAAATAATGTGATATGACAACAACGATACAGATTTAAATTTAACCCTGACGAAAAAATAATATAGTGCCTACCTAGGCGATTATAGGTAGACACTACTTTTGCCTACTATTGCTTTTTTATTTTTGTTACAGAGTAAGGTATTTTATCACGCTAATAATGCCTAATAATTGCATAACCGTTATATTTATATGGTTCAAGCATTACACTAAAATATGTTTAACTGTAATAAATAATAATCAATGGCGTATATTTTAAGGACTAGTATAATATAATTATATCCATATATTTTCCCTAGTGGTTTTGATATATAGTGCACTAGTTGGGTCCCAATGGAATTGGGAAGTATACTAGTTAGGCATCAGCTTTCGACAGGAAATATACCTATTAGTTATGTCCGAATATTTAAAAGCAATGCAAAATATTTTACTTCTCATTTTTACAGACTTAGGACTCTGGATCTATTATTCCANAAATATTTATTCAGGTATTTTTTAAAACTTCTATAAATGTGTATACATTAGGATGAATATTGTGTTATTGTTATTATATTATTGTTTATGTTAAGGTACTAGTCGACTAGTACTACCTGTGAGAATCCGAGATCCAACTAGTGTAGATTTTTAATCATGGAATCCAACTCAGAAACGCCGGTATAAATAAATAATTTTGTTTTCGACTTTGTGACTTGAAATGGTATTAAGTTTTCATTTACTTCATCGCAGAGAATATTTATTACCGATCTTTATTGTAGACAGAGTTACATAGGTCCTATGTTATTCATCTATCGTAAAATTATGCTATCATGCATTTTATTATTATTTATTACGATACATATTTTGTACGTAATTGGCTACACAAAACTACAAAATTTAAAATAGTTTAAATGAAGGAATTATGGTCAAAGTAAACACAACCCGGTAAATACACCGATGTAGGAGTTTCATTATAAATATAGTACTTATCAATATAAAAGCTGAAATTTCAAAACGAAATAATTATGATATGTATTGGAAACTTACGTTTCTAGTCTGGTACAAACGTTGGATCCTTTGAGTTCGACTGCGGACGACGGGTCTGCAAAATTCAACTGAACTGCGAATATCAACGCCGTGGCGTATACCACACAATGAACGGAAAACTGCTCCATACTATAATATTATTTTGTAGTACGCGTGTCAATGATCACGTTTGAAAACAAATATTGTCAATTATTCACATGATGACGGTTATTGCCGGAAATTTAATCAGTTGGCGCGGTTCTGTAAAAATCAAATAGATACCACTTAACAGATTAAATAATACAATCATTTATTTATACATTTATATACACGTGTAATTTGGATTAGTACCTTAGCATACTAAATGATTTTCAAATAAAATTAAGACTCACTAGTCTATTTAGAATATAGAATAGATATTTGCTATTATAAAATTGGGTACCATTGCACATAAAACAAAAAAAAAACATCAATTTATGGTAAAAATATTAACATCGTTGAAATCGAGAAAAACCGAGTACATATTATGTTAGTAATGTAAACAAATTATTAGGGGGGGGAGGGTTAAAGTGGTTTTTCAAATTGTCTCCTATTTTGTAAAATTTAAAAATTATGATTTATGACTTTAACGAAAAGTTCTTTCGATTTTTCCACTAATCTATTGCCCGATACTCATTCATACTTCATGACTCATTCAATGGCCATTTTTACGAACAATGTGTTGGGGCAAAATTCATCCACTACTTTTTTTTTATATTCAGTTGGTTAAGTTAAAATATATAAAGAGTATACTGTTAAATAAAATAAATAAATCCGGACCTAAGAAGAAAAAAGAAAATGAAAATATTTTTCATGCAAATCATACAAAAGTTATTTTACAACATTTTTAACAGTTATCATTCTTCAAAATATAAATTTGACACACTGGAAGTATGTTTATTTTACTCCAGCTTGTTGGTATAAATATATGGAAAAACTAATCGTTTTCGACTAACTCAAGATACGATAATACAATATATTTTAGTATATAATATTTATATATATTTAACTATATATTATATAGTTAAAATATTTTTACATAAAAGAAATGAAAACACCTATAAAACTATGAAAAATAATTTGTCGATGACAAAATGTTTAGGATAAACTCGTCGGTGTTTAAATAATCTCTAAATGTTCGATACATTTTCGAGTAAAGAAAAAATTGCAGTTCACATATTATTTGTTGCTTTATTCAATAATTACATTTTTGAATGACTAATATTTCTAAAAGCTGTGATGATATTCGTTTGCAAAACGTTATCATCTACACACTTTTTACTAGATGATTTATCACCAAAATCAATTAAAAAGGTAATTTCGATTGTTGTACGTGAAAAAATGTTTACTACATTGCAAGTTAAAAGACAGAGACGACAAATTTAACTTTAATAACCTACCAAAGAGAATTTAAATTATATTACTCAAAAAATCTATGCGTAATATAATCACTATTATTAATTATTGTTATAATGATTATTATCTATGTATTTTATTAAATTTAATTCGTTTTAATAGATATTTAAATGCTATAAAATATCTATAAAAAAACAATAATTAATTATTATTGAAATGCATAACGTGTATTAACCTATACAATAATAATTAACAAAACAATTATTATAAATGACAATAGTCTGTTGTTGTTAAACTATATGTTAAATTTTTGATTTCTTATAAAGCTTCTGGAATAGTTATTATTACTATTACAGCTTGTTTGGCTTTAAAAGCAAAAAAAAAAAAATACCGGGGTAGGTGATTCCCTAATTAATATTGGGTTACTTCCTAATTAATATTGGCCGTTTCCGCCACAGCCCCTTTCTGCCAGAAACAAAAAAGGTACAAGTCCCGTTTCCACCAAAACAAATTTTGGATACCAATAGTTTCTAGATTAATCTAGTTTAATTTAACCTATTGTAACAGTTCAATGTCATTTAAACGATAATTGTTGAATAATAAAACCTATAACAAAATATATTGAAAAGAGCAAAGAAATATTGAAGAAATTAAAAACTACCGAAAAGGCAATAATTATAAAAATAGTTTAATAAAATTAGAAGGTACACTTTTTTTAAAGCGGTTTCATTTAATATTTATACAATTTTTTAAACTTTTTCAAACTACATTAATTATAATTGTTGACTGGTAACGGCCTTTATTACTAGGTACCTAATAAACTTATTACTAGTATACTATTACTTAATGACTTATATCATTATTATTTACTAATATACTTAATGATTTATTATTATTAATTGTATTAGATATTATTTTACTATATTACTAAACGTATAACCTTTTTAAATATGTATGTATATATTTGTGTATACAATATACATATAATGTTAATTATGTGCTACATTAATAAATAATTGTATTGTTTCATTATTAACTTATTATCATAATTATTAATAACTATAACGAATCATATTGTTATTACCGTAAGGTATTATTTTAGGTACATGGTTCCCAAACAATATTTGATAGAAACGGGAATCGTACCATTTTGGCAATTAACGAAAAAGGGCTATGCTGATATTAAGAAACCAGTTTTTTGGTGGAAAAGTACTATGCCTACCACTGTTGTAAGTGGAAAGTTGGGAATGTAGGATACATAAAATGATTTAATTTATATCTGTAAGCAACTACAAACCATTATTAATGAAAAACGATTCTGAGTGGAGTTGGGTTATGCATTTTTTGAAAGGCCGTGATATTTACGAATTTTGATATTAAAATTCTTATAAAAAAGAATTCTATATTACATTCAATTTTCGCATTTAACGACAATATATGACTCATGATGAACCTCCTGTTAAATTTGTAAGCATTCTAGTAGCTTTTGTTGAGTCTATAAACCATAACAATATACATGAGTTATCTGTGACAACCAAATTCGAAAAAATATTATATAACAAAAATAGTTTTTTCCTGTTTAATCATTGGATACCAGAAATAAATGAATAAATAAATAATGGACAATTTTGCTGTTTTAGGATAAATTTCCTGTGTGAGCATCACTTTAGGGGTTAAATTTTTCACTCAAAATGTTCTCTAAACATTCTTGGAACTATAATAAGAACAAGCCGTGATATTTCAGAGAAATCAGCCGCGCCTACTCATTCGCTTGGCAATGTTTCAAAAGTGCTAAATAGTGTTGTATTATTATTCAAATCGTGAAAGCAATCATTGGGTTCAAAAAAATGGCTCTAACAATATATGAGTACAAAACTCGCAAAAACTAATTTTTAGCATTCAACTGAATTAATCAAATTTCGTTGTTTTCCCCCCATTACGTCTGTCTTACGCCAAAAATTATTTTATGCAAGACGAACAATGATTAATAACATATTACTAATATTTTGAGTTATTCGAGTGTATAATTCAAGTGTATTTGAGAGATGATATAAATGGGGAATTTATCGGGAAAATTTAAAATTATGTTACATGTGGAAACATTTGAAAAATCGAGCGATAAATTCAAATATCCTCGTACGTTTAATGTTTAAAATTTTTATTGAAGTTAGAATATTTCAATTTAATTTTTTTTCCACGAATACCGATGTAATGTGACATTAATATTTATTGATTAATTATTAATGTTGATAGACGAATTGCAAAAACAAATTACCCACACACACACACAACAAGCAAAAAAAAATAGCTTACTTGCAACAAAAATTGAAGCCTTAATAATAATATTAAAAAAAAAATAAAAATTAAATATCATAAAGCCCCAGCCCGCCTCTTGATATTTATATTATATTTTTAGTTGTAATAATATGAATTAATAATGTATATAAATCAAAGTGTCGTAGAAATTGCGGTTACACCAATTATTACGATAGTTGATAATGCTTATACTTGATATTAATCGTATATTTACTTTAAATTTAATGTTCATTATTAAAATGTACATGATAAATGTTGCCCCCTTCAAAAAAAAAAAAACCTTATATCCACCATTGGTATTTTTACAAATAAATCAAATATATTCTTAATTAATTTTTGTTATCCTGTTGATATGTATCTGGTTTAGAATTCTTAGAATCTATTATCGGGTCTTAATCGTTAATCTAAGAATTTTTGAAATTCATTATCGGTTTATAAAGAATAATAAAAAATCTCGGAATACCGCGAACCTTTTAATTTTATTATTAATTAATTAATCAACCTGAATTTTTATTATCTTGCTAGTTTTTGGATTTGGAACGTCGCGTAGTGTGTTCTTTTATTAGGAGTTTACGATTTTTTGTTTTTTTAATATATTTCAGTAAAAAATGTTCATTATAAATTCATTATAAGTCGTGGTTAATGGTCTTAAAAAACAAATTTGAGTTTAATGCAATTTTTTTTTAAATAAGCATTTTAGGATCAAATTTTGTCGAAAACCGTAAAAATTACATTTCAAAACATATACAATTGACATTCACTCCGAATCGTTTTTCGTTAGCAATGGTTTAACATTGGTTATAGGCATAAACTAAATAACTTAATGTATCCCACCTTCCCAACTATACTTCCCTACAACAGTGGTTACACCCGTCCAAGTATCAGCTCTTTTTTATTTTGAAACTACTTTATTATTTTTCTTGTTATATTTTATGTTTATTAAGTTTTTTATTATCTTCAATAAAAATCTGACTTAATAAAATAGTAAATTTTTAATTTATATTGATAAAATATATATCAATTTATATATCTATTTGTTTATACTAAGTTCATTCCTCATTTAAGCTCGATGTCCATTGGCAATAATTACAAACGATGTGTCATATTAAGTACCTTATAACTTTGAAATGATAGACAATTTTTAAGATGTTGTAGGTATTTTTCAGTAGAATAATAAAATAAAACTTTAAAAAAAAATGGATATACTCCGTGCGATGGGTAAGCCACTGTTGTAGGTGAGAAGTAGGGAAGGTAGGATATAGAAGGGAATTTAATGTATATCTGTACAATCGCACAGATATACATTACGTATGTATAATCATTGCTTACGAAAAACGATTTTGAGTTCGGTTATACAACTTATGATATTCGTCAAAATTTGATATTAAAGTCTTATAGAAAAAAAATTCTATACCACACTCAATTTTTCTTTTTAACG